TTTGGCCTACCGCGTGATGCGGCAGGCAACACTGGGATTGTGGTTTTTGTTGACCGACTGAGCAAGATGGCTCGCTTAGCGGCAGTGCCAAACTTCATTGATGGAGAAAGAACAGCTAAGCTGTTCATAGATCGTGTGTTTCGGCAGCACGTATTGCCTATGGAAATCTTCTCGGATAGAGAACCCTGTTTTACGGTTAAGATTTAGACGTCCATCTTTAAAGTGCTCAGCACTCGACTGTACATGCCCACGGCGGATCATCCGCAGACCGATGGTCAGACTGAACGCGTCAACCGCGTTATTGGCAATATGCTTCGCAGTGTTTGTGCTGAAACACCCAAGCAATGGAGCGCGATGCTCCCTCTCATAGAGTATGCGGTGCATACCTCGACAGGCTTCACCCAATTCTATGTGAATGATTTGGTCAGTCCTCGCGCTCCTTAACGCTACCCCCTGCCACTTCAGGGCTTCATGGGGGAGATATAGCCGAAGTCTTAGCTGATATCAGCCCTGTTGCGATGCGCAAGAAGGTGGAAGCGTTTCTGTCAACGCATTTTGACGTATTACGTTGCGTCAAAAACGCTATGGCTGAAAGCCAGGATGTTCAAAAGGAACATGCGGATGCCAAAGGCAGAAAGAACGATTAAGAGTTCAAAGTGGGTGATTTAGTTTATTATAACGCTAGGATTTTACCTACCCGTGCCGTTTCGGCAGTATATAAAACTAAATTACGACCACTACATCGACACTTTCAAGAAAACTTGAGGATGCAAAGTGGGACGTTTTATTGGACCCGTTAAGGTCATAGGCAAGAAAGGTTTAGCCTATACGCTGAACCTTCCGAAGAAGATGAGAACACATCCTGCGTTCTACGTGGGCTTGCTAAAGCCATGTCTCAACCCGGCCTCGGTGGACTTCGAGGCTTTGTCCTCACATTCCCGGCCGAAGGAGGCGGGTAGTACTGCACCGGAGGTGCATATGGACGCTGAAGGCGTACCACGAGGTCGATCTAACATCGCAGTTTGGCTTGAGTACGCTCAATCGCCGTTAAGCGATCGAGGTCTCAGAGCGATGACGCTCAAAAGACCGATGGTGTCGATCGACACGGTCATCGAGCGATGACAGGTGAGACCTCACCGATGCAAGGGCATCACACTCCAGGAGCGTCAAGCGACGCTCAATCTCAGAGAGATGAGAGGTCAATGGGTCATCGACCTCCTCCGACGTTGATTGATGACCAGGGTCATCAACAGTTCCACGTGTAACGCCTCTTGGATCGGCGTCGTCACCAGGGTCATACCCAATACTTGGTGAAGTGGAGGGGTTTTTTCCCCAGTCGCATGACTCGTGGGAGTATGAGGTACCCCTCCGGCAAGATTGCCCTGATGCCGTTGACGCTTTTGACCAGGACGGTTAGAAGCGACGACAGCTGTCGTCGGACGCTTCCTAGCACTAGGTGCTATGGAAGTAGGGTCAGTAGGCCGGCTTCGCCTCTGACCTTCAGAAGAAGCCAATGTCGGTAATACGCGAGAGATAGGTAAGGGCAACAGCTTCAAAAGGTTATCCCCCACAAGTCTTTGACCTGTATGTGGAAGGTAATTGACTTTTCGCTTTGAGATTAGCGAATAAAAACGTAGACGACATTCTAACCAAACGTCATGCGCTTTAGCGCTTAAATGCAAGTTTGACAAACTTAAGAGCTTACATTCTCGTTTTACTCAACGGGTAAACTGGTAGTCATCTTGTGCAGATGTTTCACCTGGTGCAAGCACCACTAGTATTTTGTTTAGTGGCTGCACGGGCACCCCACGTGACTGTCGTGGCAGTCGCTCCTGATACGATTTCATCGTAAGCTCCTGGGAAGTAAGAAGCCGCTCACGAAGAGCAACACTATCTGCATTCTCGAAGGCCGTACGGGCGTGGGACCCAATGATATAGGTTCGCAAAGATTGCGATGCAGCTCGTCGAGCTTCCTCATTAGGGTACCGAGGCACGAACCCATAATCACGTCGTAAAAATGTTTGCTTGGGCCGTGCCAAAGCGGCCGCTTGGGCCTCGTCATCAAGTTGACGACGCTTTGCAGCGTCAAGAGGGTTGGTTACCTCTTCGTCTGTACCCTCTCGCGAGGGAAGAGGAGACGCTTGGCGCAAAAGGATTGTCTCCCTTGGAGGAAAAGACACAGATTGGGATCGACGTCCCTCGCTCGATGATCTTGGGTTACTGTGACCCGAATGTGACTCGGCTCCGCCGCACGTAGAGGCAACGTCACTGTCATCGTCCCCAAAAATGTCGTGACGCATTGCTTCATCCATGATGGAGCAATGCGCGATTGAGACAAGTGTTTTATAAAAGCAAGTGTTCGTGAACATTGTGATGCTTAAAGCAAGTGTTGTGAACACTGTAATGCTTAAAGGAAGTGTTGTGAACACTGTAATGCTTAAAAGCAAGTGCTAGGCGCCTTGTGTTGTGAAAGCAAGTGGTTGTAAACACACAAAGGTATTAATAATACCAAGTGCTTGGCACTTAACGCTTAGAAGCAATTGTCGTAACACTTAATGCTTTAGCATGAATGCGATGCTTATAAAGCGTGTGTGCAATGCACGGGTGCTCAAAGAGCAAGTGTTAAAAATCACAGAAGCTTTAAACGCAAATGCATGCACAAATTGCGAGGCAAGCAAAATGAGAAGAAAATGAAATTAATACCTCCAATCAAGTGCAAAAAATTTGTGGGTACATCGGGTACCACGGATTGGTGGGGGGTAACACGAAGATGTGTATTTTACATACACACCTGCCACACCAACGTGGTGTTGCTGTACCTTGGGTATAAAAGTAGGTGATGTGACCGTACCTGAAGTTCAAAGGGTCGCATCGTGGCAGAGAGCCACGTGGTCACTATACTTATTTAAGTATAGTGACTATGCATATTTGCATAATAATAACAGGCTATAGAGCCAGTAAATAGTGATAGCACTAAGTATAGAGTAGGTGCTTTTATATTTAGTGTTAGAAGGTATACATAAATATAAATCAGTTTTGAACCTGCTCTGAAAAGCTTAAGTGCTAGAGCGTTCTATTACATTGCAAGAAATTGTATCTCTGATACAGGAATCTTGGAGACGTGGTTGTTTACAACTAAAAGGCATAAGCTTGTGCAGCTAGCGTTGAGAGGGTTAAGAACCCTCAGAAGTTGAAGCTCTTGAGGCTTGTCTTCTTCTGCACGTAGCTTTGCTATAGTAGCTCTGCTACATCACGCGTTGAAATACAGCGACTTCTCATAGTTGGCATAATCTGACTATGTATGTGCTAGTAGTGGCGCTAGCTTGTGTATGCAACTACTCCTTTGATGGACACAGCGACTTTTGTATAAAAAAGGCAAGACTATTGGAAAGCTTAGCCAGTGCTAAGAAAGCATAGTGATCAACAAAGACTCTGAGTCTGTCATGAGGTGACCGAAAAGACCCGTGCTAATGTTCAGAGAGGCACTCTTGTAAGTCAAAAAGATAAACCTCACCTTCTCAAATCAAGTCAGATGCCGCCGAAGCACATGGGCGATTCGGTGCTATTAACAAGTATGGTACATTCAACATGAACAATAGCTGGTTGAATTCACGCGCAACTAAAGTCTAGTGGCTCATGATCTTGTCGACATTAAGCCGCTTGTTACCTTCCGTAACGTGAAGAGCCTCAAGATGTCCAGTTAGAAATCGCGTCTGGTGAGGCGATCTACTTATCAAACATTGATTGGGTTAAAGGTGCCACGCTCACCGTTTTTACCTGTAAGTCTTCACCGGATGTTTTCCCGGTGCAGTCAAATATGCCGGCGCGAACCACACCCACAATTCGGATTGTAGAGCCAAGACTAAATTTACAAAGCGCCAAGGATTATCTCGCACGCTTGGAGAATAGCATTTCCAACATTACGGAGCTAGACCATCTCACGGTCGCTGGCGACGTCAAGTTCGGCTCTAACATTACACTTAAGGTAAGATGCAAGTGCTAGCTGCAATTTCATCTCACATAGCTGACTCATTGACTTCTGCTGGTCACCCACTGGCAATACCACATGCTGATCTTTAATTGCTATCGCTTGCAAGGTGGATCAATATGATAATTTTTGACCCGCCAGACTGATCCTGACTTCGTCTTGCAAAAAAAAGTGTTCCGTCGCCGAATCCTATTGATTCCAGCGGGATCAATGAGATCCATGCCCAAGATTGCCTCTTGGCCAACCTGATCGCCGCCCTAAGCATCGAAATAGTACACCAGCAATCCATCCAAGTGATCTTGAACTTGGAACGTCCTCTGGTCATGTAAGTATTGTAGCCGAGCTACTGTAGCAAAGCTAACTCATGTACTAAGTGCAGAGGAAGATTAGCTCCAAGAGCTGCATGTCTTAGGGCTCTTACTTAATCTATTACTCTATTTCACCTTATTACCTAATTTCGAAAAGAAAGGATTTGAAACCTTCCAAGGTCATCTTACTAAGTAGGCGCGAGGCCCTCCACTGGGAAAGATCTGAATTCTGTTGAGCCTAAGGCTAAAAGCAGGGCTCATCCCCAAAGAGACTTGATCTCTCAAAACCTGAACGAGAATGCAAGCCAGGCTTATTGGTCGTCGAAGGGACGGCCAAGCTGAATCACTTCGATCAATTTGGGTGCATCGGAGTCAGTGTAACGGGGTGTACCGTACACGCCATGCTAGGTACGAGCTAGCAGTCCTTTTCGTAAGTATCGGTACAACAGCAGGCATTTACGACCTCGTCAACAATACTTCGATTCCAACTTCCAGTGGAATTTACGGTGGCGCGGCTTATACGAGTTGCTTCCAAACGGAAGTTGCTGCCTAATTTGTCAAGTATGTCAACGACCATCTGCCAAGGTATATGTCGTAGCGTCGGAATCTAGATGAAAACGAGAAACAAGAAGGAATCATTAGCCTTATGCATTGTTTTGTAATCCAACCAGATCAGTCTAACAAGTAAAAAGACCGTTCATCTTCTAACTCAAGTGTGCCTTGCGCAGTGCAATCACAACGGCGCATGAACAAATGATAGCGGCGCCCACAATACTCCAGCAGTTTATCTTCTCACCAAGCAACAGGTAGTCCCAGATAAAGACACAAACCACGTCCAAGTAACGCATCACCGAGGCAATACCTGCCTTCTCGAGTTGAAAGCCCTTGGTAAGCAATAGCTGCCCAACAAAAGTCAATAGACCGCTACCGATGACAGATAACCAGACACCGAGCGTTGCTGGCACTACAAAGACCTGTTGAGGAAACCATAAGAGGTTAGCCTTATCGATTGTTGTAATCCCAACCCATGAACTTTCCAGCAACTTACCCGTTGTACCAATAGCATGTACACAAGCGATCCGATGGTGCTGAACAGCATGAAGTAGTGCACAACAACCATGAAATGGACGCCCTTCAGCTTTCGCACAGTGACAAACACGAATGCTTGACCAATGGCTCCAAGCAGGGCTGATCCAACCGCAATCAATGAACCATCGGTTTGAGCTGTAGCATGGTTGTATCCGAAGATGAAGCCGGGTCGAACCACACAAATCAAGCCTCCAAACGACAGCAGCGCACACGCGAAACTGGGAATATCAATGTTCTCATGCAACAGGCAGGCTCCCTATGTAACTCAACAACGTCAGAATAACTATCTACTCCGCTACCTACAAAGGATGAAAGCCAAGCTAACTCACGAGAAAGAAGGTGAAGACAGGTGATGTAAAAACAATGACACTGCTGTCCGCAAGCACCATTTGCGATAGCGCGTAGAACGCAAACGAAATCGACGAAAACCCAGCCAAGCAACGGTAAAACAGCATCATCCGGTTTTCTGGCACAACGTACAACGTCTTGCCAGTGTACCAGATCAACACCTGCATTGTAAAACCACCAGTATACCGACAGACCATAAGATCAATGCAAGCTATTACATATAGTAACTACTTGAATATTGTATCAGCTCATTCGAATCTACGTACGTAATTCAGTATCATGGCGACACTGGAGCGCCAGAAAATGGCCTCGATCGATGTCATTGTGTATGTGTTGAACTTGATCATTGTCGACATGAGACTAAAGCACACGGATGACATTGCTACGTATGACATGCCCAGTAATGCATGCGGCTGGTAGGTGGTTTTAACATCCAAGGAGGTAATAGGCAGTAGCGGACAGTCCTCGGACACGTATTTTTCTGATTCAGTCAACATGGTGATCGAGAACTGAATGGTCGGTCGATACAATTTGACTAGCCCATCAATTCAAGTTTTAGACCAATCATTTACAAAACATGCTAAGAGTTTGAGCCGTTCTGATTGATTGATGTGACTGCAATTTAAACGTTTTATTGTCCCAAGTTCTCACGAAAACGTTAGAGCTTTTGTAGGAAATAGTACGTGTTGTCACGTTAAAACTCGAGAATGGTGAGAAAATCCTTTGACGATCAAAGGAGTTGGATCTTATGGACAGCAAAGTTTTACAACCAGACTGGTATGTGCAAACATGTTTGTTGCATGCTTTAAACATTAGTGCATGTCTTCAAACAAGCTACACACTTGGCGAAACACGAAGATAAATACGCACAATGGAGACAACGTCTTACAGGAACTTTTCGTCGTTCAAGTTAGTCATCCTGCGATTCAGCTGCCGTTTGCGCGAGTAGTAGTTATCCTCGTGATACTTTCTTTGGGGTTCCTCTTGGTTTGGCTCATCTTCTTGCAGCTGATCCGTGTGTTTGGGCAGCATTAGGTACGGAGGCATATCGTCCAAAATACTCTTGGCGCGAATGTTCATCCACTTGCGGAAATTCCAGTACGGAGCCCGCTCAGGCAGCTCCAGTGCAAGTCGCAGCGCATTGTGCCAATCGAGACGGCTCAAACGTTTATTCATCTGCATCATTTGCATGGTCAGTCGCACCGCCTCGCGAGGATTTTTCCGCTTTTCGTCGTAGAATTTAATGGCTTCACGGTAACACATGGTCGTTTTGCCCATGTGCTTTGCATTTTTCTGCAGCATTTGCAAAGCAGTCTCGACGGCACCACCGCGAATATAAGACAAGATCAAACACTGATACGTTACCGTATCCCATGCCATCCCCTGCATTTTCATCTCGTTGGCAAGGGGATGCATCTTCTCAAGTTGGTTGGTTTCCAGCAGGGCAAGTAGCGCCGCGTTGTAAGCGAAAAAATTAGGCTGCTCATCCTTGGATTGGCACGCCTTGTATTTGTAAAAAATCTCTAGCCCTCGCATTCTCAGTTCCTCTCTCTCAGCTTTGGCGTGGCCCATAATCACAGCACCAAGGTACACGCCTCGTAAATTCTCGCGAAAACTCTCAGGCATGGCTTCGTACACTTCAACCACCGTTTCCCACTGCTTTCCCTTGGCACAAGCCAAAAATACCGAGTTGAAGATTGTCGCTGTGGGTGTAAAACCACTTGTCTGCATCATATTCATGGCATCTAGCGCTAGCTCCCACTTGCCTGTCTTACCAGCACAAATGGCAAGCGAATGGTACGTTGATTGCGTCATCTCCAGTCCACGTTGGCGAATTGCACGCAAAACGCCCAATGCACTTTGAACATCCGATGCACGGGCACAACTGTTTAGAATATTATTGTAAATGATAATGTTCAAGTCCAATCGGTTTTTGATCATATCGTCAAAGATTTCAAGCACCAATTCATGTTGACTCGACTTAAGTGCCGACGACAGTGCATGTGAATACGTCACAGTCTGCGGAACGTATCCATCGTTCCTCATGACTTCAAACACACGCAGAGCGTGACCAAACGCCTCCTCCCTGTAGCAACAGCCAATTGCACTTGAGTACGACTGGATGCGAGGACGCACACCTTGCTCCCGTACGTAAGCCAGGACTCGCATGCAGTCCTGAACGCGTTTTCTCGACCCTAACACCTCCACGAGGAATGACGCCACCTCCATCGTCAGGCCTCGTCCATTTGAGCGCTGGATCTCGTCAAAAATGTCTAGCGCAATGCGCCACGCATTCGATCCTGCCACGGACTTGAGCGCTTCTATCAGCTGCGTCATGTACTCTTTTTCTAGACGTTCAAGAGGAATGAACCTCGTCTCTCTCTGTAACTTTCGCTCATGACGACGTTTCAGATCCTGCTCTAGCTCTTCTCCATCTTCTCCTTCATCTTCATCCAGTTGCGGTGTAATGAGGTTCGAATGGGAGAACAACCGAGCGACAAATATAGTCGACGTTGGCGCCAGCATGAAGCTATCCGAGTGGTGTAACGTTGAGTGCCATGGACCTGATACCAAATTCACACCGCCCGTTGCCGTGTGCAAAGCACTACTAGGTCTTGTCGAAGAATACACAATTGCATTGACTACACGCCACAGGGAACTATGACGCGTACACGCACGTCTTCGACAAGCCAGCATAGGACAGATCCACCCGAGGATACGTGGTCGACGGGCTGTTAGAAAATCCCCGTTTCAATCAGGACATTTCCTACTATAAGCTGCAATTTAAGTTCCTGGATTCCAAAACATTCATTCTGGGTTGATAAAGTCAACCCCTAATCACTATTCCGCATTGACGTCATACAAAAAAGATAATATAAAAAGACCTTGCGCGCTCTCTCGTCAACATGGGAAACATGATGAGTATGAGCAGTGGCCATGCGGGAGCAGGTGATGCCAGTGCCATGGGTATCTACGTCTCCCGCCTTTCAGATACCGAGATTAAGCGCTATACAGACGGATATCGTCGTATCTGCCGCGTAGAAGGTGGTGGTGGTTCTTCTTCTTCATCCAACGCGTCTTCATCTTCCTTGCACTGTACGACTGAAAGAAGCAACAATGCAACGGGATCTGGCAATAAAGCAACGGAAGTGACGAATAAGTCTTTATTAGGCAAGAAACTGTTCCGTACCAAGGTCCTAGGCGCCTTTACAATGATCCCACACTCACTGTCTGATCGACTGTTTGAAGTACTGGATACGGATCATTCGGGGAAGCTTAGTCCATTGAACGTACTGAGGGGTCTTGCTTGGCTCAAGCACGGCACGCACGAGGAGAAAGTGCAACTACTGTTTATTATCTATGACCTGGATGGGGCTGGTGAGATTTCGCGCGAGGTGCTGGACAGGTTTATGGACGTCATCTACGGCCGCAAGCGAGCGCGACATGACTCTACCGTCAAGTTTCTTGACAGAGTTTTTGATGGTCGATCTACCGTGGATTTTCGCGAGTTCCGGCAGATTGTACAAGAAAAAGACAAGCTTGGAGACGCGCTGCTAGTCAAGTGGCTGGCTGTGTTGGCTTCAAAAATTGGTATTGAAGCTGACCCACAGATTTTGGCACTCGAGAAAGCATACAATCCAGTCGTTATACGTCGGCGCATTGCACAGGCGACATTATTTTCGTTGACGGAAGTCACAGCATTGGAAAGACAGTTCCAGAAGATGTTTGATCCGAAAGGAGGAGCAAGTACTAGAATACCGAGATCTCAGTTTATTGAGGTACTGAGTGTCAAAGGACTTTTTCCAAAGGAGTTGCTCGAGAGGTTTTGTGCCTGTACAGCCATGCAGGATTTAGTGTTGTTTGAAGAGTTCTGCCAGTTTTTATCAGATTTTTGTCGAGGTGCCTCAAGCCACGAGAAGGTGCACCACCTTTTTCATATTTATAGTGATCGGAGCACAACGGTGAGGGTAGACTTTGGTGGTATGAAGGATCTCATTCATGTGGGAGTGAATTGCAATACGAGCTATATCAGCGTTGAGGCACAAGAAGAAGAAGAGCGACAAATTGAAGAGGTGACGGTAGTCGCCGGTGTTTTTGCAAGCTGTCGTGTGTACTAACATGTTGCATGGTGGGTCCGCAGATTTCAGCGACGCAGACTGCGGAGGCAGGATGGGACGAAGAAGCATTTGCTGAGTGGGCTGTTAAAGCAGTTGCTGTAAAGGAGCTCCTTCACCAGTTAGCGTTTGCAGCGTGTGTTTTGCTTGGTCTGAAGCCGGAGTCTGCCTATCTCGAAAAACGGATTGTGGAGTGGCACTGGAGGGAAGCTACCCGCAGCTTTAGCGTAGGACAAGTGGGTAATTTGTATTTGCATGTTGCATACTGTTATTGCTAGTTGACCCACGCAGATGCATACTTTCTGTTTCGTTTACGTAGACCTGGAATTTGTTGGAAGCTGAATGGTGGCGAAAATGGTGTGACTACGTTGGTTTGGATCCGCGAAACGGGAGCCCTTATGGATCACTACCCGCACCTCAGATTCCAGCAAATACAGTCGTGGAAGTGGCCAGAAACATCCGTGGCAATATTGCATTACGGGCCGGTAGCGAGGGTGGTGCGAACAGTAGTTGCCCGCCTCGACCTGGACCAATTACCAACTGGAGTCTTTTAATGCAAAGTGGATGCCGGCGGCTGAAGCAAAAGTTGGTGTTGGCGCGGGACTTTTACGTAAGTGCTTGTTAATTTGCTTATGGTACGTGCAGACAATTTTGACCCACTAGCTCTGTTCCTAGATGATTCCGTCGTCAGTTTATGCAGTGTTGCTTTTGTGGTACAGTGGAGGACCCGATCTGGTGCGTTCAATTATCGAGGTTCCTACAAGCACAGAACCTGAGCTTCAGATTGAATTGTTCCCGTTAGTATTACGTGTTGCCCGTGTGGATTCTGTCAACGGCAGTGTGATTCGGTCAGGAGAAGAGATTTTGTTGAGTGAATTGAGTACACCAGCCAGCTTGCTTGAGGCTACCTGCCGCGCGCTGCTTTTGGTAAAGCTAGTGGACAAAGCACGACTGTGGTACTTTAATGAGAAATCACCAGAACGCAAAATCCGTTTGCGCGAAGAGTATCCGCTTGAGTTGAAGAAACTAACACAAGACAGCGTGTTCTTGCTAGAGGTTCAAGACGACGATGGATCGTGGCCACTTTCTCAAACGGATGACACGATCGCTTCTTTGCCTTCCACTAATGGTGCACACCAACCAAAACAGGGAAATGGACGAACAAGTGAAAGCGACGCGGAGGCTGCATTGCGAAAGCGACAGCGTGAGCAACGCCCGTCGTTACGCACCTCTGACATTTGTTCTCGCGGCAATCTTGGGGAGGTTTTGGCGCAGCGTGGTACGTGCGATACCGAACTTTAGGGAGTGCTATATTTCTTACATGTTATGTTGATTGCAACTAATAGGGCCAGGAAATGCTAACGGCTCTCCAACAGCAGAAGTGGATCCCGTGCTTGCGTCGCCTGTTGTAAAAAAGCGTTTTTCTAAAGATTCGTTCAAAGGCCTGGGCTTGGTTGGTCTGGATAATCTTGGCAACACATGCTACATGAGCAGCGCGCTGCAGTGTTTGAGTCACACGCGACTGCTGGTTGAATATTTTAAGAATGAAGCGTACCTAAGAGATGTCAATTTGCGAAATCGAGATGGTACTAATGGAAAGCTAACCGCAGCATTTGGCGAATTGCTTCGAGTTCTTTGGAGTTCTGACCGCAAGCGTTTCACTCCGAATGAGTTCAAGAAAATACTTGCGAAGTGCAGCCCGCAGTTTGCGGGGTCCGACCAGCATGATTCACAAGAACTTCTTGCGTGTTTGTTGAGCAGTCTTAGCGAAGATCTCAATCGTGTGGGGAAGAAACCATACACTGAGCAGCCCGATAGTGATGGGCGGCCGGACGCTTTGGTAGCAGAAGAATGGTGGCAGAATCACCAGAAACGTGAGTTCTCCGTGATCGTTGCGCTATTTACTGGTCAGTATAAGAGCTTGTTGGAATGCTCAATATGCCGGTACGAATCGGCCCGATTCGAGCCGTTTACCTTCTTGCAGCTATCACTGCCCGAGAGCAATTCACGATCAATTGTGCTAACAATAATTTTTCGAACGGATCGCGTGCCATTGCGATTTTCTGTGCGAGTGCGAAATGACGACACAGTTCAACAGATAAAAGAGCAGGTTGCTGTATTTTTGACGAAAACAGATAACGTAAATTCGGGTTCAGATTTTTGTGAGGATGAAGGTAGCAGTATAAATGAGTCAAGCGGTGAAGGCAGTTGGAAAAGAGTGGTGATTGCGCGAATTTCAAATTTACATATTGTAGAATCGCTTTTGGATGATAAGCTACCATTGACACAACTTGACGAGAAGGACCAGCTAACCGCGTTTCAGCTTGACCGTGAGGAAGATTTGATTCCTCTGCAAATGGTCACAGAGTCCGCAACGTCTTCAATTATTTCGGTTGCCAATGTTATTAATCACGCAACAGATACCACCGGTACAGGTGACGAACATAAAACCAATGCGATTTTGGAAAGTCCAGCAAGAGAGGATACTGAACCTGCAAATGAAGCTTTCATAAATGGAGTTATTCCAGCCGGTGCTAACGGGAGTCACAACGCAACCAATGTCGGTCAATTCGTTGATGTAGTAGGCGCACACGATGACAGTGAACAGGATGATGAAGATGAAGCGTTGCCACTAGGAGCATCTGTCTCCGTTTGTATTGATAAAACTAAGGATGTGATGGCAGCGCGCGTAATTGGGAGTAGTGTCAGCTCGGGCACAGTTAATGTTGCGTATCCCTCAGGCGTCCGACGGTATCATGTTCCATTGTCGAAAGTGATTGAACGTTGTCAAAGTGACGCTTTCATTTTCCTTGTGCATCGCCGCGTGGAGCGGTCGACTGACAGCTTTACAAACGCGCATGTTACGCGACTTTTTGGGGTGCCACTAGTCATTCGCGTATCTCTCGGCGTTACAACGGTGTATAATCTTTATTTACTCGTGTGGAATCGATTGCGGCGGATATTTAACTGGCAACAGCCTCCACTCGCGTCTGATTTTGAAGGAGAAAAGCACAGTCGCAAGCGCCTTCGGTCGAATGCCTCGTCATTAGCTCTGGGAGCACATCTCCCCTTGACAAAGTTTGGATTTTGCTTGCGGCTTGTCACGTCACATGGAATCGGATGCTCTCGCTGTGAGTGGATCGATGGGTGTTTGGGATGCGTGCTTGTACCGTCTTCGCAGACGGTAATCCCGCTTGCGGCAGAGGAAACGGTGGCAATAGATTGGGATATTCGTACTCTCAAAGAAGCGTACGATCCAATCCAAGCAAGCAAAATGGATTTTGATGCGTCCGTGCAACAGCACCAGCGACAGGACAATCAACCTCTCAATCTAGCACATTGCATGGAGATGTTCACGGCTAAGGAAACCATCTCTGAGGCTTATTGTGGTCACTGCAAAACGTTGCGTCCCGCTACAAAAAAGATGGATCTATGGCGTCTTCCACCGTTGCTTGTAATTCATCTTAAGCGCTTTTGCTTCACCCAAGTGTCACGGCGCAAATTGCACCACCTCGTGGACTTTCCGCTAAGAGGTTTACAGTTTGGTGAGTATGTTGCCCGCAAGCGTGAGCCACGCGGTCGACTTGCAGGACTGGAATACTGGTTGTTTTTGGGTGGCAAGCTGCAGGCAGGACCAACAACTGAAAAATCCGAGTTTTCACATACTGGCGCCTTGAAGCAAGCAAGACCAGGAGGATTTCCATGCCGGATGTCGTCATCAGCATTGAATGCTCCTGCCGCGGCAACTGCTGCAGTCCGCGGTGACGATGGATTTCTCTATGACTTGTATGCTGTTGTCAATCACGTAGGTGCTCTAGGAGGGGGACACTATTTCGCGTACGTGTTAAGCGATCATGATGGGAAGTGGAAATGCTTTAACGATCATCAGTGCAAAGACATCGACGATAAAGAGGTTGTGTCTTCAATGGCGTATATATTGTTTTATCGCCGACGGGATACCAGTCACATGTCGATTGAACAGCTTTTTCCACCTCTATCAGCAAATGCAAGTGGTGATAGAGCGATGACCGACAGGGAATCTGCAAACGAAAAGGCACATGTAAAGGAGCTGCTACAGCAATCGAAGCTGGCTGCTTCAGGTAACGCGAGTAACTGCATTATTAGCTGAGACAACCTGATGAAATATTGGCGAACGGCTCGTGTTGTATCAATAAAAAAGGCTATTCAATGATGTTGGTGTGGTTCTATGCAATATATCGGTTGGCTTGGGAGTCGATTTCATGTTACAAATCATACAGCCGCCTATGCATCGGCACGCGTAACACCTCGTCGCGTACTTGTCAAGATGCAAAAAAGACGCTTTTGCCGTATTCTGTCAATCACGGACCGACATTTTTCTTACAGCCTCTGACCCGACAATCTCTGACACTTGGTCTCGTCCCAATCTCGTTAAAGTCTTTCAACATTGTCACACATGTGGATCATGGCTTACTATCCTTTTTCGCCATGGAGTATCTCTCTCCTTCGGACAATCCAAACAACCGCGATAGTATACCATCTGAGGTATTGCAACAAGCTCATGACACGAATGCTGCGCCAGATACTCAAGGTGATAGCGCTTGGGTATCAAGGGGGGAAGAAAGTGATAATACTGGAACCGAAAGCGGCCAGCGCTCCCGTAAGAAACAAAGGATCGAGACAAATGAATATGGAGCGATAATTGATACATTACGGCAGGAAATTGCCGAAGTGAAAGAAAGGTTGAGTTCGACGAGCAATCATTCCAAAAATGCAGCTTACGAGCTGGGAAAAAAATGCATTGAGGCGAAACAAATTGCATCTACGTTGAAGAGAAAATTGGCGGAACATTCGCATTGGTTACAGCGAGTTAGTAGTTTGATGGAAACAGCACCACTTCTTGACTATGCATTAGGCACGAGTGGTGAACAATCGGAGCAGGCGCAGAAAGATTATAATTCGCAACAAAGTCTCGAGGTCCTCGGCAAGTGGATAAAAGATTCCAAGAATAAGCCACAGCCTCGCTTCCTCTTAGATGAACGTTTGCATGCTGCACTTATCGTTGCCCAAGACAATGCATCGCGACTTTTGCGTGATGCAGCCAGAAATTTGCAATCCTTTCAGTTATCATTGGAATTTGAGTCACACGGATGGAAAATTGCAACGGGAGTTCTCATGACCGACAACATAAGCTTTAGTTGCCATCGCGTGCTTTCTACGGGCGTAAATAACAAGACAAAAGATGTTGCTATGGCATTCTGGAACTTTATTGAGCACGATGAAATCTTCCGAACATTTGTGCCGATTGTGCAAGACTCGATCATCACCCATCAGGAGACAGATTGCTCGCTATCATGTCGAGTATTACAATTTTCACCCGAGATGAATCAGCAAGCAGTAGCAACTGTCGAGTCCATCAGCTCGACCTGCGACAAAGACGGACAAGAGAACTCATGGCAGATTTCCATGGAAGCAGTGCATGATCACTATCTATGCACTTTCGTAGCAGACGCAGTCGATGATTTGGTTATACCGAAGACCGCCCCATCTGTCAAACTTGATCTCGGACTTCAAATGAGCAAACTTAACATGCATAACAAGTTTATCATGGGTGTACGGGTAACTACAACAGAAGAGGGTGTTGACATCTTGGTAGTCGGTGCGGCGCGGTTTGACCTTCCATGCTATCGAGACCCGGCATTTGACTTGCTGCAGCACTTCGTATCACATCTGCCTGTGTACGAGGATCTTCATTTAACACCGCTCAACAGTAATCAAGCATCTGACGTACTGCCGTAAGTCAATTCACGACGCATGTTGTTTTTGACCATTGACCCCAATTTTGCTTTCTAGCGTGTTCGCACACAACATGATTGTATACCCACATCTAATACGACTCCGATCTCGATTTGCCTTTTCGAACTCTCAGCTCAGTTGCGTCTTCGGAGGCCTCTTCTTCATCTTCCAAAAATACGGCGGGGGGCACTAGATGTTGTTGAAGAGAGAAGAGGTGCAACCATTGTCTCCATCAATTCGGCCAATCTTTGTGACAGCCATGCCAAAAGAACATGCATAATGTCATGATGCAACATACTTAAGTCAACGAGCTCTTTGGCAGTGATCTCAAAAAGCGTGCACCGGCCGACCGCTAAACATTCACCCTGTGTAGTTGCGTTGGTCACGAATGCCTAGACGAACAACAGCGAGCAACGAAGAGTTAATGTGACATCGATCTTACATGTATCGGCAAGTACACAGGTTACCTCTTCTCCAAAACAGTCGCCATCATGGAGCTTGATTGAAATTGATGCCGAGACTGCATTTGGGTCGCTTTGGAAGTTCATGATCTCCATTGTACCATTAATGATAACGTATACACAATCCACCTTTGTGCCGCTGGAATAGAGCACGTCGCCGTGACTGAATACCAGAACTCGAGATATCTGGGCGACTAGCGATACCTTATCGCCGTCGAGGTTTCTCATCAAGTGAGATGATTTCAAGTGAATCGATTTCTCGAGTGTTGTATATTCGACAGGATCTGAAAAAGCGTGCAGTCCTCTGAATGCTAGCGTACCGGAGCTCAAACTCCGTTCCATCGATTGTGAATTGCTGAAGCTATGGCGTCTGCCTCTCCTCTCTCTTGCTAACGCTAACGGTGTCACACGACGAGATCGACCCACGTTGTATAGAAATGATTTTGCCGCCCGATCGACTGAAAGTGCCGCCTTCATGTTGGCCGAAAGAAACTCGGTTATTTTGAGCACCGGGTCGACTTTGCTGTTTGAATGCGCGTCCTCCGCGGTCGATGGAACTATCTGATTGGGTTGAGGAATACTTCCTGATTCAGCAATAGCGCGAAGTGGCTTGAAGAAAAGCAAAACAACATCAGTCATGACAATGATCGACAATCAATTTCGAAACATAGCCCGTACCTCGAAGTATAGCAGTTGAAAAGAAGATGCCACGGCATTCAGTACACCTCGGGACACTTGCGGTGTTACCTTTATCAAGGCGTCAAGATCTTCACGGGATATACTGAGTAGAATGCAGTCTTTCAGCGCAGTTGCAGAGGAGACGTGGGTTCCAGCATACAGAGAATATTGCAATAGAGCAGCTTGCCCAACACATGCGCCGAATCCCAATTCTGCTAAGATCCTTCGCTTCTTGTGAAGTTGAACAGTACCCGTGGCAATGACATACATAGCTGAAGCTGCATTATTGAGAAACAAAAATGTCAACCATGTCTGAGGAAGGTTATACAAGAAGGTCCCCTTACCAATATCATCTTCAGTCGCAAATGTTTGTCCGGATTTCACAGTAATTGGGACAAAATGGTGCGAAATTACCCGCAAAATATTCGTCGCGCATACGTTCTCAAACAGCGACGACACGCAAAGGCAGTTTGCAATCTGCAATTTAGGCTATTGTCAGCAGGGACAAGTTATTCTCATCATTACAGGGCTCTGCGTACCGCAATTCGAGAAAGCAGTGGGGGCTTGCAATCTTTCAGAACGGTGACAGACTCATCCGGAAGAACTTCGGGACGGCTGGCAAGGTCAAGCAAACAAAGTTAGTACCACAGCACTCGGCTTACAGAATGATGCTTGAAACGCAAGCAAGAATACCAATGACACGTTTCAATCAACAGTTCCTTAGTTAGCTCGTAGTTGAGCAAACTCGGTATGATTTCATCCTCAAACACCATTCTTGCTGCATTGCTGAGGTGTTCAGCATGATCCGCAGCAATATGAAGAAAATAATGAAGAGCAAGAGCTGATAGCTCCAGTTCCGTTTCCGGGTGCTTCATGACATCCAGTAATATGTCGACTCCATCTTTTCCACCGAAGAACTTGACAGCGTCTTGCGACATCTGATACAAACAAACACCAGTCAGTGCTATTGAATCGGACGTGAAGCGAACATCCATGAACAACCTTTGACGCTGCTTTTGTTGTAGATAATTTCGGAAATAGCAGTGGTAACACCAATGCTTTGTAGGGCGAAGGAAGCAAGCTTTCCAGCACCTCCTACAAACTAATGCATTAAACATGTGCAAGACCAATGGAACTCAACTCAACTCGCAAACCCACAACAATACCTGAATCGCGGAGTGCACTTCATTCAGGTCAGATTGCAAGCCTTCAAGAATCACAGCAACATCAAATTCCTCTGGGAATCCTGTCGAAAGCAATTTGAGTAACAGCCGAAGCGTGCCCTTCAGACTATATTCCACATGCTGTAGTAGCAAAGGAAACGTTTCCTCAATGTTTGTTACTGTGCGTGGGCAAATCTGGAAAAAGAGTTCGAGAACATGACGCATTTCGTGTGCCTCGCGAAGCTTGACACTGAGCGCATGGTGAATAGGATCCATCAACTGCAAAAAAGCATTCATCGTCTTTTCGTCTATCGATCCAACCTATACATTTCAAACGTGTTTACTTCATAATCATTACCCGCTACACTATGGGTACAGCAGGGGGTTGCTTACCAACAATAGCAGTGCGTCCACAACCAGCTCTTCTAGAATCACATCTTTTCCAAATAAATGATGCAAAACGTCCGCGTTCTGAGCTTTCTCTTCCGGTGATTTTGATGGCACAAAAAGTGTTTCAACCAAATGCAACAGGAAATCGAGTTTGTCTTCAAACGGAAAATCACCAACGTCGAGCACTTCGAGTGCACCTGTCAGTCCATCTCTTTTGCTATGGATCCGACCTGAAGCTGACCCATAATTGCCTACGGTTTGAGTGCATTGTTGGAGAATCTCTTCCGTATATTGGCAAAGCGGTCTCCAGAGCGCAGCTGGCTCAAACTTGTTTAACGCTGCTACAATTTGAGAGCGTATTACTGAATTTGAAAGGTGCTTTATCAGTGCCGGAACAAGAATTCTGGAGTTACGAGCGCTATTTGAACAACACTCCACGGCTGCCTGGACAATTTGAGTCGATGAGTGATGAAGTAAGTACACTAGAAAGCCATCACCCAGCAGCTCTGGCAGCTCTTTTCCGACAATTTTTAAGCCAATCACGCGAGCCTCCAGAACCTAATAACACGACATCATCGTCAATTATCAGGACGCAACGTCATCCATCGGTCATACTGAGACCCACCTTTTCTTCGTGAAGCAGTCGCTGAAGGATAATATTCGCTTTTTCATCCATCCAGTCCGATAGACGCAGCAAAGCCACCGCGGAGCATACGACGACATATTTGTCCTCGTTGCCACTACGTAGAAGCTTATGAAGCATGTCTGCACACTGACCCACGTTCATGTCGAGTTTTTCATAGCCGCATGCCAAAATTGCCGCAAGACGTAGTTGGCGTGGCACTGCAACAGATTTGTCCTTTACGAGCATCATGAGGTCCATCGTATCAAAAATCCCAGGAGGAAATGTGCTTGCGTCTGGAAGCAAATACGACTCTTGTGCATGGAGCACAAACTCGCGCTTTGCTGCTGTATGAAGGTTCAATATACGCAGTTTAGTGTGCATCGGCGTGAGAGGTACACCATCTCGATTGTTTTTGTAAAATAACGCTCGAAGTTCCTACGTGTGAAAGAATGCACATCAGCAAAAAATGTGTAGCAAAAGCCTCGTTGCGACTTACCTGAGAAAAAAAGCCAATATGCACGTGGGACAACGAACTCAAAACAAAGTTGGCTTGATTTTGTTCTCCGTTCACCAATGTCTCCTTCACTAACTGAATCTACGTCCATACCAAGAGCACAACAATTCAGTACAGCATAAATAAAAATTAGCTTTTAGGTTGTACCTGGTCCGGTGTAAAGTCAACAAGAGGCGAAGTCAAGTTTAAATATCCCTGTCGTAATGAAGCGTAGAACTCGGACGCATACGATTTCCTGGCAGCCAGTGCATCAATGAACCACGCGGTGGACGCTGCAATCATTATCATACTAACAAGCACAAAAGCGGTGAATTTGCCTTGCTCGCACATGAGTAATGCTACGATCTCACCTTGACGAGGACGATCCTATGAACTGGGATACTAAAGGCGCTGTGAGAAAGATTGAAAGCATTGCTCCAAAAATCCGAGACACCGAGCGGAATGGGCCAGATACAAAGTTCTGAAACCGGCTCCGCTCATTTTCGTTGTACGGTAGCCACAATAATTGTCTAGCTGGATTAAAAATTGCCTGTGAGACTGCATTATAAAGTGCTCGTGTGAAAATCAACGTGTAGACAGACTGTTCACACGAACGTGACACAAAAAAATGAGTATTCTCGTTTCAATCTGTCATAAAAAAAGCTGCATCACACACACATATTTCTCTTTCAGCACTTACAGTCGAAAAGTAAGTCGACGCTCCAAACAAAAAGATCGTCACGGGAAGCATTGCAATGCCATACATGACGCCAAAGTGTGTGAAAAAAGACCCTGATAATAATTGCATTGGAATCATGAGAAAACTCTGGAGTCCATTGATCATTGCCAATGACGCTTGTACTTCTTCTTCTTCGGGTTGTAGGGACACTACAGATAGCGTCGTATTATCAACCAGTACACGCATGACCGTAGCCAACATGTCAAAGAAGCAAATATGTTGTAAATACGTCCTGGTCTGAATATCTCGGACAATAGCTGTGATCGAGAACGAATCCGTCGCATTTGATTCCATCTTGCTCTGTTGTCTCTTGATTCCTGCACTGACGTTTTGATCTAGAGTCGTCCGTATGAAAAACTCTGTTGAAATCAATAGAATGCCACCCATGAAGAACAAAATTCCACTTGAGATCAGTAGATTAAACTCCGTAGACAATTCTTGAGCTTGAAGAATAGGCAGGACCAGGAAACTTGCTAGTAGACTGCCACATGTTGAGCCAAACGTGATGAGCCCAAAATACTTTTTAGATTGGGCGACATCAAACGCCTTGGCACATAAATCCCAAAATTGTTGCGTTAGCCATTGGGTTGAGATTTCAAGCCATAGATAGAGTAGGACACATGTCACAGGAGATAAGAAGGGACCTGTAAGGGATAAAAGGGTTAGGATCAATAGGACAGAACCTAGGACGAAGGGACTTAGTGCGTAGACGACGTTCAGACCAACACGACGGGCGATTAATTTGTCCACGAAATGCGTTGCAATTGTCAGACCGTAGGCCGTAGTCAGAGACAGTGTTAGCGTAAGCATAGCCACGCTAGAGGCTGCGTAGGATCTTAGAAAGATAGCATCTCGTGAGATAGTCCCTAGGACGCCGGCACAGCACTGTAGTGTCCAGAGTGCACAGAAGAAAGTCACACGTTGTAGGATATCTAGGTCCATGCGAGCGAACGAACGAACGAACGAACGTCTCTAATAATCGTGATTGATTACGTATAGGTGGACTTTGCAAAACGTCGTGGGTGGCGTTATAATTTGTTAAATGACGTACTGTTTTGCTTTTTATATCATTCTGCTTTTTCTGAAAGATAATTTATTATTCTCATTAGTCATACAATATGAAGTTATTCCAACCCCATTTGTTTGTGTTTTGTGATATTTACAATAAAGATACAAATTTTGTCTTTTCATACTGTTACAGGATTGACAAAATAACCTCACGATGATGAGCAAGCATCAATTTCAATGAGAATAAACAATGGATTACTAAACGTCGTCTGCACGTGCTCTCTATTTCGTCCGTCAGTCCTTCATATCTACTTAATTATCTCATTACATCATCATCAACATCCTTAAGACACTTGCTGTAATCTCTTCATATGAATCTGCTGCTACTACTTCATTTGGTTCACCAGAGTTTTGTATGCTACTTGAATCTTCTGACGGTCTCCTGTGGCAACCTGTTCGGTGTATCGTGCTGCTACTTCAGTCGGACAACCTAGTGACGGTAGATATACATCACGCAAATAGCTCAGATACTCGACACCCAGAGACGCTACAAGCACTGCCTGCATGTTGACAATCTCCTTAACAGCCAGCATTGTCTGCATATCGTCCATATCAAAGTGACGTAGCTTCATTACAGCAAACATAGCACGAGTAAAGTCCTGCACAGCAATCTGCGTAAACCAATTCGTGCCCTCCACGGATAGCTCGGCCTGCAACTCAGTTCGCAAAGCCACAGATGCTGCCGACGTGGCTGCGGTCGCTGTACCAGATACCTGACTTGCCGGAGAAGAAGGGACCCCGCCGATCCATCGCTCAACCAGCATACTGCCAATTGAAAAACACGCACGATTAATATTTGCATCTTGAACTTCTGCACAACCCTCTAGCACGAGACAGAGCATGATCTCCAGCTGCCCGACGTTCTGTGCGCTGATCAGCACGGCGTCTAAGCCATGCGTAACCAGGTGCAGCAAGAATGTGTATAAATGTTTCTGTGTGGCTTCCCGTTCAAGCTGCGGCGCGTCCTTGGTCTCATCGTGGGCAAGAGCGCTACGTTCCGGCATCAACGCGCACAGGTGCTGCACAAATGGAAGTGTCGTCTTGTTCAGGAATACCCCGAGAGCTTGTTTGTACTTGATAATAAGTTGGTCAACAAGCTGCACGATCTCGACAACTTCAGGTTGTTCGCAGCCGATCATAAGCGTCTGTAGAGTCTCCTGCACGTTGCCTAAGAAATGTTCACGGTCCAGCACGGTAGTCAAGCGGTGCAGCGTGAAAACCACCTTGGACCGCACACGTGGAGCACGGGGAAGCGCACGCAGCACGCACGCTGAACCTGTGAGCACCTGTGTGAACGTTTCCTGTTGATTCTCCATGCAATCTGTGCCCTTAAACGCCTTAAGCACATGAGCGATAGCATTAAGATGAGAAGCAAAAGTCTCAGTAACGTACTCTTCATCAGCCAGTGTACCCTTTGCCAGCTCATTTAGTGTCGTATTCAATCCCTGTAGCAGTGGATCCAGAACGGCAATAGTGTACCGGTATCGAAGCTGCTTTGCATTCATACCCGTCTCCCTTGCAGGGGACACTAGTGAAGCGATGATTTGGCCCGCGAGTTCAAATAGGTACAACTGGTCATCGGAAGCTAAATGGAGTGGATTGTGCTGACGAGCAAGCTCTTCTCGTTCGCCATCAAGCGCGAGGCGCGACTGCAGCGCCATCAGGATGTTGGATGCATGAGGATTGACTGCGGTACCAATAATCTTCACAAGGCGCAGGCAGAGGTAACACACGCGAGAACGTACACGAGTTGCTGGATGAGCAAGTCCGTTTACGCCAAACATCATCTCCAGTACTGCTGAAACAAGCGCTGATTCATGCTGCAGCACTGTGCCATACCGCACAGCAAGGTCGTAGTACGTAAGTAATGTGGACGGGTGCAGCGGTGCGGCACTACTGGACGCTGAAAGCATACTGCTGTGAATCTGCATTACCATGAGCGTTAGCGGGCTTGTCGGCTCGTAAAATGGAACAGCCACGGCCTTCAGTGGCGCAAGTCCTTCCTTGAATTGGTATACAAGCGACAAAAAGCCCTCCAAGTCACGCGGGTCGATCTCCGTGAATTGCACTGGCAGACTCTGAGCCAGGTTCGTGAGAAAGGCGAGCGTGTCATGCGGCCGCTGGCGCACAATATTGAGAAAAATGGTGTACAGACTGCGTCGGTATTCTTCAAACTCTGCAGCATCCGAGTTAGACTCTTCAGGAAACCGAGTTTGGCGATAAATGCCGTGCAAAATCTGCGGGATGTACTCCGAGGGTCGAAATACTTCCACCTCGCTCTGAAACTTGTCTGCCATCTGCGTCTCTGTTCGAAGCAACGGACCTCCTATCGCATTCACAATCTCAAATACTTCTTCCGACACATCCTTTGACTCATGCGCAAAAAGTTCCCATACGAGTGGCATGAGTTGACAAAGCAGAGCAGCGCTGGCCTGTAGCAAATCGGCCCTGTTTGTGTGGCGGAAGGTATCCATACAAGTCACAAGCTCTAAGCCAACAGCATTAATCACTTCTCCAATTTCTTCGGCAAACTCATCATCCTCGCGAATGGGTAGTGCCGCCAGCGTCTCAAGGATCTGTAGTTGCTGCAGCATAGCCAGTTTCTTCTCCGGCGTCATACCCTTGTCAATGACCTCAAATACACAGTTGGCGGCTTGGCAGCGAAGCGTCTCACTCTCACGCAACAGCTTGACCAATAACGGCCAGATCGTGTCATTTACGACAAGTCCGATATCTACCCAGCTGATGTATCGTTTGAGCGTCTCGAGAGCACTAGCACCTAACTGACGCATGACATCACTGGCGTCAGCATTCACCAACACACGTGCAATGGCGTCAAAATTTTCTCGCATGCAAGATCCTTCGCGCATGGCATCCTTGATTTTCATATTGTGTGCAGCTTCCTGCTGTGTCCTCTGTGCGTCAAACTCGACGATCTCCTCATTGATTGCCAACAAAATACGAAAGTACATCTCCACAATTGACGCGCCTTGCGGGAGTAGTTCAAGAAGATCTACAAATGCTGTCGGCCACCGATCTGGGTAATCTCTTTGGATCAGTCGAGTGATCACAACTGCTAGCTTGGTCTTGAGATAGGGCGCCTTGCTCTCCACGTAAGCCACGTGACTTTGCAGCCAGACCAACAGCTCCGTCCGCACAGCTACAGCCACAGCATCATCAAACCCATTGTTTAGTGCTTCAAGCAACGCCTGAAGCGCGTAGAACTTGACCTGCTCGTGCTCCGAGTGCTCGAAAAGCTGCAGCTCAGCCCGCCAGCCATCCGCTTGGTTCTTGACAGCAGTACAGAAGCTTTCAGCCTGTGACTTGATCGTCTGTGCTTGCTGATCATTAACACTTGCTATAGCGTACTGAAATGCGACGAGAACGGCGCGTTCGAACTCGGCGATATCGACCATGATCGAAACAGATAGAAAGAAAGAGACGTTTAGTATCAGAGATGACGGCGTTAGACAATGTTTAAGGGTGCGTTACAAAGAGAATACAGAGAGGAATATGATGAATACAAGTGTTTGCACAGAGCTTACGTAATAAGGTCAGTATCAGTCGAGAGAGACAAGTAAGTTGTTTAATTCAAGTGCTCGCCACTAATGCCAATATGTAATTTTTGTGTACACCACTTAAAACATAAGAATGAACTTTTTTGCTTTTTATTTTGATCAGTGTAGTAACCACAAAATTTGTCAAATTGTGATTTTTGTCGTCATATGACAAACTAATCGAATATTTACAATACTGTACCGCATTCATTCTCATAATCTACTTTGACAAAAAACTCATTTTATTGTCATTTTTTTGAAATTATCAAACAATAATCATGTACCGTAATAGTAGAAACCAGTGAAAGTCTTCTTTGCCATAACGTCAGCTTCTCTAGCCAACAATAGTATAGTCTCGGAGGAATGGAATGGGATTCTTTGGACGGTTTTGGACTCCTTTGCAAATGGCAATATGTTGTTGCGCACCCGAGGGTGCAAACTTTCGACGACAACATGGACAAAGCACAAGCGTCGCTTGGTGTGCCTTGTAGCTTTGCTGCAGTGTATGGTCCTTGAGCTTGTGCACATTGGATGCCATGGATCCCGCAGATTTTGATGGTGTTCCGACTCGGGTGTTTCTTGGCTTGGAAACAGAGGCCTGGCTTGATGAACTTCTGCGCCCCCAAGAGCCGTCGTGGCCGAACACCCGTGGGCAAACAGCCTCGTGCTTGGTAAGTCGACCTTCAGCAAAGCTTCGGCCGCAATACCGACAAATCTCCATGTGCTGCACCACTGGTTCTGCTACAAAAGCGCTGTTTATGGACTGCAAATTGTTTCGGTCGGTGTCAATATTTTTCGTCCTTTTGACAGCCTCATTGTCCGGAGCTTGGCAAACAGAAGATGAGTCAACTTCTTGGCTTGCAGATCGGTCTGATGGATCCTGCGACCGACCATGACTTGTATCAAATTTGTGGTTGCGAGTGCCAGATTGTTTCAGTGACGTGTCCTCGGTAGAGCTGAGCTTTCTTGAACAGGAGAAGCGACGTTCAGGACGAAGCAAAATCAAACTATCTTGCATCGATGTAACACCTGGTCTTCCGTGAGGCGTGGGATCTAAAAATGACGTAGCGTAGTGCACCGCACGCAGTGTGGCATCCTCAGACATCAAACCAAGAGCATGTTCGAAATTCAAGTACAGCGGAGACAATCGCTGCTTGTGAAAAGTCGCCGTCGCACATTCTCGAAAGTGAGCAGCTAATTGATCAGACGATTGCTGCTTGCCACAAAAACAGCAAAACAAAGTCGTCTGGCACTCCATAGTCGAAACAACAGATACCGACGCAGAAGGATGATATGCTAAATTCTGTCGCAATAGTTTTGACTCCTTTTCAGCAGTTACAGCCACTGGTTGTGTCGAGCTCGCATTGAAATGATTTGGCCTACAGGAACAACGACAACGTTAGCATTTTTATCTGCCTTCGATATTTTACCACACAACAGCATACTTCTTCCATGATGACTCGCGTGTACGTCGGTTGTAGTAGTACACTCGACCTTTTGCTGTATAGGCTTCCTGCCATTCATCTTCCTGACCCTGCTCCTCAACTTCCTCCCTTCTATTCTTATACTTAATATCATTAGTTTCCTTGTATTGTGCTTGCTCTTCTCGCTTTTTTTCCATTACCCTCTTGATTTCTGTCTTCGTCCTCTTCCTGCATCTCTCCTTCCTCTGAACCCATTTCTCCTTTCAACGTTTTCCAATGAGATGTAAATTGTCCATCTCTGTTTCCCAGCATCCACTTATCCTCCATCATCTCATTAACAAAATCAATGTAATCTCTTTTTGTGTGTCTTGTCTTCCACTGCTCGACCTCCTGTTCTCCCTCACTCTCTCCGTCTCCATGGTCTCCATGGTCTCCACAGTCCTCCAGAAGTCGCAGAGCCTCGCGTACACTGGCCTCCAAATCCGCATCATCCTCTTCCATCATATTGTCAGAGCTAACGTGTATATTTCGACGTCTAGCGAGTATAGACGGCGACGTAATCATCCACCTGTCGTCCTCCTCCTCTTCACTCTTGTGTAAAGTCGCAGAGGACCAACTACGCTGTTCCAGCTCTTCATCTTCGGTATGTTCCTCTTCATCCATATGATTCACCTGTTTCATCGAGTGCGACATTGCTACAGGCTCTAGATCATGCGATATAGAAGCAGACAGCGACTTAGTGTCAAAGTCTTGCCCTTCCGCCATTTTCAACTTAAGTTACGTGAATTTGACAAAAGTCAGGTAATTATTGACATAGAGTCATTATTATAGCTTAGAAAAGGAAAATATATACAATAAATTCTTCATTTTTACGACATTTTCAGCCATTATACGGCAAAATTTGGTGTGATTCTAACCATAATTTTGTCGAGTGAATTTTATTGATACAATCTAAGACGAGAGGATGAAGACAAAGACGACCTTCTTGTCAACGACCGTGGCGCCTTCTACATGCGATGAGAGAGCTCTTGACATTAGAGACAACGACCTTCTTCTATTGTCTAGCCATTCTGCCACTTCTCGCTCTTCCAAAGCTTTTCATTGTGCTACAATCGACGTTACTGCGCATCGCTTTCCATTCTGCCTCGTATGGTCTCCCATTCCCATTTTAACGTGGTTTCTGCCGTTTATTGGACATTTAGGCATTGCAGATAGTAAAGGGTAAGCTTGTAGACATTGAATGGGTTTGTATTTGCTAGAAATACGATCTAAAATGAACAATTTGTTATGTTTATAGGGTCATCTTTGACTTTGCCGGGCCCTACACTATTGGTCGCAATGCTTTCGCGTTTGGAGCTCCTACCCGGTATTTACAGTGCCAAGTAGAAGCTGAAGATGTATTCAAGTGGGACAAAGCAGTGGCAGCAGGCTGTGAGATCTACGAGAAGAGGATGCACAATTTGTGCTGTGACAACTGCCACTCTCATGTGGCCGTGTGTTTAGAGCACGCACACTATGGAGGGCGTAAGAAGTGGAACATGGTGCAGCTCTGCTTGTGGATGTTTCTACGAGGGAAATATGTGAGCACAACAGGATTTATCAAAACCTGGTTGCCGTTTGTGTTTGTGCTGGCTATGGTGGCAATCATGCGATCCTCGGTGTGAGAAAATGTAATGAACATGTTGGTGATATTTCATTCCTAGAGAAGGTGTATAAAAAGCATATGATTGACAGGCATTGACTAGTGTTGACGATTGAAAGGTCTGGCAATTCCATTCCCACGGTCTTTCAGAATCTTCGTGAAGAAATGCAAGATCACTTTAGTTTTCATCCACTGTCCGAAATGCTTGGATATGCGCTATCTCGATATCAAGCCCAAGTTGAAATAAATAACGCGCATAATCATCGCCGGCTGTCTTTGTTTCCAGCTTCTTTGCTTTTGGCGGAGACCAACGTTATGACGGAAGCTGAGAATGAAGAGGACGAAAATGATGGAATTGACTTCAGACGTCTGAGAGCAGAGCTAGACCGTTTACTAGACGAAGACCTTAATGAATCCGACAACGGTGAGATTGATGAGCCTCAAGACGATGACACAATCGATGTGTATTATCCAATCTACCGCCCGAGTAGCAAGATCAAAATCTTTAGAGCTGACAGGATGAGCCGTTCGCTGTAACTGCATCTTACCACCACGAGCCATCACCTTTGTGCGGCTGCTTGCACTGTGCTTTGGTTACGAGTATTTAACCGTTCCATAACACAAAACAATTCCAATCCTTTGCTTACACTTCATTGTTCAGTCTGTTTAGTCTGACGCAGTTGTCACCAAGTCCAAACCTTTACATCATGATCTCAGTCATCTTTTGTCTGCACAAGAAGAAGTAAAGAAAAATGCTTTACAAGCCATCAATTCACTTACAGACATTGAAGCTTCATCGTAAACCGTCACCTTAGCTTCAGGTGAAGGTATACAAATGAGCTATAAGGTCTGTGACCAGCCGTACACTTCTGTGGCTATGGAGCTAAAAGGTTGAATCATTACTAGCATCAACATTACATTTGCCACAGGTTGTCATTGTCAGTTGATCATGTTTGCTATGGCGACGTTGTTACAATAACGTTGTTGTGTTCTAGATTGCCAAACTTCTTTGTGCTTCATGAAGCACTCAGACCTATACTTCGCATCTACATCCACACCTCTTCAACCACATCTAGATTTGGAATCTGCTGACGGAATGGATTTAAAAACCACTTTTTGATGTGGAATCGATACATGGCACGAGAATGTCTTGCAAACGTCCTAATGGACCTTCATAGCCCAAGTTGCCGCGTGCCTGCCGTCAGACTTGACAGCAATATCGTATGGTAATGATGTCAGCGTGTGATCATTCAATAGAATATCTAGTCTACTCAACTTTAAGCGTTTCATGTTTCGCTACTGCTGGCGCATGTCTGTGCTCCACCGTCTTAAAAACTCTCTCTCCTGTGTCTGTGGTACAATTACCAACTCCTCTTCGTCTTCATCATCCGTAAGCACCAGCTCATCGACGAGTTCCTTCAAATATGAATGGTTATCCTTTAAATCAGCAACGTCCCAGTAGCCTCGTCGCGCCAAATACTCAACAAATCCTATCCTGCATGCGCAATCGTTCTTGCAATTGAATGCTAGCCACTTGGCCACGTCTTCGTGTCCTGCATTAATAGCATTCACCACTGCCGACTGAGAACACCCTTCCTCTCGATGTGCGTACAACCACTGGATCACGTTCAAGTGTCCTTGCGTTGCAGCATTGTCGATAGCATAATGGGTAGCTCCTTCCTTCCGATTAAAATGCAGCCACTGTACCACCTCCAAATGACCTTGTTGCGCTGCAAAGTCAATGGCGTTGCTAGTGCATCCCTCTGTCCTGTTCTCGTGCAGCCACTGGACAATCCCCAAATGGCCGTTACAAGCTGCCATGTCCATAGCGTCCGTCGTGCAGCCCTCGGAACGATTCATATGCAGCCATTTCACCACCTCCAAGTGACCGAATTCGGCAGCCGAGTCCATAGCCTCTTGACAGCAGCACTGAAATTTCCTCGGGTTGCGGAGACTTATCCGTTGCACGAGGTGCAGGTGACCAAATATTACAGCGCGCGTTAGCGTCCACTTAGGAGAAAAGTCCAGGAATGCGTTCATGTGCTCCAGTACGAGGTCATTGGAAGCATCAAAGCGGTTACATACGGCTAAGACCGCGGGCGAGATGACAATATCCGTCATAAATCAAGTAGGTGATGTGAGTGATTGCTCTACAAATAAAATGAACAGAACATTTCCAACCCAAAGGGTTGTTACACTGTTCTAATGGTGCTTAGGCCCTCCAAAAGTCTCATAGTTAGTTACTTACAGCTGCGACGAATTCCCATGGCTTCGACAAAACCTGCAGTTAGTTTTCTGTCCTTCCAGCTGTTTTGGTGACGAATATTTTGAAAGGGTGGTATGGATAAAATGGTCGTTTTGTTTCTGAATTTACATACCCTGTTAGATACGGAGCTGTACAATCGACAAACTGCATACATAGTTACCAGCATGTCACCTGTTTAAGTTATTATTTAATGATTTAGCAGTCTATTTTGCAGCTGGTAATCAGCTTCACATAATCTTTAATGGCAAAGAGAGACTTTAGTTCAAGTCATGACGACGGATGTGGCTCGGATGGGCGTGGCGGTTCATGCGTTCATTGGTCGGGAAGACAGCAAGACCACACTGCGCTTCCACGCTCGAAACATTCGGAGCAGACAGTGTGCAATCTCTTGAACGACTGAAGGAAGTTCTTTGGAAGTTAAGTCAACGTGAACGTTTTGATATCCTTTTGGAACAATATGTTTACGAAGGAGGTTCATTCGTCGAGTGTAGCATGGATGAAGAATAATGGTCCATTATAAACCACTCGTTTGTCGAAGGAAAGAGGCGGGAATGCAATAGGTGGTCAGATGGTCGACAAAGGACCTCTCCATGTGTGATTTAGCACTGCTTTTTACCAGCACCGTGATCGATCGACTTCTTTCTCCCTCGTCGTTTGCTCGCAATGGCCCAAGAATGGTGCACGGTTTCGTCTCATTTTTAGCATCTGAATTGATGTCCGGACATCTGGTCTAGTAGAAGCAAACGCCCTTGTTCAGCTTCTCAATGCACTCGATCGAGTCCATGCTCATGAACAATAGTAGGGTTTACATGTTTGTCCGTCTCCACGAAGGCGCTATGATTAGGTCCGTCTCACGTTGAGGTTGTGCCAAGCTGGTGTCGCACTTCAGCCTTTTTTGCGCTTTCATGCTGGCTTTTCTTGCTGTGCCACTGGCATCATAGAGGTGGGGTAGTAATCTTTCGAAAAGATGATAGTGAAGAGCCACATGTAACTCACCTCTTGGGTCGTTTCAAAGTCCCTTTCTGCTATGTCGTTTCTGCTTTGGATGCGCAAGGCTGGATGCTTTCTTACGTTTTATGTCACCCTGATGGTGTTGATGGCCTTTGTAGTAAAAATGGCCTTGCTTTCCACGGTCTCACTTTGATCCATTTGAAAGAGATTACCCCCGCGTGAGAGTTTTGAAGATGGTTTGAAGTATCGTTATCTAGTTCTTACACGAAATGCTTCTCGTCCTGGTGTGATAAGTGCGTACAGACGACATTACTATGGTGCTGTCCCTGAAGGGTCAAGCAAGACTAAGGCATTCAGGAAGACTTGTGAATGACAGTCTGCCAACTAAAGAGAAAGAAAGAGGGAGTACATATCAAGAAGGCAATCATCATGAAGCGGGCGGTGACGGAGACTATTGACCGTGAATAGAAGATCATGATGTCGAAACGCAAAAAGATTGGCAAAGTCGTGTTGTGCCTCTGGGTTGAGTTAGGTGATTTATTTTCAGCCCGGTTGTCAGCAATGCGATCGATACCTAAGTTTAAGACGCTGTTGCCCTTGATGTAGCTATGAAAGAGCTGCTCACACCGTTTTGAGATCTGCTACAAAGCATTTCTACCTTGATGCGCTTTGTGTATTAAGAAAAACAGAAAACAAAACTACAAAGCATGAGACGGATCATCCACAATCGCCTCCACTGTAGCAGACTAGTCGTAGTCACTGCTGCTACGGCGAGCATTAGGCCACGAACAGAATTGAAAGGCCACCGGTATTATGTTATTGACAGGAGCATTTATAATTACGTGCGAGCAATAAGTCTACGATGCTGCTGAACTATTACTTGCTTGTTTGTACTCTGTTGTTCGCACCATTTGTTGCAGCATGTCTTTTGCGTATCGCAACCGTTTGCCTAAATCGGGAGGCTCTGACGCGAGAATAACTTTTGAGGAGGAGAACACGGCCAGGTTACCATCACGATTCAGGTACGTCGCAACACGAGCATTGGCAGATAGCATAAGCTTTGACTTGTCAAAGAAGTTGAGTTGAATTGTCCCGTTGGAGAGCTGGAACAGCACCGCGTGACGAGTCTTGACCCACTTCTTGACAAATACCATTGATTGGGCTGCTTTATTACCATTGCTGCTTCCGAGTACACTAATGTCTGTGTCATCTTCGCGAGAAAGCACGAAAGATTGTGCAAGCTGACTTTCAAGTATATCTACTTCGTCGTTCTCCGCGCGGGCGTCCACTAAATAGCCTTTAAAGTGGCCTAGCAGTGTCACCTTCTTGCTGAGCACCGGGTCAAAACTCTCTGTGCTGTATCGGACACGAGTTTCTGGACCTGCAGCATAATTGCTTTGGCGCCCAATGTACTCGAAAACTTTGCCGTCTGCTGATAAAATCAATTTGGTGGAGTCATTGAAGTACACGCCCGATTCACCATTTGAAAGCATGTAGCCGATACCGTATTTGGATGTGTAATCCACCCACTGAGATATCCACAGAGTGCCAGGAACGAGCGGACAATTCGCCTCAGCCTCAGCACGGATCTCTTTCAATCTTTGCGCTGCAGCAACGATTGTAGCAGCAGGCGATGACTCACTCAACTTCTTGTCGCCATCGTCTCCGCTGCGACTGTGCTCTTGCAGGAAAAAAAATCGGGACAGAGACTTGTAAGCTGATTCCAATACGTTTTGAGTTGCAGCCAAATTTTCAGCTGCCTTCGTGTGCGGCGATCTCTCAGCTGCAGTGCTTTTGCTAGCTGGCAAGTCTCTTTTTGTTGCGTCTGAGAACCTCAATGTTCTTTCGTAGCCGTCACGCAAACAAGGTGGCAAAGACTGTGCCAATGAGGGCGATGTTCCAGGATCGGAAGCACGTTGAGTGTCAGTACGAAAATCTCGCGTCCTAACTATATATCGTTTCGATGCAGTAGACGGCGGAATGATTGCCTCAGTCGAGCTTGCAAGATGCACATTATCACTGTGACGACTAGCGAGCGATTGGCTTTTGCACGAAGGTGGTGTTACAAGCAGTGCAGTTCTCGGTAGTGCTGTCGGTACGAGCTCATCAGCCAAAAACGGGTGCTTCAAAATCTGCTTCAGTGATGGTCGTGCACCAGGGTCACTGCGCAGGATACCACGGACAAGCGATTGCGCCGACCGTGAAACGTGCGCTGTCTCCGGGAAGTCGTATTTGTTGGCACGGATACGCTTATATGTGGCCTTGACATCATCCGTTTCGAAAGGAGGCCGTCCCACGAGAAGTGTATACATGACAACACCAGTAGACCAGATGTCAACTTCAAAGCTGTGTCCGTCGCCACGTTGTCCGCACAATATCTCAGGCGCAATGTAGTTTGGGGTACCACACATCGTGCGTTTGCGATCTTCTGGGTTATCAAGTCGAGTCGCAAGGCCGAAATCCCCAATCTTGAGTCGCATGTCTGACGTAAGGAATAAGTTTCCCAGCTTTAGATCACGATGAATTACCAGCATTTCATGGAGATATGCCAGTCCCTCCACGAGCTGGCGCATGTAAAACTTCACTTCGCTCTCGGACAATCGTTTTCTCCGTCGCATCAAGTCCGACATGGACTGATTGCGACATAGTTCCAGCACAATGTAGGCGTTGTCCGAGTCTTCAAAGAAATGTTCAAACTGTACAATTTGCGGGTGATGTAGTGACTTGTGGATCTTGATTTCCGACGTAAACTACAAAGGATCAATTACCGAGAAAGTACACATCACAACAATCACAGTGTATCAGCTTCTGATCAGCTCCGTGTCTCCTCACATGTTTCTCACTTTCTGCTTAGCCTTAAGCTTGAGTAGTGAGCTTTTAGCCACCACTTTGCCCGCAAATATCTTTCCTGTCTGTTCACATTTTAACTCGTAGCAGCGCGCAAACCCTCCCTACCACAATATACAGTCGGCATCTTGTACTAGTTTCTAGTCTTCAAAAACAACAATATAGCATCATACCTTGCCTAAGAACTTGCCCTTGACGTATGTCCGAGTCTTGACGTAACCTTGACCATCCAAATAAGTCTCTAGGATCTGATCAGGTACGACTGGCTGCGGTGTGGGCTCCTTCTTCTTCTTTTGCGTGCCCAGAATCAATGGTGCAACCTGAATCGGTGGCACAGACTCAATCGGTCGCTCAATCTCTACATTGATACCTTTTTTTCTGGTCGGTTCCAAGGCAGGCAGCATGTGACCAGAACTGGCTGAGCCCCGACGACTCTGTACGAGTTTGAATCGATCGCTGTCGTATACGCATTTGGTTGATTCATGACTGCTGCATCGATTAGTACGCATGAATCCAGACGTAGTGTGTTCCACACTAGCTGTCAAATTCTCTTCACGTCCAGTTAGCAGCACCGTTGGATCACGTATCGGCATCGTCATTTTCACCTGAGGCCGATTCAAATATTTCAAACTGAATTCAAAAGTACCGTGGCGTCGCAATTGATCTAGTTTAGAACCACTCAAAAGTTTATCTGAATCAAAGGTTTGTCTTATTATTCTTATTATCTGTTTTAAATAGCGACATGATGAAAGGACTTGAATATTTATCGTGTATATGCTATTGACCAAAGAGAGAGATACTTGATACGCTCACCTACAAGCAATATGATGAGTCAATCATGTCACTTCTAGAAAATTGCTTTGTTTGGCTGATATTCGACCCCTCCATGACGGTAAAGAGATCTCGTACTAGTCTTTGCACTCGTTTAAGACATAAAGCACGAACTTTTATTCCAAACTGTGATCATGCAGTACCTCGTTTGCACAACAAGTTTCGTCAACCTTATAGCATCTTTGCCGTTTCAATAAAGCAGCGACTGGCAGTCAGGAAGCCACTAAGCCTTCGGTTTCTTCACGTGATTGCACGGAGAGGTCGCATTCGACAAGGTGAAGAAAACGAAAGTGAAACATAAAAACTTCATTTTCGTGCTCGTCGATACGCCCATGTGACAAGGATTGGCTCAAACACCGAACGTTTTGCAAGATGTTTTTTTAAAACAATATGGTGGGGTGTACAATGTACAGTGCCCCCGACTTAGTCGGATATTACCAACTGCTCCTGCGAGCTATAGACATCCCGCTTACATCGGGATGCTTTGGGGGTGGTTAGTAATGCTCCAAAGGGCTATCTAACGCACCTGCAACGTTCAATCGTCTGGTGACGCAGTTGTTTCGGCCCCAGGTCAAAGTCAAGCCGACAATGGTAAGAATGACGTTGAAAACCACATTGAACAACTGCGAGCTGTGCTCGATGGCATTAGGACGGATAACATATATGCGAATGGTGAGACATGCATTTCACAGAAATTCTCGAATGTTTTTATAGGAAGCGAGGAATCCGGCCAGACCCTGTCAAGATCACAGCCATAGCGGTTCCGATAAACCAAAAGATTTTCCGCAAGTGGTTGGATTTGGCAAGTTACTTGCATAGTATAGCCACGAAAATTCGGAAGTGGCAAGGAAATAGCCGAACCACCTTAAGAGCAATGTGGAATGGTGTTGGAACACCGAGCACCACGAGGACTTTGTATCCATTTAAAAGAGTTTCCTTCAGGCGCCAATTTCATCTTTGCCTGATCCTGTCGTCCTTTTTGCGTCGTGTGTGAGGCTTCCGACTTTGCCGTTGGCAGTGCTATTTTGCAAGTAGACACTGAGGGTCGAGAACGCGTCATCGAGTTTGAGTCTCGTCAGCTGAAAGCTGCAGAGCAGAACTATTCAGTTCATAATAAGGAGCTACTTGCTATGAGTATTCCCTAGTCAAGTTAAGGATATATCTGCTGGGCTCTTAGCCCTTTGTGATCTTTACAGATCATGCGTCGTTACGCACTCCGATACATTCACCTCATCTCTCGCAGAGAATGGCTCCTTGGCCTCCTTTTTCGCGGAGTGTACCTTATCGTGCAGAGTTTCTGCGGTATATAGGGACAAGCTACGTCCCAACTTATTGGACCGTTTAAGGTAAGTTCTATCAGGCGTGGACAAAGTTTGTTCATGTAAATGTAGTTTGGCCATAAGAACGTAAGGCTTGACCTATATGATTACTTTTCCTAAAACGATGCAAGAAACACACCCTGTGTTTTATGGTGACTTATTCAAGCCGTAATTTGACTTGGCCCCGGTGAGCTTGGAAGGTTTGCCCCTATACCCTGGTAGAAGGATGCGAATAATAATGCACCGGAGATGTATACTGGCAATGCAAGCACAACCATCGACATGCCCAATTGACCACAAAGTCCTACAATAGGACGCTCCAATACTGCTAAGCGACCGTCAGCAACTCTGTAGAAAAAGGATAGCGTCACAAGAAAAAAACACCTCTTCTTCATCACCCTCACGAAAGCAAAGCGGTGGCTTTTTTTGGCGTAGAGCAGTCGCTCTATTAGGGAAAGGTGACACAGACAGAGACTGCCGTTCTTCGCTCGGTGAGCGCTACGCGTGACACCCCCAAGGATACTTGGTGTCGCTGACTTTAAACTTATAGTTAACTTTCGCTGTCTCATCTCTGAAGGGACTAAGGCGCGTTTGAAAAGACGTACGGGTTCGTAAGCAATTATTAGATCGTATATTGCTTTGTTTGTCAAGCGCAATGTACAAAGACTGTGGGAGATCAACGAGCGAGTGTTTAGAACACTTTATGGTTCAATGACACTTATATGCTAAAGCCGCTTGGTTTGCTTGATATGCAAGGTGTTGTAACGCTTATTTGCTATAGAGGCAACGCTGAATAAAGTCTTTAAGACTTTCACATTTATGATCAGCTTTCACAATATTGTCGTTCGGGTCAAAGCTTCTGAAATTTTTGCAAGTCAGGCAAAGCTCCATCTTATTAATATGAAGCTTTCATTCGACAATTTTTACTCAACAGAAGAAGCTTCAAGAAGAATGGCTCGACACTCTATTCGAGATTTCAGCAGGAACATGTTGTAAATTACTGTGAGTTTCAGTATCGCGATAACTGTATCTAACGCTCAACATATTTGAAATGCTGATGCTCTAAACGCCAATTTGTCAATAGAATCCGAGCGAATGGCGGGGGTGACTTGGCGCTAGCAGCATATTTCGTCGAGCTTTTGCCATATAGATGGACGTCATCACAAAAAATATATACGGTACATGGACGCCTAGAAGCCAACATGCTCGGCCCTTCGGTCCCCGGACTCGCGGCCTCTTGGTCTCTCGGTTACTCAGTCCCTTAACGCTCGGCCTTGAAGTAAATAACAAGGCCACCATAGACGAAACGGTTTCTCCTACGCAAAGCTTTCGTACTCATCACGATATCATTCGCTTGCTACATTGCTACCGGTGACATCAAAGCACGGGTATGACATTTAAGCCTATGGCTCCGTAGTGTCCCACGGAATGGTGGTATGAGTGTAATGGGGTTACACGAAGGTGTGTATTATATCTACACACCTGCCACACAATGTTGGTGCGGCTGTACTATGGCTACATTGAAACCACACCCTCCACCGTACATGGCTAAGTACTATGGATTTACATGCATATATAATATGAAAAGCTACAGAGACCAATTATACATATAACGATCAACGCTAGTATAGAATAAAAGTTTCTATACAAGTGACTGAAGATAAAACTTAATAATTCAGTATTGAGTTTGCCCTGTGACCATAACTTGCTCTAGGCGTAATTCTTTGTGACATAGTAAGTATCTGTAGAAACTGGTCTCGAGGAGACATTGGTTGTACAACCAAGGAGGCAATAGCTTGTGTGAGATTTTGCATAACTAGAAAGACGTAAAGCTCGTAGTTCTTGTCTTCCTCTGCACTTAGTTCATCTAGTAGCGTTGCTACAGTAGCTGGCTACAGTGCACTATGATCGTCACCATCAAAGATTTTTAGGCTCAGACCTAGTTTCTTCCAATCAAATGACGACACGAGCAAGTTCTCGTTGAGCTGTACACGCAGGCCGATGCAACAGTCTAGAAGCTGTTACCAATCGCAGCAGCTTTTATAGCGCGTTAACGTCAAGCGACTATGAAACGACCAGCGTTAATGGCAAGGTATTTCGGAATTACATCACATTTTCAACCTCTATTTTAAAAACAGCCCAGAGCAACCACTTCTTAACTTAACAAACTAAGAGGTCTAAGAAACATGTCATAGCTTTACCAAACTCTTTATGATTTATGTTCTTCCTTTGCATCAACCACATTTGCTTTAGTGTCATCATCCTCTTCGGTTGGCGTAGTATCTTTGCTGGATCCGATACGTGCTTGGCTCCAGTCAGGAATTACTCCGCTGTATCCATAGTCGAAAAACAATTCCTCCCCAGCTACAATGTCTTCTTTCGCATAAATTCCAATGCGGTGGTCGCCGTTGACATGCATAATTCGGGCAAAACATTTCGGCTCTGTCGAGCTGTGATTCGCGAACTTACTTTTGTTACCCTTGCGCGTAGCATCTACAACAGTGTCTTCAGTCAGATCGAATAGGAAACTAATCGTCATCTTGTCGTATACGTTGCCTCGCCGTTCTGCTTCGTCTTGAGATAACAACGATCCAGTGTACTCGTACATGAATTTGCCTTTCTTAACATTCTCCAAGGCATATGCTCCCCATCCATGGGTAGCTGACGTCGAAACTCCAATCTTGCACATTTTACCGCGCAAAATGTTAACGTTTCCACAAATTTTTAGCTGAGCAATGGTTTGGCTCTTGCTCTCTCCAGCAGCCATGACAACCGGAAGTTCGCTAGCGCCGCATGAGGTACAGATATCGGGATCACACTCCCGCGCAGCAAAATAGCAAGGACACTTTGAAGTTCGACACTGGCCCTCTTCACAATGGCACCCCGGAAAACGATTGGAACAATCTGGAGAGCATCCACATGACTTTTCACAGTAGTGGTCACGGCGCATGCAAGAACATAATGCTGAATCGCAAGAACCGCCGCTATGGTTGCACGGGACATACTCATGATTTGCACCGCGGTCCTTCATCCGCTGAGAGCGCGTACGGTAAAGGTGCTCGTAATGGTTGCCATAAACACCGTTACTTCTCTCACGATGTCGACCACCATTTTGCAGTAAAACAAGCTCCTCCAAGTCACCTTGCGTTATCCTTTTGCATTTTTGGAAGAAATCAGCAACATCAGTGCAGCTTCGTGTGGCAATCAACACCGCTAAAACGCACGTGTTTAGACCAACACAATCTGCCAGCTTTTTTAGCAAAGCAATCTCTGACCCTCTCCACGGCTTGACTTGTATTGTACTGCTGAAACCATGGGGTTCATCACGTTGGATGGTTTGCCGTTGCAGCTTCGAGCAGTGAGACCCACAACGATTACCGACAGAAAATAACTCCAGCTTCTTGTCCTGTGTGATCGTCTGGTAAACACCATCCAAACCTAAATATTCCGACACGTCTGCTGTCTTTGAACGCACCAACTCTTTTATGTGAACGCGGTCCGCGTTCAATTTTGACGATGCCTTCGTGCTCGCGGCCGTTTGAGCACGTACCGATCTTCGCGTAGATTCACCGCCAACCGTACTTGCCACATCGCAAGCTTGCTGCATTTCTTCATTTACAGAAGAATTAGTAGTAGCCATCATCACCTGCATCGGCTCATCACCTTCAATAATTTCTTCACCATCCGTGTCTACATCAGAATCTTCGATAGATGGCAACTGCTCGTTTTCAATTTGTCGCCATAGGTTTATTGCACCCTTCACCACTGGATATTGCGGATCAACTCGCACAATCGGAACGGGCTGTTCACGGCCATGGTTTCTACAGCTGTAGACACAACAGCGGCGGCAGAAAAAATCTTGGTACTTGGTTACCAACTCTCTATACTGCTCCGACGAAACATCACGCAAACCCAACTCTTCACCACGTTGCAGATAGTTCAACACCAAGTGCAATGGAAGCGGCTCTAACCGGCCACGCAAGTGCGTCCCAACTTGCAACTCGCGGCATTTATCGAGAATAATAGCTAGTACACGTTTTCTGTGAGCAGAGAGGTTATCGCTGTTTTGTTGCACTTCCAAGTCGCGCAAATGCCGCTTATACAGTTTCTCTCGAGTGACACGATCACAAATATCGGCGTAGTTTGCAAATGGTTGCATAAATGTACCAGTTCGTTGTAGCGCGTCAAAAACGCTCTGGTCACACCCGCAAGCGTTCACCGTATACCGTAAAACAAACTCTCTCACCTCGTCATCCAAACCAAAAAGGGCATCTTTGCAAGGATCCATAATACTGACTAGAGGCTCTTTTGACCTAGCGTTACTTTCAGCACTGAAGTACGGTACAAAACGAATTATTGGGTCGTCTTCGACCCGATGCGCTCCACAAGCCAGCACGCAAGTCGTTGAGCGTGGGACCGACGGTATTTTGCGGAGATGGATCACCACTCTCGGGTATACATTTTCAGAGTAGCCTGACTCGTTTCGTGCAACCGAATAGTGAGGGCGATTCTCGTCGTTCAGCACAAGTTCGCAGTTTCGGAGCAGTCTTCGCGCAGCAACTTTTTCCAACCGTGAGATCTGGAGCGGGAGACCTGTCCATACAACATCGATCACGACGTTCTTCAGTCTGAAAGTGTCAACTGCACAACCTCTCCATCTGTCCCTGTCTTACCGACAATCGTCGCCATCGTCTTTGCATGGACAACGGGTCGATCTTCCAAGTACGTCGCAATCTGCTGCCGAGCATTAGCAATAATCGTCTTGACTCTCGCAGCATGGTACTTTTTGACGAGCGGTATTGCTTCGTCTATCACTTGACGCACTCTGTTATCCATTTGCACCACCACATCACGGGCCTGTAATCAGTAACGAGTCAGAATGAGTTTTTTTACCCGCTTATGTCTTTCCTCTCTCTCTCTAACCTCTTCCAACGTCCCAAATGTCATCGTCATTGATTTAGGCTTCAGAAACCCTATCAACACTTGACACTTGCTCTTAAAGTCCTCATTAAAATTGTCTAACGCAGCATTCATCTCACATGCAAAAGGCTGTAGTATGCCTTCTCGATCCGGCAAAAAATTCTTCGGTGCGTCTTTTAACTTCACATTACGCCACGCTGTTGAGTGCAATGACGCATCTTGAATCGCGTCTTCATCTCTAACAAATCTTCGTTTATGTTCAAGTGGTGCATCTTCCCCCTCCAGATTTACGAGTGATACGCCGCCTCGCACCGGCAGCTGCGGTCCACCTTCGGGAGAGCGTGGACTCATGTTGCGTCGGAACTTCTGACGCGCACTACGTCGTTTCTCTGCACGTTTTTGCTTCATGCGATTGATAGAAGACTCAACCATCTCACTTTTACGCAGCTGCATAGGGGCGGATTGATGCTGACGACTCATTTCGTAGTGGATACGCTCCATCTCGCGTTCCTGTGCCATGACTTCACCATAAAAGACACGACCCTCAGTCTTGCGATGGGTACGTCGCAGCTCAAATGAAGACTCTCGACTGCGTTTGCGACTGTCAGTAGCGCTGTCGTCATCCGATACATCGATCAAGTTGATCACATGGGTTTCCTGGACCTTCATTCCTTACCGCGCTGTTGAACTACTGGTCAAAACAGCTCGGTAGGTGCCAAACAGATTCGACAGGGTATGCGAGTTCGAAACATATCAGAAGAACATTTCGATGATCTATAATAGTCTATTGCAATTACATGATGATTCAACAACGTAGTCTACAAAGCTGGAGACGACTTGAACAGAGTCATGGCGTTTGCTTATATAACAGATCTTCCCGTTTGATGAGTATGAAGCGACAGTTACGTCCTGCACTGCGGCTGAAGTCCGGTGTCTGTGGACTACCGCATCCACAGAAGCGCGCTACAGGTGGAGAAGACGCCTGGTTTATTAGTGGCAACACCGTAGGCGTCGCAGACGGCGTCGGCGGCTGGGCACGCAAGGTAATGTATTGCAATTTGACTTGGCTGTTGCTGCGGATTGTCATGAGATAATATGGTGGCTAGGGCATCGATTCGGGCGAGTATTCACGGGCTCTCATGAATTCGGCCAAACGGACGGTGACGACGGCCGACAAAACGCCTACTCCACTGCAATTGCTGACTTTAGCGCATCAAAGCGCACAGGTATGGATGAATGGTCTGAGATAACATACGAAAGCAAGCGTTGATAATGACGTTTATTGTATGACAAGTGTCCTGGTAGCTCAACGGCATGTATCGTTCAGCTAGACGGTGAGTTTGTCGCCGACCTTGTTGATGCTGAGATGTGGAATAGATGCAAGCTGTGAACGATATTGTGACTTTTTACAAGTAGTCATGTCTCTGCGGGCGATAAATTTGGGTGACTCGGGTTTTTTACTCTGTCGGTTGCATCCGGACGAGAAAGTTGGAGGCGCAATGAGGTGGCAGGTCGTGCACGAAACGTCTAACCAGTGTCATTACTTTAATTGCCCGTACCAGCTTGGCTTTGAGACGAATGGCGATGAGGTGAGTCTTGATTGCGCTGTACAAGTAGCTGATATGGCTCTTACAACGTCCGTGCTTTGCGATGGTAGCCTGGGATGGGCGAAGTCTACGATCTTGAGGCGCAGGAAGGCGACGTAATAGTGTTAGGGACTGACGGACTGTACGTTGCTGGTCTGTCGTGCATGTGGCATGGAACAATGATTTTACAATATTCCTTTTGATGCAACGCGGCAGCTTGGACAACTTATTTCCGAAGCAAATTGCAAGTCTCTTGGACACGATATTGCCATCCACGCCGGAGCTTGACCAGCAGTGCATGGAGAAAGTAGCGTTGTTTATCGCTCACACTGCGCATACAGCTGCTAAAAGCGCTAAAACGAAGACGCCATTTGCAATAGCCGCGCACGAAGCAGGATACAAGTATCTTGGTGGCAAGATGGACGACATCACTGTCATCACGAGTCTAGTGATGCCAGATTAAGGAATGTAGCCGCTCTGAAAGGATATCGAGGTGCATTTGTCCGCAAGAGCTGGTTATATATGAATACACTCGCAGCACTCGGCGAATACACAAAAGACGCGACTTAGGATGCTTGTCGTTCGAAAATGGTTTGTGGAAATTGACAAAAAGGCTTCAGTCTTTGTAATCATAGCAGCTTGATGTCAGAACTAGAGTTGTGCACGTACGATAAATGCGAGGTGTTGCATGTTGTATTCAAAGAGCCTTACAAATTGAAATCGTCGAGCTGCCAACCCAATCAGGCAACGATCCGCAGTCACGGATGAGGTTCAAAAGTTACTGTTTTCAGCCGTCGCGCAATAATGTCTGAATATCGTGTGTGGTTCTGGAAGCGATCATAGCCTGTATCGTGCAATATAAACACCATATCTCGGTATATGAGCACTTCACCGGGTAAATTGATCCTTAACACATTACGGATGCATTCCGAGGAATCCACTCTACGCCCAAGATGTCATGGCTTCATATCTTCATCTATATAGAATCTTGCACAAGCTTTGTAGCCAACAATGCATCTGCCACGTTCTTCACGCTCAGTAAAGAAAAAATCCACGTAATATGGCCTATGATCTTGGGTCCATGTGAAGACGGCTTTACTTACGCGATATATGCCATCGAAAGAGAGCAAAACTTGCTTAGCTGACACAAAAGGAGAATTGTAATCAATGCATGCAACGGTAAACAATGACCCGATGTAGAATTCTTGTTCATCAGCAGGAATAGAGAACATTTCATCTCCCGCTACAAAACATGACACGCTTGAAGAATCTGCGCGTTAGGATCAAGGCGTTTCAACAAAACTGGCAAAGCTTGCACATAAGTGCAGGGCCTTGGTGATCATTTAAAAAACAACCTACAGCAAGATAATCGGGACATTTATCCGTTCTAAACGCCTCGGAAAAAAACATAAGCGAAAGATATGAGTACACCATCTTCGAATATCTACCATACATATGTCCCGTTTTGCAATGCTCGGATAGAAGCAGCTTCTTTCCATCACATCATGGCACAACGTGTCAGCACGCAGTTTATCTACACTTTCTATGTGATGATGGGAATGTTAAATATTGATTCGTAAACTTTACTGTTGAAAGGTTACAGTTCTACTTGCTTTATGTTGTAGGTGTTAATGGACTGATGCAATGTATAGTGGACAAAATGAAGCAAGAATTGTTACACAATAGACTGGACGCACAAGCGGCATGACTTGTTGAATGCTTTGATAGTTAATGTTAGGTGGTATGTGCAACATTGCACGGTAAGCAGGAATAGTAAGCTTTGCAACCGATATATCATGTTGCGTCTTGTGGCCTGTGGTTTTATTGTAAAGAGTACCCAAGACTTCTTTTTGATTGGTACAAAACCCTGTTGCAAATATGGCTGGGTATATAATCGAAGTTATTAATGACGATAGAGCCATTAATCACCTATACGAGATGTTGCCACCATTGATTGTATATACGTAAACTACCCGATCAAAAGATCTTGAAAACAAAGAGAGTGCAAGTTTCAAGTATGTATTTCAAGAATTCATTTGTTCTTACAACCACATATTGTAAGCATACAAATTGTCAATTGAGTAAAAAGGGCACCTTCTTTAAGAAAAAGGATATTAATTCGTACAGGTACATACTCTAATAGCCCCCTCGCATCACATTGACCAACCAGCTCTAGAAGCGACACGTAAATTGGGAACGTCGGCTTCTCTTTGACGCCGTCACGTGTCTCTCACGTCAATTTCAATCTCAATCGTAGGTTCATCGCGTTATACTTCAAGTACATCTTAGTTTATAGCCTCCAAACGACTTTCTTAATCTTCTTAGTCATGTCAATTCATTTTAAATTCAAGTCAGCCAAGGAATTCGACACTGTGACGTTTCCAGGTGCTGCAATTCGCGTATTGGACCTCAAAAAGGCTATTGTAGATAAGAAGAAACTGGCAAAAGGACTGGATTTTGATCTCGTGATCACAGATGCACAAAATGGCAAAGTTTATGAAGATGAGAACACGCAATTGCCACGAAATACGAGCGTGACGGTTAAACGTATTCCTAGTAAACAACCGGGTAGCGGATTACTCGCCCGTATGAAACAGGAAGCGGCCGTAGCAGCAGCCGCTGCAGCTGCTGTAGCGATCCAACTGTCACCGCCAGTGGCTGCAATGGCTGGACCGTCACCAGTTGGGCCAACACCGATACAGCCGTACGTGGCCTAGTTGAATTGATTTTTTTTTTACAAGCCTAGAGAGACGAGGGCATTGACTGACTAATGTATGTTCAATAAAATGATAACGATTTGTATCAGAATGGCTACACTTTCTTTGAATACTGAAGACTCAGCTGAAGGTGCACAAACGATGGAAGATGAAATGGCTGCACTGCAATCTATTCATGAACAAGCAGAAGATATGCGTGGCTCGAGATTAGGCAATAAGACGTGGACAGCGTCTAGCGGTAGCAACGCCAATAACGTGATGAACTACTACTCGGCCAGTGGGCCAGGTGGTGAAGCAAGTGGACGAGGAAATGGTGCTAGCGGACGGGGGTTTGGCCGAGGTGGCCGCGGTGGAGACTTCGGCGGCCGAGGAGGAGTGATGAATGGAAGAGGCGGAGGACGTGGCACGGGACCTGGGGCCCCCAATGGCTCTAACTTGTTAGGTGACCCGCCATCCAACTATGTGTGCTATCGATGCGGTACGCCTGGCCATTACATTCAAAATTGCCCCACGAACGGGGATCCAGAGTTTGATCAGCACCGTGTAAAAAAGAAAACTGGCATTCCCAAGTCGTTCATGAAGGCCGTGAGCGATCCCAGTGAGATTCCCGTAGGCGCGGGCAAAACGGTAGTGAATGCGCCGTGGGGCGGGCTAGCTGTGATAGAACCACAGAATAAAAACTTCTCTAAATTAATGGCCCAGTCGGGCGGCTCGGCCACCTTGGATCAATTCATCTCGAATCCACCCGAGCACTTGGCATGTCCACTTTGTAGGCGGCTCATGAGCGACGCTGTGCTCATCCCGTGCTGTCAGGAGGTAAGCAGCGACGTCCATGTCCCAGTCTTTGTATAGTAAGTTGTTTGTCGTGACTAAAGTTCTGTTTGCGATTGCCAGTCCGCGTGTGACGAGTGCCTGCGGGGCGCACTGATCGAGCACAAGCTTACATGTCCACTGTGCAACGTAAGCAACATGTCGCCGGAGAAGCTGTTGCCAAATAAGGTACTAAGGACTTCGGTGGACGAGTTTTTGAGACGTGCACGTACGGAGCAGCAAGAGCGGGAACAGTTAGTCAAGGAAGCTGAGGAGAAGGCGATGGCCAAACAGAAAGCCGCAGAACAAACTGCAGGCTCGGCTTCGCGTCGGTCCGGTGACAGTGCAGATGCTACGCTGGAGATTAAAAAGGGTAAGAAAGGTGACGGTGGGGACGATGAAGAGGATGAGTTTGGCGGCGATATTTTTGGCGAAGGCGTTGAGAACGAAGATGCTTCTCTTTCACCGCAAAAGACAGCCACGTCTTTGTCAATGTCTCCCTCACAGCAGAATCCCCCGCTTCCGAAGGACGACAAGGTTACAGCTAAAGAGGGCGAAGTTGCCGACGGTCCATCGCGAAAGACCAGTGATGCGTCGTCTAATGGTGGTGGCCAAACAGCCGACAACACGGATAAGAGTATACCTACGTCAGGATCGCAAGGCTTGCCCTCTAGTCAAGGCCCTCCTATTCAACAAATGCCGTGGGGTCGCGACGGCCCTCGTGGCCCTCCACTGGGCTTTAATGCCCCCCCTGGTCCGTGGTTTGATGGACCTCCTCGTGGGCAACCAGGGCCATGGTTTGATGGCCCACCTGGGCCGTGGTTTGATGGTTCATTCCAAGGGCCTGGTGGGCCCCGTGGCGCCATGAAAGGTGGTCGCGGTGGCGGCCGAGGACGCGGGGGCCGTGGAATGCCGCCTCCTGGATACTTTGGCGGGCCTGGCCCCGATTACTTTGGGCCTCCACCTGGACACCCAGACTACTTTGGACCTCCTCCGCCGTGGTTTGATGGACCAATGCCACCATTTGGAGGCCGCGGAGGTGATCGCTGGTTTGACGGAGAATCTCGTGGTCGTGACGATGACCGGCGCCGCGACCGCTCTACTTCTCGTGACAGGGACCGCTCACGTACACTAGATCGCTCGACTGGTCGCGATGGAAAGGGTGAGCGCGTTCGTCGCGGTGGCGACGGGAAAGAAACACGTGGATCGCGTCGTGGCGATCGGAAGGAATCGTGCGGAGCACGCGGGGGTGATCGAGAACGCAGCAAGCGTAGTCGGAGCCGTAGTCGCAGTTTCAAGGCTGGACGTAGCCGTAGCAATTCTCGCTTGAGGCACGACAAAAAGACCCGTGAACATGCTAGTTCATCGCGGGCATGGTCCTCGCGGGCGTCGTCCTCTCGTCGGTCACGTAGTGCAAGTCGCAACCGCCATCATCGCGAGCACAAAAACAGTAGCAGTCGCAATGATGCCAATGAAGGCTCCAATAAGAACTCCGGCAAAGCCGTCAGCAGGGCCAGCAACAGAGACGCCAAGAAGGACGTCCACAAGGATACCCGCAAGGACGCGGACAAGACTGCCAATAAGGACGCCAACAAAGGCACCATGCAAGACTCTGGCAAGGACTCTGGTGACGATGTTACCAAGGGATCTAAGAAGGACGTCAACAAGGATTCTAGTGATAAGAACAGAAAGTCAAAAGAAGAACAGAAGAAACAAGAAAGCACGGTTAAGGATGTCAAGCTGGATCAGGTTGCAGCGCCTGCTATTGACCTTGACTTCTTGGCTGAACCTCTGGATGATGATATGTCAAGTGACAATGAGACTCCGCGCTCAACAACTACTCCGATATTGGACCGTAAGAAAAGCGATGAAAGTATGACATCCAAAGATCCCAAGACGAATGATGATAAGATCTCTTGTGTTGATAGCTTCCATGAAAAAAGGGATGATAATCGTCGCAACGGCAGTCACTCCTCGTCTCGTAAGCATGATAAATCTCCTATGCGCAGCAACCGCGGACGCGATCGCGATCGCGATCGTGACCGTGGCCCGACGCCAAAAAAACGAGGGGGTTCCTTGTCTCGTAGTCGTCGTAGTCACTCGCGTTCGCAGTCCCGTCATGGGTTATCTCGGGATTCATCTCGGCGACGCACTGAGTCATCAAGCAAGCGCGGAGAGGACAAAAGTTTGTCTACTGCTCGTGCGAAAGATCGCAGTAGCGGTGGAAGCCGCGATCGTGATCACGACCGAAACGACCGCGATCGAGAGCGAGGCAATCGCGATCGAGGACGTGACCGTGATCGAGATCGCGATCGTGATCGTGTGCGGGAAAAAGACCAACCCCGTGAAAGCGTGCGGGAAAAAGGCCGACCCCGTGATCGTGAGAAAGCTCAAGACCGAGAGCGTGATCGTCCTCGTGACCGCAAGGAACGCGAAGGGAAGCGTGGACGTGATGCTGCCGATGACGATGCTACCATGGGAGGCGATCGGAAACGACGCCGCAGTGCTGAGAAGGAACGAGAGCGTCGTACCGAGAAAAGCTCAGGTGGTGGTAAACGCGTCGTCACGACAACGTCCGGATCTTCTCGTGGCTCACGCGGAGGTCGAAACCGTCGTCGTGGAGGCGGCGGGGGTGGCGGTGCAAGTGGCGATGCTGACAAGCGACGGATTGAGGTGGAGGGCGAAGGAAAAAGCGGTGGAAACGACTGTAAGAGACCATCTCGAAAGAAAAGTGATGATCGTGGAGGCAAGGGGTCCGGTGAGCCACAGGCCAAAAAGCGCTCGGTGCTAGACCGGCTTGGACCCAAACTCTAACAATGCAAGAGCAGGTTATACTCTTGTTCATACGAAGCACAAAGACTCGTCAGGCGGTGTCGCTGCGTCACACAACTCGAACTTTTTGCTCCGTGTCGACTTCCTGATACTTACCGACGTTCAGGCTGTGCTAGCCACAGATACGCGGAAGTGAACGCCTGAGCTTCACGAAGTTGGTGTCACACATGCTGGCCTTTCGTGAAAATTAGCATTCCTTCTCCACTCCTTTCATGTTCTAGTGGTAGTGATGATTGGTATCGATGTCTAAATTGCATCTGAATAAAAGTATGGCCACAACCAACTTTGTTTTTCATGTTGTCGTCGTAAAAATTCATGGAACTGCACAGTACTTGACTGTCAGCATATGCCTTATACTACACAATCAAGCACAGAAGGTCAGTCAAAAGACGACGTTCAAGTGACTAGCCTTTTTTCCTCTAAAAACAAAGTAGAATACTCGTAAGCATGGAGCAAGATATCTATTCTACCTGACGTACGTTTCGATGGAGTAAGTATATGACCATTACGTGTCGAAGTACATCGAGTGCTACATCCTATACGTCACAAACAACTCAAGTAAGCTAGTAAATTGCAATGATAGAACGAGTCTTCATACGAACAAAGCCAAACAATACACCGATAATTAGCTAGCTACTTCAAAAAAAGATTGAGCTACGGACTAATTTTCTTGTGGTATTGATCTACAACAGCCTGCAAAAGTGTCTTGTTCTTCTTTCCCTTCATGACTTTTTTGTATTGAGTCAAATTCTTGATCATTGTCTTAATTGTGAATGCCATGACTGGAACATTCTTCTGAAGCACCAGCAATAATAATTCCGTAAACGCTTTAGAAATCTCATCCTTGTAGCTACAACTCACTGCAAGCCACTCCACCAATAAATCATAGCCCTGTTTTGCTTCAAATCGAGACTGCATTTCCTTCTGAAGCTGTTTGTGGGTCAGACTTGCGTCCAACACGAAAAGTGCGTGAACTCGGTCGTCCACAGTCCTTACGTCATTTTTAGCTATAGACAAGATACTTTCCAAATGTTCGACTGATGTTGCACACATTTCACCCCCACAATGTTTCTTAATAGCCTCCACAATGACTTCCGAGACAATACAATTTTCGGCCAGGGATGGTAATGGACGCAATACAATACGTGCATCATGGGCAGCATCCATTGGATCTTGCGATAGTGGATGGTGCCCAAACTGCTGCACATAAGCTTCTGTTTGTTGATGATATTCAATCACAAGCGCTTTAATGGCCTCGAGCTGGAGAACCAGCACGCTCTTGAGCATTTCAACTGGAGAGCTCATGTTTGTTTAATATATGGTGTGGGGTCAAGTAGATCCTGTGAAAACGCATAGAATCTATTATATAGCATATACGTTAGTAAACCAAAATGCTATTTACTTTCAAATCGTATTGTGAGGAGAGATTCAGAATCTCGATCAACTGCTTAGGACACGATATTCCTACTATATCCGTAGTCGAGACAAAATCGCTGGCGTCGAAGAGCGCTTTGTTGAGCTAAGGATTTCTTCATGATGCTTCGTAAGATCTCTCAGTAGGAGCTTGATGCACACCTGGCAATATAGCGCCGCGGATGATAGCGTCCGCCTTGCGATGGTCGTGCCTGGCAACGGCTTCGAGTTCAGTCCAGTAGACTATTGCTCCTTTCTCCGCCCACTGCAAATAACAAGATAAACACACACTTGATCCATAGACATGTGGTCACGACTATGCAAAGAGCGTCTAACATTGAGTCTATCAGGAGCAAAGCTGTCCACTTCGTTAGGTACCGGGGACCATATGGCTACCATCTATTGGATGTTGAACGAGGAGGGTGGTTTGCTTCGAGCTGTGCGCGCGCATCCATCGTTGCAAGAGCCTGGGGCTGCATCCTAGCGCCTGGGGCTGCATCCTAGCGCCTTTCAGTGGCTGATGAGTTTTATGCACGAAGGTCGCTTGATCAAACGGACCAAGTTCCAGATAAGATTTTCGTAAGATCCACGGGTTGATCGCCCACAAGGATGTGCTTCAAAATGGCTGCGAAGCGCCGTCCATGAATGATCCTCGCCTGCTCGCGGAGGGATGGATCCTGCACGTGTATGATAATGTGGGTCCTTCTCGCCAGCTCCCAGCGGTTGCTTCTAATCGTCAAAAATGCGAACTTATCGAGCGCTGGACATGGTGGTTTGCTAGGGTCGAAGCGCATATATGCTATAACTCGTATACAATAGTGCAACGTTATTTTGTAGAATTGGTCTTCGCGAGATTCCGTGGCGTGACGTTTATCCGCCGTTTGACGCATGCCCTCTTGCCGTCATATGATCCACGCTGCCGTGTAGTAACCCTATCGACGCGTCAACCATTGCATGGCGTGCTTTTGTTGTTATGGATCGGTCACGACCAGAATGGAGATTAGCCCAATATCTTCTCCGGACGTGGTGCAAAGAGAAGGCTAGGGTTGATCTTAGCGATCTTGGCGACCAGATTCAGAAATAGTTGACTTGTTCCATAAAAAACTGCGCAATAGGTGCTGAGGGACGCTGAGAGCCGAGGGGCGGGATATCAAAGACTGCAGCTGTAAAGAGAACGCAGGCAACACAATCGTATTGAGCATCAGTATGTGGTTCGCCACACAAGCCACGATCAAAATTGCTGTGAGGAAGTGGCGTCGTATGAACTTAATGTATGTATTTATTCAATCATATGAATAAGGCCATCAAGTATCAACAACATACGCTCACTAAAAAAGACCAATGCAGTATTTCATGCAAGCAAATACTAAGTGACGTTGGTCACGACATCAAGCTGGAAACGAATCACGACAAAGCGCAATGCGACGAGATATTTTTAAGCTTGACGAACAGCGCTGTTGCCACATTGCACTATTGTAGTACGCATACATATATAAAGTGAAAAAGTGTCTTGCCTTCCTGTGAGATTTGAGAACGTCGTTACCAGACCTTCATTGGGTCACTCAAATATTGATGCAACTTAGAATAGTTCTGCATGTAGTTGTGCCCTCGTAGCCTGCACCGGCTCAATCCTGTTGTTTGGCTATGTTATGTTATGAACCTACCAAATGCGATGTCTGAGCCATCTCGGTGGACGACAACAGATGTCCTTTTGGATATGGCAATGTGCAAGGTCTTATCTTAAAGCGACTGCGTAAGTCACTGAGATGAAGTTTCTCAGAGACTTGACGATTTGCAAAGAAAACGTCACACCTAACAGAGGTGAGTACTACGTAGATATAGAACAATCGTGCTGTGGGCACTAATGAAGACGCTGTAATCATGAAGCGACTGAATGTCGTGACGCCGTAAAGAGACCGTTTTCCATCGGGGTGTTGACACATTCATCATATTTTAAAAATGCTTCGACTTGGATGGATGGCTGTAAATTCTTTTGCCTTTCCAATCTTGTTACATAGAAGCATCATAGAGATTGTTACCGATGAATAAAGCCACGATGGATTGCAAATTGTCATGGTCGTTCCCCGTTTTAGGGCTACAAATTAAGTTTGCATGCTGCTTATCCTCTGCTTGGATAGTCAAGATGGAAGGATTTGCAATGTTGTGGGGAACTCGTTGCAGGCTATCATGGCATTACAGTGCAGCTGATACCGAGGGGGTCGATTGCCTATCCATGCTCAGTTTTTATAGCTTCAATGTCTTTCGCTTTTGCATGAAGAAAACCCAGTGATAGGCAGCAGTGCTCGACGATCAACTTCAGCTCGAAACCGAGGCACGAGAGCCGCACGCAATCAATTGCAACAAAACAGCTGCAGACGCCGTATCTATGAGCTTGGTGCTTGGGCCGACCAAAGAGCTCATCTATCATGTCAGCTTTATTGCTGGAAATGATCATGGCTGTTAACATGAACGTTCCCCCCTGGGTGCATGCAGTCGTTCTCTTTAGCTTTTGGTAGGTATCTCTATGCAATATCTGTGCAGACGAGCATCGAGCGGTGGACGACGCCGAAATGGCAAGGAACATTCAACAGAGCCCATCTGGATCCACTTCGCGCGTTGTATGGAAGACTAAGAACCAAACGGATCAAGCGTCACAGCGCTCGTGTCATGTCGCGGACATCTTACAAGAGCATCCTGAGAGTGAGCTCATGTTGCACGTTGCTAAGTAGTGTAAGCTTTATGGTATCGATAGTAGATAGCAGCAGTATAACCCGGTCGCAAGTGGTGGCAACCCACATGTTTCACCCCACAAAGTGTTGTAGGTTGGAAGCCATACGTTGCGTCGTCTGAGTCGAAGTGAATCGAAGCAGGCGTAGCTAATCGCTTAGAGATAGTCTCAGGCAATTAACTTCATTATTTAGCACTGTTGTTTGACAGCCTTATCATGGTGTCGCGGTTAGCTAGCGTTCTGTCAGCAATCGCAAACCTATAGAGTGTTGGGGTTACGTTAGGCTTACTGGTGCCCCTACGTATAGCTGGACAGGCCCTCGTTGCTTCAAGGTTTAGATTATGTAATGAAAGATTGGCATGACCTATGTGCTCCTGCAACGCAACAAGCGCGATCGTAACCAAGCAGTGTCCGGGCAATCTCGAAGTGTGAAAGAGGACATGCAAAAGAACCTTCTAGGCTGACGCGGCGTTGGGCACGACAGCTAACTTAACATCCTTTCAAAAATTGGGCGACGCTCATGTTGCAAACGACCAAGGTGAACGTGGCGGCGAGGCATAGAGACACCAAGTACTCGACCGTTGAGGTAAAGGAAGGTCATCGGAGTAATCGAATCTTTTGATTTAAATCACCGACAGTTACGCTGGTCAACTGAAGATGCAGAAGGCGCCGGCATTGCTTAGAGGCTTCTGGCAATGTAGCGCCAGTATTTCGCCGTTTTAGCCATTGTTGGCTCCTTGGATGCGCAAATAAATCAGCACTTGGTCGCCGCTTTGGCTGCTCAGAGTCCTGCTGTTTCATCTGGGGAGTCTGATTAAGCTGCGTTTTGCAACCCCCTTAATTTGTCTCTGTACACCTGCTGGCTCGACCTCACCCAAAGTCTCAGCGAGATACTGAAGTCTCCGTTGCAACTTGTCAGTGATATTCGCCGTAGAAAACAGCCGAGAGCAGAAAAGCATCGCGAAAAATCTGCTTCGATCCAAATCCTTTGATCAAAGACGCTGTGACGAATCCGCAGCAGGGAAAGTCAAACCTTGCGCCGGCTGGCTGACGTTAACTCGACTGTCCGTCCAGCTAAAATTTACTGGCATTTGCAAATTTGAGCTTAAACGCAGAAGCCATAAGAAGCCTGTGTTAGTTAGTGACAATCGATCATAGATCGTAGAAGTACATGCTTACAGGAAGAATGGACCCGCGACCGTGGATCATGATAACCAACGTGGAAACTGACGATATGAAGCACCAGCTCATGACCAGTTGTAGCCGTGTTATTAATCTTTCAAGCACTGCATCGACCATTGCAACTACTCCGTTCCTTCCATCTATTGGTAGTATCAGTCCGGCCAACACCACCATGACCACCCAGTTCCCGGTCGACGGAAGCAGCAGTCTCCTGAACCCTTTGAAACTCGAGTACTGTAGGTTTCAGGGTTGCGCCAACTTTGGCAAAATGCAGGGCTACTGTCATGATCACATACATGGCCGACCAGCTCCGCAATTCTCGTCTCCAACCCGAACACCATTCGGGCAGGCCACTAGCCCAAGTCACATGCTAGCGTCTTCAGTTACGCAACCACAGTATCTACCGGCATTGCGGACTGTGGTGCCTACACAGTCTCGACGAACAGAAGACCGTCAGCTAATCCCCGTCTCGCCTTATACGAACTACGAAACGTCAATGCAGCCCGGCAGTCCCATGTACACTGCCACAGCGGTTACTTTGGGCACACGGTATCCAATCTATACCGAGAATGCAACGTTCCTGTCAGCCCCATTGACCAAAAGACATCGTGTCATAGCTAGCCCCACATTCTCCACTGGTATGGGAAGTACCTGTAGCTACAAACCACCTCTCAAGTGTCGTCGTGATGGTTGCACGAATGACGCGAGACGTAAAGGCCTTTGCATGGAGCATGGTGGGCGCCACTTTTGTAAAATGACTGGTTGCCAGAAGTGCGCACACCGTGGCGGCTTCTGCATTTCCCACGGCGGAGGTCGTCGTTGCGCTGTGGCAAAGTGCACCAAGAGTGCACAGTCCGGAGGCATTTGCTACTCGCACGGAGGTGGCAAGCGGTGCGCGACGGAAGGTTGCACCCATGCGGCGCGGAGTGGCGGTTTTTGTATCAAGCATGGCAAGCAACAGCAGCAACTGCAGCAGCAAGAGAAACAATGTTTTACGGAGTTGATGTAACGAGTAGCGTGGTAAAGAGATCATGTAGATAAGATGGATATGATATGAGATGTAATGTCCAGACAATTTCGAGAGTCGATTAAGCTTTTGCCAACACTATAATGTATCACTATTTCATGTAGCTGTATTCCGAGTTGGTAGTGCATAATGACGTAGAATCAAACTCCATGACCGCCTTTTTGTTTGATGACATGTCTGCTGGTCCAAGATCTTGCAAGAAGACACTATCCTTCCATAGTGCGATCAGACGTAATTTATTCGATAGCCTGTACAAATTGTTTGTGTCCTTACAAATCAAAACGAAGCTTGAGATTGTAGCCTGCATTCGACGGATGATGTGTCCGGCCGGCCATTTGTTTTTCATGCTTTTTTCAATGCCGTTTGGGAGTGGACAAGCGTGGTCGACGTTTCACGACGATGGTCCAATTCGCACAGCTGTTTGCGCCACGTAACGAGGTGTCGTGGATGCAATTGCGTTGGACGGGGCAATTTTTTATCAGGAAGTGACGAACGAGGAAAGTCGTTGGGGTAGTAGACAGGCAGGATGCTAACACCTCTATGAACACTTTGGAAAAAGCGAAAATCGCAGTATCAAGTAAGCGGTTCATTAACACAGCTGCCATAATTGGACGTCAAAGGAAGGTATGCGATCAAGTACGACACGCGTAACTGAAGACGAATGGTACAGCATAAAATCCGGTGCTCAAGAACTTGATGGCTTAAGCAGTAGCCTGTGGATAGCCGTACAGGATGAACGGTTTACGTCCACGCTAGCAAAATCTCGCCAGATGGGGGATGCTAGACAGTGCGCAATTGCTCCAACTAACAACCTTATGTTGTTGAACTGAGGCAGCTTTTGCTGCGTAAAACGCAGCCAACTAACTACCAGCACTGGCGCTCCGTGCATGTGTGATAAAGTGAATTAGACTTCTAGAATATGTCTAGATACGTCTTACAATCCTTTCTTTTGAATTGTTATCATTCACGTTGAAGCTTTTTCGTAATACTTCAATAGGTTTAAAGTGTTGAATACTTTCTACAACAGTTGTATGACTTTCAATTCAGCATTATTGGACGTGCACACATCAAAAACTTGCTACATACTACTGTGAAGGCGTCTCGCCCCATTGTTAGCTAGTCAAAGATGAGCACTAGACAATGTAATTGCAAACGGGTAATGATGGTAAAACAACGCGTTGTTTACAAGATCAAGATGCTTTTTCTCGAATCTCTTACGGTGAACAACGTACATCACGTTCCACGTACACGCACACAAACAACTACTACGAAAATGAAAGCCACAGAAGCACAACATGTGCTCGCATCCAGAGAGTTTTGTCACGCCAATGCCACACCGTGGACACTGCGTCCCGCCCGCTTGCTTCACCGTCGTGGCATACTCAATATCAGACCGAAGGGTCGAGTTGATCCAATGACGCTCACTCAAGAATCTCGAGTAGGTGTTGACATTTGAGTATCCCAGTGCTTCCATGACGTACTCGGTTGGGTATTCTAGCCCACAACAGTGCGCAAGAACCAAGTGCGGTCCCCCAATGCTACCGAACAACGCTGGGCGATGCAAGGTTTGTAGAAAACGTGACCACAGGGCATTACAAGGAGAATCGGTCCGCCTTATTGTAGACCTCCTACTGCACATTTGACGGTGAAGTAGCTAGCGCAGACTCGACGACGTTTTGCTTGCGAAAGATTGGCAACATCTGTCAGTGGCCGACTGTCTAAGCAAGGCATCTCTCGTTGCTAAAACAGAAGAACAATTACCAATTACCACGTCAGAAATTGGGACGTGGCAGCAGAACACATAGTGTGACCACCGTTGGTACAGATAGTATTGACCAAGTAGTATTATTCAACATTGTTGTTACGCGACTCACTACGGTGTAGTCAGTCATAGCTACATCTTTTTTGTACATTTTGATCAGATAGTTGATCATTTCGATCGGAATTGGACCTTGCATTGCATGCTAATGTATGATACCTCTCTAGAACAATTGTCACTGGCCTTGCGCTTGATGTAGCAATGAGAATATTGTGCTTTAGGATAAATAGTCATAGATACATAAGAAATCCGTCATTATTCTAGTCATATATTCTGAACGATATGCTTTACTGTTGTTGTATTTGTGTTTTTTTACCAGTTTTGTACTTTTAGCACGGCGATCAAGAAAAGAGACTGAGATTTAACGGTATCTTTAAAAAGCTACCATCTTTTACAGTCATCTGTACCGGTAGAAATAAGGGTATACAGAGCGTACTCACGTGCCCTCCAAGCCTCAGAAGCCAATTAGTCACAAAGTATGAACGGAATTGCTCGCTACCTACTTACTGGTGGTATCGTCTTGGCTACGATGCAAATCATTACGGGCCCAGTTGCTGACTGGAATGCACGACGGGAGGGTGCTAAGGTTGTGTGTCTTTGATTGCAGTCATGTGCATGACGTGTTTATTTATGTGTGTGTGTTGTGGTATGAACCTCTTTGTCTAGGATCTGAAGCGTGCCCTGCAGCCACGCAAGATAGAGGAAGAAGAGTAAATGTCAGCTGCGACAAGATCGTGAATGTGCAGAAAGGGATGTTACTATACCATGGAAAAACGAAGATGAAGGAGCTACATCATTTGAAGGGTGACAGTGCTACTTCTACAGTACGCATTATGTCCGTGTCACTCAGTTGATACCAAGTAACTCATGGGCACAAACTGCTGCTAGCGTGACTAGTTGAAATTGAACTTGTGTGTCGATACTCTTTTCACATATTATGTTTGTCGATAAAGACAAAGATGGCAGCAGCAAGAGACTCTGGCTTGGGCTCGGGTGCTATCACGTCTGCTTCCCAAAATGGTTGCCCAGTCGCAATTGCGTGTTCGTGGAGAGCAGTGGCAGTTGTTTTTCCTGGCAGTAGTACACGCAATTGTTAGGTCATGAACCTCTGCTGTTAACACTAGACAAGGTTAGCAACGTACCGATAGCTGCTTTGCGAATCAAGTCCCATTTCAGAGGCAGATCCTTTACCGCCCTTAGTCCACTTGGACTGAAGAATACAATCCAATGTGGCACTTTGCACTCCGCAGGAAACGCGATGTTCTGCACGGCGCAAGTCCGATAGACCACCAACTCTTCTAGCGGAAGACCTCGAGACTGAAAACTATCAGGAAGAACGTCACGGCGTTTATCGCCACAGAGAAACAACATTGGTCTTTTCTTGCAGTCTTCAGGCAGCACGCCATTCTGGTGCAAATATTTGGACAGCATGTCTGCTGAGCCAGCATCGTCACCCTTACAGACTACACCGAGCGGCAGCAATTCTCGCGACGTCGCAGCACCAACAGAGAACACAGAGGTAGATTGTAGCTTTACTACTACCTGATGTTTCAGCTTCTCTTCTATACCATTGATTACGTTGACCATAGCAATTGCACTACGTGGACTCGTCACTATAATACCGCTATAGCACTCCAAGTGTGTCAACACATGTAGAAGTTGTGCTGCGTTAAGATACTCAAACGTCAATACATCAGTAAAATACACCTTTAAACTACGTTGAGAATCGTTGGAATTATAATTCTGTTCAAAAGCAGCCTTGTACTTGTCATCCGCTGCCTTAAGTAGCAGCACTGATCCGAGCATAATGAATCAGGTCTGATTCTTCCAATGCGCATCACTTACTTTATATATTGAGCACTTTCATATAATCAGGTATATCGTATATATACGTTTTGACAGGTTTATGTATTATAACAATATAGAAGCCGGCTCAGTTTTCCATTTAATTCGTCATGGCCGAGTCAGAAGAAGTCGTGGAACCGCTGCACCTTGAGCTAGAGGACCGCGAGGTTTATCTTGCCAAGATCCCGGTACGTACTCATTTCTACGACGTGTCTCGTCTATATTGTGATGCATACTACGTCCTCATACGCGTTTAATTGACTTGAAACTGACGGTGTCATAGACTGCACTCGGTGCGTCGTGGAAGAATGTGCAAGGTATCAGCAAATTTACTATTGTATTAATCCTGAAAGTGACTAATAAACTGATTGTATCAACTACAGAGAGTGAGATGATGCTGGGATCGATTAAATTGGAGAAGAAGAGCGTTCTTGGCCGTCGAAAGGTAAAATTACATCAGCAATCGGTTGCCAATTTGCTGCACTACTAAGTGGTAATTGTCATGAGTAGGGAATGCTAACGGTGAATCCGAGTACACTAGAGGATGAGATTCCGACTGAGTACCGTGTCGAGATTAGCGAGACGCCATTGAAGCTCAAGGTGTTTTCACTGGATGGTTCCGGTCGTATGGCTGTGGAAGGTACGGTAAAGAACAGCTGCACCATTATGGCTCAGCACAACGACCAGTACAACAAAATGTGCAAGCAGAGGCTGATCAAGTCTATGGTCAAGACGAGGTACGAGCTAATGACGTTAGCGAGACGATCAGCATTTATCTTATTCTGTCTGATTGTTATTGGCACAGAATCGTTCAGCCGCTGGAGGACTTGCCCCGTGTAAAGAAGGCAAGGATTCAGTTCACTATTGACAAGCCTGATCCAGACGCCGAGGAGGTGAGTTTGAGCATGAACATGAGCATGAGCATGAAATAAGGTAAATTTGCTCATTTTGCTATAATTTTACATTTGCAGGGTGACGATGATTCAAAGATGCAGGACAGGTTGGACAAGAAGATCAAGATGAGCAAGGTACGATTAGGATTGTGGATTTGTGTTCATAGCTTTTTGCTGATTTAACCGCGTCTATTTTTTGTGTGGTTGTATGCAGGATGAGCTAAAGAATCTCGTGTTTCATCACTTTGAGGAGCGCGAGTACTGGCCGCTTAAGGAGCTAAATTATCATTGTCGTCAACCTGAGGTACGACTACGACTGATTGAAAAAAAGAAGCTTGTGCTTTCATCTTGTCTTGATGTTTGTGTGCTGCAGTCGTTCTTGAAGGAAGTGCTTAAGGAGATTTGCGTGTACCACCGCAAGGGCCCCAACAAGAGCTGCTATGAGCTGAAGCCTCAATACAAGGACGGTGTCTCGTCGAACGCATAAATCACTTGTTAAGATAGCTTCCACGATCTTGCAACAAATGCCCTAACTACTCCTCAATTCTGCATTCACTATGTTTTCAGTTTCGGTCATGTTTGGCTATCAGCGTGGATATGTGGATGTGCTGGAAATGGAAAGCTAGCTACCAACATGGTTTGTGCTCACATGTTTACATTAAAAACCAGTTCAAATCTTTGAAGAACAAACAGGCTGGCACTTGCACACCTTACTACATGTGCATGTCCATATTGTTGCACAGAACAAACTCATTACATGCGCAAAATCGCGTCATGAGATGTAAAAAATAGTGGAAGGTGGCTATCATGCAGATAAAGCAGAAGCACATCATCTTGAATGCAATTAACCCTGAGTCCGGAACTGAGTTAAGAGCCATAATTGATCATAGGTAAAAGCTACAGCTTTAAACAAAACGAAGCGAAAGGCTACACCACGTCCATGTCACTTGTCATACAACTAGCGATCCAAATGACATTTGGTTCATCTTGGTGCTTAGAGAAAGCTGCTAATATCGCTAAAACAATGATAGAAAGAGAAGTCGACAGGCAGTAGCGTACGTGGATCTTGCCTAGTAAAAACAAGGGGGCGTCAATGAATAAAAGAGATCCTTAGACCAGTGTAACAAATGAATTTGATGTTAGGCTATCAACTAGATGCATTGACCGCTTCAAATTATCATGCGACCTCTTGGGCTTGGTCTAGATTCCTTATCGCGCATCATACTCTGTGCTCGGTCAGTGCGATAGTTATAGACAAACATGCACGCAAAGCATGAATTCGGCAACGATCCAATGGTCGGGAAACGTGCATTAACCAATTGTGTTTGCTCATCGTAGAGCAGAGCAATCGCTTCCATGAACACCGTCAATTGCTTCATATTTGACGTCCTACAAATGCGTTGTTGGCAACGAGTGCAAGCCTGATCATTAAAAGTGTCGTCCAGACAGCATTGGAGCTTCTTGCCGCACTAAGCTCGCAGTGCTAGCAAAGCATCTTGTCCAGGACACTGAGTGAGTCGTGAACAGAATAAAGCTCTTGACTTGCTTGTAGCAAGCAGAGCGTTTCGGAGACATCCCACCTCATTCTGGTCAACCAGTGCCTCGTAATAAAGCCTGTGGCCACTACAGACATAGTCTACGATACTTCTCAGCTTCCGTTGCTGGCAAACAGCGTTCCCATAGATTCAAGCCACGACTTGAGCAAATTTCATAAGCCAGTATGGGCAGACCAAATAACTTGTCGGTTGTGATCAAAGTAGTAACCAAGATTAATCAACGTGTGTTTCTAACGATGTCGCAGCTAAATGTGTGGAACGACCATTACGTACGAGGCATTGGATGCCAAGGCTAGCTATGGCAAAAGTATCGAGACCAGGGCACAAAGTTTTTCTCATGTAAAAGCTAAAATCAAGCGAAACAGAGTGGTAGAGGCGCGGAGATTCACGGTATCTTCCTCTCTACCTTTTAGCGGGAGAATATCTCGTGTCACATGATACAGATCTAATCAATTGTTCCATGTCAATGCTCAAACATAGTCGAGACGTCGCATATGATAAATTTCTGGCAAGGCATGTGATTCCTTCTCTTCCTCATGAGGACGGGTGCTCCAGTGCCACTACGTACTTTCATTAGTTGGTGACTCAATCGCATTTGGTGTTCTATCCCACCTTCTGTTAAGCCCCTGACGTGACGTACGTACACATTCGTTACGTTGGGAGTGTGAGGACACACTTTTTTTGACAGACAATGAATGTCCAGCTGCGGATTGGCGAGACAATATGCCCTTTCCCATCCCGCACATGACCCAAGCGTTTCACAAACTTGGTCCGACGTTGCGATTTGATGGATCGTGCGCGTCAAAGATGCACCTCTCTGGTAAAAAGAGATCGCGGTGAGGTAGGTAGAAAGGGACGTACGTACATGTTAACAGTTGAATAGCTACTAAAGTCAAAAAAAAGTGACCAGTTGGATTCATTCATTCATTCAGTTAACATTGCACGAGACAAGGTCACCTCTGACCACGTTTTGTCCGTTACAAAACATATCATCATCATCATACGTGTTCGTAATCATGCGTCGTAATGTCGTGACGATGATATCGAGATACTCCCCCATGATCATCAGTAGTCAACCCTGATGAAACAATGTTGACTTTTGGGACATATAAATACGGACAGAGGTAACCTATTAGATTGTCCCGCTCTTTGATCTAAAAACGAGGTTTTTTTGAGTGTCTATCTCCCCATACAAATATCAAATGGTTTTATCTGATACCCGCCCCACCACGACGGCTCATAAATGCGGAGAAGCAGAAGAAGCAAAAGGAAAGGAGCGCAATCACTCTTTAGATTCTGCGCGTCTTCGCTACGTGAGAGCAAGTGCCCGACGCCTGTAGGTGATCAATACACTGGACATATCAGTGAATAAACAAGTGAGTGACGAGCGTGTTGCGTTTCCTGATGGAAGACGTTGAGCCTGTGCCACACCAAGAGCCGCGATCGGTAGATAAAAGCCCAAAGGAGGTACAGACACCTGAGGAGAGAGAAGAGGAAACGAATGGAGAGAATGGAGCTGTAAAAGAAGATAAAGTGATGATACAGAATCAAGAAGAAGAAGAAGAAGAAGTAGAGAAAGAGGACGGAGAAGAAAGAGGAGAAGATGAAGTTGAAGTGCTGACGGTGATACGTGAAGAAAGGACAGAGACATTTGAACAGAATCATTTAGATGATAAAGATGAAAATGGTGTGGATATTTGTGAAGAAGAAGTGGAGATGCAGACGCCCGTAGTAGCAGTTTCAAGTGTCGCCGAGACTGAAGCGATAGCAGAAAAGTCCGAGACGGACGAAAAGACGTCAGTTGAGATGAAAAATGCACCTAATGATGAAACCCATACGTCAAATGAACTGCTTGTTGAGTCAAAGAACGAACAGAAAGAAGAAAACGTGAAGGAGATAGTTCCAAAGCCTGAGTTACTAGATGAAAAACAGTTGAAGGAGGAGGATACACAAGTAAGCGAGGAATGTTCAACGCAAGAGCTGCATCAGACCGCAAGTATTGCCAGTGAAAAGGAGGAAGGTGAGGCGGATCTTAGTACTGACAAATTGACAGAGGGTGAGGATGAAAGTGACAATAAGGTACTAATCGTTGATAGGCGAACAAAGCAAAATGCCAACCGCCAGATGCAGTTACCATATGCTTCTTCAAAATATTTAGCACCGTCACCTACACCAATTCGACCACTGGATGGAGATCCGCGTGCGATGATGAAACAGCTCCAGGAAGGTGATGTAGCTAACAGCAGTAGTGCGCCCAATAATGCAATCGACGTCTCTCCTTCAAAAGGACAAAGCAATGCTGGTGCCAACAATGTTTCGGCAAGTAGCAACGCGGTATCACAGTCTCAAATGTTCTACCACCAGACCAATGCACCTTCATTTTATACCACACCCCAGGACGGCCCGCCTGTTGGACCTGCAATGATGGAGCAAGGCCAAGCGAACGCTTTTACCGCGAACAATCAGGTCAATCGGAACAACGAAAGCATTCAAAGCAATTTGAGCTGGATTCCGCAAGCCGTGCAAGGGGCCCCTACGGCAAAAATTCCACAAGCGAGGCCAAATGTACGTGCGGCTTTTTTGGTGTATCTATGCTAGTTTGCTATGCTTACTAATTTAGAATGTTGTGTGGCTTTAAAACCTTCTAGCGCCATGGAGGTGGTGATTCGAGTCTAAATCCTGCTCCATTTGCCGCTAAATCGCTTGTGCCGCAGCGTTTGGACGAAAACTCATACGCTTTGGATCGCGCAAACTTGAGTCGTCTGGGCTCGTACGCCAAAACTGCGTGTACGCCGGCCCAGGCTAGTGCCCTCGCGATAGATGTATTACGTGCGTCAACTGGCGCAGAAAACGCAAGAGCACACGGGTGGAAAAATCCATTTCCTGGCGATGAGTATGAGGTCCTGCTTCAAAAAGGATCTATTGGATTGTGTATGAATATGAGTGTCCGCATGGGCTCGGTTACTGTGACGAGCTTTCGCCGTCCCGAGGAAGCTATGATGGGGCCAGCAGAAGCATGCGGTATGATTTCGATAGGCGACGATTTGATTGCAGTCGATGGTTTTCTTGTCCAAAGTCAAGAAGATTTTGCGCGTGTCGTTTCACGTCTCAAGTCGCTGCGTCCAGTATTACTACGTTTCCGTCGACCTGGTGGAAATGGCCTTGTGAGCAGCCTTAGTCGTGATTCTCAGGGTTACCGCAAGGGGCAGCAGACGTCAATTGTTGGTTTAGACAGCCCTCAGCTATTTACGACTGGGATGTGGCACATGGGCGTAAAGTACATCTGTCCAAGTCAGTGGGCCGCGGAGTTGCACGTAGACGGTGGCGGCATTCGACGACTGGGTATTTTTTCGACAGAGAAAGAAGCAGCAATGGCATACAACCAGTACATTCACCAAACGTACGGTAATGGAGCAGTGCAGTTTATGAACCCTGCAGGCAGTGCTGCAAATTCCAACATTCCTGTTGCGATGCCAACTGTTCGCGAAATGCAGCCCATTCAACGTCGGCGGCCACTGCTTCGTGCTGCATTTACCGCGGAACAGAAAGAGCAGCTACGTGCTCAAATTATGGTATTTAAGTTTACATCCACTGGCGGTAACATTCCCAACGAGATTTTGAGCCGCGCGTTGAAGACGATGGCTTACAATTACATTCAACCGAATGCGAACAGGAACAAGAGAAAGAGCTTTGCTCCAGTAGTCCTTACAAAGCCAACTAAGAAAAAGACTAAACGGGGGCGCGGAAAGAAGAAGTTTTCAGACGAAGATGAGGATGAAAGCGACTCCGACGATACCTACTCCGTTCGAAAGATTTTGAAGGAGGAACAACCGGCTCGCCGGTCTGGACGTAATGTCGGCAAGGCGAAGAAGAAATACGTAGAGGAACAGCTTGATTTTGAGTTGAGTGATGAAGAGAAGACCTCAAAACACAAGCAAAAGGAAGTTCCGAAGGGTCCACAAATTGATACAATTGTTAGCGTGCGTTTTCACAAACAGACCTCGAATGATATCGAAGTGTCAATGGAGTTCCTGATAAAATGGAAGGACACTTCGTATCTTCACGTAAATTGGCTTTCTGTTAGAGAAATTGAGGAATTTGGACAACACGCTATCCAGCGCATGAGACGGTATCTTCAGAAAAATAGTCGTCTCGTAGAAGAGGCACGAGAAACAGTCGTTGTTGGCGAAGAGAAGGATCTCAGCAACTATTTCAGCGACTCATACATTGAAGTGGACCGTATTTTGAATGCAAAAGAAGTCGTGGAGCTTCAAGAATCGAATCCGTATTTAGTCCATCTCCTAAAAAGGGAAGCCAGTGGCATTGAAGGCGAATCAACGGCACCAAAGAAAAAGGGTATCAAGTACCTTGTCAAATGGCGCGACATGAGTTATGTTGATTGCACGTGGGAGTGGGAAGATGAGCTCACAGATGATCGTAAAATTGCTGCTTTTCATCGTTTCAATCATCCTCCGATTATCAACGGTGCTCACCCTGCCACTTATGCTGATGTTCGGCCCGAGCCGTCCACGTGGGCGAAGTATCTAGAATCTCCAGTTTACAATAATCAGAACACTTTGCGGTCGTACCAGCTTGAAGGCCTTAACTGGCTAACATTCTGCTGGTACAATCGCCGCAATTGCATTTTGGCTGATGAAATGGGTTTGGGTAAGACAGTTCAAGCAACTTCTATCCTTGAACATTTGCGTCAGCGGGAGTTTATTCGGGGTCCATTCTTGGTTGTTGCCCCTCTCGCAACGCTGGGAAACTGGAAGCGAGAGATTGAAACATGGACTTCGATGAATTGTGTTGTATATCACGACTCGGAAGGGGGGTCCGATATTCGTGCTTTTATTCGCGAACAGGAATTTTATTTTGCCAGTGAAAGTCATCGAAAACGGGGTATTTACAAGTTCAACGTATTGGTGACATCGTATCAAACCCTTATGATGGATGCAGAATTCCTAGAGCCTATTCATTGGCGGTATATTGTGATCGATGAAGCTCACAAGCTAAAAAATCGCGAAGCAAAGCTACTTCAGGTGCTTCACGGTTTTACGTGGGATTCGTGCCTTTTGATGACGGGCACACCACTGCAGAACGGCGTGTTCGAGCTGTGGTGTTTGTTAAACTTTATCGAGCCCGAAAAATTCCCGAGCCAGCAAGAGTTTTATGATGAATTTGGTGATCTGAATACAGCGGAACAAGTTGGTCAGTTGCACGAACAGTTGAGACCGTACATGCTTCGTCGAGTGAAAGAGGATGTGGAAAAGAGTATTCCACCAAAGGAAGAGACGATTGTTGATGTAGAGCTGACTACGATGCAGAAGAAATATTACCGCGCTATTTTTGAGCGCAACCGCCAGTTTTTGAACATGGGAGCGTCCGGTACTGTCGCTAATCTAGTGAATGTTGAAATGGAGCTGCGCAAGTGCTGCAATCACCCGTTTTTGATTCGCGGTGTTGAGGACAAGGAGTGTGTGGGTGTCGATGATCAGCTTCGGATGAAGGTGTTAATTCAAGCGAGTGGCAAAACGGTGTTACTTGACAAGCTGTTGACCAAGTTCCGTCAGGAACAAAAGAAGGTGCTTATTTTTTCTCAATTCAAGATCATGCTGGATATTATTGAAGACATGTGCCAACTACGAGGCTACAGTATGGAACGTCTTGACGGATCTGTTCGTGGAAACTCACGCCAGGCGGCGATCGACCGTTTCAATAACCCAGATTCGGACACATTTGCGTTTCTCTTGAGTACACGCGCTGGTGGAGTTGGTATCAACCTGATTGCGGCGTCGGTTGTGATTCTGTTTGATAGCGACTGGAACCCTCAAAATGATCTTCAAGCTGTTGCGCGTTGTCACCGTATTGGTCAAACAAAGTCAGTGAATATTTATCGTCTCGTGACAAAGAAGACGTACGAAGCTCAAATGTTTGAGATTGCGTCAAAGAAGCTCGGCATGCACCATGCTGTTTTCGAGACTGGTGGGGTTCGCAATGAGTTTGACGGCGAAGATGATAGTAGTGGAAATATGATGTCGTTAATGTCATTAGATCGCGAGAAGGTTGAAATGATGATCAGATACGGGGCGTACGCTATCATGGGTGAAGAAGACGAGCTAGATCCCGAAAACCGCGCTATCAATGAACTCGATATCGACCATTTGCTGTCGAATAGTCGAACTATCAGATATGACCCGACAAAATCTGGTGAGAACGCTGACGGCGACAAGAATAATTGCGATGATGGCGGCAGCGATACCAAACCGGTGACTGCATCTCAAACTACTGCTCTTTCGTTCTCGAAAGCAACGTTCACATCCGAATCAGCAGACACGACAATTGACTTCAATGACGAGAAATTCTGGGAGAAAGTTCTTGGCCCTAAGCCTGTACAGGTGCTTATGACAAAGGTCCAAGAAGGTTGGCTGAAGACAGCTTTACAAGACGACGTAAGGGATTTTCTTCTGCAGTTGCGTGAACTTGCTCGTGCGGTTGTTAAGGAGCGGCAACGAGGCAAATCTCTTGCAGATGCGGATCAAGTTCTCTCGATTTTGATTGAGTTAAAAGTCACTGGTTGTGTTATTAAAGGAGTTGTGAACGTTCGCGAGGTTGCCACTGAATGGCTCCAGGTAATTGAGCGACCGAGACGTCGGCGTAGCCAAGATGTAGGGGACCAGTCGATGTATCTAGAATTTCTTGATGGACTCAAAGAGCAGCTTCCGAAGAAGAAGAAAGGCGGTGCTCGCCGCAAGCGAACGGCGAAAGCAAACAGTAGGCATAAGGATCAGAGACTTTCTAAGAGTGACGAAGACTTTGCTGAAGATGATGTCGACGTATCAAAGCGCAAGAAAGCAGCCCGTCACTCATCGAGTGGTAGAAACTCCAGAGCCTTGTCACCCAGCGGACGCATGCTTAGTGGTATTCATATTTCACTGAAGAGATCCAAGATTACCGAAACTTTTTGCGTCGTGAGAGCGGCTAGCAAGATTCGAAAAGTGCAAAAGAAGCTCGATAGATCGTCAAGTGAGATTGACTTGCCGACCACACCCGGTAAAAATAAACATTATGATAAGCGGCTGAAGGCTATGGGAGATGAAGATGAGGAACATGTTAGCGGTTCCGAGGAAGAGGAAAAGGAGGAAGAGCAGGAGGAGGAGGAAGAAGAAGAGGAAGAGGAGGAGGAGGAAGAAGAAGAAGAAGAGGAAGAGGAGGAGGAAGAAGAAGATGCCTATGAAGAACACGAGAAGGCAGCAAAGAAGCCTTCTCGAAGCCGGCCTCGGAAAACGGCAAAACCTAGCGGCAAGGCCCGAAAGACTGTCAAAGCCAGCGTGGATCCGCAGGAGGACGAAGAGATGTGGTGTCGCGTATGCTATAGCGACCAAGGCTACCTTGACGACCCTATCGTACAATGTGAGAAATGTTCTGTCGCTGTTCATCAGGTAAGACATGTTATCGAATTGTTGTGTCTTTTCTGTATACCTTTGAACTGACTAGAACTTTCGTTCTGTTCAGTACTGTTATGGAATTAAATCAGTGCCTGAAGGTGATGAGCCGTGGTTTTGCGATTACTGTGCTGAACCAAGACGTTTCTCTGCTGGTGCGGTATGTGAAACGTAATGACTTTTATATATATTTTCATTGTATGGCTCTGACATCGGTTCTACTGTAGCCATGCGAGTTGTGTCCTTTGAAGCGCTCGAAAAGCGCATTCAAAAAAAACATGCGAGGGCAAATGGGTCCATGTGGTGTGCGCTCTGTGGGCGCCTGGTGTCCAATTCTCCGATGTGGAGCGCATGAGTGGAGTAAAGCATGTTGCTGCTGCTGCCGACGAGATGAAAAACTCGGTTTGCGCTCTGTGCGGGAAGAAGGGTGGCAGCATCAAATGCATGCGGAGCTCATGTTCAACGTACTTTCACCCTCTATGTGGCCGTGAGACCCGAGGTACTTACGATATGTTTATGAAAGAAGGGGGGACAACTGCAAGCGTTTTGCCAAAAGCACCGAGCGCATCGAAAGCGTAGTTAGATATTACTTGAGATTTCAAGCTGCCCGTCTTAGAAGTCTTCACTTTACGGCCTCTTATGATAATGTAGCGGATGATTTTAACGTGTGTCGTGCCATCTCTTCGCCTTCAAAGCAGTTTGTACTCGTGGATGGCTTGATCAAATTGCACATGTAATCGACGGATCAAGATTGTCGAGGAAGCAGTTTGATGTCTTGGTGTAGCGCCTTTGGTAAAATGATTGTACAACATTACACCGGCTGGAATGCGTGCTCGCAATTATGAGCTTCGTATTGGAAAATGGAGTTTTGATTGAAGATGCGCTTGAGCTCTTGTGGCAATCTTAACGGAACTGGCCACGGGAAAGCAGAAAAGGAACGTAATTGGTCGGCATTCATCCTCAAGTGAAGCTCGTTGAGCTCGTCGAGTATTTACAGCTTGGCCTTGGCGTTTGTGACCCCATTGTGCTTCAAACAAGCTTACCGTCTCCGTCTGCTTCCGCGGTCCATTTGACTCTTTGTTGAGCTGTTTGCGTTGGACATTCAAGCACTTCAAAAATTGTTTACATTGATGGAATCATTTCCTTCTTTGTCAACATGTCGAAGGAATCCACGGGCTTTGGTTGATTCTTCATTGACGACAGTGTCTCGATCACTTTGCGCGTGAAATACTGTCATTAGTATCGGTAGAAACGACGGAGATCGATCGTATAAAATCAAGCTACACGGACCTACTATATTATCTTTAACGTGCCAGCAAAGCTGTTTCCACAATGGCATCATCGTGATACGGCAGGAAAAGAAAAAATACTGGCATTATCTGCTAGTGAAGGCTGGATGCTCATGTAGCTTTCCTCAATGTAGTTTTGAATCTCACAATGTAAGTGAGAAATGCATTGTGAAAAATACCGATCCCTCTGCGTCGTCAAGATAGCTATTGTCGATACAAAGCATTGAATGCCATCGCTTCCTTCATCACTAATGACACTTAGCACCTCATTGAAACTCAAACATGTGCATGTAATCAACTTATAGAAAAACATCACTCAATTGAAGCGTCAGACATGTCCAGACCCAACCGCACACCAAGAAACAGTGGTCATCAAATGTATGTCAGTATCGTCAAGATGCTCGACAGACTGCTCACTGACACCAACGGTGCGCGATGTCTGCAGCTTGCTAGCGGTCTCATGGTAAGCCTCTGCAAGACATTTAACTGCTGCGCGCGAGGATGAGTCAATGCTGCTGTTGATGACACTTTGAACAATGTTGCCCTGGACAGATACATCGCTCACAATCTACAGTGTACCAAAGTGCGACGCAAGTTAGCAAAACTCAACCTCAAAATCTGATGACACGCGAGATAATGTCTTCGCCCTTCTCGATCGTAGTTGGCGTCTGCTATTGCTGTCTCACGTTTTTCGAGTACAATTCATCTGACGGATAAGCTTGAGTTGACCGACGCATGGGCTTGTGCACCACACTTGTTTACAGAGTCCGCAATGATGTCGATATTCACAACTTGGTAATGTGCAGCACAAGATTGGCACCATATGCAAATTGAGGTCCTATCGCCCTTGTGATGATCACAAAGGCCAAAACCGGCAAGCTTTTTTCTTGCTCACTTTGCACTTCTTCAGCTCTCCGGAAATAACGTCTGACTGTGCTAACACGTGATCAGCCGTCGTCACCAACATTCCCTCAGTAGCCGCTTCGTTACAGTAAAGCGTAAAGTGCTTATCAGTTGTCGAGTCAAGGACACTGGCGAGATGCGGGTCGCCTTCAATGCGAATCGCCTTCAACTGTGGCAACTTGCTCCCGCATCTAGGCAAGTTGACTACAATGTCAGCCAAGTTGCGCGACAAACTTCGTGGTCTTTGTCAAACACAACGGCTGGTCAATGCACCACACATATCGCAAAGACAAGCCCAGCCATTATGGCACTCAAACAAGATGCCTTCCGATGAGATCAAAGAAGCGCTTGCTTGTCACCAAAACGTTCTGGAAAGAAAACTAGATTTGCTCAAGCGCGCGCACCTCTATACAGACAGCTGCTCCGTCGTATAAATGTAGCAAAAGTAGAGCTATCATGTCATCTTCTGAGCAGCACCATTCGTATTTCGGATATGCTCTACACAACAAATAGAGGTCTACCGTGATCACCTCGACGGTGAAGATCGTGTACCCGGCGCAAACTAGCTTGCGTGGGAGCAAGAAAACTATTTTTCGGTCGAGCACTGCTGGAGTTTTTCCTTGTTGTCTTTGGTACTGTTGAAGTAGAAATGTCAACTGCAGCTCCTCGACTTCGCGCCCATATTGCTGCCTGGCGCATGGCCTTACGCTGTTGCACTTGCACTTGGCTTGTTGGCCGAGTGATATTGGTAGCAATTCGACTTGAACGTACGCTGCTGATCTGGGAGATACTAGAATGAGGCTGCCTATCAATACATGACTGAATAGCAGTCTGCGTAGCAGGTTTCAACATCGAGTGTGGATTTTGTGGTCTCCATGCTGCAGTCGGCTTGCTGGGTGCTTGTTCATGAGTATCAAGACCCGTCTTTTTGTCTTTGTCTTGCTCTTCATCCGAAACGGTGCAAGAGTCCATAGCATCGTATATTGTGTGTGCATGTTTTCTAGCAGTAGTATCCCGTCTTGCGTTTAGTTCTTGCCATGATGGCGTCGCTGTCTTATGACAAAAAGTACTTTCTTTAGCGAGCCTTGATACCGTCTTCATCCCTGCTGTGTTTTTCATCTTTTGTTCCTCACTCTCTTTCTTTGCAGATTTTGCTTGCTGTTGCACTTGCAAATGCTTCATCACCTTTTTCTGTCGCAGTCGGATTTTTTCAGACAGCTGCAGTGAGTCTTGGAGCAAGTCACAGCGTGCCTTGAGCTTGTCATATGCCTTTTTGCTCTTTTCTGCATTCTTGCATTTCTTCTCTGCAGCATCCAGTGCTCTCTTAGTTCTCTCTAGCTCAAGCTTAAGCTGATCCTTCTCTGCAGTGACCTCTTTTAGTTGCCTGAGCGCCTTTACAGTGCTGTTAACGGTTCGAGCAGTCTCTGAAAGCTGCTCCCTGCTCCCATTTCGTCTCTTATCCACTAGCCCAGACATCTGCCGACAACCACAATGCACACATTAATACATCACCATCTGCTCTTTACTACTAGGACTTTATCAGCTTCACAATATCTCTCAATCGTTCACCTTGAAGCTTTCCAGCTCATTCTTCCGCTCCCTCGACGTTGCAAGGCAGCTAGAAGTATCCAGCGTCATACTAGAGTCGACATTAGCCCGTAACTTATGTGAAAGACAGTCCACGTCCTTTTGCAACTCCTCTAGCCTCGTTTCAAGCCGATTACGCCGTCGATAATGTAAGTTCGTGCCATTCCACGAGTTTGCTACATTCTTGTCTTGTTCATCACTTTGAGAGCATGGAGACATGATAGAGCTCAGACCGTTGCAAAAAAGCCATTCCTCACTATCAATACTATACACAGCATCTGATATCCGCTGCCGGCATTGCTCTGGTGTCTTGTAGATGAACGACGGCGAGTCAAATGACATGGACATGAAGGAATGGTCCGTAGGCAGTTAGTTTAATTGACTATTATGTGGTGGACATGAAAGATAAATAAAATAGAGTCATGGCTACGTTTATGCTACTTTATTTTAAAGTGAATATGGTATGAAAGAACAATAGAAAATCCCTTGCTTGTCAAGACAAGTTGCATTGTGTAAAGCTAATAAAAATTGGCTAGTAGATAATAATGCATAGAAATCTTACTTGCTTTTAGGTAACATGTAGTCAGAGATTCCTTTGGATATGACAGCACTGTAGCGGTCGTGCATTATCTCAGACAGTAGTTTATGCGTTCCAAGTGCTTCTGTGACACGCACGTCCACGTCCGGGTGTCGCGCTTTGACATCTTTGATAATCTCATCAATGTTGTTGTTCTCTCCAGTATGGTCGTCAGTAGAAAGAAACATTGTAGCACAGACAACAATACTGTTCTTCATGGTGTGATGGGCAAGAGCTTGAGCCAGTAGTGGATCATGGCAATCATCATATTCTGCACCTTCACGACGCTCCATGCTCGCGGTACCAACAAATTTGACGCACTCATATTTCTGCAAAAGAAGACGCAATTTCTTGACGACAAATTCTCGGGAATCGTAAACGTCTCGATTCAGTGTGCCATGGTCCACAACCAGAACTGTCACGACCTCATTTACCTTCTTCAAGTCCAATGCATCTTCAATACGCTCTAATAGAATTTGAGCGACCCGAGGGTCGTCTGCATTCTCTTGATCTACAAGGCAACCACCGACACGAACAAGGAGTGGCGCTGAGGGCGATGGTGTCAATGTTGCCCAAACTTTGTCGATGGTTGCTGGCAGATATTCGGTCAATGTACGAGTCTTTCCAATGAATAACGGCAGCACAACAACTTCACTGGCATTCTCTCCACGAGCAGCAAGGTGGTCAGTCAGCACCATTTCAAATGTCTTGGCTTGGAGCGAATTCAGCTCGCAAGGGTCAATGCGATTCGAAAATCGAAAGCTACAAGGTACAACAGGCTGGCAGAGAGACCGACTCAGCCGAAAGCTAATCTGACGTAGATCAAGGTACGCCTTAGCCTGCAGCGGTCCAACGTTCACCAGCACAACCAATCGCGGGCGAGCTTTACTAGCGGCAATCAAGGACAGAACATCATGTCGTACTATCTTGTCTTCTTCCAGTACTTGGGCTAGAAAGCCTTCACGGTAAGTTGGATAGATGAGTTGCACTCCTAGCTCTTCCTTGATTCGACGATTGGCGCAGATCTTGCTCTCCGCATAAAAACTCTTTGCAATGGCACTCATCCTTTGCTCCGCTTCTTCCCACGTTTGTCTGAGTGGTACCTGTACACCCAACAACTCACAAGCATAAGCCGTGACTTCATCCGATGGGGCCGGTTCATCGTCGCACATGTTATAGATTCCACCAGGATTCGGCCGAGCTGCTGACGCTAGCAGAATATTGACAATATCATCGACATGAATGCGATTAAACTTTCGACCTGGAATGTAAATCCGTGACGCCGTCCCGCTTCGAACCCTCGTAAGTGTACCTCGGCCAGGGCCATAGATCCCAGCAATTCGGAAAATGTGAGTCGGTAGACCCGAATCTAACCACAGACGCTCGGCTTTGATCCGCATTTGACATCTAGTCACTGAAGATCCGACTGGAGCCGATTCATCTACTTCTACACCATTCGTTTCTCCGTAGACACCAATGGTTGACAAATAACCAACCCACTGAATCGAGTCTTTCGTGGCGCGAATGAGCGGTTCTTTCAGAGCTCCCAAAACGGGATCCTCCTGACCTTCCCAAAATCCTGCCGGTACTGAAACGAGTATGTGAGTCACCCCATGCAGCGCTTCTTCAAGTGATAACGAATTGGAAGTGCTCCATGTATTTCCATCAAAGAGGAACACGTTTTGTGAATGAATAGCAGATGACTCGTATCGGAACAAGTCGGCATTGGATTGAGACAATTTCGTCGCAGTATCTACCGATCGAACTGTACCAGATACTTGATACCCAATAGAATGGAAAGCATGAGCTGCTCGGGACGCAGAATAGCCAAGACCGAATACAAAAAGCTTTTTGGAAGGGATGGACGACATCAGTCACAAGGATTGGTTGACAGAGGTTTTTTATTGAAAGTGTTGTTGGTTGTGGCTTGTCATTTATCATTCTAAGTTCATTAATTTAATTAAGTACATTTTGTCATACAAGGAGATCAGTAGGTTTATGAGGCAACAGTCCATGCTGTCCATTCCCTTTCAAGTAAATCTGCTTACAAGTCCTACCTTCCTATACATGAATGTGCTGTCGCCTCTTATAGCAACCTACCAGCAACCCATCTCTGGGACTTCACAGTCTGCTTCTTCCCATACTGAAACTTCATATGCCGTTCCCTGCAAATCCAACAGCATCCTTGATACAACAAAAATACTGCTATGTAGACAAGCATTACGAGGCAATTACGTGCTGGAGACAATGTCATGGCTTTTATGAGAGAGCGCAATGGCGTAACCACAAATCATTTTTTCACCTCTTTCAAACAAGCGGCTACGTGATGTGTTGGCACGTAAAGCTATAGATAGGTTGGTGGCTACGAAGAGCGTGAGAAGTGTGGATTGTATAACATTGGAGACATTCCACATTGACAATCTAGATGGAGCATGAAAGAGCTTGTGCGAGTGCGAGAAGCCAAGCCATGACCCAAAAAAGTGGCAGACGAACGTGCGACCGTTTGTGTCGATGCATTTCGCAAACATCATGAGTGTACTGCATCGATAAGCTTTGTGAAGCATTAGGCCAAGTCAACGCCGCATGTTTAAGTTATTGGTGAGTATTGATCTTTACGATCATAACGATAGTCGATTAAACTCTCGAAATTGTAGTCTGTCAACGACTTTGGATAAAAGTGATAGATCCATGCAGAGCCTTATCGTAGCATTTAACACGCAAATACGAGTCTGTAGCATGTCAAACGTTTTTGAGCTGCTCAAAAATGTGTCAAAGATCTCAACTCATTACTCATATACGTCTACCATCTGCTGGTCTCTTACCTACAGGTCTCCAGCAACGTCCTGCTCTCTTTTTCTGCCGCACATGGGTGACTTGGTTTACAAACTCCTCAATGACGAACCCATGCTTCTTTAGGTGCTGGCATCAAAGAAATCATCGATGATATGCTGCATCGATGGTACCTTTGACACCAGCACCTGCTCTGAAAATAAAGTGCACCAAATGTTGTTTGCCGAACAGCACATATGACGAGAACAAGACTTGTTGGTTTGCTTATGCGGTACGCTGTCCAGGCGTGCTTGAATGCATATACTTTGTAAGCAGCCAGCGTTGCTGATAGCGTACAGCTACTTCAGTGCAAAAGTCATGTACGCGCAGTATGTCCCAGGTGCATATTTCGGCCGTTGTTCCAATGTCGTATATCAACGCTGCACTTGTTAGCAGAGCAACATAAGGTACCCACGTATCCCGCCATGGAGTATGAAGCCTTGGATCCAAAGGTCAGACGGTCGCCAAGCCAAATCAAGTTAGGGTCTGCTTCCTTGTAAAGTTTCCAGCTTCAAGGTGACATCTCGTACTATGAGCACAAAGCAGCACTAGTACGTAGAAAGTATCCCTTTATCGTACCGATCATTCATTATGTAAGACAATTGCAAACACGTCAGCACCTTGTCGTAAGAAAGAAGAGAAAGTAGATTGCAAAACAAAGGAAGTAGTGACATTGTTTTGACTTGTTCTGCCTAGCACACAATTATTGACAGACCTCAGCTGGCTTTAAGCAGTGTCAATCCATGTCTCTAGACCGTTTCGCAGTGCAGACTGTAACATAGCATCTATATCTTTCCTCATGCTCGCTCGTTAAAGCAGTACACATTAACATTTTGGTCATGTCGACGAGCACGACACGCCGTAGAATACACGTGTTAAGGTATATATTGATGGGGTGTCAATACACTAGACGATACCTAGTATATAGAACACATAGCAGCTATACAATTGAGTGACTGGTTCTGAATCAGATGAAGCGCGAGGTCACGTACATCAACGAATACGACCATGCGTCGGCGAGAAAAAGGCTGCAATCGGTGCTGCATGTCACATTCATTACCACCGCGCATATGGTTAAAAGAGGCCAAAGTAAGGGCGGACGTAGCCACTGTTCCGTCTGGAGCTTGGGACGACTCTACAAACCGACGACGCAAAGCATTGCGCGTGTGCGAGCGTTGCTTGTGAAGATGGGGTTACGATGGGACTTTATGCTAGAACCAAGCTCTTTATCAAATTGAAAGGCCATCGCCAGCTTCTCTATAGCATACTAAAGGTTATGACATAAACAGCTCGGTGCAACGTGGTAGCTGCTTTTGTATCTTAGTCACCTCCTCTTGACACAAGAAGATTGAGCTTAGCTTTTAGAAGACGGCTTGTGGAGGTCGTTAGGGCTGCGGGCGCAGCCATTTCTGCTTTGCTAACATGTGACAGTAGAGCGACTTTCCAACGATATTGCAACCTTACCATCAAAGGCACGACCATCACGTGGTTCTAGAAGACTTGAAGTAACAAGAACATTGAAATGGAATGGCTGCAGTATTTGTGTTGAATAAATAGGTTGCGGACATGCAAAGAAGCCGGTTGATGTTTGATCGTAGACAACAGCTCAACAATAGGCAAAGGAATGGCTACTCTCATTTCACTACAACGCACCTATCGTGGTTTTGGATATCTAAATGTATAGTACACACCGTCTCGGAACATGTGCCATCACGTTTTGTTTGCAATGTTTTAAAGTCTATAAGCGTCCTGACTGTCCTCTGGTTTTGCACGCTGCTTCCCGTAAAATCAAGCGTCTGTAGAAAATAATAAGAACGTTTTTGTTATGATGTTTCTGGAGAGCTCTATTCTACGACCAAAAAGCAAATGGCGGAGAGGTTGAGGTTCGCACGCTGATATGAGTAAAGAGGTGAACAAAGTGCAAAGTGTCGTTGGTTCGTCACATTAATTGTGCTAAAACAGGTAACAATGTCAGTATCCTTCAGCTGGAAACAGATCGAAAGTTAGTCGGACTTTTTGATCAACTGCGGTCATCCATTTTGACTGGTCAACCTTTCGGCTATGATGTTTCCATTGCGTGCGTGAAAAACAGCTAACACACCTCACGATGCTCATCTTTATTCCACAGTGGTATCTTGCACTACAAAGCGCAATACTGTTTGACAAGTATTTTCCCAAAGCCTTCCTTCATTTCGTCTCTACAACTACCACATCGTTGTTGAAAGAACTAGGAACTCAAAAACTCAAAGTCGTTACATTAGCAATGCACTTTTCAATTCCACTGCAATATCTTGACTAGTACTCTCAAAAAAGAAGATAGTACCAGTGCTCTGTCAGCCCCTAGTTGGCTTAGAAAAAGAAACATTGCATTGTAAGAAAAGACCAGCCCCGTCGTCTCTTCATCCACAACGTCAAGATATTCAGTCAACCCAAGTGTATCAAAGACGCACGATGGCTCGTCTTCTCTTTCGTCGACTAACTGAAGTCGCCAGTAGAATGAATGCATCTCTCTCTTTCTGGCATCCAACCATTAATTCGAATCTAGCGGAGACGGGCGACGTCATCATGTGCGCAATTAGGACCTGGGAAACGATGATTTCAAGTACTGTATAACCGTTACACAAGTGCATGTGGTCTTCTTGCGCGGACGGACGAATCTACATTGTTCTCACCGAAGAGCTGCATCACCCAGTAATGCAAGATTTGATTGCTTTGCTATTTTTTGTGAATGTTCCAAAAGCATTTCTAATTGCTGTATAGACCGGTGCAGTTCAAGTGAGACATATCGTTCGTTACTCAAGTATATTCTTCTGTTACTCCACGAAGTGTTTGAGTTTACATCTTTCGGAATTCTTGTCGCTGGTAATCATAAAAAGTTGTTGTTTCCTAGCTTAGCATTATGTATAATATATGGGGTTTTACAGTATGCAAAGCTTTGTTTTCAAAATTGTGCGAGTCTTTGAACCGTTACGATACTAATAAAGTCGGCTACAGGGTCGCAATGGAGCCTTTAAAAATCATTAGAAACAGTAACTGCAAGCTATATTTCTCATGATCGAAGTTACTTTATAATAATAATCATAAAAAAAACCATGATCCTACCAACTACAAGACGCCGCTCTTGTGTTTCATATTTCTTACGGTGAAGTAGTAGTTGTGTGATCTGTCTATGCGCTTGCATCATTAACGGTAAAGACTCTAGTTCTTAAACGGGTTAATTCACCTTTTTAACCAATCAGTATCGTTGAACGTCGCTTTGCGAAAGGCAACACTACGATTGCAGGGACTCTCTCTTTCTCTGGCTCTTTTTCCTGCTTTATTGTAAGTAGCACTTAAAAAACTCTCTCTCATCATCACTCGTAAGTTTTCACTGTAAATCCAAAAGGGAAGACGACTTGACATTGTCTTAATTGTTTGTTGTTATTTCTCTTCAGTATTTTTGCATCAATTGATAGCAAAAGAGAGACAGAGATAGTAGAAGTTTTGTGTGATCAGCTTTTGAATTAAAGCAGCAGAGATTAGTTGTGACTAATCGGATCAGACAAAAGCGAGAGCGAGAGAGAGAAGAAGAAGGAAAACGAGACATTAAAAACACACAAAAAGAAAGACATACAACAAAGTATTAACTTTGACTTGTCAGACCTTTTTACTTCATAACAATGTGGCTCAAGCTTGTCGTAATTAATGTCTTGCTACTGATACAACGAACAAAGGGAGAGGACGGTACGTTTGAAAACCAATTGATCTTTCTGTCTGATACTTCTTTGACGTGTGAAAACGTGACGTTCATGTTTCTTACATCCTTGCCTCTTTTGTATTTTATGATATTTATATATCTCTATATTCTTACAGATTGTCCATTTACTGTAAGTGTCTTGGATGTCCCAGGTGTACGATGTGTGCCAGTAACACCTTGTTCAGGAACGTATTATCCATCGGGTTTAGCTCAGGGTGTTGGGGCATGTCCTACTGGTTCAAGTTGTGCACTATTACCATTAACACCAATCATGGGTTGTGCTGTTACGGGACGTACGGATCTTGTCTATGTCAAGACGGATGGTACGCTGATGAAGGATGGCAAACTAGTGACGGTTATGGGGGACCCCGTGTCCACGACACAGTCACCAACGATATCTGATAGCACCACTAGCAGTACAACAAAAAGAGCCACTGACAGCAGCAGTACGAGATACAGTGCCAATGACAGCAGTACGAGTAAAAACAGCGCCACTGACAGCAGCAGTACGATAAACAGCGCCACTGATAGCAGTACTAGAAAAAGCGCCACTGACAATAGTACGAACAACCTCAACAATGAGCTAAAGAAGAACCCCAGCAGTAGCAAATTGAACGGCAACAGTGAGGGGTCTGGATTAGGAGAGTCCAAGACTAAAGAAGACTCAAATGGTAAGGGCTCTTTCTACATCTTTTCTTAATGCTGCAGTAATAAGTTTAAAGAGTGTTAATCGAGGCTCTATCATTGCAGACGAAACAAATGCCACTGACTTGACACTCGACAGCGATGGTAACAAATTGAGGAGTGTCGATAACCGCCCGGTCACCTTGTCGATGTCAGAGTCTGGATCGGATGATTCTGTGGGTAGCGACGCTGCTAACCAACAGGCAACGTTCAACCCTGGGTCAATTCTGAGCGACGGACCTACCTTGTCCAAGTCGTCTTTAGACGGTGGACTAGGCCTCGGCGCCATTATCGCCATCGTCGTGGGATGTTTGGCGGTTGTAGCTATTGCAGCCGGTGCGCGGCTGCTGAAGAAGGGCAAAGAGGCCGACTTGGCAACACCCGAGGCTGCAGGAGGACACGAGGCCTATAATAACGTTGACGGTGGTGGCAGTGGCGGTATGACTCCCAAGGAGAATGTGCTACTGCTCTAAGTTATGGCCGACGGGAGGAGTCCTCCTTGTCCGAGATGACAGAGGAGAATACAGACTGCAAATTTTTTGAATACGGGCAAGCGTTGGTTGCGCGGACCTGGTGAATATACAAATACCTGGTGCGGTCGGTACCGGTACAAGCAAACAAACAAGAAGGTGGTGTTGGGTATGGTGTGTTTGTCGTGCATGGGGTGAGGCAGATATTGGTAGCTTATGTGAAAAGTAGGCTCTCTGGTCTTTCACTTTCTGGTCTCTACGATCATATACGCAACGTCGCTTTAGTAAACTGCGCACGATCTCAGCAGGCTATTGTCTTCGTGCTTGGTATTGTTGTTGTCGTTGCAATGTCAGCCTGTCAGCAGAACACAACATCCATCTTTGTTTGACAGATGGAAGCCCAATAAGTAAGCCTCACGGTTTTTTCTGCTAACGACGTCATAACGGCACACAGAAAACCGCAATCGTATTTGTAGTAAGCAATCTGACATGGTAAATTCATCGCGGGATCACTTGTGATACGTGTATTCATCTCAAAGTTGTCTCAAAGAAACTCAACTTTACGCCGCCTTACTCTTCGTCTCCGCTTCCGATGCTGCCTTGGCCTCTTTCAACGTAAACAGCTTGGCTTCAGGCTCAACAATGCCAAAGTTAGCGTAGAGACGACCAACTCGGTAGAAAGCCTTAAGAATTGGCTCGTCGCTCTTACGCACAAGCTCTGGAAAAGCCTGATGAAAGGCCGCCGTAGCGCGATGGAGCTTGTAATGTGGGATGATGGGGAAAAGGTGGTGGATCTGATGTGTGCCAATGTTGTGGATCAAGTTGTCAATGACTGCGCCATAGGATCGGTCGACAGACGATAGATTACCCTTGACATAGGTCCACTCAGAGTCTCCATACCATGGAGTCTCATCATCGTTGTGATGCAAGAAGGTGGTGATCACGAGAATGGTAGCAAACACAAAGATTGGCCCGTAGTAATAGATCGCCATAGTCTTGAAACCTAACTGGAAGCTTAGATAAATGGACAGTACTGCTACGGCCAGCTGTGTTGCGAGTGATATGATCACAGCCGATACCTGACGTACAAACATAGGTTCAAACGGGTTGAAGTGGTTAACATTTCGGGGTGGAAAGCCTTCAACGAGATACACAAACCATGCAGCACCAAGTGATAGGAGCAAATTGCGTGAAACAGGATGGTTATCAGCCTTTCGTTGCGGATAAAAGACCTCATCACGATCAATGTTTCCCGTATTCTTGTGATGATGACGATGTGAGAGCTTCCACGACTCAAAAGGCGTGAGAACGAGTGAATGCATCAAAGTCCCCACCACAAAATTAAGTAAATGATAGCGTGAGAAAGCGCCATGACCGGCATCATGGCCAATAGTAAAGAAGCCCCAAAAGATAATGCCTAGGAGGAGGATGTACAATGTACAAAGGATGATATCCAGCATCCAAAAGCTTTCAACTATCGGCAAAGCACGCACGTAGTTGAGTCCAAAGGCCAAAGATATAGCAAGCATGAGACTGCGCACAGTATAGTAAAGTGAGAGAAACACCGAGGCCTCAAAACAATCAGCGGGTAGTGCTCGTTTAATTTCCGTCAGAGTCGGGAACTCCAGCGGCTGCTTGATCGTCATGTTTGACTGTTTGAGCAAATTCTGAAATGACGACTGGTTGGAAAACAACCCAGAGTCAGATACAAAGACCACAATTGGCCTAAGATAACAAGACACGTAAAACGCGTGCTAGATAAGATGGATGGTGAAAACGTCAGGCACCGCCATGATGAATGTGTCATAGATACTATTCCTAGTCAAACCAAAGCGTAATACGTACATCATGTGGATGGACAGAGTGTGTAAATGAAGTTGAAAATTTGTTTTTTGTCAGGTTATATAACGTCAGTATCTTCGGCAAGAGGTCGTTGAAGCGCATCAGGGTGCATCATAGTAGCGATCAGGTGCTGTAGCGAGTTTTAAGTATTGTCTGGAGCAAAGTACTGCAAATCTTCTGCAATTCGTCGCCGCCACTGGCCAGCGTCGTCCCTAGCGCAAGCTCATATACCGTGGCTCCCATAGCAACGATATCACCGGCGCGCAAATTGTTTCTGCTGCCTTTGATTTGTTTTCGTCAGGTTACATTAACGGAAGGGCAATACCACCTCATGCTGCAAAATATCTTCAGCAAGAGGTCGTTGAAGCGCATCAGGGTGCATCATATTAGCGATTAGGTGCTGTAGCGAGTTTGAGTATTGTCTGGAGCAAACAAGTGAGAAAGCACGTTAAAATAAATGTCACATCTGGCTACAATTGTGACGTTGTGACGTATCATAACGTTACCGGAACATTACAAGGTCACCATCGCGGATCTTCTGCCATTCGTCGCCACCACTGGCCAGCGTCGTCCCTAGCGCAAGCTCATAGATCGTGGCTCCCAAAGCAAAGATATCACCGGCGCGCAAATTGTTTCGGTTGCCTTCGAGCAGCTCACTGCATAGAGATACGAATGCTAGGTTAGGAATTTTAACGTCATCCCAGTATACTCCAAGGAGTACTTACCGACTGAGATACCGATTGTCGCCTTCTCTAATCTCCATGCTGCCGTCCAAGTGAGCAACTGTCCCCAAGTCGCCGAGCTGCATGTGGAGAAGCAGCCAATGTTAGCACAAACCCAGAACAACTTACAAACAAATGCAACAAACCTTATAGACTTCCCCTGGGCCAACTAGGACGTTTTGCAACTTAACGTCCATGTGAACCATCTTCTTACTGTGCATATCAAACAGAGCCTGGCGTCCAAAATAGTGTTACATGGCTGTCACCAAGTGTCCCATGTACTAGCATGCTTACCTGAGCAAGATGGCATAAAAGTTTGCACAAAGTCTCCTCCGGAACCTTATAGGGTGTGTACTTATTGACAAAGCTAGCGAGCGAGCAAGCCTCAAGCTTTTCAAGCTGGATGTAAAGCAAATCGTCTTCGATCCAAGCGTCAAAATACCGCACAACATGGTTACTACTGCTTAGTGCTGCAAGTGCCTGTACTTCCCGTAAAGCTCGTTCGCTGTTGACATGCATGACAATAGTAACATTAAGTTACATTCAAAAAATCGACCAAAAAACAAGTATTCAGCTCTTGTCCTAACGTACGTGTCAGCTTTCCCACGAAAGTGGCGCTTACTCTTTTTGACAGCGTACACCCAGCCATCAATCTTTTTGACGCACTTGTACACCTTTGAAAATGACCCAGATCCGATCAACTAGAATAGTGAACGAACGCATGTTAAAGGTCTGTATTCGCTCGTATCCTGATACACCATGCAATCAACGTACACCAAGCTCTGAAAAGTCGGACAAATACTTGGCAATAGGCGATCCATTCTTTGCTCCCACCCATGTCGACGAAAAAGACTTTCGCTTACGCCTCGAAATCTTTTTCTTCCCTGATTCCGTCGTTGACTCTGGTGCAAATGGATTCACATAACTTTCTGCCGACAAGAACGATACAGCTTGTTCTCTACAACACACACCACCACCATTTCCACAACAGCATACACAAAGGTAAGAAAATGCTCCACATCCACTTGTCCGCTCAACACAATAGCTACGCCACTTGTCCTGCGTAACAACATCTTACTCTTTACATCTTTCTCTCTTGGTATTCACCACAACATTCACGCTTTTATTCTGTGGTGAGCTTACTTCCATTGACGATTGACTTGAAAAAGATGGTAGACCTTCTCTCACGTATCGTACGTCCATATGTGTCATATCTTGAGTGAGATTTTGTACTGGTTCATCTTGAATTAATTCTACTTCCGTCGAATGGAATCGTGGTCTTTTTTTCAATGGAGATGGTGTTGTTGGATTTGATAACGGAATAACTGGTTGATCTCGAGGTGTCAGATAATCCAAGTCATCTTGACTATATTGATGAGACTGAGGATGATGTATTGGTGTATAATAACTTTGACTTGAGACTGGATAGCCAAAGCGTAATGGTGTATGTGCTGGTTCAAAATCTGGTTCACTCTGTTGACTACTAGTAGCAGCAGTACTAGTCCCAGTAGTAGCAATAGTAGTAAAGTCAATTTTCTTTGGCTGACGTCCTTTATCTTTTCCTTGTAAGATTAGTTCTTCATTACTTTCATCTTCCATCATGTTATAATCAATACGTTTTTGGATCGTATCTCGATTATATTTATCCGCGTCGTAATCGTAATGGTTGATATCTTCTTCAATTGTTGTAACACTTGAATTGTTGCCTTTGGCGGAAGCTTCAAGTGATCGTCGAGCTTTACGTAATTTTCCGCTTTTTTGCTTGTGATTTATCGCCGAGTGTGAGAAAAACTCGTGAATGGAACGTTGTTTCTTGATGACGTGATGGGACGAGCCACTAGAAGAACCACTGGATATTGTTGTTGCTTTCGTCTTGCTGCGTGAAGCGTTGAGCAGCATTGGATAACGATGTTGGGTGTATTTTAAATGGGAAAATTCACAATAGACAAGATGCTTTTCCCGCCTTTTTAATGCGGGTGTTTGGGTGAAATACGGTCAAGATGGGTTTTAATTGCAATATATTGGGTGGTTTGCAATAAGTCGCTTTTTAGTTTCACTTTTTTCTGCAAGATGCTGCTTTCTTTTGCAATATAGTATATCAATTAGGACCTATTTTTGCAAGGTAATTATTGACAAAACAATAAATAAACCATGTAAAAGGATAAACAACTTGATCCAATTAACGGTGTCACCTTTCGCTCACAGATTGCATAAGCATCAAAAGCACAGGTCCATCATGAAACGAACATTACGTCACGCAAGCACAACTTTTCCATTTTCCAGCACACACAAAACAAAATTCATGGCCATTCAAGCATTTCATGTGATTGCATCCCGTTGATTTCAGTACCCCCACTCCACAACCAGGACACTGCACGGCATGATTCTGCCGTACTACGTTGGCATATTCGCGATCTGACTGAAGATCCAATGAACGCCAAGATTTGGCTTTCAGATAGCGCTCGTAGATCTCAAATTCTGCAGCGCCCAATGCCTCAAGCACATAGTCGGATGGAAATTCTCGCTTGCAACAGTGAGCAGGTACCATAGAGCGATCTAGAATGCCCATACGACATCGCGTTGCAATACACTTCGTGCAGTACAAATGACCGCATACTAAAGTGCGACAAGTGCTCTTGTCTTTGAGAGGTGCCAAGCAGCATGTGCACTTTGGCGGTGGTTTGGACTCCTCATAGATGCTCAAGGTGTCACCTTCACTGTCAGTTTCTAGCTCACGATGCAGCAACTTGGATTCCTCCCTAGCATATAAACTCATAGCAACTGCTTCGTCCAAGATGAGCTGCTCTGCACGACGAATTTCTTCACGGTACACTTCCAACGCATAGACCTCATCAAGTTGAGCTTCGACACTAACCCCATTAACCTCATTGACAAATTCAATTGTATCGGAGTCAAGATAGACAACGTGCTCAAATTGGTCACCAGAAGCAAGCTCTCTCAGGTCGTGCACGGTTGGAATAATCTCCATAGCTTTTTCACTTGAGAGTTGTCAAATGAGCTGATTACCACAGAAATGATTTGCCTAGCGTCAGAGAGACCCGTTAGAGCTCATCGACTTTTCCCAGCTTTCAAACCGTTAACTGTTGCAATTGAATAGTTTTACAAGTACAATTGATTATGATTGCTCGAAATATGCAGTAGAACACACAACCCAGTTCAGATTGTTTGTCGACACTTACAATGTGCAATGTACAATGAGCATCACAGAACCACCATCCTGATAAAGACTTCGCCTCACATCACTTATGATTCCAGTACAAATAGTCTAAATGATCGCGTGGATGTCATTGTCGATCCGGAAATTGGCACATGCTCCCGCAACGTCAACCCCGCCTTCTTGAAAGTGTTCAGTATATCTTCCTCGTAAGTGACGGTGCCGAAGTCAATAGTAGTGAAAAACTTGAGCAGCGGTTTGCCAATCTCCACAAGCCTCGAGCAGCGTGTTTGAATGGTTTGCGTCACGTAAACGCGCCCAGTCTTACGCTTCAGCATGCCCATGCAGTGATGTAGAGCTTTCACTGCGTCAGGCATGATCATAAGCGACGAGCTGAAGTACACAGCGTCGTACGGACCTCCCTGGAAATCGTAGACAGAGGCGTGGTGCACTTGAATAAGGTTCGTCAGCTGCTTGTCCTTCACCAACGTCTTGCACCAGATTACATAGTCCTCTTCATAGTCCACACCATCAACTGAAATTTTCTTGAGCTTAAGCTGCTGTCCGTTGTTAATCAAAGCCAAACCTGTACCAATACCCACGTCCAAAAGCTTGCTGCCGTTCGGCAAGCGCTCCAATACTTCCGCGTACCAACCTGTTGTCAGTTTAACAATTATTGCATTATAAATACGAGCACGTGCCATACGCACAAGTGCATAGAAAGTTGTGGCCGTCAGAGCCAAGGGGATTAACCAGGTCGTCATTGTATTTTAACTTTACTAGTGACCAAGCGTTGTCATTATCGGTCATGGCAACTTTTGACCAATAATCATTTGGTAAAGGTTTTAGCCAATTAGCTGCGACTAAGCTGCAATGATATTGAAGGTCACTCTGAAAGCTTCAGCTTGGTGCAGACGTTAACGTTGTGACCATCATTCCTGCTGTCATGGTCCTGATTCCGTCAGGTGCCTACGGTCCGCAGGGATTTCGAGAGTGCTGGGGAGACTACCGCGCTGAAGCCGACCTAGAAGATCCTTCATTGCCTCTCTACCGCTTTCAACGTGACCTGCCGCGTCTGCCCGTGCCTCCGCTGGCCGAAACTGTTGCTCTTTACCTCGAGACACTGCAGCCACTTGTGTCGCCTGCTGAGCTTGCGCACTCTAAGGAGCTTGCTGCTTTCTTTCTTCGACCTGGTGGCATAGGTGAAGAGCTGCAGCGTCGTCTTGTGGCTAGAGCAAAGGACCGTAGCGACTCAAGCTTCCTGTGCGAGTGGTGGAACACCTTAGCATATTTAAAAGTACGCGATCCTGTAGTGTTTAACGTCAGCTACTTTTTCCATTTTGCCGATAGTGTGCATCCTTCTCAACGCTCCAATGTGGGACGGGCAGCGGCATTGCTAAGGGGGTCCGTTCTCTTCGCCCGCCAAGTGGCAGACGGGTCGCTGGAACCGGAGCGATTGGGCAAGAAGAAGACGCCTATTTGTACGACAGCATACAAGTATATGTTTAATGCTTGCCGCATTCCACGACGTGAGCAGGACTCGTACAGGATTTATGACCCCAAGACGCACACTCATGCAGTGATAATGCGTCACAACAAGTTTTTCCAGTTGGAGTTATTGGATCCGTGTACTCGTGAGCCCTTGGGCTTTGAGGCGCTGAGTTTACAGCTGGCTAGAATCCTGGATATTGCGGGTGCTAAAGAGTCGGCAGTTGGAGCACTTACGTCTCAGGATAGGGATATTTGGGCAGATGCTCGTGAAGAATTGATTCGAATTCCGAAGAATGAAGAGTCATTGCGTGTCATTGAGAGCTCGCTGCTGGTGCTCAACATGGATGATGAAGCACCAGTGTCGCGGACAGAGGTAGCACGAGGGCTTTGGCACGGCAATGGACGCAACCGCTTCTTTGATAAGTGTGTGCAGATTGTGGTGTTTGAGAACGGCAAGGCCGGACTTCTTGGCGAGCACTCAATGCTCGATGGCATGCCTATGGCACGCTATGCGGACTACCTATTGTCGCGTCTGCATCATGGTCAGATTAATCTGGGTCACTGTGGTCAGACTACAGCACAGCTAGCCAAATCGTTGGATGTCCCAAAGCAGATCACGTTCCACTTCACGGTTCAGACACTTCGCGATATCGTCGAAGCAGAAAAGGTGTTTGATCAGACGGTGGTAGACCACGAAGTCTTTGTTCAAGCGTTTTACGGCTACGGTGCTCGCTCTATTAAGGGATTCCGTTGCAGTCCGGATGCTTTTGTTCAGCTCGCGATACAGCTTGCCTACAAGAAGCTGTTTGAGAAAAATGTGGCAACGTACGAGGCTTCGCAGACACGCATCTTTTTGCATGGCCGCACGGAAACTACTCGTAGTTGCTCGGCATCTAGTGCCAAGTTTACTGATGCGATGAAGGAGGTTTTGGGGTTCGTCACTACTGAGGAAAAGAAGAAACATCTGCTAGCAGCGGCGAATGCGCACGTCGCGTACATGCGCAATGCTGGTGCCGGTCGCGGCGTGGATCGCCACCTTCTGGGCTTGAAGTTGTTGGTTCAACCTGGTGAGAGCGTGCCGTTTTTTGAGGATCCTGCGATGGCTAAGGCCAGTCGCTGGCTTATTTCCACAAGCCACCTGACTAACGAACTGTTTGATGGCTGGGGCTGGGGTGAGGTTGTACCCGAAGGCTTAGGCATCGCCTACAGTGTCAAGGATCAGTCCATCCAGTTCAACATTACATGTCGAAAGCATGGCAGCTGGGGAGCCCGAATGGGCCATCTGCTTGAAGAAAGCCTGTTAGAGATGCAGCAGCTCTTTGACCAGCCCGAGGATATTGGCGCTAAGCTGTAAGCAAGAAGCCAAAGCAAACGAAGATGCACGCATTTGTTGGGAGGCGTGACGAAGGAGGGAGCGTGGACATCCCACAACATGCAGCCAAACTGCATAGCACACAAACCTTTAAAGCTGCAAGTTGCAAACTTGAAATAACATGCAATATATTTCTGCACTCACTCTCCAAGAATCTCTTGTATCTCAGCCTCTGGAATCAGTGGGCAGTGACAGGATCCCCAAAAGTGCAGGCACGTAAAGCAAAATTGATGGCCGTTGGGACACACCATGTGCACGCATCCAAAGTCACGCTGCACACCAATTCCACAACCTGGGCATTGTTTAGCTCCTACGGCCTTTACCGTTGCCGTGTATTCGACATCAGAATCTAGGTCTGATACCTTCCAGTCTTTTTCCATCGCAAGCTTTTGGTATTTGGCATAGTCTCCCGGCCCAGTCAATGCTTCGCGCACATAGTCGACGGGCATCTCTTTCTTGCAGCAACGGAGCGGTACAAGAGCACGGTCACCCAATGCTAGACGACACATGCGTAGAAGGCATGACTTACAGTAGTTGTGGCCACATGGCGCGACCCTCAGCGCATTCTTGTCGGTTCTCACAGCGCAGCTGACGCAGCTAACACATGTTTTGCGACGGAATGCCATGTACGACGCAAGTTATGCGCGGAGGGCAGCACAAGCTTCGCTTGACCCAGAGCAATTTTCTGGCAAACACCCAATACGTCACCAAACGAATGCACTTGATAACGCTCGTGCACGCTTTGAGGACACGAAAAATAGATACGGTGGCTGCAGCTGGAATCTGAAACACACGAGAGCGAGTTGCCTGGTATGCCTTGCTGCTGCACGTTAACGTCTTGTTCGATTGTTTATCAGTGATCAACACCTGTCCGCCTGCTTAGGTTGTCCCTCGCTTGCAAGTTCTTTCTTGGTGCGCCCGTTGGCCTCACTTTGGGATCGTTTCCTCAAAGAACCTCGTCCCAGCCAATACGTTCAAAGCACTACTCACAACGGAAGAATCGCGTGCACCCTCGTATGTAACGGTGCTTGCGCTTACAGCATCAATCCAGACCGCAGCAAAAATGCGTGTTGCCTTGTTTATTGTGCTTTCAAATGAATCTAGACTGCTTGGCGATGATCAAGAATTCATATACGCACCTTAGTACAAGACAACAAGTAATACTCTGCTTAGCGTCACCAACACCTTACAAAATCTGCAATATAAAACTGTAAGCACCGCCTTGCTGACATCGTGCCCAACGATCTCGCGAACCTCGTAAATCGGCTGCAGAGAATGCAACTCACTCGAAATCTTTGTAGATCTAAGTTCAGCAAAGTCCGTGTGAATGCGATATACTACTAATAGCACTGTAGATAATGAGACCAGTGCAACACAAGTAGAAAACAAAGTGTAGTAACTAATGAAAGACAGTGACTACGCAGTCGCATAAGGTCATCGTCGCAGCACCTAAAGATCCTCTATCCTTAGTGTAAGAGCTGTATTTCGTGCTCAAAAGGCCACTTCAGAGCAGTATGCATGTGATCTGACTAGCCAAAGTGTCGGATTAAATAAGGTTCTAGCTTTCATACAGGATTCAAAAACCATACAAGAGAAGCTTAAGTTTATTTCAACGCTGTACCAATTGAACCAAAAGCCGATGAAGTGAATTCAATTACGACGTAGTGCATATTCTTCGATCAGGAGAAGAACAAACCAAAAATGTACGAGCTTCCAACGTTACCGGTATTTACATCGATGGTATGTTGCAAATGAAGTCAAATACTGGTATTTGCAGCGCTGTAGATTTGAAACGTCTCAAAAGAGTTCCAAATCTAATGCATCAAATTGACACAGTGTGATAATGAGTGACTCACAGAATTGGTCATCGTTTGAAGAGCTTGAAGCATCCAAGCGTCCTCATGGCGTGATAAAGCAGATAGATGCTGTCAAAAATGACGAGAATACTATCAAGAAAAGAGAAAATGGAATGAGTGCCTTAATGGAGCCCGTACTGCTGCGTAGCATGCGAAATCGTCTCATCTTTGGTAGCTTGGTTGGTTTTGTCACGGGTGCCACCTTTGGAGGCAGTACGTATATGAATACAATCGTCATTAAGGATGTTCCAATTTTACTGTATGAATGTTGCAATGTATTGAAACATATTCATTTAACTCGCTGTTGTGATGATGATACAGTTGACGGAGCCAAGTTATATATGAAACAGCATGGGAAACTAGCACCTGCTGCATTACATACTATTGCGCGTGGAGCTGCCGTAACGGGAGGAGCTTTTTCAGGGTAAGGAATAGGTGCAATGGTCTCACACTTGGTAATTAGTGGATGTTCTGTCTCCTTGTGTACTGACGTCGTTGGTTTCTGTAGGTTTTTCTTTCTCTATTGCGGCATCAAAACTGCGCTGACAACACAGCGAGAGGACGATTTGACTAGTGCTGGTATTTCAACACTGTTGGCTGGACTTCCGTTCATGCGGTCCACGGTAATGAAGCAGAACGTTCCGTACGCTCTCATGCTCGTGGCGCTCGAACATTTTCATGAGGAGCTTAGCGAATACCGTAAATAAAATTGGGGCAGCATTGCATCGTGGTTGGCGTGCTTTTTACTTGTGTTGTGCGATATATTTGAACTTTGATCCGAATATCTTTGCAGCAATGCTGCCGATTTTGCAAGCTAATTACTTGCAGCGCAAACGGGATATATTTCTGACGCGAACTTACGTTTGTTCATGACCATAAACGCCACGACATTTGCATCTGTTCTAAGCTGGTTGTTATCAATATGGTGCTAGCGCGTCCGGTAGGCTGAACCTTGCTGCGCGCCAAGGCCCTGCGTTCCGAAAAGAAAAACTATAGCTGGCAAGGAGAGCAAGAACACGTGTAAGACGGACTTGAAGAGCAAGACAGTATAAGACGGACTTTAAGCACAACGCTCATTTGCACGGCCGGTTTGCAAAGAACTTTTCGGGCTCTGTGTCTTGTGCGTTTTGTGTAACCAAGTTGTACTGCAGAGTGTTGGCATCACTTGGAAAAAACTGCTCACTGTAATGTAAAGAAGATGCATCGTTTTAGACAAGTGACCGACGCAATCTATGCAAATGCCAGTGAACGAGGTGATCAACACGTTTGACCGATTTTTCATGCGCCTTATTATAGCGCTCCCTAATGGTAAGTCATTCATCAAAAAACAACTTTGGTGCGTAAAACATACCTCAATATCAACGATCTGAAGCCTTGTGATGCTATAACGTGTGCTTTGACTAGATATGCAAGTTGACTTCTTTCGGTGGTATGACTTTTAACGCTGATACGAAGGTTGCCACATGTTTCCAAATCCCTCGGTTGATAAAGGTTTTTGAATCCTCGGATACCAAAGTTCTTTGTTGTAAGTTGTCAGCAAAACTTTCAGCGAAACGACAGAATTGCCATTTTAGACAGCATTGAAACTTACTACTCCTTACAACCAGGACACTGCAAAAAAATCCCATCGATGTCTGTACGTGAAGTGGCACCGGCGTCATTACCATGTACAGGACAGCTAACACCTAAAGAGCTACTAGCATACAGTAGAAAGTATTACCAAGTTGGTGAGGCATCTTTGATCATTGGAATAAGTGTTCACGAAATTCCAAACAACTTTTGCATAAACGTTCAGTGTTGAATCATTTGTAATTCAGATTCGCTTAGTCGGATGTCGTCAAGCGCGCGACTGGGTGGTCACAATATGATACATACAGGTACATCATATCATCTTTGTTGATGTCTAGTGTCAGAATACCCTTTACGTTAAGAAAAGTGTGCACATACATGATACGTAACGGTGTGGTAGCTTCCTAGAAAAGCCATGGTTTTCCAAGGCCTTTTTATCATAGTACAAAGTCTACTTGGCTAGTTGAGTGTGCTCTCCATTTCAGCACACGTCCTGTCTTCATTCATTCGAAGCAAAAGCGTGCTCCTATTTTCTCATACTTGTATCAACTTGGTCTGACTGTTACGCTGACCATTAGCGTCGGATTAAAGAACAAAGCACTTGAAGATGGTGTCACCTGAATGGCTTGTGATGTGGCGCGCTGTGCATTGGGTTTGCCTCGGATTAGCCGCTATCGCTGCGCTCTATTTGCTTCTTCTTCACTCACTGATGTTCCACCGCCTGAAGCGACGCATGGCTGATTTGTTGCTCGGTGGCATTGCGCTCGCAGATCTGAGCTTTGTGACCCTGGAGGCATGCCAGCAGTTGATGCATACGTCCTACTTTGCACGCTATTGGCGAGAAAAAGATGGAGATCAAGATGGAAATCAAACGACAGGAGAGTTTGCGTTGACGCTCTTGGGTCGTTTCAGCTTCTTCATGTCCTTGTACTGGGTCGCCAACCTGTCGCTACTCATGAGGCTTGGTAGTTTTGAAGCTTTTCACACCAAGAGGAGTCTTCTATTGTCATCATTGACGTCACTAATCTACGGCTGTATGCACGCCATTCTCCCGATGTCAAGTGACCAGAATGAACATCATTTCACACTAGCGTACACCGTAAAAGTTGTGCTGCTGTTTCTGATGCAGACGACACCGTTGCTGCTAATATTAAGAAATCTTCGTGTTGTGAGGAGGTCTCGACTCAACGCATCCACTCAAGGACAGCATATTCATCGAAGACTTGCAGCTTATTGCGTCTGTGCTACGGCATTTACACTGCCGTACGCACTCGTGCTCATCTTGTTCCATGATCTTGTCGGGGTGGGGGCTCTTGCTGAAACACTCAGCTATTTGGTCCCTATAGCGAATGCGCTGCTGTTTGGTACGAGTCTGAGCTACTGCTGTGCTATGGCACCAAAGGAAACGACACTGTCGACTCTCGAAAAAGTGCAAGTCTGCAATACTCCATTGTCGTCAATAGATATTTCTGCAGGTGTGCTGACTGACGGAAGCGAAACTCCTTGTAACACAGGCTACATTGGTATGTTAACAGGTGGGGTATATGGCATTCGAGATGGATTACTAGCTGGTGATCCTCTCATTGAAGTGGAGATAGAAGGACCAGCTATAAAGATTGGCGAGGGATCTAGTGCAGAAGTGTACAAGGCTCAATGGGTCGGAATCACTGTTGCGCTCAAATGCCTGCGTCTGCAGGCTGGAAGTAGCTCCGAAGCAGACTTGTATATGACGCATCTGGCTAAATTGCGTACCGAATTTCTTGATGAGGCTTTGCTAGCTGCTCAGCTTCGACATCCAAACATTACACTTTTTATCAAAATGGGCACCTACAAGGGTACATTGTGTCTCGTCAAGTACGTCTTGTGAAGGTTCTGCATCCAGACTTATAAGCTGACGGCTAATTATCTGATGGTATTATTTTGTGTTGCTAGTGAATATTGTGCACGCGGGTCACTTCGAGATGTTCTTCGTGCAAATCCTTTAATGGGATGGCATACAAAAGTACGTTTAGCCTTCGAGGCGGCAAAAGGTTTGGCGTTCATGCATAATCGCAAGCCAATTTACTTGCACCGTGATCTCAAAGCTTCCAACATTCTTGTGACGGTTGACTGGACGGCTAAAATTGCCGATTTTGGCATTGCTCGCATTGCTACAAACTTCACGGCAAAACAACGTCGTATGTCACAAAAGTGTTCAATGCAGTCTCTACAGTCTCTACAATCATTAGATGAGAGAATTGTCACGATGGATGCAGCAGCTTCGGAATTGATTACAACTTTTGCTGGCACGTGGCGTTGGAATGCTCCAGAAATCATGAAAAATCCCAATGAGTGCTGTTTTAACCGCAAAACAGACATCTACAGCTTTGGTGTGGCTTTGTGGGAGATTCTGACGAATGGAGCAATAGCGTTTGGTAACGTCCAATTTGATCATCAGGTGCGACAGCTTGTGGCGTCAGGTGAGCGTCCATTGCTACCCCCTGCTTATATACGACATGCTCCATCTGAATTCATCGAAGTTATATGCGCATGTTGGCACCAAGAGCCGGAAAAGCGACCTAGTGCTCAAAATGTGATGCTACGACTCAAATCATTGTCTTCTATGCTATCAAATGGATCTGAAAGCTGTACGTCGTCTCAGGACAGAACACACTACGTCATGAATGAAAGCGATTATCAAGCCATGGACTCGAACCAAAGTTGTCCAGGATTATAGATAGTTCTAGTTTGCTCTTGGATTGAGCACTCGAGTTAAAGAGCAAAATCCAGATTGTGGATTTTTTGTTTCAAGTTGATGGATAATATTTGTTTTTTCTAATAAAATTAATTATCATGGTTAGGCCGCTTAATAAGGAATGGAAGTTCTTCGGACATAAGTACCGTGTGAGTGGTGCCAAGTGTGCAAAAGTTGACTGCAAAGCGTGTCAGACACAGGTCTCTGCTTCGATTAACCGTCTACAATCACACATACGTGTGTGTCCGGCCCGCACCGCGTCAACGACATTTGCTTATGATTCCAGCAGTAACACGAGCGACTGTTCCAACACGGGGTTGTCAGATGCTATTCCAGCATCTTTAGAGATTGAAAAACATACCATAGAGGCCCCTACGTTGAGAAACCTGACTACCGAGCAGACATCGATGACATGTGATGCTCCACTAGCTAAGAAACAGCGTCAATCGCCTTCTAAAGTGTATGATCAGCCACGAATGAATGCGTCGACTGCCAACGTCGCTGTTGTAACAAGTGAAGATGGTTCTTGGATCGATTCTGTTATGGATGAAGCTGTGGAAACAGTACAACCAGCAGCTACTTCAGTGCTCAACAAACGTCGATTGGAGATCGAGGAAAAGCGTTTGTATCTTGAGCTCAAGAGAGACCAGCGCGAAGAGCGCCGAGAACGGCTGGAGTTGGAGATTTTAGACGCAAGGATAAGAAAGGAAAAACTGTTGGCAGAAAAGGAAGGATACGAGGCCAAGGTACTGCTTGCACTGTCACGAAAACAATTGTTTGACCAAGGAGTGGATGAAGATGAGGTCAACCGGATCCTGCCAATTTCGACGTTTCAGACTAGTTTCAACAACAGTAATTCTGCTACGACTGAGGCAGCTACTACCACCGCAAACACAATTGAAACGCCAAGTGCTTCAACTAGTTGGGAAAAAGATGCAATGTCGGAAACCAACGAGTCTGAGGCTTTTTAAGACATTCCGTCGTTTGGTCAATGCAGCGGTGGTATAATTGAGTCACGATAGTGTACATGTATATGACCCATTTACAGCGTTCTCTTGGATCCTACAATAGCTTGATGATGGAGACTCGTACCGGCTGCTGACCTAGAAAGGAAGCAAAATCTGGAATACAAATTGCGCTTGATTCGCCGCAAAGTGTAGCAATATGTGGTAGAAAGTGATGCGTAACGGTGGACATGGGACCACCGACGCTAGATACGTTGGAAAGCTGGAGCTTGCGATGCGTCCCCAGTCTGTCCCATCTTGGCTCGTTGTGGTACCAATCATCTTTCAACCATCGCAACTTTCGGTTGAGTTTGTCGGTCATAAAAAACGATTGAAAGTGCTGGGGTTCATGGTAGTGCACTTGAAATACTTACGCTGTGGCTTCAATTCATTCAGCGTGGGATCTTGTGATGATATTACGAAAATCTAGAAGCTGTAAGTGCTGGTGATGATATTCTCTGCAAGAAGGATCACAACATTTGTCTCCAAAGTGATGATGGCAGCGCTGCCACTAGTAAACAGCTGCATCGAGGGATTGCAAAGCGACGGAGATGATTCTTACAGTATCAATTCACTCCAATTGATGGCCTCTGGAGACGAGTCAAAGATCCTTCGTCGTTCGCTCGTTTAAGTTCTTTGGCAAGACTGACAGCTCTCATGAGCTATCAGTGAGATATTTTAATATACACGTGAAGAATATTTGACAACCAGGCTGAACTGACTTTGTCCGAGATTTTGCAATCTATAATTTGTAATCAGCCAAGTGCTACTTCACAAAATAGATGAAATACCTGTAGGTCAGAAATATGGTCAATTTTTCTTTTTGGGTTTTTCTGAATATGGGTTCTCTTTATGATAGCTGCTCTGATGTGTGCTGCACACCATTGTAAGATTGGACCAAAACGCATCTATCAGTCAATATTAAGTATGGAGCAGCCTGTGGATAAAGAGACAGCTAAGGCCCAATTCCGCTCATCTCGTCTATCTTGGAGCAACCAAGCCGAACACGTACGTCATATGAAGACTACTACAAGGTTGTATCAAGCTATTGATGATTATTCTTGTCTGTAGAAACTGAAACAAGAGCTGAGCGATATCGCTATCGCTAAATGCCACAGCGTCGCGGAGAAATTTGCTGAATGCGCCAAGGCCAACGGTCTCATGGTTGTCTTCAAGTGCCAGGACCACAATAAGGCCTTAAATGCCTGTTTACATCAGTATACGAATGATGAACAGTTTGAAATGTATCGTCAGAAGCGTGAGAAGAGTATGACCGAGGAGAAGAGCAACAACAAAATGTAGATGACGTGGTATCTTGCAACGAACGTATCGCAGTACTGCTCATATATTCACGAGTAAGCTTCGAGCATGTTTATTTGCAATGAGCATACATGTCTTCGTCCACGGGCTTAAAAGCTTTGGCACCTACTTTTTGCGCTGTCGCAATTCACTGGCTCGAGTGGCGTCCACAGGAAAGGTAGCAAGCATTTCTTTGGCAGTGGTCATGGCTTCCGTGGCGATAACCTTGAATGCAGCATTGAGGTGCTTTGGCGAGTGAATGGCAGTCACTGACACGCGCAGACTTGGCAGGGGCTCTAGCGTTTGATCGGTCTTGTAACGAGGTGAACAGATTGCCACGCCCTTGTTGAGGCACTTTTGCATGACAGTGTCGCACACATTGCGCTGCAAAAGGCGCTGATTCTCTTCACTACCAACACGGGCCACAACCTCAGGCAAGAGACGTAGATGCAGAATGGGGGAGACTGCAGACTCGGAAACACTGTACATGCCCTGCACGCTCGCGGACAGAGCGTTGTGCGCAAGTTTGGCGTTATCACGGAGCTTGGTAAAAAGCTCTGGCTCGGTCTTCATAATTCGGATAGCCTCTGAGCAACAAGCGGACGTAAAAGGTGGAGCCGCAGCCGAAAACACGTAGCCGGCGCTATTGATACGCTGATAGTCGACAACCTCCTGCGATCCCGTGCTGAACCCTCCCACACTAGCTGTAGATCCAGCCAAGGAGCTGCAAATGATGGCCACCTCTGAGACGTCCATGCCATAGTGCTCCGTAAGTCCACGGCCCGATTTACCAAGCACACCAAAAGAAAAGCTCTCGTCTAAGAAAAGGCGGAAAAAGTATTTGTTACACAACTCAACCACCTTGGGCAAGTTAACCATGTCACCGTGGTTGCGAAATAGTGCTTCCGTCACAACATAGCGGCGCTGGCAGTCCGAGCCGCGCTTCTTCCTCTTGTCTTCATCACGCACGCTCTTCAGCACACGCTCCAGGTCTTCTAGATTGTTGTGCTTGTAGTAGTGCACCGTGCACCGTGCTAGGTTGGCACCCACCAAGATCGAGTCATTGCACCCTACATCCATCACAATGAGATCACCACGTTTAGCAAAGGCTGGCAATACGGATGATGACGTGGCTTCCGTGTCCGAAAAGGTAATCGAGTCAGTCGTTCCCATCATCTGGGCAATGTCTTTCTCCAGGATCTCGTGTGTGTCAATAGTTCCGTAAAAGCCACGAGGTCCGCACGAACCACAACCATATTTGGTAAGCGTCTTAATAGCAACCTCCTTAAGTTCAGGGCGTGAGCCTAGACCAAGAAAGTCAAAGGTAGCCAAATTCAGTAGCGGTTTGGCAAAGCCCTGCAGCTTGATGTGCGTATCAGGCGTGGCCTCCACGATACCAATGGGCTTGGACTTGTTGGTGTCCACAACGACACTGGGTGGAATAATAGGCTCAGGAGTCCATTCCTCACACAAATCATCAATCTCACGTTCCGAGAGCTTGGCAGCTGTGCCTTTAGGCTTATCACGTTTGACAAAGGTGATGTAGATGACAAAGACGATAAGAAACGTCTCGATAATTACATGCTCTGGGCTGCGCTCGTAAATGGAGCGAATGTACTTGTAGTAGGAGCTCGGAGTCCTTACAAAAGCCTCTTTGATCTTGGCAATATCGAAACTCAGCAGTGCCTATCCAATAAACAGTTAGCATTCCTAACTAATCAGTCATTTAACTCTAGAGGTTTGTTTTCGCCAGAGAGAAAAAAACACGTCACGCACCTCCGCAAAAGGCTGACCAATTGTCGCCCACCATTCACTCATTCTAACAGACTAAATAGGATACTAAAAGGAAAGGGAGCGAGAGAGGGAAAGCTCTGCGAGCGTGCTCACTTGACTCCGGGGAAGCGACGTTCGGGATGCAGCGGCGCTTCCCGTGGTCAGTGACGTGGTTTGCTAAAATGATCGATTTATTTCAACGAATCAGATATGGCCAAAACATGTATGGGTGAAGGATGCTTTACATCAATCTGATTGGACAAAACAATAACACGTACCTAAACTAAACAAAACCTTTAGTTGCTTCTTTCTTTACTTGATATTACATTATGGAACTTCGAAACCGTGTTACTGGCGCTACAAAACAGAATGCACGCGGCTTAGACGTAGCTCTTGGTCCGACCATTTATAGTGGTGAGCGTTACTCCAAGATGAGTGAGCGTCTTAAACGTCAGCATAAGAAACCGTCTGATGTTGCTGATGTTAATACTCAACGAGTGCGTTGTCTCGTACATTTGTTTAGTCTTGTTTTCTAGTATCGGTTTCGTCTGTATTTGTTATTACTGACACTCGCTATTCTATGTGACATTATGTATATTTTTTTACATCGTCTAATTATAACAGATAATGCGATCTCAGGTAATTGCATTCGTGGTGGCACTTGTTCTCGTCTTGTCGTTAGTGTCCACAATGATGTATCAAGCCCACGTTCGTCGCTCTAACCGCCAGCCTTTCGACTTGTAATGTCCATCGTTGGACAGATTCTAAGCGGCGGCTATCCACTGCGCTGTAAGTTTGTGGCAGAAGAAGCCGTTGACGGCGCTTGTATCAGTTAGATTGCCGACTTACACGTTCAATAGACCAGACTTGCCTTCTTGTTTTCTTAGTAAATGCTTGTTAGCAGGTATTTAAGCGGCCTGGTCATGCTGTTATGTGTTAATACGAGATAAACCATGCTTCCATTGAGGAGATCCTGTCTGATTTTCTGCCGGGAATAAGCTCAATACAACTTTTTATAAATATTAAAAGGCCATGTAGCGACTTTTTATCAGGCAGATTCAATCTTTTCCTATCCGCATTATTTGCTTGATTGCTTGCCGGCAACTATTGGAATTCCGATGTACACGTAGACGCATGACTCTAAACTACAGGCTTGGCAATTGTCGATTTCCTTCGTCCGAAATCAGAAAGCTTTGTCAGCCGCGAATACAGTTTGCGCACAAGAGTCTTACGAAAATCCCGCAGCTCTTTGTCCACAACGGCAAGCTGCTGGTCTTCAATAACCACGGATGAAGACGTGATAGCAAGATCGTTTGCGTCCGCACACGAACAGCTACAGCTCATCAAACTAGACGCGCGACCTGCTTCGGAAGCAAAGCTGCCGTTGCTGGATATGTGGTCATCGTCTGGCAAAGTGTCGTGCGACGAACGCTTCGAATCGCGAAAGTCAATGTCTTTGCTTGTAATGGTAAGGCCCCTCATGTGACGCAGGCTACGATGACTGTGTCGCCGCGTTAATGGAAAATGTTCCAAATCATTGCTACTGTCATTATCGTAGCCAGCAAACTCGGTATCGGTGCCAATTGTACTACCACGCTGGCGGCTACGAAGCGAGAGTCGACTGTGTGTGGTGCACCGGGGTAGATCGGACACCCCAGTCGAAGAAACCGAGCGATGCAAACTTTGCGACGAAAGTGGAGCTGCTGTTACAACAAATGCAAGCTCATCAATGCTAGGGCTGGGCGCGGAGGGTCTCAATAGAAGCGGCATAATAAAATCCAATCGTCGTAATCCAATTCTTTTACTGCTTGTGGCAATGGGCGGAAAATTGCGAAGTGGACGCTTCTGAAGCGTGATGGGAAGACTACATCTTAATATAGTACCATAGGGATAGGGGAAATGGCGGAAGCAAACAAAGACGGCCTGACTTTCCACAACTTCAGATAATTATAAAATGTCACCGCGCGTATCAATCGGGCTGTCGATGACAGCACGGACGTCTCAGCAACTGTCAACAAAGGCACTGGCAACACAAAAAACTATAGCAAGTTTAAGGCTGTGAATTTAGTTTCAGTTTTTCTACATTATGAACGTCCAGTTGTAGCGTCTGTATGCTTTTATGATCATCTGCTATATTGTTGATGTTCTTATGAAAGCATGACAAAGAGGCGATGGTCGCAATCACGCTACGCGCGTGCTATGTACTCGGTGTTGTCTTGCCATGACAAGCGCTTGGAACCAAGCTGCTGCTTCTGCTTCAGTTAAAAGCACCCATTCTAAATTTACATATTCCATCAATCCATCAAGTTGACCACCTATAGTATCAAACGGAAATGTCACGCGCGCAGTGATAAAAGTACGAGCTGCGTCCCACCATGGAATAATACATCATGAATGACAGTATGTAGGAGAACTGCTGCAATTAACCTGCGAACAACAATGCAATTGACACGGTCAACATATTTGTACTTGGTCAAGACCTAATCTGCGTCTGGAAACGGTTGTCGGACCTTTCAAATAGTAGCCCGTGCTAGGTTCTAATTGGTCAGATTACGTCAGTACTCATCATTTTCTAATCTTTTTAATGAAATGCTTGGAATTCTCTAAACCATTCATGAGCAAAAAAAGACCACAGAATGCAGCCGACATTGAAAAGTCTCATTTTGGGTGCCTTTCATCGACGTCGTGTCCACAATTTGACCCTCTCTCTATTGACCTTATTGATCACAATTTGTGTGAGTCAAACTTGTAAGAAATTGGTATGAAGCAATCTTTTACATTCACGTCCATCCAGGGTCTTGAACGGTAACAAGAAACTCATCGTATGGATTGAGTTGCATGGTGGACATAGGACCAGTACAATTGGAAGCAGATGCAATATAAACATACTACGTTGTGGACATGGATGACCGCAAGATCATCACGGGAAGAGCTCGTCACAACCCGACCGCTGATCCAGTGTTAGTGGATATTGGACGCTCTTTCTTCGGTTCCCAGGTGTGCTGTCGTCAAGCTGTGTGCATACGGAAAGTCTTAACCTGAGAGTAAACAGGTGATCAATACATGCGATGATTTTGTACCAAGAAGCGACAGCCGTCAGACGAGTCAGTAGATCGGATGGATGATCGACTGGTTTGGCCACTCTGTCATGCGGCGCTCGCAGCTGTTGTTGCAATTTTTTTTCAATACTACAGAAGGTAACATCTAGGATGGGGAACCATCGGATGCAAGCAGCGATTAGCAATACGACGGGTTCTATCACAAAACTGGCCAACAAGAAGAAGAATATTCAGATTCCGCTATCGTTGGACGTAAGGTACTACCAGGCGTTCCAAGACAAAGGTCCGAAATCCGGTGCGTATGCGTTCCGTCCGGACTCGAACAAAACGCACCCGGTGACTGGCAAACATGAAGCCATGTCGAGCTTAGTATCAGATGTGTCAATGGTAGAGCTGCAGACGACGAGTCTCGTCGCTGATGATGCTGATGGTGGCCTCGTCAGTGTGCCGCGCGTGGCGTTTCGAATAGGCCACTGGGTCATGCTGGAGTACCGCATGAACGACGACGACGAGTTCCTGGAGATCGAGTGGACAGTCGGACCAGTCCCAATTGACGACAAAAAGGGCAAAGAGGTCATCATGCGCTTTGATGCCGGCAACAGCATCGCCTCTGGTAGTACGCTGTACACGGACTCGAACGGTCTCGAGTTCGTAAAGCGTGTGCGCAACCATCGTGACACGTGGAATTTGACTCTGCATGACAACCAGGAGAAAGTGGCGGCAAATTACTTTCCCATCACCACGGGCGCGTATATCAAGGACGAGAAGCGCCAGTTGAACTTGGTGACCGACCGTGCGCAAGGAGCCGCGAGTTTGAAGGACGGACAGATGGAAGTGATGGTTCACCGGCGTCTGCTTTGTGACGATAATAAGGGAGTAGGCGAACCCTTGAATGAGACAGAGTTGGTGTACAACACGGCCACGAAGTCGTACACTACTAAGGGTCTAACGGTGCGCGGCAACTTTTTCATCAACGTAGACTCGGTCGACGATGGCATGCGCAGCATTCGTTCGAAGATGGAGTCGCAGTTCTTCCGTCCACTGACAGTATACCGCAAACCTGTTTCATTTGACGTGGAAGCAAAGGTACCATGGCTGACAGTGGGCGAGTTCCCTTCGAATGTAGGTCTGACAACGTTGCAGGAGCTATCGAAGCAGTGTCTCATGGTGCCTCTGTCGCACTTGTATGCAGTGGACGAACACCCGCGCCTATCGAAGTCTGCAACGGCGGGCACGAAAGGACTGTCACTAGAGATGAAAGGATTTGCGACGAGGTAAAAGACGGCGGGCACGAAAGGTCTGTCACTAGAGATGAAAGGATTTGCGACGAGGTGAAAGACGACGGACGATGTAGATGGCAAAGGGACACGTCAGTGACACTGCAAGTGGTTGAAGTGCGTGCGTTTCTTCCGCGTGTGCTCTGGAAAATGATTGAAGGTGATGTTGTTGATTCAGATTAAGGACAATGACTCTGTTTAGGTAGAGTCAAGTTGTTGGAGTTGAATTGCATAAACGTCGATGCAATTCAAAAAAATGAATCGTGTTGGTTTTACAAAAGATCGCGATTTATTTGTTTTCCCCCTAACGACATTCATTCATATTCATTCTCTAACTTGTCTTAAACCAAAACGATACTTCTTTCTGTTACTTAAGAAAACTATGTCGCTACAAACTCTTGTAGTATATGGAGTAACATTATGCTCGCTTGTATCTGCTCATTGCAATTCTAGTAAATGGATACCTCCTATTAATGGTATCTATAATACAACAAGTCGTATTGATCCAAATCGATTAAATGTTCATTTAATTGCCCATTCGCATGATGATCCTGGCTGGTTACTTACTATTGATCAATATTATATCCAAAAAGTACAATATATTCTTGATACAGCAATTGAAGAACTCGTACGTAATCAAGATCGTCAATTTATGTTTGTCGAGCAATCATTCTTTCAACGTTGGTGGCATGAACAGGGACAGGAGATTCGTCATCTTGTAGCTCAACTTGTACAAGAAGGACGATTAGATCTAACAGTTAATGGTGGTTGGTGTATGCATGATGAAGCCACACCACATTATATCGCAATGATTGATCAAACAGCCTATGGTCATCAATTTCTCATGGATGAATTCAATATTACACCACGTATTGGATGGCAAATTGATCCATTTGGTCATTCAACAACACAAGGTTCCTTATTATCACATGGCATTGGATTTGAGGCATTATATTTTGCACGTATTGATTATCAAGACTATACCAATCGTAAACAACATCACGAGCTTGAGTTTCTATGGCGTCCAAGCAAGTCACGTGGGAAATCATCACAGGTTTTTACAGGTGAAATTATTGATCATTACTGTCCACCAGATAAATTTGATTACAGTCGAAATAGTCATGAGATTCAAGACGATCGTCAACTTTATGATTACGATGTGTGTGATGAAGTGGAACAATTTGTGACCAATGCCAAAATGCGTGGTCATGCGTCCAAGGGCAATCACGTGTTTATCCCCATGGGTTGCGATTTCCAATATGATAATGCACGTCGGTGGTTTAAAAACATGGACAAGATTATTCATTACGTAAATCAAGACGCACGTGTGAATGTTTTGTACTCAAACCTGTCATACTATACGAACGTCAAGCGTGCAGAAGGACTTACGTGGAGTGTCAAAACGGACGACTTTTTTCCATACGGTTCAGGTCAAGATGACTACTGGTCAGGTTTCTTCACAAGTCGACCATCTTTCAAGCGTTTTGCTCGAGTAGCGAATACGCTGTTACAACAACTGCGGCAGCTTGATGCCGTCTACCAGAGTCATCATTCTAGTACGTTAGCGGCACTGCAGCGTGCTGTGGGTCTTGTGCAACACCACGATGGTCTGTCTGGAACGGAGAAACAAAGCGTTGCAGATGACTATGCGCTGCGGCTGAATGACGGTATCATCCAGGCTGAAAAAGAGATGAACGAAGTGCTGTTTGTGATCGGCGAGAAGGAGCCGTATCACTTGTGCTTACTAGCCAACACAAGTATATGCGATGTGTCCACGCAGAACACAGAATTTGAGGTGCTTGTGCACAACGCACTGGCGCGTACGACTGTTCAGACAGTGTCAATTCCGATTACGCACAAATCAGCGGAGGTAAAGCTTCTTTCGGGCAACGCAAGTATCCGTGCGAAAAATGTATTTGTGGCTCTACCGGTTCATCCTGAGACGCAAGTAGCTCCCTACTCGTTCGTTTTCAGTGTTGAATTGAAGCCTTTAAGCACGACTCGGTTTTTGGTAAAGCAAAATAACGTGGACTACAGCGGCAACGTGCACGAAGACGATGTCAAGCACGAGAAGAGACATGAAAATGCTGGAATTGGTGGTCTTGATGATAACATCGAGATTGACAATGTGGTTGTCCTGGAGAACCATTGGATGCGAGCAGAGATCAGCAAAAAGACGGGTTTTATCACAAAACTGGCCAACAAGAAGAAGAATATTCAGATTCCGCTATCGTTGGACGTAAGGTACTACCAGGCGTTCCAAGACAAAGGTCCGAAATCCGGTGCGTATGCGTTCCGTCCGGACTCGAACAAAACGCACCCGGTGACTGGCAAACATGAAGCCATGTCGAGCTTAGTATCAGATGTGTCAATGGTAGAGCTGCAGACGACGAGTCTCGTCGCTGATGATGCTGATGGTGGCCTCGTCAGTGTGCCGCGCGTGGCGTTTCGAATAGGCCACTGGGTCATGCTGGAGTACCGGATGAACGACGACGACGAGTTCCTGGAGATCGAGTGGACAGTCGGACCAGTCCCAATTGACGACAAAAAGGGCAAAGAGGTCATCATGCGCTTTGATGCCGGCAACAGCATCGCGTCTGGTAGTACGCTGTACACGGACTCGAACGGTCTCGAGTTCGTAAAGCGTGTGCGCAACCATCGTGACACGTGGAATTTGACTCTGCATGACAACCAGGAGAAAGTGGCGGCAAATTACTTTCCCATCACCACGGGCGCGTATATCAAGGACGAGAAGCGCCAGTTGAACTTGGTGACCGACCGTGCGCAAGGAGCCGCGAGTTTGAAGGACGGACAGATGGAAGTGATGGTTCACCGGCGTCTGCTTTGTGACGATAATAAGGGAGTAGGCGAACCCTTGAACGAGACAGAGTTGGTGTACAACACGGCCACGAAGTCGTACACTACTAAGGGTCTAACGGTGCGCGGCAACTTTTTCATCAACGTAGACTCGGTCGACGATGGCATGCGCAGCATTCGTTCGAAGATGGAGTCGCAGTTCTTCCGTCCACTGACAGTATACCGCAAACCTGTTTCATTTGACGTGGAAGCAAAGGTACCATGGCTGACAGTGGGCGAGTTCCCTTCGAATGTAGGTCTGACAACGTTGCAGGAGCTATCGAAGCAGTGTCTCATGGTGCGTCTGTCGCACTTGTATGCAGTGGACGAACACCCGCGCCTATCGAAGCCTGCAACGGTGGACTTTTCTGCGTTGTTCTCAGTAAAGAACTCCGTGGTGTCGGAGGTAATGGAGCTGGTGCTGACTGGCACGAAAGAGCTGCCGCAGAAGAATGAAAGGCTTGCGATGGAGTGGAAGACGACGGATGATGCGTACGACTGGTCACCTCCATCTCTTCCTGTAAAGGGTACATCGGTGACACTGCAAGCGATTGAAGTTCGTTCATTCCGCGTGTGCTTTGCAAAAGATGCGGGTATGGATAAAGGCGATGTTATCGATAGCTGGGCGACAGGTGATGACTTGTCTAGTGTTGCGCTACAAGATCTGGCAGAGATCATTGCCATTGAGTAAGTGTCACAGCTAGAAATCGTCGAGTAGTCTGAAAAACTGCAAAATGTGAGCGTACACAAACAAGTATGATTGAGCATGTGATCCATAGTTTTCTACGGTCTACGCGACTCCATGAAAAGCAATGACAATGACGGTGACAACAGACAAGAATGCAAAGCCAATGCCAACGAAGCGACATACAATCTGCCACTTTGCTTCTTTGAGGTATTGTTGGATTGCAGGCTGCAATTTGTTGCTCGCCACAACATCGCCGTCTTCTTGACAAAAGCCCACAAACTGCAATCGGTTTGCGCTTAGATAACGCCACCAATATACTCCAGCAGCTTTGATGATCATCCTTGCCGCAAAACGATTTGCAACAAAGACCACCACTAGAAGCCACCACGATGCAGCTGAGAAATACACAGCTTTTTCAGTCGCACATGCAAGATGATGCTGCAATGTATCAACGATTACATGTCTTTCCACAGGGTGTAATGCTTCAGCTGGAAAGCATAATTCAAATGCCGTAGATGGTACAAGGAATGGTGCGTTGTGACTCAACTGCTCCGTAATGGAGAGTGGCGTCAAAAACGCTGAGGTATTGCTGAGACTTGTCACCAAGCACTGGCTTGAAAGAGAAGTATCAACTGCACGAGCTACTTCATCATTAATGGTACAGTCTTGAAGCATTCGAATCAAGCTGCTTGTCGTTGCTGTCCAGTCATCGAAATCATCCAGTGCGATCGACTGGTTCTTCCACACGATAGCTGAGTCTACTGTCAGTGCCGCGTAGTCATTGCGGATGGAATCGTTGATAGTGGTCGCGTACTTCTGAACTTCATCAAGTGGACTAACGACGCGCTCGCTCTTGTTACCATTGTTCTCGAAAAATGCGCGGGTGATTCTTTGCATCGTAGTTTGTGAAACGTTGGTCGATACGTCAGAACTTTGGCAGTGTGCATTGTGATCATTCTTCCACACGAACAGGCCTATGGTGATTGCTGACGCAGCAAAGAAAAGAAGAAGAAATGTTACCACAACGCGCAGTAGCTCTGTGGCTTTTGTCACAAGTGTGTAACATATTGCAGAAATGCTGTGTTGGCAAAGGAAGACTTCACATACACTTCCAATCGTGTCGACTGTGGTAATGCCCCGGATATCCAGCATTGGCATGTCAGAGTATGACTCTGTAATCAGCCCAACTGCTAGATCTGCAACCAATACGGCGAGACGTCCAATGTCTACGTAAAAAATTACTTGGGTGATCAAAGCACTTACGTCAACTAGCGAAGCGCGCAGCACGGCAGTATCGATGTCAAACTTCTCTTCATCTGAAGTTGACGCTTGTGTGCTATTGAGACCTTCGTCACGTGAAGCTACGGTCAGCTTTTGATGCTCGTTTTTCAAACTTGAGTTCATGCTTCTATCTGGCAGAAGATACTTGCGCTGAATGGCGTTCTTAGGTCTGACACTTTGATGCTGATTAGCTGTGAGCTCAGCTACTAGTTGGTCCCCCAGTCGCTCCCACGGTGTAAAACCTTCAGCAATCAGCTTTTTGACTGCAGCCTGCCATTGTTCGCGCAAAATGTCAAAAGATGTGGCAATTTCCTGTTGGGCCTGATCCAAACTAATCGTGATAGCGCTAGTCGCATTATTGATCTGCTGTGCCGTTGATTCGGCTGTGTAAACAAGCTCCTGTTGCAGCTGTGTGGCCTGCTGAACGGTGGCGTTGAGCTGCTTCTCTAGCAGTTCCCATGTTTCATCTACAGTGTCCAGAACGTCCGTAAAACCGTCGTGCACCCCCGCTAGAAACTCGAGTGCTTTGTGAAGTGTTCGACCAGTCTTTCGTATAGCCCCAAGGCTGGCAGCGGATGTTAACGTCAATGGATTTGAAAGCTTCGATGATACTACTTTGCCCAGGCGACCAAGGCGAGAGGCCGATTGTTGCGTGTGACCTCTGCCGTCATTTCCAGACAGTACCGGTGCTAGTGAACTCAATTGCTGGGAGACGAGTGTCCTTGTTGCTCCGACAGTTTTTTCAATGGTTGACTTGACTGTATCGATAGCGGTCCACATCTCAACAAGTTGGCTCTCAAATTTTGTTGCCTGCTTGGATACGCTGTTGTTGACTTCCGTGGCAACTTGAGTTATCAATAATGCACGTACTGCAAGTACTAGTGACCGTGAGGACGACACATCCTCCGTCTTAGGCATGTTTGCGTAAAATGAATCAGTGAAACACTTCAACGTCGAGTTAGCTGCGTTAGCTGTGGACATTTGTACCTGTTCTTTCAATGCCATCAGCAGCGAATTGGAGCCTGATAACGTGAGGAACACATGTGAGAAACTTACAATGCAAAGACATTTACAGATTGAACTCACATGTCATCGTCGTATTTCTCTGATTAGCAAGTACTTGGTCATTAGCATCGATGATTCTCTGAACGCGTTTGCTATCAGCTTCGAAGTGCAATTTTGCGCCGGCCAGATATTCTAACGAGCTTCTATTTACACATTGGGTCATGGTATTCAGCATGTGACTCGTAGTAGCATACACTTGTCTTGCAGTCGTCAAGTCATTGTGAACGCCCATTGCGTCAAGTGTCCATGTGGTGATTTCCGAGGACACGAATATACCTCCGATGAATGTGCAGATCATAAAAAGCACGACGAAACAGAATCGTGGATAGTTGTGAAACCATCGCATTGTTTTCCGCTTCGGATCCTCAGGAGGTGTTGAAGGAGACTGTAAACAAGCGTATTCTACAGTCTTGTCTTCCAAAGTCATTTCATCAGATTCATTTGCACCTGCTGACGTAAACATAAAGGTGAGCGGATGCACTCTCGTGTTCAACCGAGGCAACATCTTGCATCAATGAAGTTAATAATGTAGTGAGAAAAAACATGAGCAGGTATAGAGTGAAGAGAGATAGTGAAAGTGACAATGCAAGAGACTACGAAGGAGTGTGACATATTGTTTTATCATGTAAACCATTGATTCATTAGAGTATTCAGAACTATCAATCAATCATTGTTGTAAAGTACTCATTAGTAATGGATTAACTAGATTGTCGTTTCATAAGGTAGACCACTACAGTACAGCCTTCAAACGACGCGCATGTCAAATTTTAATCCTTGTACTCCTTACAACAAAGAATGCTAACCTCATTAACATGAATAAGTAAGCAAGCGCTCAGACATCCAAGGAAATTTAGGGCCTCAACCAGCAAGCCAGGTGGCAACCTGACTGCTATCAGCACAACAATGCGAATGTTTAAGGGATAAATTTCTTCATCAATGCGCTCTAATGTATAATGTAGCACATATAATATGCATATATACAGATATGTATGTACCAACTCTAGATGTTGGCATCATCACAGTGTTGACAAACACAGCATTCATAGTTGCAACGCAGCACTTTCTTTTAATATTGGGTGTCGTGGAGAACACAACATGAGTAATCCCCGTCGGGTTAGCTCCAAGCAGCGACAGCACGACGTCCGTCATATGCCACTGAGCCAATTGCATAACTTTTAGTATGACCATCAGTCCTCGCGAATCCGCTACAAAGCTCCGGCACGCCAAGGCGTGCCATCGACGCAAAGCTTCATCATCAAGGGAGTCTGCGCTTGGACGCTGACACTCTCTGCCCTGGTGTCCGGGGAATTTCCCCAAGCCGTCTTCAAAACAAGTACATGAAGCACATGAATAAAGACCCGCTTGACTTTGCAATTCTAAATCGTGTTCTGACTCACTACCACGAGCAGCTACAATGGCATTCAAAGCTTTGTGCACCACTCGTTCATTGTTGACCGTCGATTGGATATGATGACAAGGGGTATTTTGTCAAATCAAATGGTAGTAGAAGATTCGAGAGATAAACAAACAGTAGAAGTATTTTCGGCTAATTTAGGATCCTACGATACTGCAAATGTCTGTATTATAGCATATTGAACTATGCGCGGGTAGGTTTTCCACAGTTTTCTGATATTTTTGTGCTTTGTGTGACGCATGCGTATGACGTAAACCAGCACTCATGCTCGAGCTTTTTGACCGGCGTCACTAGATTGGACAGTAATTATCAATTCGGCCTTACAATTCATTACAATCAAGATGGCCACTTCTCTTCAGATTGATAATAACTGCATCACGCCTCGTTACTGTACATGGCTATCTAGTATACTGATCTTATATATATAGTGGACTGCTATGCTTTGAATACGACAACATCAGCATAGAAATGGACAGTAAGTTGCATTGGGTAATGCAGCTACTTGGTTAAGTTGACAATCATCTTGCCTTCTATTTAGCGACGTCATCATCAGATTGGTAGTATAGCTAGCAGTATTAGTGCTGAAAGGATTATTAAGGATAAAGGTCTTACCAGAGTCAGCAAATCAAAAAGAATAAAATACGTTTGTACAGGATACGATTTGTTAATGTAAAACCTTGGATAAATGATAGACAACCACGTTGTTTCGGGAAAAAATCTTCCTCACGACTCATTCTTCAATTTGCGCTGTCAAGAGCTCCTTCTAATATCGTTGTTTCCTACTTGCCGCATCCTCCTGTTTCTGTCAACGTCTTCCTTACAAATGACTGATCTTTCTGATATTGGCCTTTACGGATTAGCCGTCATGGGTCAAAACTTTGCTCTCAATATGGCGTCCCATGGTTTTAAAGTATCTGTATGTAATCGTTCACCTGACAAAGTGGATGCAACAGTTCAACGTGCAAAAGATGAAGGGAATTTACCTCTTGTTGGTTATAAAGATATTAAAGACTTTGTAGCTTCCTTAGTACGTCCACGTAAAGTAATTATACTTGTGGTAGCTGGTAAACCGGTGGATTTAACTCTAGCAGCACTTGCTGAATATATGGAACCTGGTGATATTCTTGTGGATGGTGGAAATGAATGGTTTCCTAATAGTATACGACGTGCAAGTGAATTAGAATCAAAAGGGATTCTATTTATTGGAATGGGTGTATCAGGTGGTGAAGAAGGTGCACGGAATGGTCCATCTCTCATGCCTGGTGGTCCACAAGAAGCATTTCATGCTCTGGAGCCAATCTTAACGAAATGTGCTGCACAAATGGATGATGGAGCATGTACGACGTATTTAGGTCCAATTGGGTCAGGGAATTATGTGAAAATGGTTCATAATGGGATTGAATATGGTGATATGCAATTAATTGCAGAAGCTTATGACATTTTGAAGATTGCTGGTGGATTAACAAATGATGAACTAGCAAGTGTCTTTGATGAATGGAATAAGAGTGAACTAGAATCATTTTTGATTGAAATTACAGCACAAATCTTTGCGAAGAAAGATGATTTGGAAGATGAGGGATACGTTCTAGATAAGATTCTGGATAAAACAGGAATGAAGGGTACGGGTCGCTGGACGGTCCAGGAAGCTGCTGAGCGATCTATTGCTGCTCCCACAATTGCTGCATCATTAGATGCTCGGTACTTGAGTGCTCGGAAAGATGAACGTGTGTTTGCGTCAAAGATCCTATCGGGTCCGTCCGAGATCCCGGCTGTTGACAAGCAACAGTTGATTGATGATGTGCGTCAGGCTCTATACGCTTCCAAGATTTGCTCGTATGCTCAAGGTTTGAATCTCATTCGTGAAGCTGGCGTCCAAATGGGTTGGAACGTTAATTTAGGTGAGTGCGCTCGTATCTGGAAGGGTGGCTGCATCATCCGTGCCAAGTTTCTGGACCGTATCAAAGCGGCCTACTCTAAGGATGCGTCACTCATCTCGCTACTAGTGGACCCGGACTTTGCTGCTGAGCTGCAGGCTCGCCAGTACTCGTGGCGTCGCGTCGTGTCGCTTGCCGTGGCTAGCGGCATCCCCACGCCTTCCTTCTCGGGCTCCCTCAACTACTACGACACGTTCCGTCGTGAACGTCTACCGGCCAACCTGACTCAAGCCCAGCGTGATTTTTTTGGTGGTCACACTTATGAGCGCACGGATCGCGAGGGGCTATTCCATTGCGCCTGGTCCGCTGCTCACCACAGCATTGGCGACGTGCAGGAGCGCATCCGTGGCAACTTATAAGTGGTAGGAAGGAAGGCAAGCGTATCTGTGAGCGTCACAAAGCTATCATTTTTGTGTTTGATATGATCAGAATGCAGCTCGAAACTTTTAGCCTCTTTGTTTGTTCAACGTCTTGCTATTGATTTACATGGATCGATTTACATGCGAGAGAGAGCAGGTAAGCGCGCGAGCACTTCAGTCTCGCTGGTTGTGCCAGGGTTCATGCTAGGAGGCAGCTTACGAAACTTAGACACACGCCGAGCAAGTTGTTCCAGCTCACCGTCCCTTGCATACTTTGAAGTCAGGCGAAGCAGCTGGACTACTGGCTTGCTTGTGTTGGACTTGCCTTTGCTTTTGTTGCGACTGGAGAGCACACGCCAGCGTTCTAGCAATATTAAAGCGTTTTGCAGCGTCTCACGTGAGCACGACTCATAGAATCTGATAAGTTTCTCATGGTACATCGTTTCGGCAAGCCATTGCAGGCGCTTGAGCAAGTCCTCTGTCGTCACTTCACCGTGTGGGCGCAATGCGAATAGACTTGTGACAGCGACCCAGTAACTATCGATGAAAGGCCACACAAGAGTGCTCAGCAACGACAGCATTACGCCGTCGGCTACTTCCATGCGTTGTGATGACGAAGACGAAGTGACTACAGGAATAAGCACTTTGCGGGACTCAAGCTGTGCAAGCGCCTCGACGAGATGAGCACGGTCAGCCTCCGGGTCATCCTTGCGAACAAACTCCATCGTGAGCATTTTGTGCAAGAACGATGCGCCATCGAGCAGTTCCCGACTGTCTACACCTGCTTCTTCATCCGAGTTGCTTGATACAGTGCTGCTATTACCACAAAGCAGGTTACATGCGTCCAAACCATGGTATGCACAAGCCAGCACACCTTCAAGGTTGAACCAGTGTAGTAGCTTATTGCGGTAATACCCAAGGCCGATCATATTGGGGTATTGCTCGCGCTACACAACACATCTAGAGTGAGAATACATCCATTCAACATCACACTACTGGGGACAATACTTACACTGGTGATGGCAGGTTCGACGAGATCCTTACGTCGCATGGTGACAAGCTCGTGAAGTAGTTCAAGTGCACGGTCTACCACAACAGTTGGTGACCGGCCCTGGGTACCCACCACTTGACCACCCCGACGCAAAATCTCTAGTCTCAACCAATTTGCCTGGCGTACAAGTTCCTGCTTGGATATTCCATGACGGTGCACCAACAGGATAGTGGCTACCACGTGTGACATCGCACACGTCGCGTTTTCAATTAATGCGTCTGTGATTGCATAACCGAGATGTGCAACAATAGCAGACGTTGACACAGTCGTCGCTTGCTTCTCCGCGTGCGCAAGCTTTGCATCAAAGTATTGCTTTACGTCTAACGGCGCACCAAATTTCACCGAGATAGAGCCAAACTTCTTGCGTACTATTGGTATTGCTTTCAACAAAGCCGTGATCGACTGTGAATCATAACATTCAAACATATATCTGAGTAAGTCTTCAACATGAATGCAGCAGCAAGAAAAAGGTATCAGAAAAGCATGCCTCGCGAATTTTGCCCTCGCCCAAAAGCTCATTCTGGTGGAGCAGGACTTCCAATGGCTTCTCATAGTCAATAGTCACTGGCACGATATACAGCTGAAAGCACAAAATTCAAATACAAGTGAGCCTCGTGCATCGCATCGAAAATAGAAGACACTTACGCTCTTGACTTTTTCCGATAGGTAGCAATCAACAACTGTCTTGAGAATGCCAAACTTCGGGTGGAGTTGTTTACCACTGCGGCTACGAGAACCCTCGATGAAGAACTCGATCGTGTGTCCTCTCGATATCAGATGTTGTGTATAGGCACGGAATACTGCCGAGTATAAGGGGTCATCAGAAAAAGACCGGCGAATAAAATACGCTCCAGATCCGCGTAGTAGTTTGGTGAGGCTACCCATGTGCAGGAAATCTTCTCCAGCGGCAACGTATGGAACAGGGATATTGTAGGCGAAGAACACGTAGCTCATAAGCAAGAAGTCAACGTATGATCGATGAGTAGGTACAAGCACTACACTGCCACGGCGATTGGCCATAAGATCACGAATACGGGTAAGACCTGTCTCATCCACGTGGATCTGATCATACATGTTGCGGCACACCTTTCGAAGCAGCCAACCAAACTTGCGCACAGCCTTGTAGTCCAATTGTGCAGCCATCGTACTAAGAATTCTTGCAGCTTGACGATCTACCTCGTCTTTATCCACCCCCTGCGCCATAGCACACTCTTTTATTGCAGTGCGAACAATTTCCGATTCCAAAACGCTGTTGCGAAGGCTACCGATGGACTCAACATAGGGCCTAGAAACGTGTGATGCCTCGTGATTCATACCTTCCTTCCACCCAGTAAGTCCCATCACACGACCAAGTAACCCCGATTTGGTGTATCCAGGCTTGCGGCTCGATGTATATGCCCAGGCCACATCCGAGAGCAATCCAGGAAACGAGACCGCGTGATGATCGGGATCCCATTCTAGAATACGGTCAGTGTTAAGTGCAAGCTGCGTCTGATTAACGCCCTCAATATCCACATCGATGACATCTTCGTGCAGCATATACTTTCTTAGTCCTACACAGAAATTCACAACGTAACGTTCCCACGCGATTTCGTGGGAATCGATCCAAAAATCTTTTGTTGCCCAGGTTTTAAGTGTGTTCTCTGTAGTATCGGCAGTAAATATCCATTGGTTTTCCGTAAACGGCTTGAACAACTCTACCAGATTCCGTGCATGCCATGTAAGCTGCCACAGCTTTGCCGCGCTCTTAATGTGCCCTGAATGACCGCTTTTGTTGGCAAGTGTTGAATACACGGACGACGGCAGCGTATACGTAAGAAACCATTGAATTTGAAAGCTTTGGTGAGTTGGAATCATAGAAAACTTGACCGGAAAGAGTCCGCGTGCTGGCGGATTTTTTTTAAAGTACTCTAGCACAACCATGGTTGGTACACGCCAGCGTAGCGGATTTTGTCGTGGATCGGATGTGCCGCAATGCACAACCATAGGTGGATTTATTGCCACACCCTTGGCCAGCGGATAGGACGGTTCTTGTGATGACCGTATGCTCTCGTGTTCGTGAATCTTTGCGCAGATAGAGAGCATAATACTGTTCACCGCCAAATCTACGGGAACAATGTCGGCAACGTTTCTTGGGTCACCTGGCAGCATCGTCAACACGCCCATTCCACCAGCCAGAAAGATAGCGCCGGCAGCAGCAATTTGATCAATCCATCCAGGTACGGGCTCCTTCCAACTTGCACCGATAATCGTTGGGCGATGAATCACGAGCGGTATGTTGGGTGCAATTTCGCTTACCAACAGGTGCTCCGTCATGGACTTGGTAAGTGTGTATGTGTTAGGATACGTTCCCATAAGGTTTATCGTGACACGTTCCATTTTACTTGGCGTCGCTGTCACAACTGATTTCAAAGCATCATGTACGTCAAAATCCAGTGGATACAGCTTCTCCAAGACCTTGATATTGCGTAGATTACTGTTCACATAGGCCGTTGATACATGCAGATGGCAACGAATCCTAGTACAACTCTGCACAAATCTTGCAACATGGAGCGCACCGAGACAGTTCATCTCGGCAGCTACCTCAAGCGGCTCATCAAACCGTACTGAAGCTGCCGAGTGGATGGAGATCTGCACAGAAGCACGTAGTACTTGCGTATCTTCTGGACTAAGTCCCAAGTCCGGTATCGTAATATCTCCAGCAATTGCTTGCAATTTCTCAGCTGCAAACGTTTCAAAATCCTGTGTCCGTTCAGCACGCAATCGATCAAAGACACGACTTTTAATAATTTCTTTCTGGAGACGTTCAGTTGGTGTCACACCTTTGCGAGAACGAATTAATACATAGATCTTGATATTGGAATTTGCATCAACATTGTAACGGTATCAATTAGTATCATGACACAAAGGTATTAAGCAGCATATCACGGGAGACATGCATACCTTGGCGATATCTGGTGTACATCGTAGCAGTTTTTCAATAAGTGTCTATCGTGTAAAAGGATGAAACAACATCACACACAATAACAATAAGAAGAAGAAGAGAAGAGAGCAAATAATGACAGTGACAAGAAGCATATTACTTTGGCTAAGAAACCAGTACCACCCGTAATAAAGAGGTGTTGGTCATTGTAAATCTGATCCATGACAAGAGCGAGAAAGATGTTTTGAGGTTGTTTTGTAAACTGAATGATTTGGTAGTTCCGACTACTAGCTACTATTGTGTTTGATGATACCTTTGCTAGCTCGAAAAGTTCCAAAATTGGCGTCCAATGATTGGTTATGGAAAAAGTTCATATACGGAAGACCGAATAAGATGTGAAACGATATTTATAGAGATTCAAACATGGCTAACGTAAATGAACCGACACGATTGTATGATTCCTTCCAGAATATTGAATCTTTACTTGACAACCTATTGCTCTTGCTCTTCGTAGTTATACTCACTTACTTACTTATCTCATGGGCAATTCATAGATCCAAAGTCTTTTTTTTCTTCCCTTTCCAATCTCATCTGCATCTTGCATCGTCATGTATCAAGGTTGTCAGGATTCATCATCATTCATCGATAGTAGTGATTAGATCCAACAGTGAGAACAGTTACACTGCAACTTATTGCAAAATGCTTTCGTGCTTGTGAGTAGAGGATCTCTTGGTTCTAGAAATAGTATGTGTCGTTTACCAAAAGGATTATCGAGGGTGGCTACGTGGTTTCACTCATCACGACGGCTAATACTTCTTAGTACATACAAGCGGTCTGTCTAGTCATAACATGGCAATAATCATACACAGGCTCCGTTCGTCTTGTGCGCACACAGATACTTTGACAAGCTAAGTATCAACTACGAAATCGATAAGACTGTCCTGCCTATCCTGCTTTACTCTCAAGACCATGTCACTGATACAGTAATCACAAAGCATAAAGTCGTATTTAAAATAGAGCAATATGGCTTCTTCTGGCTGCGGAAATGTAGCTGTGGAGCAACCAGCTGAGTCATGGCTTTGTGGTTTATCTCGCCTAGCCACGGGTGCTAACAATACTCAATGCAAATACCACGAGCTATGGCTTTGCTTTGACCACCAACAGAGCAGTTTCAGCACCCACAGAACGCAGGATTCGAGTGAAAAGCTAAGAGAACAGTCGCTTTACGAAAGCAAATCAACGTCACTAGCAAGTATGATGGAAACCGCTACATGAAAATTCCAACGTACCAACTTTTCAATGGTAAACATCAAGCAAGTTGGGGTCGTGGGTACCATCTGCAACTTAGCAGCTGCAGTATTAGACAAGGGTCAGCAATGGACAACAAGAAAACGGATATAGCTGAGGTGTACATGTTGAGACATATGTACAACAACGAAGCGACTGCGGCAGGTATGTCTAATGTGGTAAGTAATATGTGTAGAATTCACAAACCTCACCACTTAGGCATACCGAGAAACGCAAAACATATGCGGGCTCTCCTATACATGGCAGGTTGTCTACAACACCTTATGATTTTAATAATGACTAGATAACGGTTAGAGTGTTGTTCTATGTTACCGTTTGACATAGAGAGTTGGTATACGAGTGTGCAAGCTATGGCGTTTTGCTTGCCTTCAAGCGACTAAGCTCTACTCAAGATAATCAAACCATCAATTGAGACTTAGCTTGGAACAGCAAACGATCGCCTTACATAGTCACGTATGGTTGCGACTGCTGTACTGTAGGACACAGAAAAGTTATCCTAATGACCTACTTCGATCACGATAAAACGAATGAACGCACTCGAAATACCCTCATGTAGACTACCGGTTGTTCATGCTTCGTTACAATCGACAGACTATCCGAATTACACAGCTGTTGAGACCTCCTTTAGCAAAATATCGATTCGTGTACGATTGTACCGAGCAAAGACGATCTCGCCTCCAAGGCAAAGCTAATGCCTCTAGCTTTTGACAAAGTAGATTAAAGTCATTCATTGGTCATGCTGTAAAAGACATGAGTTGATTCTGTAACTCAATTTTTCATTTGACTTCTAGTCGACACAGCTTCTCCCACCACTCGGCATATGTCTCGCATCTCTAGTTTCGCGCTTGTAGCGGTATCTGCCATTGCAGCTTCGTGCCTCCCACTGCTATAGATTTCCAGACTGGTAGCGGAGGGCGTGTGATGTGGGAAAGCAACTGCAACTTCGAAGGACACGACTATCGATCGATGAGAGCCACCCAATATGTATGCGGTGATGTGTGCGCTAATGACGCATCTTGCACACACTGGACATGGAGCCAATACATCGGCGGCACTGGTTGGTTCAAGACGGGAGATCGATCAACCAAGACTGCCGAATGGGGCACTAATTGTGGTTATGTGATTGCGTGTAGCTCGCAACAAGGTCAGTCTGCAGCACCCAACAGTGGTCTATCCTCGTCAGAAATGAGTGATATTGATTGGACGCATTAACCTTTACCGATCACAGAATGGTCTTGGACCACTCACTATTGATAACCGTTTGGTAGCGGCGGCATTACAGCATTCACAAGACCAGGCTAACAACTGCAAAATGACACATGTTGGCTCAAGCCGCTCAAAAGTCGGTTACCGCATTCAAGCGCAAGGCTACCGTTTTGCTACGGCTGCAGAGAATGTGGCAGCTGGCCAAAAGACTGTGGAACAAGTCATAATCTCATGGTGGAACTCGCCGGGTCACCGTGCCAATCTTCTCAATAGAAACGTCAAGAGTGTTGGCTTTGAAAATGGTTAACACGCGTTGCGGTAAGCTTGGCCAAAGTCTTGTGTCCAATAGATTATGCAATCTATTGGACACAAGACTTTGGCCGAGCTATAGAATAAAGTGTGTGCGTATGCCTTTATTTCATGTCGTACAGCTCAATGGAAAGCCAAGATATCGTCGTTAGCAATTGATCGAAAAGACTCAAGTAAATGGGAGTGTAAGTAGAGAATACATACTAATGTAGGTATTGTTCAAGCCTTCAGAAGTCGATTTGCTGTCAAAAGCAAAGGACAACTTAAACTACATGATTCATTCACCTGTATCATTTACTTCTAACTATTCCGTCTATTTAGAGCTATTCATCTTCGAAAAGACACATACCGTTAAGCAGATATTACCGTAAGAAGAACCTTAATAGGCATCGTTCGGTGTGCGAGAAACAGAATCATATGATACATGATTACCACCGACACCCAACAGTATTGTGATCATAAGATGCGTACGTCAAGTTAGTGATATTGAATCTTGATACTACATGCTACAAAAGATTAGTGTTATACAAATTATCAGCAAATGCCCTTTGCTGATTCGTGACCATCAAAAGACTTTACTTGACAATGCTTGTTGCCTTCATGTGATGGAATTAAGCTCAGCCAACTCAATATCATTGCATTAAGACAAGAAGCATTGTCAATTTAAGATAAAGTAATTCCTTCTTCTGGTCGGGAACATGTGTGTTAATTGCTGTTCAATGTTTACCAAAAAATACCCAACTCTGCCTGCATGTCAGACACTTGCAGTATATCGATTAAACCATTCGCATCGTAGCCATCTGATTACAAAGCATGCGCCACTTGAGCACGATACAATGCTCGCATCCGAGAGCGGTATAGCGCGACAGAATGTAAACCGATATCTGAAAGGAGAAGAATGTCTTAGCATCTAAAATTGTGCTTTACGTGCAGGGAATAGAACACGTGTTGCTCCAAGACTCACTTTTCAACTTGCGTGCTTTCAATCAACCCCTGCGATGCCTCACCACGCTAGTTTTGTGCTTATTGCTGCCGGTGCCGTCACTGCAGTCTGCATCATGCCAACCACTGCAGGTTTTCAGCTAAGCAGCAGTGGGAGCATGATATGGGAAAACAATTGCTCTTTCAGCGGGAACGACTACCGATCGTTGATGGCCATTCGCAATGTATGTGGCAACGTCTGTGATAGCGACTCACAATGCACGCATTGGACATGGAACCTTGACATTTGCTTGCTCAAAACGGGGGCTCAATTCGTCAAGTCTGTAAACTGGACTGCGTCCTGCGGCTACATCGTCTCGAGCAACGAGAAGGCACCATATCAGGTCCAAACCTCAGCTGAGGGCCCGGCAAGCGCCAAAGTCTCAAAAAGAGATCCATCCCCGACAGTAGCTCTATCGCGGACAGCAGCTCCATCCTCGACAGCAGCTCTATCGCGGACAGCAGCTCCATCCTCGACAGCAGCTCTATCGCGTACAGCAGCTCCATCCTCGACAGCAGCTCCATCCCCAGCAGCACCTACATCAGCAGTTCCATCTCCGTCATTATCTCGACCGGCACCTGCTCCATCTCCGGTTCCGTCACGCCCCCTAAGCTTAGTTGGAACTCAAAGTTCAGAAAGTAATTCAGCCCAAGCTTTACCCAACAGCGGCCTTTCCGCTGCTGAAATGAGTGAGATGCTAAGCCGAATCAATGCGTACCGTACGCAGCAGGGCCTCTCTGCACTCAATATCGACAACCGACTCGTGGCAGCATCTGCTAGACACTCGAGAGACCAAGCGAATCATTGCAGAATGACACACGAGAGCTCAAACGGCATGACACTGGGAAGCCGCATTGCAGCACAGGGCTACGATTTTGAGACGGTGACGGAGAACGTGGCAGCCGGCCAGCAGACTGTGGAGGATGTGATGACGTCATGGTGGAATTCACCGGGTCATCGCGCAAACCTCCTGAACAGGGATGTACGGAATGTTGGTTTTGCCAAGGTTGTGAACAATAACTGCGGTAGCTACGATACGTACTGGACGCAGGACTTTGGTCGCTTGGATTAAGGCGAGTTTTTGTTTCCGCCCGTAGGTAGCAAAACGGGCTGTCATTTCGTGTGAAACGGTGCACATTGGGATATCTATCTGTTTAGTAATTTTGGAGGAAGTAATGACGTAACACGGTAGTCACAAATGCACAAATGTGCTTTTTTTTACAGTCATCTCTTAACTCGATCGATGCCTTGCAATCTATTCCACAAAACTGATTCTCCAACAAAATTTGGTTTGTGAGTTGTTCAGTTAGCGCCGTCGACATACATACAACTTGGACGCAGCAAACAAACTGCAAGCGGATACACATCTAGCGAGAAACTTCTAGAGCTTGGTAGTTTTTACATTGAACCGATCAAACATTGACTTAGTCGATAACAATCACGATGGCAAAGATTTTGCATGACCCTACAGAGAAAGACAAGGTTCATTCCTCTAGAAAAAGAGTGACAGCAAATTTTTTAGTCGGTAATCTGAGCAGTGGTAGTATATAAGCTTTGACCGATCATTCTCTCTGTTTCTTCAGCTTGTTAACAAAAGACCAATATTGAAACTGCTACAAGGGCAACATCGCAATGAAAAACTCCTCAAGTCAGCTCTATCGACAATGTTAGGAAGACTATTGCCGGCACAAGTTATATTCTCTTGGTGGCTTGATAAAACGATGGCTTTTAGTTTTATTTACGACACATGTACGATATGTTCCAATGCGTGAGGATAATGTAGCATAGAAGTTTTATGCTGAGAGGGTTCCACGGTCTCCATCTTGTATATAAATTGGTTATTGAGCGTACGTAGAGGTGGTGACGACGCGTTTTTCTCTAATGCTTTGCCGCCACGCTTCAGCTTTGTAGCACTAAAAAATCTGAAAGACAAATCCGTATAAGAATGAAGTAGTTTGCACCTAGGAAGGACCAAACGATCTAATGTTCGTTTGGTCAGGAGGGCGTTGCATATCCTGCTTTGCATGACCCCGACGCGATAACGCGCATGTAGAGAGGTTTATGCATTAATGTAGAGAATAGTCTTTTCACGAATATCGAGCTAACGACAAAGAAAGTTGTGCCGCCATCGGTGTCAAGGTGCTTCAAAACCAGAGTCGTCATGTGTGCATACTGTTTGCAAAGGAGTGGTGTAGAAACTTTCTGTTCATATGAGCAGTATGCGAAAAGGTTATGGCATCAGCCATGCTGCAAACGAAGCTGCAGTGTATGGCGCTGACAACCTTCAAGCTCGATGGAAAAGCAAGAGCATCGGCGGGGCAGCGTTTATTCGCTTCCTGGGATGAGACAAAACGATTGCTACCAGCTTTTGTCGTCATATCCGGAGACCGCGTAGAGAACATTTCCTTGCTATTTACCAGTATAAAAACGGACTGATGGGCTTTGTTCAGGTTGACTGTCCTAAGTAGGCAACGGGACAAGCGGCCTTAAGGATGCACTTCGCTTCGTCTCGTTTCCAAAAAATAGAAGATGTGCTAGTCACCCAGGCGAACATGAAGCTTTAACAAGTTTGGTGGATTTAAGAGCGTTTGGCATTGAGCATGCAAGAGTGAATAGAATGCTAAAATACTGACAGAGCGTACAGGTAACAGCTCTTGCTGTCCATCTCGCGACGGCGACCCGTGTATAGTGTTCAAGTTTCTGCAACCTTGGCGCGAATCGTGCGGACTTTGATAGCGCGTACAGCGCTGTCTGGTCTAAGATTTGACTGCGAGACATGACCATGACATGCTGGAGCGCCATGAGCCATGGGCAGTGGATGTTGAAGACATTCAGCAGAGCAAGCTTCTCTTCTACCACCTTGTAAGGCACGAAATTATTCTCTCTAGAAAGCAAAAGCGACGTTTTGCGCAGGCACAGGGTCAACTTTACCCATGTGCTGAACATGAGAGTGTCTGTGTAAATTGGACGCTTCGACAGCAACGTCTTCTTGAGCAAGCTGCTGAAACACTCTCGACAATGGTAATACTGCAGGAGCTAAGATAGCAGCTCGTTTCATCGTCGGTGCGGCTTTCGCTGGCAAGAGGCAATTGCTATCGACGTCCCTGCCCTTTGACGTTCGCTTGCAAGAAAGCAAAGCCAATGATAAAACGACAAGTGGCACAGACAATCAGTACGGAGGATGGGAGGCTACCCTGTATTGTCGTGACGGTATATGGATATTCCTCAAGAAATTGGAGTCATCACGGCGAATCTCGCCCCAGCTGTGCAAGAAATTGGAGTCATCACGGCGATCTCGCCCCAGCTGTGAAAGAAATTGGAAAGGCTAAGCACATTTACGAAAACCTGCTGGGTCTCGGAAAACGATGAATCGACAATGACCTTGGCCTTTCTGGAGCTTTTCGCTCGAAGGGTCTGCCTTTCCATCGAAACGTCTTGATCTGTGAAGCACAGAAACACGCTTGTCTGGATCTGACGTCAAGCGCATGCCTTTATCACCGCTCCCCTGGCTCGCTATTATTGTGTTCAACTCGACTATTGACGACGATTTGTCAACGTTTATCTGTGCATACTCTGTAGTAGCTCCTTGGGATTAACAATGTCGTCATCTAGAGCATTGAGCTTATACCTGGAGACTGCAGTCACTTGCTCACGCCGTAGACAGACGGATACACATTTTATCTCAGAATCGGTAACGAACGCATTACCAACTAGGCTAGACTTAACAATGTTAAATACTATATGAAATGAATTGACATTGTCACCGCCAAGAGAAATGTAGCTCATGTTTTGCAGGATAGCCTTGTTGTTCTCTACGTACAGAAAAACCTCTAAGAACTGGATCACGGAATTGCGTTTTGCTTCAAATTTGTATGCGATAACGAAAGCACCGTTTTTCACTTCAATAAACCAATTCGTTGGGCTCCATATAAGTACTGACACCGCTGACGGCATTCATAACAGACAAACGCTTGATGCTTTCATGAAGGACTTTGAAGGCAAATGCGCATGATCAAAGCCACCATTTCAGTTTCAACAGGGTACAGACAACTAACATTGTACAACGGTACGTTATAAAGGCTATCCTCGGGATACCACGACGACGTGATGACCTTACCAATCAGTCTAACTGTCATTCCTATAAACATGTCTGGCTGGGAATCGTTTTCAAAGAAAAGGCTTTCGTCAAGACGAATTTTTGGAGATTGTCCAAATTGATGGGATTCTCTTGCTGTGTGTTTTCTCACTTTTCATTTTGTGCTGCTCCAAACTTTCTACATTGGGACACTCGTTTTGTTAGAACATGATCCGTCCTCGATTTTTCATGCTAATTGCACTTATCATTGCAACGATCTTAAGCTCTTCCTCGGCTTCCATATCAAACACGAGAAGTGCCGTCCTGTCGCAGGAAAATTGCAGTGGTGACATGTCTTTTGCATCGAGCTCTCCCAGCAGTTGTAAAAAACAGTGCGCAAACCACCGACAATGCAAGCACTGGTCGTGGTCAGATGGGGGGGATCCTGAAGGGGATCTGCTGGCTCAAAGACAGCACGGGGGCCCCCGTCTCAATGCATGAAGGCGGTTGCGGCGGAAACGTCGTTAACGACGTCTCCAGCGTTAATCCATCATCAAACCAAAACCTGAGGACCACTAACCATTACGGCGACCAAACAAACACTGAGCAAACTGAAGGCTACACATATGCTGAGCAAACTGACAACTATAATGCATATGGCACCCCCGCGGTTGTACCACCCGATACTTCACCGGATTCCTATGGTGGATCGTACACGAACGGACTGACTGCTGCCGAAACTACGCAAATGCTGACCTCGATAAATGAACACCGCACAACTAACGGGTTGGTAGCACTAACTATCGATGATCGACTAATGGCTGCTGCTATGGCCCACTCAGAAGACCAGGCACAGCATTGCCTAATGGGACACGATGGCACGGATGGCACGAAACCATGGGACCGAATGGATAGATTAAACTACAAATGGGTGTCCTCTGCGGAGAATGTGTGTTCTGGTCAGAAAAGTGTGGCGGAAGCAATGGAATCGTGGTGGAATTCTCCAAAGCACCGTGCAAACATCCTCAAGAACGACGTGAAGAACGTTGGCTTCGCCGTCGCACACAACGAAGCTTGTGCCTTGTTCACAACCTATTGGACACAGGTTTTTGGCGAAGAGTAGGTAGGAAGTGAGAAGCAAATTGGTCTGTCGGCAATCTTTTTTTGCGTAGTGTTATCTCTCTTAGACTGATCATTAAACAACAGACTTATATACCTCGTCATTCTAAGCTGCAACTCATCTTCCTTACCGTGATAACGCAGCGATCAATGCATGCACGAATATTCGTTCATTGGCGGAGGATATAAAAGCAGCGCACCTTTGGTTCGTGTTTGTCTCTATGTAAGCCACAATTTTTCAACGCAATGCAGTAAACGCATGTTGGACATTCCACCGATGGTCATGGCGTTGTTAAGGAGATGTATTGCTAAAGTAAGTGAACTCGAAACGACCGGTAGACGTACGTAACCATTAATGGTTGGAATGACATTCCATGGCAAAACAATTGGGGTTTAATCTATTCATTCGTTTTCTACTATCATCAATATGCCGCGTTTTTGCAGTCATTGTCACTCGGTTTCGAAGAGTTTTGTTTGGTCTCTTGCTAACTAACATGTTTAACACACCATTCAACTCAATCAAACATGTTCCACCAGCTGGTTGGTACCATACGTTGTTAACTCCAAAGGCTCTTCCATCGTTGAAGGCACGTAATTGCGCATGTAGATTGTGGAATAGACCTCGCGACACAAAAGTCGCGTGGTGACGCACGAGAGTCTGGCGACATGAGGCATGGCAGCAAACCCGCTAACCAGTAGAGCGGTTGCCACCACCACAAAGATTGTAAGGTTGAACCATCCGTCACTAAAATACTCGTTTCGAAAGATCGGTGACATGAGAGCGTGAATAGGCATGGTGAGCGGAATGACCACTACCATGGCACTTAGTACACCAACGCCTAGCTTTGCCGTGCTAAAATACAGCAATACTGCAAGTGATGGTCGAGTAAGATACGATCCATTAGCTCCATAGTGTGGAATTTGACCGTATAATTTATTTTCCATCGGCTCAATAAAATTGTGCAAGACAATGTCAAGTCGAGCAAGTAGTGGTGCTAGATAAAGCAGTCCCTGGAACATGACAACACCCAAACAGCAGAGCGCTAACGATCCAAGTGAGAATGCGACACCAAAGAGAATGACAATAAAGCCTGCACTAGCAAAGAGATAATTGAGTACAAGAAAGATCAATACTTTAATAGTTTGAAAGACACTGGTCTTCATGTGAATTAATATCCTGTCAGTAGTCAGGACGATGAAGAGATTTACTTGATACTGAATCAATTGGATAATGCGATAGTACGAATACTGTCGTCTTTTTATCGTTTTGGTGCTGTTCATACAAATCATAGGATAAAATGTATGTAAAGTCGCATAAATACGCTTATTAGCTGCATCGTGAATGATTAATATCGATATTCATTACATCAACTGATACTATGGACCACTTGACTGTCAACGAATCGACCACCACGTATTCCAATAATGACTTGGATAAGATGACGTTGCCGATTTCAATGACCAGCAAACACATTGGCATTCATTTTCAAATATGTTACGACCATAACTCACTCGCTGCGATTGCACAACACTAACGACGTAATGAAGAATGATACTGTCGATCCAAAGGACAGCAGGCAGAGCATCAGCCTAAGCGCACCCCACATACACGCCAAAAGTGCATCTTGTGCCAGAAGAAAATGCCACCAACAATGGCCATCTGAATAAAAATATGGCGCTGACCGCAACGACACTTGCAAAGGACATCTGCGTATACGGACGCCAACGATCGAAACAATTCTCGGGCCAGGTAATCAAAAGCACAGCACGAACTTGCCGAGGATCGTGCGAAGAAACTATCGGCACCATTGCTGGCTACCTTCAATCCATCCAACATGCGTAGTATGGAACGTTCAAGAAGGATACTCGCATGGCTTCTCTCCAACAACACGCGATAACGCCAGCAGCGTACAGACAAGCACATCTGATGTGCATGTCAAAATCAATCGAAACAAACTGTCCACCCATCACTTTCCACCGTGAGCGATACGATTGTGGCTGCTGTTGCTGTCACGTTGACCAGGTTTTTCTGCCGTCTTCCTTACGTCTAAAACACGCCCGCCGCTACCAAAATGGCTTGAAGAAGTTGTGACGCAATCTCTTTTACAAGAATCATGCTGTTCTCGTCTTGAGCGAGCGCATACACAATTGGTCGAAGGTTGTACTCGACGAGAAATTGAGTAGGTGATGTGTGCGATTCAAACAGACACTTCAGCATTTTGAGCAAGTTCTTGCGTACAATCGCCTTCGGAATAAGTCGAAGTCGTTTCAAGATCTCCGTGACAAACATGCCACTACGTCCAAGCGCCTGGTTCAGCCTCACTGAGCGAGTCATCATCTCCAACAGCGGCTCCAGCACCTTCTCAAATTCGGTATCCATAGCGTTGTAAAAGCACACCACAATCTTCATTAGGTTTTTGGGAACCAGTAGAACGTTTTCCATTTTTACAGTGTCGTGCACAAGCCAAACGCTGATAGACTTAACGGCATCAATCTGCCAGTACTTATCCTCCAACAATTCCAGAAAGAGAGTCACACTGTCATACGTCCACAAATGAGCACGTGCAGTCGGAGATGCATGAGCCAGGTCGCATAGGATTGGAAGTGCAAATTGCTTGAGCGGACTGGAATTCTGGACCACCTTGATAAGTGACGGGATGATGCCCGCTTGTGCTGCGTAAGTCTGACGGTTACGATTAATCCGGCAGAGATAGAACATAGACTGTAGCACAATGTTTTCAACTTCTTTTCGTTTTACACCTGAGATTGAAGGGCCTTCTCCCTCTTGCTCATTCAGTAGACGGACAAGCGTCGGAATTGCACCAGCTCGATCCAATTTCTCCAGCGTTGAAGGCTCCATGCTCAGATTTCGAATGCACTTCAGCAGCTTCAACATTGCTGAAACATATTCATCTGAGTGACGTATCAGCGGTAACGTCTGTCGGTCTACTTCTTGCTGATAGCCTCGATGAGCAAGCTGCGGCCCTGGATGGATTGCTTCCAAAAGGCCTTCCAAAACAGCACTATCACACATATGTTCTTTCACCACAGCATCACCTTGAGAAAACAGCACAAAAATATCACACGTCTTGTGAAGCTCCCTCAAGGCCCATTCAACTACAGATCCATCCTTAGTGACTGCTGCATTGCTTTTCGTACATTGCTTTGCACTGTCACTTTTTTCTAGCCCACGTGTATCATTTGCTGACATCGCTGCAGTAATCTCGGAAAAGACGACCACAAACTTTTTTAACAGCCCTGCTTTGACAAAAAGTCGACAAATATCGTTCTTCGGAATGGTCTGGATACTAAAAACGCTAAATATTCCATCTAATGCAATCCGAAGCAAGTCCACATCGTGTTCAAGACTGGATGACTCCTTTTCAAGCGTCAAAAAGTCCACTAATACAGGCAAGCCACCACATGCAATAAACATTTGCAGTGTCAACGAGCTTGTTTTGCAACACTGGCGCAAAAACTTGGCTGCTTCCATTCGAACAGGTTTGAAAAACTTTGTGTCCTCGACTCTGTGCATGCAAAACCTTTTGCTGCCTTCACCTGGTAAACTGTGCGGGTTATGTTGCTTCGTAAGCTTGATGATTACCGGCACAACGCCAACGAGGGCCAAATTCTCCTGAAACTTTTTGTTATCCTCCACAATCTACATACAAACACAAAACCATAGTTAATTACAAGTGACGGAAGCGCGTGAACTAGTGTGCCGTACAATATTGATAACCCTGAGCACAGCATGCAACACGTCCATCTTTTTTATTTCTAACGCTTCCATAATGTTGGGTACAACGCCCGGTTGTGACATCAGATCTTGTCTCAGCGTCGCGTTTTGGTTGAATACCTCTTCCTGCATAACCAAAAAAGCCAAATTTACACGAGCACCAAGTCACTTTTCCGCACTATGACATCAAAGCTTTTAACTCACCAAGTTATTACAGGCATCTAAAATTATTTGGTCTTCCATGCTTGGATCCAATAACGACAACAGCTCAACCACACGAGCGGTTGCCTTCTGATTCGTGTCACGACCAGTCGAATAATCGAAGTCCAACTCGTCGTCAAACAAATTCTCTTGCGCACTCTCACCTGAAGACAACCCTGCACTACTATCGCGAATGCCACCGATGCGTTGCACCATGTTAGCCGTCTGATTATTCCCATCCATCTCATGGTTCTCCTCCATACAATTGCTCGGTTTTGTTGCTGGAACGACAAGAGAGGGCATAAGATCAATCTCCATGGCACGCTGTTGCTTCGCAGCCGCTTGTAAAAGATCCTCTTCATCAAAATCGTCAAAAGCCAGTTCTTCGTCGGAATTTTCAACAAACTGCTGGAGCTTTGCTATAAGGCTTTGAGCAGGAATTAAAGACGATCGATCCCACGAGTTCCCCGTAGACTTATTATTCTGGTTCTGATCTGTACTATCACCACTGCTACTGTGACGCACCTCTAGTGTTGCCGATCTCACCGGAAAATCCGCAATTTCGGGCTTCTCGTCGTCCCATATGTCGTCGTCAAACAATGCATTAGCGTCTTCTTTAGACAATTGAAACCGTGGCTTCGTCGGCGCTACTTCCACTAAAGACTTCGGCTCGCTATCTTTCCTCTTGCTATCTTCCTTGAGCATGAATGGCATAATATTCGAATCCACACCAAACTCGTCATCCCAATCCTCCGCATCTTCGTCCGACTGCTCGTTTGTGACACTCAAAAAATTCAAGGTTTTGCCCGTTGCTGTCGGTAGCATGTCTGTAATAGTCGATCGTCTTTCGTATAGTTTGATGGTATTCAACACTGCATCCCGATCGTTGGACAAGGTGACGCTCTCTGCAACAAGCTGCGTACTTTGCTCTACCTTGTTCTTTGGAATTTGCGCAATCCATGGATGTGCCAGAAGCTCATCAGCCGATGCTCGGAGTCGAGGCTCTTTCATAAAACACTTCATGATAAAGTCGTGCAAAGCCTGTTGTAAACGGGCGCAGAATCAGATACAATTGACAAAAACAAACTCGCTTACAGTCTTTACCGGTGACATGCGCTGCGGAAGCGGCGGATGATCTTCTTGCACGATGCGAAATAGCGCAGCCATGGGTGCCAAGTCAAAATACGGCGGCTTGGTTGTCAATAGCTCGATTATTGTGCAACCTACGCTCCAGATATCCGACGCCGAGGACCAACCTGCCATCTCAATTACCTCAGGGGCCACTGCAAAGCAGCATGCAACAAAAAGCAAGCACGTGATAATTAGTGTTCAAAAACGTAGCTATTACCATGCTACAGCACCAAACTTACTCCAATACGGTGACCCTACAACAGAATTTGCTTTTTGCGTCTCATTCAATTTAATTGCAACCCCAAAATCTGCCAGCTTGACCAGTCCATCTTTTGTTGTCAGAATATTTGCGCCTTTCACATCACGATGAAGCACACCTTGTTCATGCAGATACGCAAGTCCTCTCAACACTTGTGTAATATACATGGCTACTAATGTTTCAGAAAGTGATCCAAATTTCTTGATAAATTGTGCCAATGAACCATTTTCCATATACTCCAGTACAATGTACAAATGACCTTGTGTCTTGATTGTATCATGATATTTGACAATATTTTCGTGCTTTAACTTGCGTAATAAACTAATTTCCGTCTGTTTTTATACATTATCACATATCAAAACCCACAGATACAAAGTATTAGAGGTCCATGCGTTGACACCATCTAAAATATCCTAAATAAATATAATAATAAAAGTCCTTTTACTCACTAACCTCAATAGATAACAATTCATCCTTGTCAATATCACGCAATGACACTTGTTTAATGGCCACCGAGCGTCCATTACGTAGATCCAGTGCTCCATAGACCACACCAAAACCTCCACGTCCAATTTCGACTCCAAGTTGCTATCCAATAGAACCCAAAAGAACAGAATTAAAGCGGTTTTATAATAAAATAGTTTAAACTCAATAAAAACGTACATAATGTGTGCCTACAAGCCGCACATGGTCGTCTTTCTTTCCCCCACGACTAGATGTCATAAGACGATTACTAATAGGTCGAGAATCATGCTGATTAACTCGCACGATGGATGGTATGGTATTATTGCCACCGCCATTGCCCGGACTTCCACTCGTGCGCACGTGAATATTACTGCTATTCATAGGAAACGCATGCTTTTATGAAATTAGTTCACTTTAGTGACATTTCCATAATTTTTTGAGATGATATACAATTATGGAGTCGAAAACAAACAAATTATTATTGTTATTAAAATGGCTACGTTCTGATAAAAATATTGTGCAATGAATTAATTGTGATAATATTTATTGTTTGACGCCGGAAGAGACAACATTATCCGGTTAAAAGTATACTATAAGGATAACATGTGCATATGCTTAACGTAACAATTATCACACTAGTGGCAAGTGCTGGACGCTTTATCATGCACTTTTTCCCAACGTTCACGCACTCCCAGATGAGTGCGAGCATATCAACAAGCTGTACAGACGATTGGTTGCGTATATGGCCATAACAATAATGATCGTGACTTTTACCAAGCGTCATGTTGCAAAGTTGTAGTTAGCTGCAGCTAGCTGCAATTAGTTGTACAGAAGGTTGAGGATATTTTGTACATGCTGTTTTTTTTTGGCTGACATTATAGCAACTGCACAGATACGATAGACGTTTGATTGTGGATCATTTGTTTGTAAGAAATGAGTACAATGACACTACATCATGGCGTTTCGGCGATGGTGCTGTACCCATTTCTTATCAATCATAGTAACAGTACTTACTAATAGCAAATTCCATAGAACCTCATCACTTGAGTTGCTCTTACTCACTTATTCACTCACTCACGTTGAAATCGTCTAAATTCTCTCATTCGCTGTTAATATCACTCGCTTATTATCATCCATAGTCCATAGTCCATACTGACTGACTGACTGACTGATAGACTGACGAGAAGGTCTAAAGTAACACCACACTGCTGCTGCTGCTGCTGTTGTTGTTGTTTCTCTCAGAGTTACACGGATATATATTATATATCCATTATTATTGTTATTATTATTATTATTATAATGACAATACATAAACGTCATTCAAGTCTGAATGCTGAATCGAGTAAACCCATTGAGACCATTCAAACTCCTTCTTCCCTCAAAGGTAGTAGTAATGGGTTCACAAAATTCATGACCCGTGTGATCATGGGTTTTGCTATGATTGTAGGCTTTATTGCTATTCTATATGGTGGACATATGTATGCATGGGGTTTTGTAGTTATCGTCCAAACGTTATTATTTCGTGAATTAGTCAATGTTCGCTATCGAGCTGCAGCTGAGAAGAATATTCCGTGGTTTCGATCTGTTCAATGGATGTGGTTTATTGTCGCATTATTTTACAATTATGGTGACTCCTTTGGTGCGTTTATTGAGAGCAGTAAGATTCGTTTTGTACCACCGGCCTTTGTGCACTATCTACGGTATCACACGTGGGTCTCGTTTAGTTTATATGCACTCCTATTTGTCATGTCAGTACTGAGTCTGAAGAAAGGTATGATGCTTGATTGTGTGTGTGTGTGGAAATATATTAATACATTGTTGGATTACATTAAAGCTAAAGAGCTGTAGAATTGGTAGTGATATTGACATTTTGTTGTATGATGTTGCTTGATTATGATTAAATAGGATACTACAAGTATCAAATGGGTCAGTTGTTAAGATTCAGATATGTCGTGTTGTCTATCGAAGAAATGCTGACATTCAGTCTTTGCTATCTTGGGTGGATTTATGTTGGTACTGACTTTACTGCAGGACAATACACATGGACAATTGTGACGTTGGGTCTGATTGTCTTCCAGATGAAATACGTTGTGACCAATATCTTTAACGGTATGACCATATGAGTAGGACTTGGTATTTGCTCTTGGGGAATGAGCTGATCTGATGTGAAACTGTGAACGTATTTGTAGGCCTGTTCTGGTTTTTGTTCCCCGTTTCGTTGGTCATTTGCAATGACTGTTTTGCTTTCTTCTGCGGAAAACTCTTTGGCCGCAAGTTCATCAAGACACCGTTCTTGCTGTTATCTCCAAACAAGACATGGGAGGGATTCATTGGTGCTTTTGTGTGCACGATTGTATACGCCTTCTTTTCTAGCGCTTTTCTTTCGCAGGTATGTATGTATATGATGTGGCGAGGTGACTTTATGTTGATGAATCAATCGGTGATGTTACTTGTTTAGTATTCATGGTTGACCTGTCCAGTAGAGAGCTTTGAGGTAAGTCATTTGCACCTTGCAGCACGTGCGTAGGTTGTGTAGCTGACACTGGATTGTATGACACTTTCTACGTGTGCTGCAGTTTAAGCTGATTTCCGACCCGCTCACGTGCACTCCTCGTGACGTATTCCTCCCGCACCTGTACGACGTTCCAGCCTTCGTCGCACGTATTATCGGTCAGAGCCAGATTCAGCTACTCCCGATTCAGGTATGCGGGGCTGCTATAAAACTTATTGATGTCGACGTGGTCGCTAACAACACTTATCTTGGTTAACAATGCAGCTCCATTCGTTCTGGTTTGCAATTTTTGCATCGGTTGTATCGCCCTTTGGAGGATTCTATGCGTCGGCTATCAAGCGCACTTACAACTTAAAGGACTTTGACTCGGTCATACCAGGCCACGGTGGTGTCATGGACCGGATGGATTGCCAGCTTATCACGAATTGCTTCACTACAGTTTACTTCAATACTTTCATTTGGTACGTACGATTGATGAACTTTTGAAAGCGTTTGATAGGTTCTACCCCACTGACTGTAGAATCTGTACGCTGCTCTGTTGTAGTTCGCAGACCCCATCCGTGACAATGATTCTGAACCTTGTGGCTAAATTGACAATCGAGGAGAAGAACGATGTGCTCCATGCCATCCAAGAAATGCTTGAAGGCTAAGAATGTGATGTTTGTATTTGTAATCGTGCTATCGGTTGCTTAGAAAAGCAGAGACAAGCAGAACGCAACAAGGACCATTTTCGTCATGCATGGCATCCTCCACAGGGCCATATTCAAAAAGAACTATAGGTTTTTCAAGATAAACGTGTTTGTTTGTTTGCACGGTTCTTGTCATTTTCGGTTTAACCTCGATACTACCTACTCATGGCTACGGACGACCGCTTCTGTCTGCGTGTGCGAAACTTACCGACGATGCTCTCAACTAAAGCAATCACGTCCTTACTCTCTCACTACGGTGCTACACGTGTCCGTGTCTTCCCGTATCGAGTACGTAGTATAGTAGCTATAAACAACCAACCAACCAATTAAGAGAGATAGTCAATGTATCAATGAGCATTTTCTCTTCTTTGTATTGTTCTTTGTGCAGAATGCAGCGTCAAGTGGCAAAGAACCAGGTGCAACAACATGTAAACAATCGCAAAAGGCAATTGCAATCTTTCCAACTCATGAAAGGCAGCAGAATGCTCAAAAACGTCTTCATTCACTGGAATTAGCGGGTCATCATTTGCACGTGGAAGTGATTGGTGATCAGACTGGAAGTACGTCACGTGAGACAAAGCAGTCGGAGACTGTACAGACTCTTCATACTTCTATGGCTTTTCACGGTCAACCTCCATTACCGAAAGGTTTGCCTCCATTACTACCATCGGCACCGGGTCGTCTACAGAACTCTCTTTACGCTCCAACACCTTTGGCTCCACATCTAGGGTGAGTCTGTTGGAAGTAGTAAACGCATAAGAGGATGAGGACATGAGTATGGAAGTTGCTAACGAATCGGATTGACTTGTCAGCTTGAATTATGCGCCTTCGCCCCTGCTTGAGTACAAGTATCCGAAAGCAACCGAGAGTATTGTGCGAAATATTGCCAACGGTTTGTAGTGCCGATGAGGGCGCTGGGTATGTCGTATACGATGAACTAAAGGAAGGTATTGTTGCTGGTTTGATTATTATCTAGCCCTCATTGCACTACCTCGATTTTATACACAAGTGCTTCATCTTATGAATAAGATGAATCTACCACCGCCATTCGAAGAAGGCGCGATACCAGGAAGGTTTTCTATGCAGCAAGGCGTGACTCAGCAGAAGAACGAAGCTGAAGATTTTCAAAGAGTTTGTTCCAAGCGCCGCAGGACCGATGGCAATATGAGGTCACAGATAGTTGAAGAAGAAGAAGAAGAAGAAGAAGAGGAGGAGGAGGTTTGCGACGATTACGACGCAGTGAGAGGAAACAAGTCGCGAAATGCTGACGCCCACCCATCGTCAGTACAAACACAACAGCCGAGCAAGTATATCAGCAGTACAACAGTCATGGAAGCAAAGCCAGATCAAAAACCGATTAGTATCTCACGTCAAGACCAGTTTGACCTTACTGGCAAACTCTTTACGCGACGAGATAAACTGTCGTTGGTCAAGAAGAGCGCTACACTCAACATAGCATTTCAACTTGACATTGCTAAAGGCAGCAATAACAAAGCATCTCGATCAATTCGTCCGGGCGTGATTTCAGAAAATGAGGTAAACCGGCTACGACTATCACGTGAAGGTACCGCAAATGCTGTCTACAGTGCTAGTCGTACATGTGTGCACTCATCTTACCATTTATTTGTGGACAATAGACCTGATGAAGGTACCGCTGATGAAATCGTATGTCCGCGGCTTTCCATCAAGCAGTATTGTGGTGAAGAACATCTCACATACAGCAGACGACAAAGACTTACGCTCTGTCTTCGGCCATGTTTTGCCAATGGATATGAATCTGGAGTACGTATATGGATATTGCATCCCTCTGTTGTGTGAATGAAGAGCTTTGACGTTGTGAATTTGCTGACGTAGATTGATACAGATAAACCGTCTGCCAGCAGAAGGTTCTGCTCTAATTGTTTACCCTGATGAAGCGGTGGCTACAGCAGCAGTGGATGTGCTGCATGGCGTACAGCTCGAAGGAGAACCACTGATTGTCGTACGACAGAAACATGCTCATTGTGAACATCCTGTATTCTAACGTCATTGTGGGCATTTCGTGAAATTGCAGGGTTTCAACAATACTTGCGAAGCATCGTCAGACGCATCCGTTGCCGCGGTGCGTTGGACGCTGCAGGATCTTGACAATAAGCGATTGCTCAAAACCCAACTTGCTTCAGAGAAGGCCATGAAGAAGTATCAACGCGGAGAACCTTCCGACACACTCTATGTGAAGAATCTTGCTAGAGCAGTAGAATTGGCAGACCTCTTTGCTGTCTTCGGAGCTGTTTTACCACCCGAATCGAAGCTAGAGTACGACACGAATGCTGATGGCCAAGCGTATTTCTGCTGAAAAGAACTCAATCATTTAACACTACTTTGCTGTGTCTACGCTGCCACAGTGACCTGAATATCCGCCACTTCACGGTAGGCCGAATGAAGTGTCAGGCCTTTGTGAGATACCCCACAATTCAGCTTGCATCAAGTGCGCTAGACCAAGTGCATGGTGTGGTGATAAAAGATAAACCGCTTATTGTGGTGCGTGGGGTGACTAATTTTCATTATGCCTGCATTTGATGCTCATATCATTTCCATGTTTTCCAGTGCTTTCGTAAATCGCAATCAGACCAGACATGAACCAGTTCCTCTACTTCCCGCCTCGTGCATTTTAAATAATCCCAACTTTCACCAAAGCGCAATATACGAATTAGAATGAAGGCAGCTCACGTAAGTTTGCTTCACTGATGCTGTTGATCACCCAGAGGTAACTTACAATGATCGCCGATGATATCACTTTCATTGGTGGCTGTGCTTTTAGTTGTCTTGTCTGCTGTCGCAGAGCAATTGGATTGATCTTATCGGACACAACAATAAGCTTCCGTGCGTGGTTTTTCCGCATGTGCATCTCGTCCGGGGCGAGTGCGATCACCTTTCCTCCACCTATGCATATCAAGGTTTTCAACTCTATTGCGGACGGCATAGGTGGAAGAAACTCGCCAATGATATGGAAGCAGAAATCTGCAAAAAGCATTGTGCCGATAGTCGAGCGGTCAATCTACCAAAGAAAAAACAACATGTGTTAAACTGCAGTTACGACAAAAAGCGTGCTTTAAGTGCAGTATAAAGCAAAAGAGTCATACATCTGATAAAGATCGGTGAAGAAGCTTTTCTCGTGTTAGTCGCGACCGCTTTACGGCGTCAAGAATTCTCCATCCCTTCCAATAGCCGTTGGCTTCATAACTTACTTCCTTAACATAGCCACCGTGGTCAGCACAAGCTGTAAATAATACACGCAGCAATTACGTTTACAAAAAGCAATAAGTCAGTAAGCATAAACGATTCAAAACATAGTTGCATTTCTTGCCTTGAAGCCACTCATCGCTCACAATCCATCGACCACCAACAAGGGCCTTGAGATATTTCAGTGACCGAATCTTGACCCATCGACCTGACTTCAACTCACCAAACACTTTGCGCTTTCCATTTTGATGGCTCTGCGACAAAGACGTAGAATCAGAATCTTCCATCGAAGGGTCCTTATCCTCCGTGTCATCTTTACAAACGCATTTTGCAATCAAGTGGGTCACGTCATTGGACCAGTACTGAACAACTTTGGCTCCAAGCAATTCTGCCCACTCAATGATCTGCTGCATTCGCCGCTCTTTGAATCCTGAACAGAGAAATACCATACCCGAGTGTTTTCGATTCGTCTTCAACGGCATTTTTGTTTTGGTTTTCATGCTGTCCGTAGTCCCTACCGCTTCTGTGTCTAGATGATCCCTTGTAGTCATTTTATCGGAGACACGTCGACGTTGGCGAGTTTTAGCAGAACGACTTGGTGTCGAATCTGAAATCAATTCATCTGCAGGCAGACGGATAAAGCTTCCTGGTACGCGATTATCCTTGCCCCCAATTACAAATTTGACGGCGTAAAAGCCATCTCCATGAACATTTGTAATACGTGCTGCTCCACCTTGTTTATTGATACCTACCCACTGTCGCTCAATTACTTCCACCACATCTCCGACATGAAAGGCTTCATGTTCAATGTCATGCAAAGTCTGGCTATCAATAGCCACCGACGAGGTATTGGGTGCTACATTCAAATGTGCCGCTTTTCTATCCGAAACAGCCCCCTTCCTCAACGTTTTGCTTGCGGAATAATTTGATACTACGTCAGTAGTGACAGACCGTCGTCTTGTGTATGGTGTCAGTGTCAGAAGCATTGGTTCTTCTGCTTTCACACGTGTGGTAGAAGCTTGAACTACAGTAGACTGCAGTCGTCTCTTCTGTCCTGACTTTACTTGCATGTCATTTACTATTGTAACAGTATCCGTACTTGACTGCCGCTGTAATAAAGTCTGTTGTTCCTGTTTTACTGTTTCCAATTGCGTCTCAGCTACAATCACATCAGTTGCATTCTTCCATTGCAAATTATCTACTTGTGTTCCAATCGTTCTCGCACACGAATTCACCATCTTCTTCTCCATTTTTGTATCAGTCTCTAGCCACCTTCGTAGTATCAACGTTTCATCAACTTTATCCTCTTTTGCTGCTCTCTTTCCTTGTGACGTCGTCGCAAAATCAAAAACTACAGGCGACATTTGTGAATTTATCTTCTCCATCGTCGGCAATACACAAGACGATTGTTCTTGATCAACAAATGTAGCAACTGGACTCAATTCCTTCTTCATGGTTGATTCAGTATGCAAATGTCCTCCATTTATCCAAATATCCATTAGCGTCGGAGTTTTTGTCTCTAAGTTGCATTTACGACGTCGTGGAGATGGCGCTTGTGGTAATGTTGCGGCAACTTGATCACCAGCAACTGTATGCATTAGCATACCTTCCATCGACTTGTGTGGTGACGTCTTGATCGCAATATGGTTTTTTGCTGTAGCTGGTAATGGAGTACGAAGTATTTCTGTAGCTTTAAGAAGCTCTTGCACGGTTGTATCATACCGTAATCGTCGTTTCCTTGCTGGTGTTTTACAAATAGGACATACGGCTTTAAGTTCTAAAGCACGATGTATACATTCTTCACAGAAACAATGATTACACGGTAAAGAGACGGGATTATCATAAGCACATAAACAAATAGCACATTGTAATTGTGCGGAGAAATTCTCGACAGCACGTTCTAGTCGTGCTAGTGTCCATAATGCCATATCCGAACGACAAATGTAGGCTGAAGGTTGCAGCTAGTCAAGCACGAATTAGCTTAAATGTCCAAAACAATATAAATAATAATGTATAATAAAATAAATGGTATATTATTTAATAAATTTGAAGTAAAACCCATTAAAATAAAACCTATGTGACTTATTGAGCTATAAGCTAATAATCTCTTTATTTTTTTGTTGTTGTAATGCTGATAATGAACCTATTAACATAGAAAAAAATGAAATAATATAAAAAAATATTTCAAAAAAATACGACATATTAACAAAACTATCAAAAAATAAACGAATTAAAACCCCAATAAAAGCTAATTTAGGAACAATTGCAAAAAAACTTGAAACATTGTTTGGAGCACCTCCTGAGGTGGACGCCCCGAATACGCCGTAGATGCTGTTGGTGCCAATCTTCAAGGTCCAACCTTCAGGAATGTTCTTATTAGGCAATAATCTTTGCCGCGCAATCAGGTCTTCGCACATCATACGCGTGATACCTGGTTCTGCACGATCAACGATAAAGATCACGTCTGATGACCTCATGAGAATGCATTCGTCTGTCCATGATATAGCTACGTCTCCGTCTTCTTTTGGGCGCCTGAGTTCATATCGCTCGATGAGGAGTTCTCTTGTATCAGGGTCGGTGACTCGATGGATCGTTTCGGGGGATATGTTGGCTCCAATCATGATGCTAGGATAATGGATGCAAAGTCTAGGACTGTCACGTTGCTGTGAAAACCTGTCACCGAGGACAACACATAGGCTCCCTTGTACTTTACCTCCTCCCATCCCTCGATCGACCAGTCTATTACCAAGCCGAGAGAAAGGGCAAAGGAAGCCGCCATCGAACAAACTACTGTGCCGCTAATGAACCTCGTTATATCTGCTATCAGGGACTTAAAGATGGAACACATGGTGCAAATTTCCTCGATGCAGCGGGTATTCAGAGCAACTTTACTATGTAGGTAAGCGTCGTGAATATTATAGATTATCATGGTTGTCATGTCCAGGTCGTCGTCATCAGCTTTCACGTTCATCGTCGGGTGTTCCTTCTTTCCTTCCTCTCCTATTGCACCTGCAAGGCTATCAAGGCTGAACGTGAGGTAATCAACATTATGTAGCTTGCTGAGGAACCAATTGGTATCTATAACGGTGGAGCCTGGAATTGCTAGATCGAATCCCTTATCGGTCTTTCCCAAGTTGAGTTCCACGAAATAGGGCTGAAACCTAGGCGAGCAATGAACTGCCAACCGGGATACGTCGTACTTGAAACCGTTATGAATGCAGATGAAGTCGGGCACGTTCCTGATAAGCCAATCCATAGCCCAATCCGCCAAATCTGTGGAATCTGCAAACTTGATAATCTTGTACCGGCTGTCTGGCGCACACCTCCCCATATCACACCTTCCGGGGACAAAGCCGCACATATATTCCTCCCGCCAAGTGACAATCGCGATGCTGATGAGGGGGTCATGAGACATGGGAAACAGGCCCTGTCGTTCGTGGGTGCTTTGCTCTATATCGAGACCGACTATTCGAGGATCGTCCAACGGAGGCAGCGGCTTACTTATTCCCAAACCTGGTGTGCAGAATGGAGCTATCCCGAGAACCGCGCCTAACCTCGCCTTTCCTATTCCTCGGACCCCTGTAGATGGAAGCAAAGAGATGCTGGAACCAGGCTCGACGGCGGTATGCTTTATCAGGGGTTTAAGATCGTTGCATAAGGGTGCCTGGAATTCTACAATAGTCCAGATCCTTTCATCCTTCCTCGCCATTCGTACATGAATCCTCGTGGTATCACCCGCCCATTGCTGATCAGGCCAAACGTGATCTGTGGTTCCGGTCCACGTAGGAATCCAACCATCATTTATGAGCTCTTTGTACAGTTCCATCTCACGTTGGTAACCAAATACTTGTCTCGAGACCAAACAGCTTAAAGATGAACGTGTTTGACGGAGAGTTTGTGCTAGCGATCCCCGACGAAGATACCTACGACAGCAATGGCAAGATTCTGATGCGCGATAGCTTTCCATTCTCCGGCCCACTGACTGAATTACTAACCTCTGGAGACAGGCTGATTATCGATGGCATACTGAAGAGGGGTAGGAGTATCCGTCATCGCGGAGCGGCATTCGTCTATGTCCCTAACTCGGGCTGCTGGTGTCATAGTCGTGGGCCCACATCAACCAAATATATTAACGATGTCCTTGGAGACGAGAATGTCTCCGTAGGCTACCACGGATCTACACTGCCTTATCTCAATATGCTTGATCGCTACTCCCTGAACGTCCGGCCTATACTAAAAAGCATCTGTATTTCAGTTTATCGCCTGAATTTCGAGATTCTGGAGGAGAAGACCATCTTTAGAACCAGCCACGCAATAGTACCCATGAGAACAGATGATTACGGAGCGGTAGAACTTCTCATGTCTGCCTTCTGCTTTATGCCGATAAACCTGGGAACATTACCTAAGAAAATGCCGAATATCTCGATGTCATCTGCAGAGGAAGTACTCAGCGTTACTATGGATAGGCGGTCGATCGACGTCAAAATGTGGTGCATAGGAAATTCCCTGCAGGATCCTGTCATGACTCCACGCCTCTTATTCTTTTACGGGATCGGCGGTGAAGGAAAAAGCATTACGATATCGACGATAACTTCCAATCTTCCAGGTGTGGTGGGGACTCTCACACGGGATTACGTTGGCAGAAGCGTAGACAAGATCGATGAGGCTGATATGGAAAAGATGATGGAGAATAGGTTCGTGTCTTATGGCGACGTCTCGATAGGCTACAAGGGATACATCAATGACTCCTTCCTCAAGATCATGTCTGGAAACGACTCGGTATCTACGAAAACGATGACGGGGAAGCTCCAATGCGCTGGCCTCTTTGCAATGAATGCTCCGTGGAAGGCCTACAAGTCTGTCATGATGCCCTGGTTCGCGCGCCGTGCCATTTGCCTCACAATAGATAAACCGTCCAAGGGAGCCAAGCCACCACAGGAATCGTTTTCGGAGGAGGAGATACTCACGTTCATTCACAGGTGCCTACTAGTGCGTAGCTATCACAAGTATGTACATATCGATGCAGCGATCCTCCTACGTACTTTATTCGGCGCAGACTTATACCAATACTGCCGCGGAGTTACAATCGATGAGAACACGTCCTACATGATGAACCTCGTTGCTACCTATTCCATTTCGAACTGCTGTGGACTAGATATTAAATCCCTGCTATGGCTTACAAGAAGCATGTGCCCCTCTTTGTTGCGAGGTCCTACCATCGACCACGTGATAGACATCGAAGAAAACCCATATGTAATCGCCGTCCGTGGAATAGCTGCGAAGCTGACGGAGTACTGACGAATGTGTGATAAAAAATTCTATACGTTACTCGCCTGCTGGCAACCTGAGAGTTCGTTTATTCGATGGATCCGGGTTATCGAAGCTGATGAAGGTTGAAGAACTCAGGTCCGACGCGTGCCTTGTATCTTCCGGTACAGGTCTACTATTTGGATACTGTGTCCGCGAAAACTCGTAATCCCCAGAAACTCACAACGATCGATTGATACCATGATAAGCCTGGAATGTGACAGCGATGAATCGCCGTTTCTTGTCGCAGCTAAAACTACCTTGAAGAGCAGTGTCGGGGTCTTCATCTCGGGTGGCCTCCTGGATCGTCGTCGGTCTATCTCTGTCACGATCGACAACAGGAGCGGAGAGAGGATTGAGCTTGACGCCGGGACCCCGCTAGCTGTCATCTCCAACATGAGCCTCGTAAGAACGGCAGCCGAAACAAGGATGCAGCTATTCAGCACGGAGGACCCGATTAGTAGTATCGTCGACGCTTGACCAAAACTAGACATGTTTGCTGAAAAGTTGTAACACCTGTTTTAAAATGCATAAAGAGTTAGAATTATACACCGCGACTCGAATACTATCCCGATCGAGAGCCATAATGTCCATTACGGAAGAGAAACCTAGTGCATCGTTCGAACTTGTGCCGTCGTCCCTGTTTGTACCTAAAGATTCGGATCGCTTTATCTTGAATGCTACCGGGAAGTATGTGAAACACGATGTCGTGACAGGCATGTATATTTCTACGCGTGCAGCAATTTTTGCCAGCGACTTACGACAACAAGAAGAAAGACAAGAATATCGGGAGGCCTTACGTTGTTCTATCAGACGAGGAAGACATATCGGGTAAGCTGAAGAGGAATGCCGTGATAACGCCTGTCTATACTCTGCGTGCAGGATTAGCATGGGAAGAAACGTCGGAGATGACTAGTATGTTCTGCTTTGATAACGCCATCGTCGAGTACCGTGATAATATCGGTATTCCTGCGCCTTCTGCTAACAGCTTGACCGGCGTGAAGTCCTGCTATATGGAAACCTACGCATCTGTCGGCATCCCGCTTGCTCGTTACCACTGGCTCCTGGCAATGCTCAGATCTACAGGTGTAAACGTAGCCTCGAGTGAGCGCGATCAAGAATTCAGTGACTACGTATGGACGAACGCAAACATAACCAAGAACTATCACCCGGTTGCCCTGATCGAGACAGAGGGCGGGCTGGACAGTTACGGAGATGCCGACAAGAACCTGATGCATATTATCCGTCAGGCGAAGTCAAATGTTATAGGTGTTGTTGGCGTGGAGATTACTCTGAAACGTGGAAAGGACTACGCAGCCTCAGGAATTCGTCGTGTCACGCTAAGCCTAAAGAGTATGCAGGTCCATGATCTAACAACGATACGTTCGCCTCCCTTGAATAGGGCCCTTGTCTTCGAGAGCAGTGGGACGAAAGCATCCAAACGTCTTATTGAAGCGCTGCAACCCAAGAATCGTGACATCAGCTCAGCCCAGGCCCCCAAGAAGTAAGTCCAACGAACACATAGCAACGATTGTGCAAATCCTGTGAGTTTTAAAAACTGTCAATAATATTTTATTGTTGTACCGATGATGAGAGTTCTGACAGATATTCATGGGGCCGTACGCCTTTCAGAGAGCACGAAGGAGGAAAGCGCAAAACTGCCTGACATCTCTAGCGCTCCTCGATTCCACCGTGAAGAAGTCCGGATACAGGTTGCAAAATATATCAGCCGGTGCGAGGAAGCCATCATGAGGCCCATCGACATAAGAATAAAGCGATACCTAGAGATAATACCGGACTTCATGCCAATCTCCACCCTGATGATAGGACAAGAGCCGTACAAGCCCGAGATCCTCCCTTATATCGCATCAGCCTTCGCGTTCAATCCACATGTTGTAGATGGCTACACTCCTACAGTCCAGGTATTAGGACAGATGATCACCGTTAACGAGCCATCGAGACTTCATGAGGTAATGGACATAATGACGTGCAGCTATTCTATACTACCGCGAGGCATCTGCTGCTTAAACGTAACGCCCTTCCACAGGATGTCCGATCAGGAAACTCTTAAAGCACGATCGTATTTCGCCGACTTCATAAGCACTGTCCTTGTCTCCTGCGCGAAGATGGGTTGTACGAGGCTATCAGTAATCTGCTTGGGAGACATAGCGAAACAGAACTTCAAGATATGCAAGAGCTCAACTCCGAAACTACTCACGAGGACGATGAAGGTCGAGAAGGTCTATCTGCGCAACCCGGTTTTCATGTCACGTACAAAGGTTCCAAAGAGACACGATAAATGTATGAAGCCGTCTGCGATATGCAAGGACGTACATGACTTTCTCGCCGAAGGAGACTACGCAGCAGCAACATACATCAGCACATCTTACACCCTAGCAATCTACAGCAAATGGGACGTCCTCCTTATGGGCAGTCTAGATTCTTTGGCATCCCTCTTTCAGCACGTTGAGATCCGCGATATAGACGAAAGCAAGAGCCAAATAATTGCCGCTGTACCTAGGCGTAAGTCGTCCAGTATATCAATGCCGAGCTATCAGGCACCAAGACCACCGGGACCAAATGACTTCCAAGTTCGTGCCTTCTCTATAATGAGCCGGATAGACGCGACCGCGAATGAGATAAAGGAGGAGATGACGAAGACGTGCGAGGCGGTAAAAGAAGCACTTGCGGATTGTGATAGTCCCGAAGCTCTTGCGAAACTCAAATGCCTGGACGATCTTGTATGTTCCTGCGGGGCCGCTGTCGCATTCCTAGCATCTATCAACCCCTCCCTGACTGCCGCTTCCTCCCACGTAGATGCTACTAGCCCGACTGTAACGCCTATAATCAAGACCCGTGCCATCGTCGATGAACATATAGATTTCTCGTCCCTGCTTAGCAACATATCACTTAAAGGGGAAGCGCCTGCATCGGAGTCAATGTCGGAGGAGGAAGCACAGGAAAAGCCAGAGAGGAAGAAGAAGAAGCCCGGGGACAGCAAGACAGGCAAGGGACGGAAGATATGGATAGAAAAGAACAAACGGAAAAACTCAGAAAGCAGTAGTTTCACGCAGATTGCTACTTCCGACCTCGAGATTGGTGATACCGACGACTACGAGGAGGACTTCCACGAATACTCCGACTCGGAACAAGATGAGTACGATCTGCTTTCATCGGGGTTTAACGTTGGCATGTCGGGAGTCGTAAGGGGGAATGACGAAGAGAAGGAGGAATCTGCTGACACTGATACGCCGCCACACCTTACCCCAGCTTGCGAGAGCCCTGTAACGTCCGACGCAGAATCCACCATATCTTCGGCTTCGGGCAGCGTGGTTATATCGAGGTCAAGACGCAACCCTGTATCGTCCAACGTGTCAGCGAGCTCCTCTACGGCATCAGCCAAACCAGTTTTCGTAAGACATGGAAGCACAAGATCTACCTCTGTTCCTACTGCCCCTCCATCTTCTTCCTCCTCTGTATCGGGATCGACGGCACCAGTGATAGTCCTCCGTCGCAGGTAAAGCACCTTTTAAAAACTACTCACGACGAGGATATTACGAACGATTCGCAACGTGTCTGAACCTATTTCGCAGTCGCCGTAGATCACATCGGTAGCATAGCTCATCTTCGTAGCACGGAAATCCCTGGTCCTAACAGCCGGCTCCACGTACTCAACCTTGCTACCATACTTCGCTACAGCGTAACCGGGCTTATCGGGATGCATCTTCATAGAAATTCTACCGAGATCTATCAGGACTCCATCTTCCCCGATCCTGTCATAAACGTAGCAACATCCAACCTATTTGAGCCCGGTAACAGCCAGCCGATTAGACGTTTCCACCAGATAAGAAAGTGAGAAGGAGTACACGACGGGGTGGCCACCGATACGAAGGAACTCGACAATCTTGTCAATAGAGAATAGGGATTCGGCGCTTTCTCTGTAATATGCACGCTTAACCCTTCCTCTCGCCAGCTTCTCGAATATACAACCATGGATTCAGAATCTAGATCCGTAACGTTTATCCACGAGCTCAAGTCCCTGACAGACGACATGTTTAAATCAGGATCACAGTCAAGGTAAGAAGCGTCGCCGTAACGAGACATGATACTTAGTGATTGCATGCACCCGCTACCGATGTCAACCGTGAATCCACTCTTCACGCCCATATTCTCCATGCGACGGTAAATATACTCGCGAACCCGGAATGAGTAGCTTGAAACCCGATCAATAAGAGTATAATCCACATCGTCCGTCGATCTGAGAAGAGCCAAGACGGTTGACAGGACAGATCGGGAATTCGGCCTCATTTTATCAGTACGAGGAATAGCCCTAACAACTCTGAGATTATCCTCCCCGTCCGGTTCCACGTTGCACTCATAGATGGTACCCGACTTCATGCCTGGCAGACCAGCACAAGCGTGCATACGACGACGCCCCTGCAACAATATCTGCATATCGCCCCTGTAACAGAGCAGATCGATAGTCGGCTTCTTGATCCGATAAGTGATGGAGGTGTTCTTCTCGATAATGACTACGCCGTCGGAGGAAAGGCCATCCGTCAATCTAGCTTTCTCGGCTTCTTCGAATGTACTATACTCTTTACGAATAATCACGGATGGAGGAATAAGAATCTCGCCTATAATTCTGCGGTACTCGGTGGAATTTCTATGAAGATGCATCCCGATAAGCCCGGTTACGCTGTAGCGAAGTATGGTAGCAAGGTTGAGTACGTGGAGCCGGCTGTTAGGACCAGGGATTTCCGTGCTACGAAGATGAGCTATGCTACCGATGTGATCTACGGCGACTGCGAAATAGGTTCAGACACGTTGCGAATCGTTCGTAATATCCTCGTCGTGAGTAGTTTTTAAAAGGTGCTTTACCTGCGACGGAGGACTATCACTGGTGCCGTCGATCCCGATACAGAGGAGGAAGAAGATGGAGGGGCAGTAGGAACAGAGGTAGATCTTGTGCTTCCATGTCTTACGAAAACTGGTTTGGCTGATGCCGTAGAGGAGCTCGCTGACACGTTGGACGATACAGGGTTGCGTCTTGACCTCGATATAACCACGCTGCCCGAAGCCGAAGATATGGTGGATTCTGCGTCGGACGTTACAGGGCTCTCGCAAGCTGGGGTAAGGTGTGGCGGCGTATCAGTGTCAGCAGATTCCTCCTTCTCTTCGTCATTCCCCCTTACGACTCCCGACATGCCAACGTTAAACCCCGATGAAAGCAGATCGTACTCATCTTGTTCCGAGTCGGAGTATTCGTGGAAGTCCTCCTCGTAGTCGTCGGTATCACCAATCTCGAGGTCGGAAGTAGCAATCTGCGTGAAACTACTGCTTTCTGAGTTTTTCCGTTTGTTCTTTTCTATCCATATCTTCCGTCCCTTGCCTGTCTTGCTGTCCCCGGGCTTCTTCTTCTTCCTCTCTGGCTTTTCCTGTGCTTCCTCCTCCGACATTGACTCCGATGCAGGCGCTTCCCCTTTAAGTGATATGTTGCTAAGCAGGGACGAGAAATCTATATGTTCATCGACGATGGCACGGGTCTTGATTATAGGCGTTACAGTCGGGCTAGTAGCATCTACGTGGGAGGAAGCGGCAGTCAGGGAGGGGTTGATAGATGCTAGGAATGCGACAGCGGCCCCGCAGGAACATACAAGATCGTCCAGGCATTTGAGTTTCGCAAGAGCTTCGGGACTATCACAATCCGCAAGTGCTTCTTTTACCGCCTCGCACGTCTTCGTCATCTCCTCCTTTATCTCATTCGCGGTCGCGTCTATCCGGCTCATTATAGAGAAGGCACGAACTTGGAAGTCATTTGGTCCCGGTGGTCTTGGTGCCTGATAGCTCGGCATTGATATACTGGACGACTTACGCCTAGGTACAGCGGCAATTATTTGGCTCTTGCTTTCGTCTATATCGCGGATCTCAACGTGCTGAAAGAGGGATGCCAAAGAATCTAGACTGCCCATAAGGAGGACGTCCCATTTGCTGTAGATTGCTAGGGTGTAAGATGTGCTGATGTATGTTGCTGCTGCGTAGTCTCCTTCGGCGAGAAAGTCATGTACGTCCTTGCATATCGCAGACGGCTTCATACATTTATCGTGTCTCTTTGGAACCTTTGTACGTGACATGAAAACCGGGTTGCGCAGATAGACCTTCTCGACCTTCATCGTCCTCGTGAGTAGTTTCGGAGTTGAGCTCTTGCATATCTTGAAGTTCTGTTTCGCTATGTCTCCCAAGCAGATTACTGATAGCCTCGTACAACCCATCTTCGCGCAGGAGACAAGGACAGTGCTTATGAAGTCGGCGAAATACGATCGTGCTTTAAGAGTTTCCTGATCGGACATCCTGTGGAAGGGCGTTACGTTTAAGCAGCAGATGCCTCGCGGTAGTATAGAATAGCTGCACGTCATTATGTCCATTACCTCATGAAGTCTCGATGGCTCGTTAACGGTGATCATCTGTCCTAATACCTGGACTGTAGGAGTGTAGCCATCTACAACATGTGGATTGAACGCGAAGGCTGATGCGATATAAGGGAGGATCTCGGGCTTGTACGGCTCTTGTCCTATCATCAGGGTGGAGATTGGCATGAAGTCCGGTATTATCTCTAGGTATCGCTTTATTCTTATGTCGATGGGCCTCATGATGGCTTCCTCGCACCGGCTGATATATTTTGCAACCTGTATCCGGACTTCTTCACGGTGGAATCGAGGAGCGCTAGAGATGTCAGGCAGTTTTGCGCTTTCCTCCTTCGTGCTCTCTGAAAGGCGTACGGCCCCATGAATATCTGTCAGAACTCTCATCATCGGTACAACAATAAAATATTATTGACAGTTTTTAAAACTCACAGGATTTGCACAATCGTTGCTATGTGTTCGTTGGACTTACTTCTTGGGGGCCTGGGCTGAGCTGATGTCACGATTCTTGGGTTGCAGCGCTTCAATAAGACGTTTGGATGCTTTCGTCCCACTGCTCTCGAAGACAAGGGCCCTATTCAAGGGAGGCGAACGTATCGTTGTTAGATCATGGACCTGCATACTCTTTAGGCTTAGCGTGACACGACGAATTCCTGAGGCTGCGTAGTCCTTTCCACGTTTCAGAGTAATCTCCACGCCAACAACACCTATAACATTTGACTTCGCCTGACGGATAATATGCATCAGGTTCTTGTCGGCATCTCCGTAACTGTCCAGCCCGCCCTCTGTCTCGATCAGGGCAACCGGGTGATAGTTCTTGGTTATGTTTGCGTTCGTCCATACGTAGTCACTGAATTCTTGATCGCGCTCACTCGAGGCTACGTTTACACCTGTAGATCTGAGCATTGCCAGGAGCCAGTGGTAACGAGCAAGCGGGATGCCGACAGATGCGTAGGTTTCCATATAGCAGGACTTCACGCCGGTCAAGCTGTTAGCAGAAGGCGCAGGAATACCGATATTATCACGGTACTCGACGATGGCGTTATCAAAGCAGAACATACTAGTCATCTCCGACGTTTCTTCCCATGCTAATCCTGCACGCAGAGTATAGACAGGCGTTATCACGGCATTCCTCTTCAGCTTACCCGATATGTCTTCCTCGTCTGATAGAACAACGTAAGGCCTCCCGATATTCTTGTCTTTCTTCTTGTTGTCGTAAGTCGCTGGCAAAAATTGCTGCACGCGTAGAAATATACATGCCTGTCACGACATCGTGTTTCACATACTTCCCGGTAGCATTCAAGATAAAGCGATCCGAATCTTTAGGTACAAACAGGGACGACGGCACAAGTTCGAACGATGCACTAGGTTTCTCTTCCGTAATGGACATTATGGCTCTCGATCGGGATAGTATTCGAGTCGCGGTGTATAATTCTAACTCTTTATGCATTTTAAAACAGGTGTTACAACTTTTCAGCAAACATGTCTAGTTTTGGTCAAGCGTCGACGATACTACTAATCGGGTCCTCCGTGCTGAATAGCTGCATCCTTGTTTCGGCTGCCGTTCTTACGAGGCTCATGTTGGAGATGACAGCTAGCGGGGTCCCGGCGTCAAGCTCAATCCTCTCTCCGCTCCTGTTGTCGATCGTGACAGAGATAGACCGACGACGATCCAGGAGGCCACCCGAGATGAAGACCCCGACACTGCTCTTCAAGGTAGTTTTAGCTGCGACAAGAAACGGCGATTCATCGCTGTCACATTCCAGGCTTATCATGGTATCAATCGATCGTTGTGAGTTTCTGGGGATTACGAGTTTTCGCGGACACAGTATCCAAATAGTAGACCTGTGCCGGAAGATACAAGGCACGCGTCGGACCTGAGTTCTTCAACCTTCATCAGCTTCGATAACCCGGATCCATCGAATAAACGACTCTCATGGTTGCCAGCAGGCGAGTAACGTATAGAATTTTTTATCACACATTCGTCAGTACTCCGTCAGCTTCGCAGCTATTCCACGGACGGCGATTACATATGGGTTTTCTTCGATGTCTATCACGTGGTCGATGGTAGGACCTCGCAACAAAGAGGGGCAACATAAACTGGCATCAAGCAACATGTTGCGGATGTTTGCGCAACTTCGGATTGACTTGGTGCAACTTCCTCTTGATTCTAGTCCAATAATACTACAACTAGTAAGAATGTCGCTGGAAGAGTCTTCAGTCCTCATGGACCGTGCATTAGTGACCATGTGTCAAGATCTACCCGAGTCATTAGGACTTTATAATACGGAAAAGGATCAATACTCATTACTTGCTATACGTAGTATACCATTACTAGAGAAAGTAGGAGCGGAGTCACGAAAATTCGTCTTAATTCGCGATTGGATGCGTGCCTATGAGCCTTTGATCGATCAGCAACTTAGTGTGGAGATTAATCTTGAAACACTAAAGGAAATTGATGTACGAGAGAGAAAAGAGAAAGAAGAGGAATTGGAGAATGATGAACGGATGCGAGAAGCAGTGAAGAAGAAGAAGAAGAAGAAGCAGGAGAAGAAGCAGGAGAAGAAAGAGACGAGTAAAGCTATGGAAATGATACAAAAGAAGACGAAGGAGAAGACGACGACGACGACAAAGCGAAGCACTATGAGCAGTAGCAAGAATCAAGTCAATAAAACAAGAACAAAAGTACGTTATGTACAGCTCGAGAGTGATGAAGATGATGATGAGCTGTCACTTGATGAGTCTAGTAGCTCTAGTGACGAGTCTTCATCCGAAATGACTTCGTCCAGTGAATCAGACAGTGACAGTAGTAAACCCACCAAGAAACGCACAAGGACCGTCAGTAACTTGCCGTCCAAAAAAATGGTCTTATCATCCGATGAGGATGAAGAGCCCAATGAAATGTTTGATACGGACGATCCGGATGTATACGAAGTAGAGACGATTTTAAGAAAGAAGAAGGGTGAAAAGTACGGAGAACAAGATTTGTACGAGGTGAAGTGGGAAGGATATGACGAGACAACGTGGGAACCAGCTAGTAACATTTCAAAGGACCTGATTGATGAGTTTGAAGGTCAACCAGTACGTGAAGATGTATACACGGTGCAAGAAATTATGGATCGTCGCAGTAAACGAGACCCAGAGACGAGACTAAAGACGCACCAGTACAAGGTCAAGTGGGTTGGCTATGATGATCTCACGTGGGAGCCTGCTGAGAACCTACCGCACAACATGCGACGAAAGTTTGACCAGAAGTATGAGAGTCGGAAACGCCAGCGATCCTGAGAAGGGGACGACAGTCACGTTGGGGATTATTGAGAGTAATGACGTGAAGGCAAACGTACGTTGGAGAGAATATACTTCAAAAGTGCTTTGAGGTTAGTCTTGTTGCAATCGTAAGAGTAGGTTACGCACCCGTGATGCCCGCTTCAAGATCAAACTCATGTATTGCATGCGGTGTTGGCAAAGTCTGCGCTAACGCCTTTTTAAAATGTTGTTGCGAGCTATAGCAACAGTCACAGACAATCCATAGACGACACAAGGTATGATGCTGATGCCAGAAATTCCTTTTCGCCGTTGACAAGGCCAAGTTCAAACACTCGAGCTATATCAACGTTATTTTGCTATAGTCCAATCTTTACGTCGGTCAGCCTCTTTGTCTTCCGCAGGTCGTGAACCATACAAATTGAGCACTCAAAGCAGGAGCAATTATCAGTTGCAGGAGCAATCGACAGCTCACCTGAACATCTGCTTGTAAATTACGTCGTTGACGTTTCCCAGCAACGTCCATGCACATGGTCATCGATCCAGTGCCGTCACATTGATCACCGTCGAGGATCAACACGAGGAAACTGGGTAATCGACAAGCTCTCGAACACACGAGCAGTAAACACTTTTACCGCTGTACCTTGTCCAACCGTTGCCTTCGAAACTTATCAACGTAGAAGCCGGTATCACCAACTCACCATGAGCCCACGTTATAGAAGACGCTTTATCTTGCATTGACCCCAGGATGTCTTCACTGATCACTCGACCTGTAAATGCACGAAACCAGATGTAGGCGCTCTACAGCTCTTTCACCCAACCCAATCAATATCCAAGCACACTTGATCCAGCGGATCTATTCATTTCTCTTCCCACCCCTACAGCATGCACAACAGTATTTGGATACAACGCCGTCCTCTTCCAATCTCTTGTCAACACCAGTCTTAAATGCTGCCTTTCTGAATAGGTGCCATTGGGAGTGAACCAGGCTTGCGAGTTCCTAAGCGCTTCTTGACCTTGCTAGCAGCCACCTCTGGGTCTGGACGCAGCGAGAATACGGCGCGCGAGCTCTTGAGGTACTTGTTGCGTCCGTTGTCTTCACGGATAAGACTCTCTAAGACGACATGTGGCGACACCTGCCGTCGCGAAGCGCGACGCTGGGTCTTCAGCCGTGCCAAATAGCGCCTTGTACTTGGCTGCTTGCGCTGAAGACGACTACCAGCTTCATCGTCTGCCAATCCATCGCTAGTCATGCTGCTCATCGAGCTATTGTGTCGCGACATTTTTCCAGATGAAGAAGCTCCACGTGCAGCCGGCGTCTTGATATCAACGCCTTGTTGCCAAGCCTTACCACAGGACTCGTGGAAGGTCTGGCCAGACATGACAAGTACCATAGATGTATGCAAGTGCCATTTTTCCGTGCCGGGGGCTCCGGACTGACCCATTCCAAAGGGCGGCTTGGACAGCGCGACGTGACAGTAGCCACAGACATTTGAAGGCGCAGCGTAACAGCGGGACTTAGCTCGTTTCAGCGTTGTGATCTGATCAAACAGATCCACACTGATAAGCCCGTTTGCTGTCTGGTAGATGTTCTGTTCGTAGTTGTACGTATCCAGCATACCGAAGATTGTGGGCCGGAAATCACCAAAGGCACCACGGCCATGTTCATTTGTGATCTTGAACAGAATCGATTTGAGTGACACCGACGACGCCATACGTTCAAGAATGAAGCGAATCATTTCGTTCAATGCCACTTGGAACGCAGTCATGGCACCATGACCGCTGTTTCCACCGCTGGTATGTGTTCGAGTGACAGGTACGTTGCGCGACGAACTCTTGGAGCTAAGACTGCGCTTCACCGAATTCTGAATCCGTAGCAGCTTGTCCAGTAGCGTGAACCAAAGCTTTTCGGCCTGCTCATCACGATTGCGCAACGAGTTACGCTGACACATTGTCAAAGCCACCTCCAACGTCTTCATGGCATCCTTGCCTTCCTGTACGCTGTCAATGATGCGGTCTGACGATTGATGCCTAGTACCACTGGGGACGTTAGCGCTAGTTGCAGCACCTGCTAGCATGTCAGAATTTCCTGTTGATGACGAAGAAACAGCAGCAACATTGTAGCCGCGCAAAGCGGGCTTCAGAATCTTCAGCTTTTGCTCCAAGCTTTGCAGGATTAGCGTAAGTGCACCTGTTACGTCGCCCGTGCGCTCAAGCAAATACGCTTCGGCATCTGTGATGGAGAACTCTTTGCAGAGGCGCAAGCACGCATTGACCTTGTAGCTGTCATGAGACTCAAGATATGGAAATACGCCAGCAGGCTCAAATTCGCACAATAGACGCACGAAACGCTCCTGCACAGCAGGGTCGTCGGCAATGCGCAGTTTTGAGCGATCCAAAAGGTCTTTCAAAACATCAGCTTCATCATTTGCAGAGCTGCCGCTTGTCGTCGGTGCAGCCATGAGCACCTGTTTGAGGTACAGGAACTCGAGTTTTGCGCCCTCCTTACCCATTGACAAAAATTTCTGGATAACCTTGTTGTTCAAATTTGGAAATTGACCCAGAATCAGCGTTACAAACGCGTAGCCGTCTGTCTTCATAAGTGTAGGGGCATGGTTAAGCACAGCTTCTTCAATAGACTTCCGGCGACGCCGTGTAGGCTCGCCGTCATTCATGTCGCGCATTTCCACTTCTTCACCATCCACTGCTTTGTCAGTCTCCATACGGATGTAGCTGAAAGCATTCATTTGGTACTCATAGTCTTCATCAGCCAGATAGGATGCAATTGCATTGCTGAAATCGCCCATGTCCTTGTACAGCAACACTGCAGCACGATTCATTTTTTCTCGAATAACACTAGCCAGCAAAGCTTCGTGGTTGTAAGTTGCCTTATTCAGCTTTGTCAAAAGACGCACTAGCATCGCCTCTCGGCCTCCTTTGTCAAAACCCTCTTCTTGCGAAGTTTCAGCCGTGACTGCCGAGGAACCCTTGGATAGCAGCGACGCCGGACCGAGCGCCAAAAAGTTCATCAGTGAATCCATCATTGATGCGCCACCAGCAGAACCAGCATCACCAATGGCTTCAGCACGTGCATCGGCGTATTCCTGCGGCTCGATAGAACCGCCACTGAGAAGCCGAGCCTCAAACATGAAGAAATGGGCATGTTCTACCGAACTGAATATGCTCTTCGGTCCAAAGATGACTTCTGCGAGCGAAAGCACAATCGATAGACGGCTAGGGCACTTGGTCATCTCAGCATTTCGAGCTGAATCATATCGGCTTATAGGCTGAATCAAACCGTCGTTTTTCTCACCTTCAAATTCAACGCTAGGTGTGTCAAACGTACGTCCCATAATGTTAAAAAGCTCCCGAGCGTCAAGATCAATAAGCGCCTCAATTCGTGGGTACGGTCGCGGGATTGATGATCCCGCTACAACGCTTTCAAATAAGTGGTAGCAGATCTGCGAACGCACTTTTCCTAACTTGAGAGGTGACATTTGCTCGTGTTTCGGGAACGTGTGACCACTTAACGCGTACGAAATGTACAACAATAACTTGTATCCAAACAACCGCCGGCGCCGCGAACCACTGAGCGCCTCCTCTTCAGCTCTCTCACGTGCTGATAATGCTGCAGGCTTTGCAATCGAGGTTGTAGAGCTGGATGCTCGGCTTGTGCCACCGAATGCTGATGCTATACTGCTCACTCGGCTTCCAGATGGTGCCCGACTTGCTACAGAGGTTGACACTAATGCAGACTTTGATCTAGATGCCTTTGCATCGGAACACGCCTCCAACAGAGCATCAATAGGAGTCGTGTAGTCGTCCATTCCTTCATTGTAAATGTATATGAGAGCCGAATACAGCTCGTGATCATGACAGAGTTTCAGAATCGTATCCAGATCTAATTCAGCCACATTCAAGTGAAGCAGACACTGTTCCACTTGAGCAAGCTTACCCTGGGCACTGAAGTGCCTGACAAACTCTTCCATTGCAACGGGAGAAAGGTTTCGCAGCTTTTCAGAAAGAATGTACGGCTCCAGCAATTCAATCAGCACACTCAACTTGTTCGCTTCTTTGAACCGTGTGTATATCTCGCCAAAAAGTAGATCAGTACGGCCAATTAGAGCGCAAAACTCGATGCATACACCCGCTAGCATCTGGTAATGACTCTTTGCCAAATCTAGCTGCATTCCAATCTTGTTGAGACTTAATTCGCCTCCTGCAGCAGCCGTAGAGCCTGGTGCGTTGGCAATAGCAAGACGTACATACTCCATGAGCAGGTCTGCTACACGCTCAGCCACACTAATAGGCACAAAATTCTTCGTGACTTCACCACTGCGCGCCTTCTGAAGCGTTTCTTCAAGCTTCTTAGCTATGTCAGGCGGGTAAGGCACCTCGCCACAAACCCAACGTACTTCGTTCGCACTCTCTTCATGTCGAAATACATCCTCTTTTTCACCAGTACGCTGGTTAGTCTGACACATGTGTAGAATGTCCACAAGACATTGATCGTTCTGTTTGTCACGAAAGAAAACAGGCGGAAACCGGTCCCTCGCTGCACGGTCCGCGGCGGCAATTTTAAGTCCCTCATAGTGATCTAAAGCAAGTGCTAGCGCTTCTAACCACTCGCCATCATCAACCAACAAATCGATACGTTGTGTCCACGGTAGTACACGCGCTGTCTGCAACTCCTTAAGACCAAGCAGATACAAAATATTGTAACAGCCTCGAAAACTGTTTGAAAAACTACGAGCGTTTTTACCACGATAGGATGCAAAGACCAGCTCGAGCGAAGATACATCCACAATCTCCAACTCTTGGCGAGACATCACATCATACACACAAATTTCGTCATGCGAATTTAAATACACCACAACCTGATCTCCAAGCCACTGCACAGCCATAACAGCACTCGACGATTCTATCTGGTCATGCTCATCAAAGGTAGGAAATCCATGCCGCGCGTGCGAATGATTCTTTCCACCAGGAAAAACTACTTCCAAAAACTGCACGCGGTTTCCCCACCCACGCGCAAGCACAGGTGCCAGCGCTCGAGAGCTGCCTGGAAAAGAAATCCATGCAAACGCCAGTGTCGGCAGCACCGGATCATCGGGTGCAATGTCGTCAGGTCGAGCCCAGCGGTAAATTACGCGGACTTCAGGTTCAATAGCGATAATAAACGTCACATTCTCCGTACTCAGTGCAGCAAGGCAATACTGGTCTGTCAGGAATGAAATTTTGGCATTACCGGCAGACTGTGGCAACACAGAAATCGACAAGATCTTGCCTGCCGAACCGTCGTAAAGTGGATCCACATCCACAACGTACACCATTCCCATCATTTTCGAAAAATTAAGCTTGTTCACAAAACCGTTGGTGTCCACTGAGACTAGCACGGGTTTCTGGTCTTTCAGGAAGCGTAGACTTACAACTGGATTCTCATGCGCATCCGACACCGCCTTTAATGACGTGCCCTTAATCATGTCCCAAAGCACAATACGTCCGCTTTGATAACCACAAACCAAGTAATCGCTACCAGGAGACACATCCACAGCTGTCACAGGTCCATCTCCATCGGCATCATTAGTATTTCCAAGCACTTGTCTGATATTCTGGAAATGATCAAAGATAATGACAAGTCCCTTAGACGTGCCAATTGCAATAAATTTCGAGTGAATTGCTACTACTGTTGGTGAACCGGGGCCATACTCTTTAAACTCAATATTTTTTCGTAGCTGTCGACTAATAGCTTCCATTGGCTCCACCTTGACGACGCCCATGGATTTCTTCTCGGCTGCAGTAGCAACAGCTCCTGCTCCTTCTGCCATTGTTTTTTTCTTCTTCTTCTGATTCTTTTTCAATAAAATAAGTCCTTCTCGTCTCGATTGAAGAGCTTGTGACCTTGCATGAGCACGTAATCGTCTTTTTACTTGCAAAGGAGAGATCAGTTCGACTCCTACACAGCTTAATAGCTGTCTTTCTCTTGCTTCTGCAATCTCCAATGGAGTACGAAAGTGTGTCTCCGTGGTCTTTGTAGTAGCAGTAGCTACAGCCGTTGTCTTAGGCATTGAAACTACGTCCATTCCTGGTCCTGGCTCAATATTAAGTGTAAAAGTAGCAGGTGCAAAGAACAGCTCATCATCGTCTTGCTTTGTAGTATCACTCACCTTTTCTCCTTCTGTAGCCTTAGCAGCAAGTTCCTCTTCGCGTAATATCTCCTCCAATGTAATTGCTGATAGATCTAGCTCTCCAAGATCCTCTTCATCACTCTCTTCTAGTAATAAACTCTCCACACCATTCATAGTCAAAAGATACAAAAAAGAAGACGCTACTAGATGAGACTACTTGATAGTATCTAGCTATCCTGATTATCGAGATAAACGCGCACAAATGCACCCTCTTTCTTCCAAGTGTCTAATTTCTTTTTGACTTGGACGTTTAGAAGTCTCCCCCTTCGTAATTGCGGGTCCTTGTAGAGAGAGAAAAATAATGCTGTTCTATTACAGAGAGAAAAAAGAATAGTGTATGGAGCCATTATCAATGTAGCCATTGTATCGCACGCTTGACTATGGCTCGATTCTATTCTACTCTATCAACTATAGCTCCTCATGTCCTGCATGTTGTTGAACCACTTCTTCTATCGTTATTGTATCCTTCTGCTGCTGCAATGTATGGACAAATTGTTCAATTCGAACAATCTCATCCTGCAATTCCTTTTCTTCCAATTCATCACAGGCAGCAGGAGTCTCGAAATGAATCCCATACATACACATTTCATCCTCCTCTCTCGAAATGAATCCCATACATACACATTTCAGGCTCCTTTATAGACACCACACGATTCGTTGAGCTGCATGAAACCTTCACGCGCGTCTGACGCTCTTTTTCATTAGCGCAGGGATCTCCGTGGTTATAACTCTGTACAAGTGTAAGGCTGGCCGAATCTTGCCATCCGTTCCAGACACCAAGAGCAATAAGGTGTGGAATCTCTTCGTCCACTTCGTGGTTCTCAGTTGTCACAGTACTTATGCCCTTAGTTTGACGCTCCTCGTTTGTCCGCCGAGGATACAATGGTTCGATCTATGTTATGTTCTGGAATGGACACAACACCATCTCATATGTGCGGGAAATAACATTGGGAGTATCGCCCTATAACTCCTTCTCGTTCACCATGAACGAGAAACACCGACCCACAAGCATTACATAAGCACGTTTCCAGACTGCGTCCACAAATGTCCCCGGATCAATGACACGACTCTGAATATACGCTGTATATTGCAGTCTGCGCAATATGTTATACGACTGCTCTAAACGTCCACTTAGCTCTGGATTGTGTTGCTCTCGACGTTGCAGATCCTCAAACGTACGCTAACTAGACTGATAAGCTTTAACAAGACGCTCAAAGTCTTCCTTGAGCTAATCCAATGTAGCTACAGCGTCCATCACATACGTGTTGCGTGTTTTCTGTCCATATTGCACCACCTCCAGTCTCTCTTGAAGAGTCTTCAATCGCTTCTGCCATTCCGTCTCGCAAGTGTCAGCACACAGTCCCCTAGCTTCATCACTACCATCGCAGCAATCACACACTCCGTCGTCTATAAATCCTACTGACACCAATTTATCATCAGCTTTACATTTAAATTTTCTACCAAATGGGGACTTTTCCAAGCTCGGCAGCAGTACGGACGAACATGCCGACGTATTCGGCTCATCACTTCCATCATTACAATCACAATAATTGTCATTCATGTATTCTACTGATACAATATCAATACAATGGTTTCCTGCTTCGATTTTCCAGTCATTTTGCTGCTCAAAGAGTTTAAACACAATGTCATCGTCCATAAAATCCCATTCGTCATTATCTTCATCTTCATCGAGCGCATCGTCAGTTTCAAAGCGTTGAGAAGTGTACGACGCATCCAATACACTGTTTACCTCCCTTGTTAGCATGAGTATGCACATAATATCCATGATAACAGCCATAAGGAAGCCTACTAGACGACACTCGGTGGTCTGCGGTGTCATGTTTGCAAGGAGACAAAGTGTCGATCTATGAACGATTGTGATTGGAGAAAATAGGAGACAAAAACGACATGGTCTTAACGTCATTATTACAATAACGTTCTTGTCAATATTGTGATTAAACCTCTTACAATAGGACCGAGTCAGAATTGATCATTGTAGCTGGAGTCGAGATAGAACGGGTTAAGAAACGATTTGATTTTGTCGATAGGAGCGACGTGAATGAAGTTGGTTTTTCTTCTCCATCACTTAGTTCAATGAGTTCATCTTCAATGCTTGTATCCGATGAGCTCCTTCCTTTACGTGTATCTTTCTTGTCAAGTAGATCCCGTCCACCAATTTCCCACTCTTCTTCTTCAGATGCAGACATCCATTCGTTCATTGGTTCTTTGCTTTGTACGACATTGTCAGCACTCTCAGTGCTTTGAAGTTGCTGCTGCTGGTGGTTTTTTATTGGTAGATGAGTAGTATGACGCAAGCTCAATACATGTTGAGTTACTGCAGTGAAAAGAGAAATACCCATGTGAACCATCTTTTCTACTATATGGCCCAATAACAACACCATTGATTTTGTGTACGTAAAGAGCGTTCCCATGGTCTTATGAAGGTAAAGACAATATTTGAAAGTGGTTGAATTCGATAAGAGAGGCTGGGACCCGCCTTCAACAAGAACAACTTGTCATCTTCAATTTGTACCAATAACATGATGCCGTATTAATGGCGAGCAGAGCTACTACTGGGTATTCGATAGCTTATACAAGCCGCGTTTGCTTCAAGCAGACGCTTCCTTGACTTGGAAAAGGTGAAATAGTGCGATAGATACGAACAAGTATACAGATCTACGGAAGGACTGGATGACAAACAACACCCAAAAATAAAAGCACGACAGGACAAACGTGAGCGCTAAATAATCTAATTACACATTAATTATGGCCGAAACGCTGGCCAATGCCGCCTTGTGTTTTTCACGCTCAAGCAGGATCACGACTGTGGACTTGCTGCTCTTATCCACACATTCACGCTCGGTCAATGGCGTGTCAAACGAGAACGTCAGCTCCGCCTCCTGCTCAAGGAACTCGTCTTCAAACTTGTGGAAGAATCTCGCCGTCTGCTCATACGCTATCTTCGTCTTCTTGCCCTTTGTGGATCTCTCGCTGCCACCTCTTTCTTCCGAGCAAGTGGCTAGAATAAGGAAATAATCCATCTGAAAACTATTGCGAAGCTCCTGTGTGTCCTCGTTCTCAATCGCCCACTCAATATCTTCATGCAAGGCCGAGTGCAGTGCAGGCACCAGTTGATATGGCAGATTTACCATACGCTCGTTGAGCACAAGTCCAACGTTCTTTGTGTTAAGAATGTGCTGTAGGTTGGGCAGGTCAGAGTTTGGGCACTTTTTGGTCACATACTGTACAATCTGCTTGATACTTGTCTCTTTCCCAAATGTCTTCAAGCTCAGAGCAGTAATAAAGCCATACACGTCGTCTTCTCCTTCCACACAAATCATAGTACCGGCGGTGACTTGGCCCACAATGGCATTGGCCAATCCAGAGACATCGAACGGTTGCGAGGGTGGCAAATAGACTAGTAAAAACTGCTTGACACTATGAAAATGAGCCTCGCGTGGATCTGAGAAGAGAAATTCCACGCTTACATTGCGTTCAGATGCTGCAATCGTCTCTCCACCATCCATATCGTCATCTGATTCGTCATCGTTCTGGGTGCATTGAGGCGCCGCAACGAACGTAAGATCATCGTCGCTGTCACCGCTACTATCATTTCTCGATTCATCCATCATCATCTTGACTTCACGGTCTTCATTTTGGTCAGCTATAGGGTTTGCAGACGTCTTGCACGAGCCACGAGACCGCTTCTTTCGGTTTGGCATGGCGCCTCAAGTTCAATAGTGTTTTCCTGTTTACACTTCTGCCAACCAGTGGAATATTAAATGACTACCTGGAAGTACACACAAAATGCATTGATGTTTTACCGGTATTTCATCGTTCTGGCGCATGGACAGCTCCTTCATTCCACCGCCATTCCCGTTCCCAGAACTTTGGCCAAAGGTGTTTGCAGAGCAAGAGCAATGTCAGGAGAGAAAATGGCTAACGCCTACGACATTCATACCATTGCAATGGCAGACAATGGCTACATCTGAATACAATCATGTATTGGATCAAGCGTCTCCTTTAGTCGTGACTAAATGTAGTAGTGATGCGCAGCAAGATATGAATGGTGATGATGAAGAATCTGAAGATGATGCGTACGAGTATGGATATGTTCTAACCAATGAATGGCGAGAACATTTTCAGTCGTCGATTCTATTATCACAACAAGCCAAGAGCAAAACGATGAAGAAGATGAAGAAGAAGAAGAAGCTCAAGAACAAGAAGACTAGCCAGTCAAGTAATGCTGGGGCCGTAGCTGCATTCAGTGCCAGTCGATCGGGTCATTTACAACGTGAAATTCAAGCTGCCAAGACCCGTGAACTTGCACGTCAAAGGAAACGGCGAGACAATATCGATGCGTCAAGGACAAGTCCGGCGAATCCAGAGATTATAGCGCTGGAGACATCGCTCAATCTGCTCTTTGATGACTTTTGTGACGCATTTCAACCGGTTTTGTGGCCGCATGAATGATAGTATTGTTAAACGTTTGTGGAATTGTATTTGCTACTTCATCCGGTATACCGGTTTCATTCTTGAAATCAAAAGTAAGTAGATAGAGGCAGTACAAATAAAGAAACAGTGGATTAGTATGAACCTTGGACAGATGAAGAACGATTCTGTGAATGGATCGACGCAAGCAATTCCTTCCCTTAAGCGCACAGCAAGTGGAGGTGCAGCTGGAAGTGTAGGTCATGGTCATACTGGAGGTCTGACTAGTCATCTTGGTGTGGGCATGAATAATATGAATTCCATCCCATCGGTATTGCACGCGACACCTAATACAAATCCACCGCAGATATTACGTGCCGTGACATCCTCGGGTGTTTATAACCGTTCTTCGTCCAATACATCACTTCGTGGTGGTAGTATTGGTCTCTCCACGGGCGGTGGTGGTTCTTCTCTAGCCAGTACTAACGTCACCTCTGCGACCGCTACACGCAACGTGTCCCAGTCACCGATGATGCAGGACTGGAGAATGTACTTGACTATTGAGGAGCGTCAGGCTGTGCGCTCTAAGATTCGGGATGCATATACCAGTCGCTGCTCTACTTACGAAGATTTACTGCAAGTGGTGAGGCTTTCAAAGAGCAGGGAGGTGTAGATTCAATGTATTGTCCAACATGTTTGTTGTTGTTGTTGTTGTTGTTTCAGGCTTGTGCCATTGAGGAAGAGTTACTGCACATATCTGCACCGTCACGTCTGGACTACTTTAAGAGTGGCTTTGAGTTTGAGAACCGCGTGAAACTCAAGAAGGACCAGTTGCAGGGCCAGTTGGCGGCTTTGGACGCCAAGCGGCGGTCATCAAGTGGTCAGCAACAACAACAGGGAAATTCTGGCAGTGGAAGCAAAGCAGTAGGATCGTCAAAGAAGCAGAGGAATTAGCATTCGAAGATTGCATTGGTGCTGTGCATCCTCTGGCAGCGCTTCTGCGGCTTCAGTGGAGACAGAGCGCCAGACTTCGTTTGCGGAGCGATAGGAGCTTCCGTGTATTTTTACGTCCGGGCGAGAGGCGTGAGGCATTATCTGCTGTACTGTAGTTTTCATCATCAAAGACCACTGACTTTGGATCACCGGGAGAAGCTTTAGCTTAACGAGGCACGAAACCAATGGAGAGGAACAGAGGAAAGAGCTTGCATTTGTATATTGTGCTGAGTGTATTTTGTGCAAAGATATTTCCATATCGCGTGTTGGTGTTGTATGTACAAGCAGGCCTTTGACCTAGTATTTACGCAAGAAGAAGTGTGTCAGAACCTTCAAGTTCAGCTGAAACATGCTGCGTTGCTGTAGCTCTGAAGCGAAGGCGTTAAAGTTGACTGCCTCCAGCTCTTTCAAGTACACCGCAGAGCTTACCAGCGGCAGGAACGCCCTACGCGACTCGCTTGGTAAGTTTTTCCGCAGCGACCGAGCTTGATGAAGGTGCTCCATAGCGCGACAAGCAACATCAAACACCACCGGCGCCGCCTTCTCGCCCATCTTGGGATCCTCTACGGCTACCAGTAGATCTTCAGCGGTCACGCCATGCTACTCATGGCCAAACAGACAACAGAAAGCAAACGGTAAGTATTAGGCTTTTGCACCTCAAATCCATGCTACGATTCTTCTCTGTACCTTGCTCATGAGGTCCTCAGGAAGATAAGATTGTTGCCGAGAGGCGTGATAAGCCGTACCTCGCAGAAGCGTTGCAAGGCCAATTGTTACACCGGCGTGCCCCGCTACTTGGTCTGCCGTGTCGTCGCGAACACCGAGACACTCTAGTGTAAGGTATAGCAAGGACGAGGCCGTCTGCTCTGCATAAATCTCCAACTCGCGCAAGTTTTGCACTTCGTCACGATCGAGATCCTGATCTCGCGCATCCAGTAATCGTTCGAACCAGCGCCAAGTCAAGTCGTGCTCTTGGATGGCCTTGTCCAGCCCTCGCAGCAACAGTGTCGAATGCTCAGGTCGTTCATTACTTGTCGTGAGTGATCTTTTGTACAGATTATAAATACTTTCTCGCCACCATTGGATACGAATTTTGCCTGTGATTTGGTTACTGTGCGCTGAGTCCTTGATTGTTGCAATCTCGGCATTGAAAGCGCGCTACAAGCCGCAATAATACCAACCAATGTTACCGGTAAATGCTGGACACTTTTGCATGAGATGACTGAGCATAGCAACGTACTATAGCAAAATAAGATGGACGCGTCTTTACTGGTAGCAAGAGACCACAGATATATCCATCGTAATCCAGTTTCCTACGCCGTCAGTCAGATAGATACTAAGCGTCAATATTATGAGATAATTCAGCGATTGTATCACCTTCTTTCACTTCTTTCTTACCTGACATTCTCTCGTATCTCTAACTCTTCCTTATTGTGTATTCTACGCATTGTATTCAACGTACTACGTGGTGATAAGACCGCTGGACGTCGTCGCAATGAGCTCAACATGATCGAGTTTAGACCAAATTACCGACATAACTACCGGTGTTGGTCATGAGGTAAGGGACACAATTATATGCGCCATTCAATTATGGCCAATCAAACAAGTTACATCAGTGATGACCTGCATCATTGGCTCGCGACCTGTCATTCGGTACGTCTCGTTCGTTACCACGCCAGCACCCGACACCATTGTCTTGCCTTATTCGTCTACTTTCAAGGCTGTAATTGGTCTGTATTGGAATAATGAATCAACAGAAGAAACGCACAGCTACCGAGTATTCAAGTGATTCAAAACGTCGCACTGTGAAACAGCCGAATGACAACAAAGAGGAGTTAGTGTTTGAAGACCCATTTGGAGATGACATGGAGGACGAAGAGATGATTGAGAGTGACGATGAGGAGGAGGTTATAGACGACAAGATGATTACGGAAAAGGATGTGGATATGGACAAGGATGAGCAGACGGAGAAGCAAGTAAAGAAGGTTTTCATGCCTGGTGTGGATAAGCTGGAAGACGACGAAGTTCTAGACTACGATAGCAGTGCCTATGATATGTACTACGCCATGACGGCCGAGTGGCCCTCGCTTAGTATTGATGTTGTACGCGATGACCTTGGTGCTGTACGCTCACGCTTCCCAATGACAATGTTCATGGTGGCCGGTACACAGGCGACCAATACGGATGACAACCAGATCACAGTCATGAAGATGTCGGAGCTACACAAAACCAAGCGTAAGGATGACTTGGAATCAGAAGGTGAAGACTCGGAAGACGAGGACGAGACGGAGGGAGACCCGGTACTCGAGTCTCGTTCCATCCCACACCCGGGCGGTGTGAACCGCATCCGCTGCATGCCGCAGTCCTCGAATATTGTAGCTACCTGGTCGGACCGCAAGAAGGTGCATCTTTGGGATATTGCCAAGCAACTTGAGTCACTGGACGGCAAGGCGGGTGCTCCACTGCCAGCTAAGCAGGCGCCTGTGCACACATTCTCAGGACATGCTGATGAGGGTTTTGCCATGGACTGGTCTCCTGTACAGTCTGGTCGTTTGGTAACGGGTGATTGCAGCAAATATATCTACCTTTGGGCCAACTCGGATGGTGCATGGAGCGTTGACAAAGTGCCGTTTACAGGCCATAAGAGCTCAGTAGAGGACCTACAGTGGAGCCCAACGGAGGCAACAGTATTTGCTTCGTGCTCGTCTGACTGCACCATACGTATTTGGGACATTCGGCGAAAGGCTGGTAGTATGCTGGATGTCACTGCTCATGACGACGACGTGAACGTGATTACATGGAACCGCAACGTTGCGTATCTGTTGGCATCTGGCTCGGACGATGGATCATTCAAGATTTGGGACTTGCGTAACTTTAAGGCCAATAATCCGGTGGCGCACTTCCGATATCACACGGCGCCGGTCACATCAATCGAGTGGCATCCAACGGACGAGTCAGTACTTGCTGTATCAGGTGCAGACAACCAGATTTCAATTTGGGATATGTCTGTGGAAGAAGACGCTGAGGCTGCTGGTGTACCTGTCCCAGAAGAGAACAGCGAGGCAAAGCTTGATCTGCCACCCCAGTTGTTGTTTATCCACCAAGGTCAGACTGACATTAAGGAGCTACATTTTCATCCACAATGTCCAGGTGTGATTATGAGCACGGCTGGTGACGGCTTTAACGTTTTTAAGCCTGCTAATATTTCGTAAATAAAGACCTATTGTCATTTTGTGCCAGGAAGAGATTTTATTGCTATTTGACTAGAATATAACAAAGCTGTGCATTTCTACGTCTAAACCGTTTTGTAATTTATTACTAACTAATTTAACGTTCAGAAGTTTCTAGATCTCTAAAACTGCACAATCATAGGGTGGACCGAGCGTTATTTAAAAATTCACTAATCGGTCATTTTTGCATCATTTTGCAAACAAATTCCATCTCAGTCGTCATTTCCATGAAAAATCGCTCAATCTCTCCCATCTTCAGCCTCGGCTTTCTACTGTTTATCGCGTTGAATAATCAAGCCCAAGTTGAGTCTCTAGACATTGTTATCTTTGGTGCTGGAGACAACCGTATGAGGCATGGAACAAGTCTGGATTTGTACGCACCTGCAGATCGTGGTTGTGCCTTGTGTCGCAACGAAGAGAATTGCTCTCTTGCAGTGCATAACCAGTCAATGGGCGTGTTTTGTAGCGATATATTGGCCACATTCCAGCCATGTTGCTGTTCATTTCGTAATGAATGTATGACTACAATCTTCTCCGACTCGTGCGAGTGTTTTGATGGTATCAGGAAGGAAGAGATTATGACGACAAGAGTCTATTTGTTTATGGGTCTTTCATTTATTGCTTGGGGATTTCTTGTCTATGACAAAATGTGTGCAGGTCCTTACAAGGTCATGAACAGCAATCATCAGCTTTTATCAAGTTTACCATCAGCAGCAGTTCCAAGAGGAGAAGACACCGCGGTTGATGGTACAGTCGATAATGACTCAGAGGATGGAGAGGTTCTAACTGGTGTTGGCACTGTGGCTGTTGAAATCGAAGATGAAGCGCGTGAGCTGCATGACGACAATAATACTACGACCTCAGTCATTTGTGATGCCTGACGAGTAGATAGAGAGTACTGATATTGAAGCTGCAATTGTTGAAAGCCGACCAACGATGAGCGGTTAGATGATGTCCCTGTGGTGTTTGTATTTCAAACTGTTCGATCCATAATGAAAGAACAGGAGACTATGAGTGTCTATGAATTGTAACATTATGATACAAACATGGATTCGTGACTACGAATGTAACGGAAAATATTATTGTAAAGGAATTTCTTCCAGTTCAGTTGACGACACGGATGGACGAATACTTATTTCTTCGACGACATTAACAGGGACAGTAACTACGAAAATCTGTTCAGATACTGATAGTGAAATCTTCCTTTTCTTTGTTTTGACAAGTAGAGTCTGCGTCGGAGATCACGTCAAAAGTGAAAGCAGGTTTTACGGTTGGCGTCGGAGATTCAAACAACAAAAGCGGTAAATTGTCATCGTGTTTCCCATCTGTTTGCGAGCTTCGCCGTCGCTTGCGAAATCGCTGGCGGAAGTAAAGCAACCTTGTATCACTAGCTTTGTCGTACGTAACCATCTGATTCCGCCTAAAGTCGCCAAAACACTCTGCCCACTGGTCCACGTACACTGCGAACACAAAGAGCGCCAGATACGCCGACAAGTGAATGAAAATTTCAGTGATTGCCGACATTTCATTGTCCATCGGACCGTCATCCTTTGGTCTAAATCGATGCCGAAATCGAGACCCTGTATCATTTGCAAATGCTATTTCAGTCGCTGCAAGCCGCTCGTGGTGCAAATCAAACGGCCATGCTCCACCGCACTCACACGTTTGCGCCGTACTGGTCGCTCGACATTCTGTGTAGTACGCACAGCAGCACGGTAGTGTTTCCACCGCAGTAGCATGAATATCTCCGCAAAATACTCCAGACGATGTGTCATTCATAGCCATGGAACAGGTCCCGCTGTCTCGACACAGCGAACAGCCGGCAGCGACACTGCCACCGCTTGGAACTTCGACATGCAAAGGTATAGTAAGTGGTGCTACAATGGAATTCTGTACAATCTCGGCTTTTGTAGTGGATACGCAGAAAAGTAGCACCGTTATGAAGCACTGCAGCATCGACGTCATGTCAAACAGCGTTATTGGTACGAATAAGGTTTTGACCAATCAAATTAGACAAGTTGGAAAGAAGCCGGTTTTTTATGTAGTGGTAATCCTGCATGATTACATCAATCACTTTTGATAGGTGTAAGCATACCGTCAAATTCTATTCCTGTCTTCACTTACTAACATAATATATTTCGTTTTGTATGCTACTAGTTTTCTTATTTTGAGCATAATCAACATTCAAGTTTCTAAATGTTAGACGAATGCCACAAATCATATAGACACAAATGTATACAATAACAGTATACATTTGAGTCAGTCCCAGTCATGTATGCACTCCATTCCATTTTGCACGACGCATGGTGTCTATAGGTCAGTAGGTAACATTATTGTTTCTGTTTGAGCTACAGATCGGCATTTACCGGCTACTAGTGGTCCAATAAAAAAGCGAGACTTGTGAGATGTGCTTGCGTGATTCGAATCTCCTGAAGCTTTTAGTAGCGTCCATATCGCTCCGTCAAAGAGCGATCAATTACATTAGCTCAGGACGTGGAGACTACGCGCTACCTTGAAGACAATAGCTCTCTTTTCAATCATCTAAGCGTGTGCTGTAGAATGTACTGAACTATGCCGTGGTGGTGGATGTGGAAGGTGTTGGCGTTAAGGTTCTTCATCCCAGACGAAGATCATTCTGGACTGCACTATTTGAATCGATCTAAAATTGATTCATCAGTATACGGCTATCTTCAATGCAGTGGCTATGGGACTTTTGTGTGGGACTGCAGTGATCATGACGACAATGTTCATAAGGCGTAGGATGAAATTGCGCAGCTAGGTGTAGACAGCTGTGGTATTTACAGGCATGTATCCAGTTTTTCTGGCAGTGATGCTGTCAGTGTTAGCTGAGAGTAACCTCCATAAGGTCTCTGCAACGAAAAAAATGCATCTAGTATATAGTGACAGTGGCATCTCAGTGTGCTATTGAGATAGTGCTTATAGCGCTGGCAATTGCGCATAACGGACTGATGCGTCTTGATTGTTGATGACGGCTTGTGGAATTGCTGGACGGGCCAAGAGGGAAGGTAGCGATGGTGGCTGCACTTTTGTGCCAAGCTTGGAGTCGAGGTTTTGTGATTCAAGATTGTGGAAATATAAACGAGAACATTTGCTGCCGTGGAAGGAACGGGGCTTACAGCGTTGCTCAAGACACATGGAAACCCCTTGGGCACGATGCGTTAATGTTATGGCACTTGTATGACTCAACTCAGCTGCAGCAGTGGAAACAAATGACAAACCAACCGTATCCACTCTTTCAAACAAAGAAAGCGTTACTCCCGCGGCTGTAGCTAGATTCTGGATGAGCACGAGGTATGCAAAGAGGAAGACAAGCGCAGACACAATCAAGATTGAGCCGTTTCTTACACCGCCAACTATCATCAGTTGCAATAGCGTCCACATCAGCCGCACTTCTTGACAGGGCATGCGTCAGCTCTGGTTGGCAATACAACTTGTTCGTCAGAGTTGTGACTGATATTTAGCTGAGTTGAACGGCCTGCTGCATTGACTGTGTAAGCATAGTGCCATCAAACTTCTCCAATTCTTTATTTGTCCAGAGTGCCCCAACATGGCCGTCTGGACGCACAAGGGCAGCAGCTTTGCTAGTCATAAATTTCGCCCACGTCTGCTTGCTTTCCTCCCCCGACCACTTGTAATGACATGACGGAGCCAAATGCCGAGGACTTTTGAGCCTCTACAATTGCAGCGTCAACCTCAGCGCTGGAACACATAACGATGAGAGAGACGTACTTCGCCATTACTGATGAAGCGAAAGACGAGCAAGAACGAATCACTCGTTCAGCATTACGCTCACCTACGACCAGAACAAACTGCACATTGCCCACTTCTTCAGCAGGCTTTCTGTTTTGCATAACAAGGCGCGTCATATCAAGAGTGGACACCTTCGCGTCGTTGCTATAGCACCAAAAGTGAGGAAATCTCGCGCCAACGCAGAAAGTTGGAGAGTAGATGGTTTTATTGCCGTAGCCGGTATCGGTACGAAATTCAGCAGACTGATCCATTGCTGAGTCTTCCATGAGCTTCTTCGCTCGAGCCGCCCAGGAAGATGCATCATAGGAAAAGCCAATATCAAAGTGGTAAAATATCATTCCAAGCGTTTTACGGCGCGATACAACATCTTTAACGCTGGCGCGCATGCGGTTGCCCAAGGCACTTCCTCGTCCGCCCGCATCCTTAGCTTCATCCAAAAATCCCAGAGGCATTTTACCGACCCTCATAATTCCCTGCGCTATCTTGCGCTGAGCGCGCATTGGAAGGAGTTGCATTGGCTCTGAATTCATAACCTTTGCTAGCGTCTGGGCATTGTCATAGGATATGTTTAGTGCTTGCGGAACCTTCATGGTTCGATTTACGTTCCTCAGACTTAGCTGCGTATTTATTTTGGCAACAGGCTGGCGTTCCCGGCCGTAAGAGCTCAGTAACGCTTGAGTATTGACGCCGTTAGCAAGAAACGTTTTCGTGTTCATCTGGATCGCAAGCGCCACTTTCCAAACCAGATTGTGCGCGTCCTGCAGTCCTGTGTTCATGCCAAAACCACCTGCCGGCGGGAATTGGTGCGCCGCATCACCGACGAGGAAGACACGCTGCTTGCCGGCATCGTACAGCTCTGCTACACGAGCTCCCATTCGCCACTGCCCAACTGACCGAATAGTGATGTCGTCATTGCTAACATCGACGTGTTTGGGTAGGATATGGCGTATTATTTCCTTGCATTGTGCGATTGAGAAGTCCCAGGCAATTGACTCTTGCGGAGGAAAGAACGGAATTTGAAAAACCCACTCGCCTTGGTAGAGGTCATGAGCAATCAGAACACCGACAATTTCTTTGTTAAACTATTGAGCATATCGGAATCAAGTACCGATTAGTTACATTCACGTCTCAAAAACACGCAATTTTCTTTCTTACCACAAAGTACAGCATAGCTGGATTCTCACTCGCAGCCTTCGACAGCGCCTTGCTTGTAAAATGCACATTTGCAATGCTTTGCAGGTTGAGCGTTCCAGCCATGCCAATACCACACAGCTGGCGCACAAGGCTGTGTGCACCATCCGCTCCAAGAATGAAGTCGTAAGACGCTTGCTCGACTGTATCAGTATCCCTGCAAACGCCAAACACAAACAACTCAGTCTATTCTCACCTGAAACATACATCCTCATGCATGAGCTTACAAGTGGCGTAGCGTAACTTGAGATTGCTGCGTGGCCGAACCTTTTGCTGGCAATGTCAGACTCTCAAGTTCAACTCCACGCTCCACCAGCAAATCATTTTCCGCCAAGAACTCGTTTAGCAACGTCTCAAAGCGATTCTGTGGGAAGTGCAGAAACTGTGTCGGTGATAGTGTCGTCAGTGATTTGCGCAGATTATCACCATTTGTGGTTGCCTGCTCGATAGTATCTCGTAAGATGCCTGCAACACAAATAACAAGACACCTTTAGTCTTATCTTCCAGACCCACTGAGCTTCTTTTGCTCTTTCCATTACTTACATGGGCCAAACTGGTCAATATGTGCAATCTCCCGTGCTCTGCCTACTCCTGTACAGTAAACATAGTCACGCCACTGTTTCAATTGAATATCAAGGTTTAGTCTCTATATAAGAATAAAATATGCTATTACATGATACTACTACTAGTACTACCTATAATGATTACAATATACTTACGAGGATACTAGGAGCTGCTTGTTCTAATAGACGATCATGAAATTGAGGCATTAAAGCATAGAGAATTTCCATTGTACGAAGGTTAAGAAAATGTGCTTGAGGATGTAAGGTAGGACTGTGTTGACGCTCTACCACACGAGTAGGAACATGATAGAGTTTCTCAAGCATAAATGCAGTCACGAGACCCACAGGTCCACCACCTACGACCAATACACGTGGTTTATTGACCAGCATTAATGATGATGCTAATGAATGGCTTAATTATAATAATAACAAGACTAATTGATAGACCGATGATGTGGTGGACATTAATTGACTTAATTATAAATCACATGAGACATTTTGTTCAAAAATATTTGTCATTTCAATAATTGTAACCTGTTCAACTGCATGTCATAACTGTCAATTCAATAATGGCGCTATTCAATGCACTATCACTTCCTGATGACAATGATGCTTTAAAGCACCGTCTATTACAAGTAGCAACACAATTTCAACAATACTTTGGACAGCCTTCTACTGGTGTTACACGTGCTCCTGGACGTGTGAATCTCATTGGAGAACATGTGGATTATCAAGGATACGCAGTACTACCGATGGCCATTGATCAAAGTGTTTATGTCGCTTTTAATAGCATTCAAGATGACAGGAATCAAGAAGGCCCGAAGATAATTCGTCTAGCAAACGTGAAGCCACAATACAAAGCTATTTACTTGTGTATGGACGCGACAGAGCAGAAGAACATGCAAAAACTTGACCAGGAAGGAGCTGTTTGGGCCAAATACGTATTGTGTGGGGTGCTGGGGATTCAAGATACTTATCCTGAGCTGTTTTGTGGTAAGAAGACGGAATTGCAGATGCTCGTAGATGGAGATATTCCTGCTGGTTATGGTTTGTCTAGCTCCAGTGCATTGGTGGTAGCAGCTGCGTTAGCCACATTTAGCGCACGAAAACAATCAGGACAGGAGTTTCTAAGTAGAATGGAGCTGGCGGAACTATGTCGACGGGCAGAACAACATGTTGGGACAATGGGAGGTGGAATGGACCAGGCCGTAGCATGCTTGGCACACCGTGGTGCTGCCTTGCATCTTGATTTCTCAAGCGTCCCAGCAAAAAGTAACCTAGTCAAAGTACCGGATGCTGCTGTTGGAGTAACGTTCGTGGTAGCGAACTGCTTGGTAGTAGCGGAGAAAGCAGTTGACGCACCAAGTCGCTATAATAAACGCGTCGTCGAATGTGCCCTTGCTGCAAAACTGATTGCGAAAAAGGCGGGCATCGATGACTGGAGAAATGTGCGTCTACATTGGCTGTCTAACGTTATCGTTGTGTCTAGCTTTCTAACGTAAAACTGGCTACAGATAACGCGTCTTGTGGACGTTCAAATGACACTGTGCGGCACTGAGGAGCGCACACGCTTTGACAAATTACAACAACTTGCACTAGCTTCCTGTTCGTTGAAGGAATACTCGACAACCGAGCTGGAAGCCGAGTTCGGTGAGCCAATTGCGAAACTTTTTATTGACTCTTCCCTGGAAGCAGCAATGAAGGTTCGTCTGTGCTGTAATTCATTTTTGACGATTTTTGCTGACATGCTATAATTGCAGGCAGTTGTTGCTTCTGCCTCATCATTCAAGCTGCAACAAAGAGCACTACACGTGTGGGGTGAGGCTGAACGTGTTAAGCAGTTTCAAACAATATGCGCTTTCCTGACAAGACAAGTACAGCCACGGTCCGACAAGGAGATCGAGCAGCCATCTTACATACGCAAACAGCTGGAATGTCTTGGCAAAGTCATGCTATCAAGCCATTTGAGCTGTCAGATGTTGTACGAATGCAGTTGCCCAGAACTTGATGCTCTGGTTGATGCTGCTATGAACGCTGGTGCTTTGGGAGCACGTCTTACTGGTGCTGGGTGGGGAGGTTGTATCGTAGCACTTGTCCAAAGTGCCAAGGTGGCCGGCTTTATGAAAGATGTTCAGTCCAATTACTACAGCAAGCGCAGTATAACATCAGCTGAAGCATCCGGTGCCCTGTTTGAGTCGGCTCCAGCTCCTGGTGCAAACATTTTCACGTTTGAGATGAACTATATTCCCTCGTAACTTTTCACTGTTTCTGCAATGAACGAAGTTTCTCCAAATATGTGTCTTTGGCCTGAAGCTCTACGTCAATAAGTGCAAGCTATGGAACAGCAAGTTCATGTTAGTTTACGTATGATGTAATAAGTTGATCATGCGAAACTACTTGAAGTAAACATACCTCTGCCTTTCGCTGCGCCTTCTCCGCAGGAGTCATCGAAAACTGCAAAATTGTAAAGTCACGCTTCATGTCCAGTAAAGCCTTTCGCCGCTCAGCAACTTCTTGCTCGTACTGCTCAACCTCTCTCCGCATCTTTAACACAGTCCGTTGCCGTTAAACAGAAAAACCTCTCAATGCAAACAAATGCAATCTTTACCTCGACAATGGCAGCAAAACGGTCCATATCTAAAATGGCTCTGAAGTACGCGTCATTTCTCTACACAACACAGCAACAAGCATTATTAGTTTCTGAGGGAAAGCAAATACTACAAGGCAAAAACAAGACTGACGTGTATCTTTTCAAATGCCTTTTTGACGACAGGGCGAGTCTGGATCCAACAAGGGGAGACTAATGCAGCTGGCTTGCATGGAATCACTCCGATCTCGACAGCATCCTACAATTCATCACAGTCAACATGTAAAGGTCAGATTATATCAACTACAAAACATTCTCGTCGTCCTTACCTTTGGCCGCAAAAACAATAGTTGTTGATCGATCAAATCCAAAAACTTTTGTTCGCCATCCATTTGGTACTGAAACGGTACTAATGCATCCACCGGGCTCGCACAGTTGAGAGGCGCATTGTCTTTCTGGCCAAGAAGCTGTTGTGGTGAGCCAACAAAAAAGCTACCACCAGTTATTGGCACCACGCCAGCGACTTTTTCCAAGCATTTCCAAGTCCCCAACGCGGTCAAAAGCTCTGACGTCTTAACAACGTCGTTCGTATCGTCAAAGGCTACTGAAAACGAGGACTCGGAGATACTGCTTGTGGCAATTTTATGAGGAAGCTGAAGGCTTCGATTTAAGTGCAATAATTCCACCAGCCCAGTTTCAATGTCTTCGACAAAGTCATTGCACACCTCATGAATCATCGCAAGCCGCTCTACAGAGAGTGTGACAGTACTCAGCTTGTTTTGCCAAAGACGCCGACAAATCCCATCGATATCGCTCCACCAATTCCCAGTTGCCTTCAAAATAGCCTCAATCTCTGCAGAATGGTTACTCTCTGTCGTATCAGAATTACAGTCGTTATCGTTACTCGTTACATCTGAGGCAGGAAACAAACGCAGATTGTGCAATTTCTAAAACGAATACAACACAGCATTATTAGTTTTTGCTGTGCAGGAGGAGCAACGTTTGGCATTGTGTACCGCAATCTCGCGTAGCTTATCCTCTGCCGACGTGTTGTCCACTAGACCATTAGCAGGACGCAAAAGTATACCAATGAAATCCGTAGTGCCATCCAAAGCAGCGGCGCGTAGTCCATTTTGATGCCGCGTTTGTAGCCACTTTGCCTTGAAAGGTGTTACTGCTGCTGCGGTTATAAGTACCACGTAAGCTAAGCCCTCGCTCAAGACGCGATGTGTCCACACAAGCCACCTCTCAGCTTCCATATCGCTCAGCGCATCAAAATCCCTCAGCAAGAATACCGGTTGGGCAATCGCTTGATCAGTATGCGGATTCGCCGACGCATTTTCGCCGCTTCCTTCGCCGATATCCTTACTCTGCTTTTCACTATATCGTAAATCTCGTAGCGCATTCAGCATCGCATCTAGCATTACACCCTCTTGTTCAGCTTTCATTCCAGCACGAAAGTCAATAGCCACCGGAATCGCTTCATACATGATTGTTTTTAGCTCCACATATCGAGCTGCAGTCCTGTGAGCTGCACGTCCCAGTGCTGTAGTTGGATATGTAAATCTTTTAAGAGTATCATACGTTTGTTCTTCGTAAGATCCAAGCACCTTTGCACCTTGTAGAAGTCTGTTTCAAACATCAGAAGACATCATCAGATCAGACTGTTCACAAAAGCTCGTACGACCCTTACATCACATACTTCTTCATGACAACGACAGGATTATCACCTGGTGAGATTGCTATCAAGTATGGAAACTTGGATGGTGCATTACTGAGCCAAGCAGACGCTCCACTTTGTTTTAATCTTGTATCTTCACTGGTTTTCTCGCTCTTAGACATGTCGTGCCACTTTTGAAGACGCTGTTTTGCATACGATGCCTTGTTTCGATCATCATAATGCTGAGCTACTTCTCCGACAGTGAAAAATGCTACTGGCGTCACGAACGCTACGGTAATGCCGATAGATCGAGCATGACGTAGCATATTTTATCATGTTCATCAAGTATTAAATGACACAGGTTTTATAGCAGCGAATAAATTGGTTATAACAGGTGCTGAGATGGTTGGTGCGTGTGTGTTTGGACTTCAGTTTCAAATTTACCTTATTGATTAATAGCTCCGTAATTAAAAGCTCTGTATATTAGAGTGAGCATGTGATGTCTTTCATGTTGAGTAGACTTTAGTCTGCTCACAGTGAATTCCTCGTTTCTGATGATTCCGCTGAATAAGTGGCCTCAATGAGACCAATCTTAGACTAAACGACTGATGCTTGCCATTACGAACAAATGCATTATGATTTATAATTAACAAGTAGAGTTATTATTGCGTAGTTTGCGTTAATTAATTTCATGACGTAATTTTTGCAATGTTATCCTTCCTTATTTGGACGACTGCTGTATTTCTAATATAAAGAAGTACTTATTACAAGGTCTTGAGCATGTTGTTGTTCTAAGACCTATTCGACCTTGTTCGTAACTAATAAATACTAACGGCTAGACCCACTTATCAGTCACAGGTCAAACTCCACTTCCGCTCTCTATCTAGTACTGAAGGTGACATATTCCACCATTAGCGCCAAGCGCAAACTCAGCTTTATCTTCGCTTCGTCGAAAATCATCGCTCCCTCCGACCTCTTCATGCCTGCATTTGATGCAGTTGACCTGACTGGAAGGCAGTAACACGGAGGCTCCTCCAACAGACGAATTTCTGCTGTACATCGTGGACACATCGGACGCAATGCCCTCAATTTCAACGTCGGACTCGTCCAATGATGAAAGACGACCTCCTACCAGACCATCACCCTGTCGGCCATCGCTCGGAAGCCCCACAATAGGGAGGCCCGTTGACTCGAGGTTTGCTGGACTCAATTCCACATTCGTATTTTGAACGCTCAGCATACTAATGCTATCTGGCCGAGCATACGGAGATGTGAACTTGTAAAACTGTTCATTGTCTTGATGGTCATGGTACTCTTCGCTCATCCAGCTGCCACTGCTGCTGCGGACGGAGAACCGGCCGCGAAAAAAGTTCGTCACACGCTGTCCCAAGATAGAGCTAGGACGGTGATCCAGGTCAGATGTACCGTCGCCATTTCGCAAGGACGAAAAGATGCTGTTCGTGTATTCGGAGCCAGATACTGACGCCATTGTGGCAAAATCATCCGAGTCCTTCGACATATTGTCCAAAATCGTGTTAAGAATCTCAGCGGCTTCGGGTGCTGACGGACGATGGATTGGATCCTGTGCCCAACATTCCTCGATTAGCTGAGCAAAGCGCTGTGGGCAACATTGTCCAGGATTAAGTGGTGGCCGCTGCTCCTCAAGCACCTTTTGGCGGACTTCAAAGTCAAACTTGGTGTCGCTAAAGGGAACAGCACCATCGGACGCAATTTCCCACAACACCATACCGAACGAGTACATATCTGTTGCACGACTGTACCGACAGTTGTGCGGGTCCTTCAAAATCTCAGGGGCATTCCAGCGCCACGTTCCGGCGAACGATGTAAGTTCATCTGACACACTTGGATTCTGCTCGGCTAAGCTGATGGTGCGCTCACTATATCGCACGCGGTTGACAAAATTTGACACCTTCGAAATTCCAAAATCTGCCAACTTCGCTTGCCAAGTCTCCGTGACCAGAATGTTAGAGGCCTTGAGATCGCGGTGGATGTACGTAGGGTTGCGCGCGTGCAAGTAGGTGAGACCTTTTGAAACATGAAGGGCTAGCGCCACCTTGCGCCGCCAACTAAGAGAGAAGTGATGCTTAAGTACGTCTTTAAGACTACCGCGTGAGCAATACTCAGTCAAAATTCCCAGTTTACCTTCAAAGTATCCGGCGCGTATGAACAACGTGATGTTTGGATGGCGCAGACGGGAGCACAACTTTGCCTCTTCGATAAACGCTTCCTCCGAATGCTGAATGATCGTGCGATAAAGTTCCGCATCCGCCACATTTCCTATACCCCCATTGGGTAGCTTTATGACTTTCATAGCTACCTCAATCCCCAACCAATGTGCCTTAAACACGCTACCAGCTGCACCTTCAGCAATATACGACACGTTCGAGAGACCATTCAGCTCCTCAAGAGCCACCACCTCGTCGCCCACATGAGTGTTTTTCGTCGATTCCTTTCCAGCATTGCTACTAATCACAGCACTGCTTCCAAAGACGGTCCGATATGACGAAGCTAATACATTAGCAACACCATTGTTGCCGCTACCAGCCAAGAGTCCTGTCCCTATGCGATCTCGCTGTCTTTCTCCATATCGTGAGCTATTGCTGCTAAACTGCAGAATCGTTTGGTTGTGACGTAGTTCGTCTTCGTCTAAAGGTAATCTTGCTTCTCCCACATGCCTCCAGCCAAACACGATGGCGTTAAACAACGGCACGCTGAATAAAAAGCAGTTTGCCACCTCGTACATAGTATAGCTCACTACCTCCTTCCCAAGGAAATAACACAACATGATAGGGAACTGTAGCACGTGTACTACAACAAAGTAGTGCATAAGCTTCTCGTGCGCTACTCGTAGAGCCTGTTGCGCTTCCAGCTCCCATGTCTTCGTCGACACTAATGCTGCGTGACGCGGACTGTTCCCAATTGACTCTTCTGTTGCTACAGTAGTGGGGTTGCAAACCATCTCCACGCCGTTGTTTTGTCTTTTTCTCTGCAAATACAATACAATATTGGCCGCACTGATGCAGCCTACTGATAGTACATAAACCGAAATAAACAAGTAATGCTGGCACTTGGCTAGAACGTTCGTGATGTCGCTGCCAGTGACATGAGCTTGAAGACGCGCCGTGGACAGCAAGCCGCAACCAAGCCCAATAGTCCAAATTGTGAGCCAGCTTAACCGCACGGGGAATCCCTTCATTGGTGGGCTCATGGCTTCGTGACCGCGCACGCAACGATGCGTTCGTAAAACAAAGATCGCCAGTACGACGCCCCAAAGCAGTGATACCAGAAAACTCACGTGATAAAGAGACACAATACTGGCTCCAACAACCGTCCGCACCTTGACGCCATTGCCCATAACCATGTCCATCGATTGACTTACAGCTCCTGTCACGGAAAACAACCAGTCTGTCATGATGACTGCATAATAAAGCGCAGGGCCTGTTGCATGTGGTGGTGGCAATGGTGGCTTTCTACTACGTCCTCTGCCTCTATATCGCATATCATAGCCTGCGTCTGGTATCCTTCGATAAAGCACAACTGCTACAACGGATGAAATCACGGCTGCAGTAGAAATCGTCACAAGACGTGCTGTCTCCAATGCATTCTCCATTGTCATTAATTCGATTCTCTATCTGCTTCAGTCTTTTACAGTTACCGTCACCGACTTGACACGAATGAGCCAGAACCGTCTAAAGAAGCATTACAGCACACTACCAGCTGGTCCCATGCTCCGCCTCTACACGCAATTGCAGACAGTCTTTCTGACTCTTCTTGTCTTCACGTATCCCCTGACAAAACTTATATTTATTTGACAAATTTCTATTTGTCGTCAAATGTATTTCTAACAATGATCTCATGGAAATATACAACTCCAATCAATAGAAACGTCAGAGTGTTTTTGTCTTTTGTGTAACGTACTCAAGTTCTGTGTCACCTAAGCTCATTTCTTAATCCAATATTTCACTAAATGGATTCAATTCCATGGAGTTTGTATAGTAAAAGATTACTGTCACGTACGCAGAGTGTAGACGAAATAGTACAGAAGATCTGCATGGAGAATAACATAATTGCCAATGCCACTTCACCTCAAACTAATGGTCAAGTTATTACGCTCATACTGCAGACTCTATTAGCCCAGCAATCATCATCTGATGATGTGGCACCTTTAATCGAACAGCAGCTAACAGAGGATGCAGTTGTCGCTCATACTCACCATCAGCAACGCTGTACTGTTGTCTCGCGCGTGGTAGAATCAGCTATCATCCAGAAGCTGTTGCATGACGACAGTCCGCTCATTAATCTCTTCAACTGGGACGCGTTTCAGCAACGTCTTGCCAATCTGCGCGCTGCTTTTCCTGAGACAGAGTTTAATCATGCATTAGCCGTAAAGGCAAACCCAATGCGAGGTCTATTGCGTGGTGCACGAGCTATGAGATTTGGTGCTGAGTGCGCATCGATAGCAGAAGCTAAGCACGCCTTGTCGCTCGGGTTTGAACCGCGCAAAATTGTATACGATTCGCCTTGTAAGACGATGGGCGAGCTGCGTGAGATGCTGCTGGCTGGTGTGTATATTAATTTGGACAATGAAGAGGAAATTTGCAAAGTGAACAAGATTTTTACGGAGCTAAAGGAGTCAGACAAGCAGTGGGAGAAATATGCAGAACAAATTGGCCTTCGCATCAATCCCGTCTTGGGACGCGGAGCTATCGATGCTACCAGCACGGCTACTCTTTCAAGCAAGTTTGGACTGCCATTGACAGCAGAGACGAAGCATCGACTACTGACGATCTTCAAGCAGAACCCATGGCTGCAAGGGGTTCACGTACATGTCGGCTCGCAGGGTTGTTCTCTCGACTTGTTGGCAGCAGGAGCCAAGAAAGCGGTAGCTTTTGCGCTGGAAGTTAATGATCATGTCGGCAATAAACAGGTGAGAGTGCTTGACATTGGTGGTGGTGTGCCAACAATATACGACGGTGGAAAGCACGAAGCTTACGCCTTTAAGGAATACGCGGACGCACTGCGCCGACATGTCCCAGAGCTGTTTACGAGCGGATTTTCGTCCATCATTACGGAATTCGGTCGCAGTATCTTTGCAAAGCCTGGAATTACGGTGTCCAGGGTGGAAGCTATCAAAGACTGGGTAGGTCAGCACATTGCTGTGGTGCATGTCGGCGCCGACCAGTTCCCACGCACAGCATATTTACCAGAGCAGTGGTCGCACTGCATCTCCATACTAGATAGTCACGGTCGTCCCAAGGCAGATCCCAGCAGTACATATTTGCGTCAAGATATTGCTGGCCCTCTGTGCTTCTCTGGTGATTTTCTTGCAAAGCAGTTGCTGTTACCACCCATTCAGGTTGGAGACTATGTGGTGATTCATGACACTGGAGGCTATACGATGTCCATGCACTCCAAGTACAACAGCCGACAAGTGTCGTCTACGTTTGCATACTTGGCTAGTGACAGCAACGTCAAGTTTTCAATGCTGAAGGAGCGCGAGACGACGGAAGAGACACTGGCTTGCTGGGGTGTTAATCGCGATGTTGAGCTGTAAGCGTGGGATCATTATTCGATGTAAAGCTCGATAACGTGCAAGGGACAGACTTTTCTTTTCTCATGTCAGATTCATGTTTGCAGTTAGCTCTTGCTTTTTCATGCATCAGTACATACAAATCTGCGGCGATTGGAAAGACCGCTCTTTGCACAAGTTAATAGCCGCTTTCAAGCATGCTGCGTATATAGACCACCTGGCCGAATGCAATGCCCACAAGGACGATATTCGTGATCAAAGACATCCATTTCACCCGCGAGTTTGTGCTCTCCGCAGCTAGAGACAGCAATAACCAAAAGCGTGTAGCTCAGCACCACGCCATTCTACAAACGCTCAATACGCAAAAGATACATCATCAATATTGTACTTACCATCACGGCTCAGCCGTTCTCGAAGCTTGACAAACGAAATGTCACCACACAGGTTGAAGACTGACTCCTTGAAGTAAGCCACTTCATGCATGAGCTCCAATCCAAGATCTGCAAAGTTCAATAACAATTTGTTTAGTGCAAACCATTTTGCGGCTGATACACCGTTCATAATCGTACCATCAACCACGATCTGCGAGAGATGGTCTTCAAAACCGTTGTGGATACCAAATACGACGGCTTCGTTGTTCTCCTCGGTGTGGATTGAAAAGGCAATCGTTTCGGTCTGGTCATGCAGCTTGCTTTCAAAAATTTCCGTAATGTCAAACGTAACGTGGCTACCTAACTCCGTCACAGCGGCATCAATTACGTGCTCACGGTAATCTCCAGTCGCGTAGCTTTCCAGTGTTTCCCACGTGACAGGATATTTAATGCGGTTGGGTACCAATGCCAAATAAATATCCACTGTTTCTCCATTCGTGATATTGTCCACCGTCAGCAGAAGTTTTACACGGGTGTTGTCATGAATGATGCTCCGTGAGACACCGACTAGGTCAAACTCCATGATGCCCATCTTCGTAACTTCACCATTATCTGTTGCTACTACCATTTGCGTGTACGCCGGCAGTGTGGGTGTCTCCTTGCTAACTGTGGCCGCAATATCGGGCACCAATGTCAAAGTCCGAGTGCCAGTCGAGATGAAGTCGAAAGCGTAAAAGAGCGTGATCTTGGACGATGCGCCTTTAAGCTTGCGAAAGCATAAGTGATACAATCCACTCTCTCGTACTGTAGCTGTGCCAAAATTGTTCTGCTCAGACTTCCACGCTAGCACTTCCTGTTGTAATGGGCTTTTTACCTACAATAGTGGTCCAGAGCTACAAAGTGAGCGCTATGGACACAGTAAACGAAAGAAAGTAGATACATCCAGCAACGTACCACAACATCAACAAGGTCATATCGCTTAGGCTCAAGAATACCAAAACGAAAAAGCATTCGATTATCAGACGCAAAAGAAGTCACCTCTTCCATGAAACATTCCTACAAAGATCGATACACAAGATTCTATTAGTAATAAGACAAGATCAACCACATAAAGAGCATGAAAACAAACAAACAAACAAACCTCTGCTCGAGACGTGAGCGTAAACTGAAAGCGTGATGCATGGGTGACAGGCACCATGCAAATGCATAGCAACAATGCCATCACTAGAGACAGAAAGCTGGACATGAAGGACCCTATCTATATTTTGCGACAAGTTCAGGACGGGCGCTGTAGTTCCTTATTTCTGAGGTGGATATATGATCTGATCCTTAGAGCAACTGTAGTGTGTCAGAGCAACTGTAGTGTGTCAGAGCAACTGTAGTGTGTCAGAGCAACTGTACCGTGCAAAGCCAGCTGACCGTAACACTGTGCAACTTTGGTAGACCAAGTGCAACAGAAGTGATGGAAGAATAAAGTGCTTTATTTTGAGGAGCAATTTATTCGCTCGGAAATGCACAATTATTCAAATGCTCTCAGCCTTCGTACCTCGTGATTAGTTACAGTAACCTCAACATATTGCTTACTAGAGCTTGAATAAGTTGTCGTCTTTGCGTTGTAAACAAGTTACTTTATCGTCATTATCTACCGTTACTCTTACATGATACCTACCTACCACATGGAGGAATGTTTAAAGCAATGTTCTAGTCATTCGTACCTGATCCAAGCGGTACGTTTAAAACGACATTTTTTGCGGTGGAATGAACAGAAACATCATTGCAGATCAAAAGATGGTGGATACAAAAGCACGTCACCAGTCGCAGTATCACATCTGAGGCCCTTGCCACCACCAACTGAGCAACTCAAACGAGCGGCAGCTAGTGCACTTTGCATCCTGCCACATTAGTTCGACATGCTGAAGCATACATCAATTGGCAAGCACGAGCAGCAAAGACGCCCACACATGCGCTATGATCTTTGCTCTTACTTGTCATTTCTTAATAATAAGGACTTGAGGCTCATGCCGACTTGAAAGAAGCTAAACGAGATAGGAAAAATATTAAATATTACTTATTCTAAATATCGATTGTGTCTGCAGCATACCACTTTAATGATAGAGTTTGTCTCTAACGTGATGATTGAGGTTTACTCAAACAACATTTGTATCATACAAAATCTCAAATGGTAATGTATTTTGCGACACTTATGAATTCGTACAAATTGCCCTATTTATTTCCATGATCGCTACTTCGTGAGGTAACACCTGTTTCTATCTCTAGGCTCTCAGTATCCATCCTCTTTTGCCGGTAACGCTTTGCTCATTTTCCCATTTTGCTTGTTAATTCACTTAACTACCATTTTTCCTATTAATTACATAGGAAGACTAACGTGTTGCAACGTCCGACAATTCAATCATTTCTCTATTTTCACGTGAGATACGTACAAAACTTATTGCGTCAATATCACTATAATGGTTAAATTCTATACACCGGGAGTGTTTTTACTAGCCGCCTCTGCCGCTACAGCTGCTGCGTATGCCTCCCATCTACACTACCGTCTACAGGCGAACAACAAGCTGTCTCGGCCTTTGCCTTATATTTCTAGCGCAATAGCTCAGCGCTCAGCGCACCAGCGCAATATTGACGAGATCAATTGCCTAGACGGCTATGATGTTATTATTGTGTGCACGTCCACGCCGCACCAGGCGCAGTACTGGCAGGATCGCCTTATGGCTACGCGTGGCTCGATTTCACCCAAGAGTGCAAAGGTTATTGCTGTGTTTGAAGACTGGGATGGCGGTGCTGGCAACGGCCTTGGCACGCTCTACGCGTACACAAAGGCGGTGGCGGTCGGCAAGGAGCTGTACGGCATTGACATCCCGGCACTACTTGCCGCTAGCAGTATTAGTGTTGCACTGTACCATACCGCTGGTAAAGGTACACGTCTTGCACCGTTGCCTGGTAGCGAGAACAACAATAAGTCAGGCGTGAAGCTGCCGGCCATGGTGAAGATCAAGGACAAGTACGCACCTATGACGATCCTAGAAGCAGTGGTAAAGCAGACTGGAGTGTACGCGTCTAGCCGCCGTGGACGTTTATCGGTTTTCTGGGGTGACCAGGTGTTCATTCCGTCGGCTGAGGTCAAGTACGAGGCTAAGCACCATATTGACATCCTTGCTGCACTTGCTCCAATGCCTTCAAAGAAGGAGTGGAAGGAGAAGGGTATGGAGAAGTACGGCTTAATCGTGGTGAACCAGCAGGACAACGCAGCACAGGTCGACAAGGTCACACATGAGACTGCTGCTCGGTTGCTGTCCTCATTTGGCGAGATGAAGTCAGTAGGCACCAGCCTCGGATCTTTTAGCGTCGATGCCGACATGCTTCGAGCGTTGCTGAGCGAGTTTTCGAAGGAACTAGATGCTAAGTCTGGCAAGCTTGACAGTGACCCACACTTTTGGATGCCGCTGACGCTAGAACTTGACGCGTACACGGAGGTGATGACACAGAAGGGTGTCGATACGACGTCTTCGACTGCACACTACCAGCGTATGCAGACGATGATGACCAACTTTGAGAAGACCCGGAAGAAGAAACTGAAATTGTTTGGCTGCGTTGACGTTGGTAGTGATGTGTACTGGTGGGACTATGGTCAATTGACGCTGTATCTCAAAAACAACCGTCTTGTGACCAAACCTGGCGTGGAGGCGGACTGTTTGCGCTCATTTCTGGGTATTAACAGTAATATGGAGCATAGCAATGTCGGCGTGGATGCGGTCATAAATGAGGCTACGGTTTTGAACAGCAAGATTGAGCATGGAAACATTAGGCGCAGCGTGCTTAGCGGCGTTTACGCGAAGAAGGTGAACGCGGATGGTTCGATCCTGATTAATGTGACTGCGCGCTCGATTTCGGCGCCCAACTGCGTGGTGTACAATGTAACGTCGGACGAGGTCAACGGACTTTGCCTCGAGGAGGGCAGCGTCATTGTTGGCGTGTTATTACCCGATGGCACGAAGGTTGTGATGCGCTCGAGCATGAACGTATGCGGTGGTCAAGCATGGAAGACCGTGCTGGAGGAAAACCAACATTCTTTTGAGAAGATCTATGAGCTTAATGCGGAAGCAAATGTGTCAAAGCTGGAGAAGCTAATTCAGGACGAACACATGAAGATGCGCGCAGTAGTGATGTCTTAAACGACGTTTGCTCGAAGTGATAGCTAGCACTACTAATGTAGATAAAATTCGGAAGATATTTTTTATTTCTCATTATTGCTGGAAGAATCAAACGTGTCTGACGTACGACGTTCTAACAAGCTCTGCCTAAAATTAGGTACAGCTGTGTAAAGTCAGAAAAAATCAACGAGGTAATTGTTACTACAATCCTACAACATGTCACTCTTCCTGCAATCAAACGTTATATCAAGAATGATGGTCCTGTCTTTCCTTCTCAAACATGATCTTAGTATCAAATACTCCATTAGTAATGGTTAGGTACACTTTATCGACAACTAGGCGCTACTGTCCACACGCATACGTGCTTAAAGATTTCCCTCGGCTACCATAACCCTTTGTTACAGGATAAACAAGCGAAAGACATAGTGTTCACGCATTCTATTGTTTTTGTTCAGAGCAGGATGCAGTTGACTCTACGTGTATACTCAACATCTACCTTCCAATAGTCATAATGTTATCGACAAGTCCAGTGTAGCGTGGTCACTTAATAGTAATCATACATACCGTCTTGGCAGTCAAGTAGTGCCCTGACATTATCTCGTACATGTACCAGCAACGCGACCTGCTTATCGAGATGACTAAGTATTTCCTCCAGCTGCGGTATTGGCACAGAAATCCGTGCATACTCCACAATCTCGACCTTTTGGCCGCGGAAAGCACTACCAATAAATGAAATCGTTAACATTTTACAACATGATGCACTTTTGAAAAAAGCTCTAAGTGTGACACCACTCACCAAACGCAGCCGATAAACTCCTTCCTTGACGCACAGCCTTCCGTAATGTTTACGATCTCTTTTTTAGTAGCTTTTAGACAAAACGCTTCTACCAGCTATGTGCACCAATGTTACATCAACACGATACACACCACTCCTCATATTAGTCAGTACACGTACCAATTCGCCGCGATGAATGGAAAAGTCAACAATAAACTCATTCGGAAGTGCAGGCTTGAAGCTCTGCGTCAACATCTCACACATCAGTTCTCCACAAAACCTATGCCACCACCTTATAAATTACGCACGTGGTCAATGTGAGAGCAGTATGGAAACCGACGACGACTTGGCAGCCGTAGGACATTGGCTGCGTTGCGCAGCTCCTGGCAGATGTGATCCAGACTCTGGAACGTTTGCTGCACGACGTCTACGTACACCTTGACGTCATCATTGCTAGACTGTTCATTCATGAGATCTTCGCATTGCATATGCAAGAAATCCTTGAGACCAACCAGCCTTGTCACTTGGCTTTGTATGATACCATGGAACTCGAGGATTTGATTTAAGACGCAATACTGCTGCAGTCTGTTAGCGCCATAAGAATACACCGAATACGCCGTCAGGATGAAATGCCAGATGCAGCAGTCACTGATATCGTTCGTACGTGCTTGTGATCGGTGCATTGCGTTGCGCTTTAGTGAGCTTGAGTTCTACTCGGCTGAACACCACGAGATGACCCTATATTGCAAACGTATGATCGTCATCATCTTTTACTTGATTTTCAGTACTTTCAGATGTACAGACGTACCTCGACACGAATATCAGCTTTGATAGCAGACGACACTGCCCCGTGGTCCGAGCGAATGCGGCCCCATATGAAGTCAATGCGCTCTAGCTCACGTGCCATATAGTCAATTGCTGACTTTACATCCTTGAGCAGGTAGTAACGTGTCTCCCGTTTCTAGTTGGACAGAATAAGTAATGGTCAACAGCGTACAATAATATGTTACCAAATCTTACATACCCAGGACCTAAGCTCTTCTTTATCTTCTTGCTCACGAAGATTCACAAACGATGTTATATCTTGTGCGACGCTGCCGGACATACTCAAACTATTGCTGTTTGTCTAATGTATGATATTAAAATGACAGATTGTCTACGCGCCAATGTTAGCATCTTTTTTGTTTTCTTTTCAGGGACAGGCACTCACACTTCGTGGATTCCAAGACATAAGATGGCTAAACTTTAAATTTTCAAAGCAATTGACCCTTTATTAGCTATACAAAAATGCTTCACGTCAGAAATCAGCCAATGTCTTCAGTCGTCTTGGAACTGATAACTTGATACATTTTCATTAAGCTTGTTGCAATAATGCAGGAAATACCATTTCTGATTGAAAGTTTGCGTAAGGAAAGAGCACAATTACCTACGTGGGTTACGATCGATTCGAGAATATGTTATACCTTCCTTTACTTCATCTGTAAGCGTGGTTCAGCTGCTTACAAGTGCACTGAAAGGTCAAAATGCGATACTAATGATCTGGACAGATCCGAATTACTGAGCAAAAGAAAGGGCTTTGCCCAAGTTGGTATAAGCCATGTAACTGATTGGGTGTGTTTATGTGATGTGATGTTGAAAAATGCAAACAGCATTACTGCAAACAGTAATCGTTCACACGAAAGTTCAGCTCTTCTTAACTATCTATGTAGCAGTTGTCGACGATAGCACTTACACAGAATTTACAAGCCTGAGCAAGCACTTTGAGGCAATGTAATCTACGTATTTGCTACCCAAAACAATCGTGCAAAGAGTTGCTACTGCATCGTGTTGTTTTGCTGTAGCGAAGAAGTTTTAGTTCCAGCTTTCCATGAGCAAAGGTTGAATGCATGCAAAGGGTAAGAAGAGGCAGTTATAGCAGAGTCGACGCTCATCATGTGCCAGACATGAGCAACACAACACCAACACCATGTTTTCTCTCATTGATACTGCAGCATGCGTCAATAAACAGCCTCACAAAACTTGACATTACACCAATCTTCAGGTCCTAAACAACGCGTATTTGTTGTCAACATGCCCATCACCTTACAAGTTTCGGATTAGTTTGAGCTTGCACACTTTTGATTTGAGCTTATTGTACTACAGTACGTATTGCATATGAATGTGATAGAATGCATTGCAAGAAGAAACGGTGAGTGCTTGCTTGATCACGCGCAAGAAGATAAAAATGGCCGTTTATCATAAAACACAGGATAAAATCCAATAATGGATATTTTCTACCACAAGCTACTTTCGAGTTAGATAATCCATCACTTTCACATCGAGCGATCGATTCAGAATGTCTATTTACTGTTTTACAAGTTTCCCGGTACGTCCGTAGCTGAAATAAAACATCGGCGCCAAAAGGCACGACGTTGTTTCAAGGCACTCCTCATGGGGCTTCGTGAACTTTCTCGGTAAGTAAAAAGTGCGACACCTTTTCATTTATGCGTGTGATCCTTGCGCAGGACCATGCTAATCTTCTCTGTATCGCTCCACTTCTTACAAATGACCACCAAAATGGTCCCTGATCACGATTACACCGAGCACCACTGTGCAATTTATTTTCTCATGCAGTCTTCGACTTATGTGATGTAGTTAACAAGGAAACTAACAGATCTCCAACCGCTTTCTTCCAATACTTATCAAGTGCAAACCAAGCCACGCAAAAATAGAGCACACGAGCTTCCAATACTCGTTCTTCATTCGACATGAAATGATTCGCAACGTGTGCCACAACACCAATAGCACCACTAGTTCCGACAATTTGCAAGACGAATCCAACCGCACCCATTGATAAATCAATCACACGATGCGTTCGGCCATAGTTTTTCAAATAGCGCAGCACCAGTCCACTGGCGTACAAATTGGCCGTAGAAATGACAAGAAACCCAAGTGGATGAGCGCTTGTTTTCACCTGCCATTCCATGACCAGTTTAGGGATCATGATAGCCTTCAGCCAACTAACACTTAAGCCTACAATCGTCTTGAGCAGAGGCATCGGAATGCGGAGACCATCGACGACGACCCAAACCAGAAAGTAGATTGGTATGACAAGTCGCACAGTGTCTTCAAACTGCGGTGTGGTACCAAACACTGGGCGGATGATGGTTGTTCCCAACAGATTGGCAGCAATTGCAACAGAAAGCGCTCGCATGTGGTGACGCGCTTCGTTACAGACTGACGGAGGACGATGAGACAACTCCTGTGGAATTATAAAGTCAGCAAGTTGATTTCGTACAGCCAAACAAACCCAGAAGATGAACATGCGTTTAAGCAGCGACAAAAGCTTTGACGAATGCACATATGAATCACTTGTTGTGAGTTCAAACCAGACAGCGGTGATAGCTACGATGATTACGAACAGATTTGGCAAAAAAGTGGAGCAAAATGACAACCACGAAGAAGACGAGCTAGTGATTACTATACAAGTTATTGGAGACGTACATGAAGCAGTTGGAGCTTTCGTATTGACTTTTGTAATACGGCGTTTGACCATACCAAATGGTGAAAGGCGGAAGTTTGAGTCGAAAGCTACAATGACACAGATTTTCATTGAATATAACGATGCGCAACATTACAGTCATATGTTGCGTGTCGTTCGAGCACATATGATCTAGGTAATTAAACCATCGCTCATAATTGAAGAATAATTAAGCGACGGCAACCATTACATTTTAACATTTGAGACAAATTTTAACTGATTTTATGATCATTAGGTGGCAACCCTCTCGATAAAGTTGACAGTAATGTTAGGTATATATGTATACTGTATACCTTGTGCTTGTAGAATAGCGTCAGCGTGGACAAATAAATGCATGGGATTAAACAAAACTGAATCGAAAAGTATGAATGCACATGCGTTTTCATCTCATGCAATAATACTAGAACCTAAATGTAGATCTAGAATTCTCCTGCAATTTCGCCACCACCTCAATAACTAATGTCATTACCTTAATCACTAGTGTCACCACATATGTCACCACCAATTGCTAATGTCACCAATGGCTTCCCCGAAAAGGAGTCCACCTAAAAGTCCTCCAGCAGTACCGATAACTGCGGTGCTACCCGTGCCCATACCGTCTATAGTCATCCCTATAGCTTCCATGACCATGCCCTGGTCGGACGTAAGTAGGCTGGGCACAACATATTTGCGCATCTACTGGTTTAGCGTGTATTCCAGGTTTGTACGTATGCAAAGTATATGCGCCTTGACCACCCTCCGAATACTGAGCGTAGGCCGTGCCAACCCCATCCGGGCCATTACCACCGTCGCGCTGCAATATGCGGCGCTTACCGACGGCTATGAAAATGCCACAGCTGAGCAGTGTACCGAAAAAAAATGTCCCAAGGGCAATATAAGTCCAATAGCTATCGCTGTTGTGATGACATGTGCATTCGTACGTATTATCTGACAAGCAGACATCGCTGGCAGGACAACAGCAAGCGCGGCGACTGTTTGATGGGTCGAGCGACAAGTTACACAACTTGCCAGCAACCCCGTTGTATGCCTTGGAGCAGTCACCCGTGTCGCGACAGACTTCACACTGCGATAGAGAGGAATCATAAGCGGACGAGTTGAAGCTGGTTGAATTTGCAAAGATGGAGACGAACGTGGAACCACTGGATGACGACTGGGCAGACGTTATGGTAGCTAATGCCACCAAAAGCAGCACGACACTTTGACGCATGTGGGCAAACACGATCGATTTAAGGATTATATAGTAATGAGCAAGAAAGGAGTGAGTATGGTGCCACAAAAGACATTGATGAATGGGTTGGATAGATTTGGTAGAGTCAGACAAGAAAAGTATTGAAGTTTGCATATGTCCAGGATATAATTAATGATATATAATTTATCTCACCAAAATAATAATAACACTCTTCTCTTTCACGCCCTAAAAGATAGATAGATAAAGGAATAAATACCTACGAAGTAGTCAATCGTTTGTTTTACGCGTGTCGCAGAAATACATCACACAACAATAAAGTGTCAAGTACAAAACCCTTTGCTAATTGTGTAAATACAAAGAAAATACCAAGACGACGAATCGGTGTATAATGGCGATAGCTTGGGAGCGACGAGTGCTAACGGCACTCGTGGGGATTCCGACAGCACTATACATCTTAAGCTCTGACAGGGGAATGTTGCTTCTTGTCACAATGTTATGTTGCTTGTCACTAGTGGAGTTCATCGATATTATCTACCTAGAAATGTTACCACAGCCAAAGACCTTGTTGAACTTGGTGCATCGTCTGCTTATAGTTGCGTTGGGTGCTTTGGTGTGCGTAGGCGCTGGGACTGGTCGTAAAGCTGTTCACGGTGGGAGCATGTCACTTTTTAAGTCTAGCTTTTCTATTCTTTGGAGCTGAAGGTGGTGGAATTACTATCGTTAATCCGTTGCAGATGTCATGAGTCTCGGTGCAATGTTAACTATCTTCACTTTCCACATCGCGACAGCCAGAAAAATGGACCAAACAAGTACGTGAACGTTATGATGCAGTGTGCGACTCTTTCGCTAACTGTCGCTTGTATTGCTGTAGCGCTGATGAGGTTACTATTGGATCTGTTTGCGCTGCTGTACATAGTAAACGGCTTTAGCCACGCCATTTTGGTAAGGTACAGCTCAAGCAAGTACGGCCTTGGACTGCAGATCCTTGGACTATGCTGTGCTTGGGTCTGCGACAGTGGTGCTCTTGTAGCGGGATCTTTCATGGGCGATGCCAAACTGGCATCCGTTGTTAGTCCAGGCAAGACACGCGTGGGTGCGATTGCTGGGGTCCTGTCGAGTATCGTTACAGTCCTGGTCATGTTTGCACTACCACAGCTCACAATCCCGTTACCAGCAATTGGACAGTGGACACATGAGCTGTTGCCTTCACCAGAGATAGTGCCTCTTACTCATCAGATTTTACTCGGTATAGTGGTTGGTGTTCTGTGCATATTAGGAGATCTGGTAGAGTCGTTTGTGAAGCGCGTTGCCGGAGTAAAGGACTCAGGATCGTTCTTTCCAGGCCACGGTGGCTGTCTTGATCGCTTGGATAGCGTCTTATTGGTCGCGCCGTTCGTGTATTTCTACAGTCATTATTTTTTGTCAAAGCCCACGTAGCACACTGCAAGCAAGGGCGTGCCGTGTAGTTATATCAACAAAAATTCTATGAGCTAAAGTTTACTACAAATTGGCACTTTACAATGTGGCATCTACAGCCTCCTCCACGATTGACTCAATCATTGTCTTGCCTTTGCCATTCTTGCTGGTCTCAGGCTTTAACAATTCAGTAAGCGACACAGCTTTCGCAGCTCTCTCTTCTTCTATCCTATCCGGATCGTTAATGTCAATCTCCACGCTCTTTGTCTTCGAGTTCTTCCGCAGGAACTTTTGGCGGTCTTTCCGACATCCACCCAGTTTGCGAGAGTACTGGCGGATTCGGTCTCTGTAGCCATGTCATTAATACAAGTAAGACACAAAGTCATCACAGTGCTACAGTGTTTACAACATGCTTGTCTATATTACCAACGTACGTAATGATACCCGTGTCGGACTCGTTGAGCTTAAAAGACGTTCTGCGCATTGCCAAGCTGAACTCCGTCACTTTTCCGTCACCGATACCGTGCAGTGCATAAATCTTAGCGGCAGCCTCAGCCTGCTGGACAGCAATTTCATCATACACACACTTCTCATTCCGCTTGGTGCACCAGTAGTAGATGCCCACACACACTAGCAGTAGGATCGACAGGTTTGACCCGAAGGCAGACTGAATAGTAAAAAAACACTCAAGTCAGAGCAAATATGATATGTACCATATACTTAGAACATCAACACACCTTCACCACACCCTTGGCGATCACGCCGAAAACGAAAAGCAATAGCAGATACTGTGTACGGAGCTGCATGACGTCACTATCTCTGTCATGCAACAATATAAATTGGTGTGTTGGTACACAAAAAAGATTGCACTTCCTTACTTGGAATATTTGTTTTCAAATTCAGAACTGGTCACATAGTTCAAACTACAAACTTAGCATAGTTATCCTGAATTTGACGGATAGAATAGATAGGGCTGCTGTTTTATAAATACTTATTGAATTTAATTGCAGCGGTTTATTTGTTTTCCTCTGTCAGATGGTCTGGAATGATAAAAGTGTAAAAACACGTACAAAAAACGATTACAAAACAGCATAAACATGCTTTGATTTTGCTCGTGCTTTCGTAATGCGAGTTTGCATAATTTAACACATTGCAAACGTAATATAAATGTAAGTGCTGCTTTAGTTATTTCCGGAATAAATAAACTGTAGCAAAATATTAACAAGCAATTCATAAGAATTTACTCAAATGTAATGTTCTTGACTTGAAAATTTACTTTCACATATTGTTCGTTAATACTCGTACACACAATGTGCTTGTGATCACATGCGTTCGACGTTTCTGCGTCGTGGTGCAAAGGGTCATCAACGTCGCGTTTCAGATCATCTCAGCGATGAAAGCAGAAAAAGCAGTCTTCGCGACACGAAACAGTAGTTTTACAACAGTGGCATGAACTCTGCCTGGTCTGGTCACTCACAATGTAACAATGGTGCATACCGGAGCATCAGGTGATCAGCACTGGTCCGTATCTCGCACCGACTTCGATGTCAATGAACTTGGCTACCGCAGGTCTGTGTACTGACTGATGTGACAAGTGACTGGCCAAAGACTACGAGAAGTGCAATTAATGCTTGCTTTGACGCAACTGAACGTCAGTCTCGAGTTGACAATGCAGCTAAACATTAGACGGGGAAAAAGCATTTGGCTTTGCTGCATTCGTTGCAGCAACGCTGCTACAGCGTTGAGATCATCAACGATAAGTCACGTCAAGTGACTAGTGACCGGGTAATGCTGTTGTAATCAGGGTTTCTTTCACAATGGGTGCTGTATAGATTCATCCCATTTTACACGAATAGCTTGAAGTCTGGTAGTTATAAAAGAGAAATTATACGTCTGATCAATTTACCGTAGACCCATTACTGGTTGCTGTATGTAACCTTCCAAACTAAATTGATCGAAAATAGTCTATTTCCGCCTATGTGAACGATCTCGAGAAGAATTACGACGGTAAACAGTTCTTCAACCCATAGATCGATTTCGATCTTTCCAAAGCACCAACTTGATACGACGCATTGCCTGGTCTTCTTGTCTTCTTCATCTTACCCTTCAACTTTTATTAACAGTAGTACCAATCTTTTATCGTTCTCCCGTGTCCATTCTACGCAATTCATCAGTCTCCAGCTGACTTGACAGTGTGGCGAACAACGACAACCTTCGGTGGTCTTCTCCCTTTCTCTCTCCGTTGGCCCCCAGTTTCGTCTACAGCTACGCTTGAAGAGCAAGCGAGACGCAACGGTTATATAACATCATCGGCCAGGCCTTCTTCTGTCTGCAAACTCGGCCGCAGCCGGTGGTCCCTTACGCGGTGCTAAGCTTCCACACACCCAACACCTCCTACGACGTGCGTAGGCGTCTACTGAACTGTTCCATTGCCATGATGAAAGAACCAAGCGTCAAGAATAGTACAAGCCAATGCGATGATAGCGACGGTGACACGGCAGAGATCGCTGACATTTTTCACCCCGTGGAAGGCGACGACGGTGCCCCTCTCCAACTTACAGTGCAGTCGTTACCATATGTCAAGTGCCGCGAGAGCGTAAGCGCTGTATTTGGCTTTGACTCGGCTGCGCGCCGCCGCATTTCGCTGGCGTCCTATGCGACGTCTGATACTGCGAACTCGTCACTTGAACACGTCCGAAAGCTTCCCATGTCGCTCTCGTACTCGGTCCCGTCCGTTACGATGGTGACCAACACGCCCCGTGGCCGCCCCGCCGTAGACGTAATTGCCACTTATATGAACACATGTGATCAGCGTACCGTAAAGTCAGAGCTCATGCGCGCCCATGCGCACTTTGCGTCTCCACGAGGTACGAAATCGCTTGTTTTACATTCCCGCTATGTATCGTGCTTAGTATTAATGAGGCGAACGAAAGAACTAATTTGTTGTGATTTTGTGTCTTGTCGATGGGACGTTGGTGTTGCATTGTTGTTATTGCTGTTTGCGAAAAGGTGGTCCGCCGTCGCGCATCCGCTCGTCTTCCCTGATGAGCAAAGAAGGTAGCGCTGAGTGGGGCTGGTTCGCCGACATTGACTCAAGTAGCGAGAGTTGGGCCGGCGACGGACCCATTCACTCGCTACGTCGTCGCTTGAGTGCTGATTTGGGACTCATTGACGTGGGCAATGTTCATGTCTTGGGTGATGAACAGACAAACACACGCATTACGGCGGCGCACAAGACATTTACAATCGTCACAGAAGGCAATAGCAAGGTAGTGTCCGCTACAGTATCCATTCCCAAGTTCCGCATTGTACAGTCTCGCTCAGGGGCTGATCGTCATGCGCAGTATTTAATCACCCTTATGCTCGGCAAGGAGCTGTACGCAGACTGGCGTCGGTACTCAGAGTTTGGGGAGCTAGTCAAGACGCTAGATGAGAAACGTTATACGCGGACACAAGAAGCCTGGGCAGGTATTGAGACGCGCTGGTTTAACCGGCTAGAACCGTCGTATCTGCATCAAAAGTGTATTACTCTTGAAAACTTTATGCGCGAGCTCATGTATGAATCAAACGAGCCGACTGTGCTGATTAACTTCCTCGGCGGTTATCTTGGAAAGGTAAATGCGCGGCCAATGGACCCCGTAGCGTTTCGCCCAGCTGCGCAGCTCCCAAAGGAGCTTCGCCCTCCACAGCCGCAGCACGAACGAGAACTCTTTGAAAAAATGTGGGCGGAGAATTTTAAGCGGTCTCACGTGGACTACGCAACGAATGTGCCGGCAAGCCAGGCGGCCAGCTAGAAGCTAGTACGCTGAAATAAGTAATGAAAGGGCACAGGTTTTGGCCAGGCACCCACTATTTGATTATTCGTGCGCTTTACCACTTTAGATGGGACTCGGAAACCATTTATGGCACTGAAAGACTAACAATGTAGCTATAGGCAAGAATAAACATTGTTCAATTTAGTTTGCAAAACGAGATCAATGCTGTGTCTATCACAACTCAGCTACTGCGACTTTTGCTGAGGAAAAGTTCTGATAGCCTTGGAGGTGGAGATTTCGTACTGATAAACAGTCAAGTCGGGGATGTGCGAAACATCACGCACATAGAAAAATGTTGCAAGACGCGACTTTGCCACTAATGGAAACAACCGCGGTGAAACCTGATATTCCAAACAAAAACCCGTTATTACCTCAAAGCATCACAATTCAATCGAAAAACCATCTTACCGTGGCAACCAGGGCATACCAAACAACCCCAGTAAACCCACCAACGGCTGCGCCGACGACCACTTGATCTGTGGAGTGATAGTTCAAGTGAATGCGCGAGTAGCACGTCAAAACCGTTATTACAATCGCGATCAAGATAGTAAGCCATTGCTCCAGTCGCCTATGCAAGTTCAGCCTGATATACAACAGCAATGACAGCCAGTATCTCATTATCCATCCACTTTAAGCAAGTATTACTGCACAAAAATAGTAAATTTTGTACCTCTTCCACGTGTATATCACAACGTAGGCAGAAAAGAAGCTAATAAACTGAGAGTGTGCTGATGGCATTCCAGGTCCACTCATGAATGCACCTTCCGGTCGCGGTTGGTTGATGAGTTTCTTGAGTACCTTATTGACCAGGACGCTCACAAACTAATAAGGAACAATACAAATTCTTCGTTACCGATACCCACGACGCATGTATATATGCTATAAATTATATAGTATTTCTTACTTGCCCCATGAACATACTAATGCTATCCAAGTCTCTTTGTATTGTTACAATTGTTACGTACACAATCACGAGAAAGCTGGAATAGCAAAAGAGATCAGAGAAGACTTGTAAAGACTATACTACAAATATATCACAGTTTTGCACACAAACATGGGAGACAGAGTGAAAAGCGCTAATATGGCACCAAATGGATCTGTTGGATCATACACAACCCACGTGAGCTCAAACTCCTGCACGCGCTTAATCTCTTCCATCACTGACGTCACGTGCGTAATTGATTGCAGCTTAATGTCACTATTACATCATTTACTTATGACAAGTCAGTATCACGAGGTTTACATAATGACAACTATTCCTCTTCTAACTATGACTGCGCACGCTACGCGATTAGAGAGTCTCTTTCTGCTTGTACAAGGTGAGTAACGCATGTCTAATGGACATATTACTGATCAAATATGTAAAGATGATAGTGATGCGCTAACGGTGTGCTTTATTTGGCTGATAGACGGAAGCAGTGCGCAGATCCGCAATAATGCGGCGGAAAAGTTGGGGGAAGTGGCTGTGCGCTCTCCCCAGTTCTGCTTCTCCATCTTACAAAAGATACGACCACTAATTATCCATAGAGAGTGGGATATACGTGTGGCTGCTTCTAAGTGTCTTGATGTCATGGCACGCTCTTTGCGGAACGAGGATGAAAATGTTGCAGATGTGTTTGCCTTGGTCTCTCGTGTGTAATGTTGCAGCTTAAATGCAATATATGCACAGGTTTATTAGTAATGCAAAGGCTAATAATGTTGTTATTGCTACAGTTGGCAGTCACAAGGATTTGGATGCAGCGCTAAATCTGCAGACAGTAGACGTTAAGAAGGTGGTGCAGGAGGGGGCACCGTTACTGCGCAGTGGAGGAGAGGTATGTGATTTATCGAGTTTGCAGCTGTGGTTATTTGAGAAAGTGCTTATGATGTGATAGGAGTACCGATACAGTACAAACTTGACGGAGGAAGAGCGGCGGAATCATGCCATAAAGCAGCGGCGTCTGCTGTTACGACGCCTTAGTGGAGCGGGAGGGCCGATTTGGAAAACGCGCGAGGATTCACTGACGAAACGTCTGCTTCCTCGACTCAATCGAAGTCGTGAGTGGCGGATGACATAAAGATGAAAGTCTGTGTATTAATTCTTGTTTGGCTGTGGCTGTCGCAGATGCACAGGAAATTGCTGATGACATTGAGGCAAGCGAGTTGCAGGCTATTGGGTTTTCTGAACGCACTATTCGAAAGAAAGCGAGTGAAATGTTATCCATGCCACGAAGTAACAAGCGTCGTTTGGTTGATACTGCAGAGATGGGGAGATGTAAAAAACGAACAAAAGCTGATTGTGATGGTGAAGCCAAGGACAAAACTATGAAACACGTAGTTGATTATAAGTTTGATGAGGCAGCAATGCAAACAAAAGTAAAAATTGTTGCAAGCTTGGTCTCCGATCTGTTTGAAAGTATGCTTGATTCGAAATGGGAAGTTCGTCATGGCGCACTATTATCGTTGCGGCAAATTCTCCTGTGCGCTCACTTCACTGCTGCCGTTGAAGCAGTCAGGACAGCAGAAGACGACAGTATGGAGCGAAATTATGTTGACAAATGGCTGGAAGAGTGTTTGATTCGATGCATTTGCGTATTAGCACTGGATCAATTTGTAGACTACTCGGCTGATGGGTCCGTTTCTCCTGTTCGCGAAGTTTGCGCACAGGTTTTTGGAATTTTACTCGGGAGTCTTTCTTGTGCAGAAACGCTAGTTGGATACCTGCAAGTGGTGCGTACGCTGTTTGGCGGGACGACGTGGCACGCTTGCCACGGCGGTCTATTAGGGTTGAAGTATCTTGTCCGTGCTCATAGTAGTCATGCCCAAGCACTGGTTTCTCTCTGCTTTAATGATATCGTAACTGCGTTTTCCCAATCCAACGTAGAGGAGGATGTGTTGGTTCTAGCCGCAGACATGTTTCAGCTTTTTGTGTCATATTTGGATCGCGTCGAAGTTGCAGCTATCATAGAGGCTGCTCTATTGTTATGGAGATCTCTGAAATGCCATGAAAAAGACGGTTTGGTAACTGCAAGCATAGTTCGAGCTCTATGTGCGTGGCATACTTACACACCAGTTGCAGCAATGTTGCAAAGCGACAACAGAGTCAAGGCAGCTGTTTGGCAAAATTTATTGTATACGGTTCCAATGCTTCATCACCACTCGTATTGTGTTCGAGCGTCCAGTGCAGCTTGTGCTGCAGCTATTTTTTCAAGCGAATCGTCTTTTTTGAAGTCAAGCTTAATTGGCTTTGCTCGATCTTTTCTGCCACATCTACTGTTTCAAGTACTTTTGGAGGAAAGCAAGTCGATCCAGCAAACTTTACTTGACGCTTGGAAACAAATAATAAGCAGCTTATCGAAAGACGCTCTGCTTATGGACGTCATAGGTGAACATCTGCCAATTTGGGTGCGGCTGTTGTGGTCTACGAAGGAAATAAAAAGCCTGAATGTTGAGGTAGTAAACTCGTCCAGCACGATACTGGGTGCAAACGAGAGCGATTCTGCGGATCGAATAGTACAGCAAAATGTGTTCTCTCGCGTAGCATTTGCCGAGGCGATTGGTTTTGCTGTTGCCCATGTCCCTCTTTCCAGTACGTGTATGGCTGAGGTAGTCCAGTTATTGCGCGATGGTGTGTGCGGTAGCTCTGGCGAGCGACAGTGTGGAGTTTTACTAGCACTGTCAAAATGGGGCCTTTTTGAGAAGCAGTTAGACCGTAAAAACTTGGCGGATCGATCATGTCGACTGCAGCATTTGCACGCTTCAGTTGGATTTATGATTGAATCGTTTGCAAAAAATCAATGGAGAACTTTAATTAAAAGCCGGACGCACTGAATGGAGAGATACCAGTATTTTATAGCGAGCAGCTTGGATTATTAAAACGTGTTGTGCAGATGGAAGCGCGGATTATCGAAATTTTCTCATCTGTTGATATTAGACTTCAGCCCTCACAAAGCCTAGGCTTAGTATCAGCAGCAGACATTTCACGACAGGTCGCGGAGCACATTGCTCATTTTCCTTACGATAAGTTGCGAGAACACCCACGAGAATTTGAATTGGCCCATTTCAAACGGCAAGACCTCTTTTTGGTGGACGAGCTTGTTCAACAAAGTTTCTCTCGTTTTTACCACCGGGTACAAGGTCTTGGGAGCAGCGCTTATTACGAGATTATGCCAACTCCTAAAAAGAGCGGATTTTTAGTCAAAGCACTGATGCACTCGATCAAGAAAGAAGAGGAAACAATGTTTCGTTCTATTTCATCGCGAACGATAGCAGACTTTGTAATAGGTCAGGCAGGCACTCAGAAGAAGTGTGTCAGTAAGATAATCTCCAATCTTTGTAATAACGCCACGGCGTTGGTTGGTGCATCGGAAATATTTTTGCTGGGAGGCAGTAACTCACAGGACAATCAGAGTTGCTCAATTGCTCCTGAGCTTCTCAAGAAGACGGAAGTTCGAGTAACTGGAGCTGAGAGTGCACTGCGTGAAATTTGCAAGTGTGGCGGCGATTCTCTTTTTAAGGTGTGCCATGTTCTAAATGATGTCATTTCCAAGGCGTGGGGCCATCCAAATGTTATCGACCATACAATTCAACAGTGCATGCACTTGATCGTTTTGATAGTGCCCCACGTTCAGGGCGGTGCAATGTTGACCTGCTTAGCGTGGCTTGGCGGGCTTTCTCGTTTGACGCAGCAGCCGTACAAAGATCAGCAAACACGGCGATTCGTGGCTCATGCTGTTGCTACTATTACCAAATACGCAGAAGGGCAGTATCGCAAAGATGCAATGCTTGTTGTGTACAACTCCATTTTTGTTGTATTTGTAAACGCTGAGAGTGCAGACATCCATTCAAAGAATGAATCATTATACGGCGCAGTCATGGTGCTCGATTGTATCGCTCACGCTCTTGGAGCGGATTTGGCGCCATACGTACCAAGCCTTGTTCATTACGCAATGAAGGCGATGAGTTCACAGTTCAAACATGTTCGCACGTATGCTGCTAAAGCATTTGCTCATTTAATTCCATTGGTCCCGCTTCAAATGGATATCAAGCTCCGGGAGTGCGATCAGCAGCTTCCTGCCTCATTGAGAACGATTGTGGAGCAGAACGCTGTTTCACGTAGCTTCCTGGAGAGCTTTGCAGAAGGTAAGGCTGTTCAGCATGTGGATGTCGAAACTTTGCTTGCTCCAAAGACATGTTTGCGCTTGTATCAACAGCATGGCATAGATTGGCTTTGCTTTATGGCCAAAAACAATCTTCATGGGATTCTCGCTGATGATATGGGTCTGGGTAAAACATTGCAGACATTTGCAGCTATGGCCGCAACGTTAGCGTCATCAGTCGGAACCAAAACGAAAGAGACTGCAATGCTTTGCCTCGTTGTTTGTCCACCGATTCTCATTCATCACTGGATTGAGGAAGCTAAAAAGCACATCCCAGGGTTTTTCAAATCAATTATCGACTACTCACTTCCCGTAAGTGAGAGGAAGGCTTTGAACCTTAACGATGGCATGTTTCCAGTATCGAATCAAGGCCCAACATTGATTGTAACAACGTACTCGATTTTGCGCACTGATATTGAGCGCTTGGGGAGCATCGACTATACGTACGTGGTACTAGATGAAGCACATTTGATTCGGAATCCATCCACAGCTTTGTTTCAGTCTGTTCTTAACCTTCATGCGTCACATCGCGTTGCTTTGAGCGGCACACCATTGCAGAATAACGTCGCCGATTTGTGGGCTCTCTTTGAGTTTTTAATGCCCGGGTACTTGGGCGACGCCGCTGCATTTCGTCGCGAGTTTGTGCTTCCTATCAGAAAGTCAAAAGAGCGAAATGCAACGACGAAGCAGAAGGAGGTGGCAGCTATTGCAATTGCACGGTTGCATCAGAAGGTCTTGCCGTTTATTTTGCGACGAACAAAAGATCAGGTACTGAAGGAGCTTCCTCCAAAAATTATTTCCAATGTTTTTCTGCCTTTATCTTCACTCCAGAGACGCCTCTATACTTTGGCATCGTCAACAGAATCTGAGAGCGCAAGCTCAATATCTTCTCGATCCACCAAGTCCAGTGACAAGTCGGGGACGAAGCCAGTGGCGAACGTGCTCACAAGTCTTCAGCTACTGCGCAAAATATGTGTGCACCCAGCGCTTGTTGCAGATGAAACTGTTGCTCGAAGTTTAAGTGCAAAGAAGAAAAAAGCTCTCCGGAGCTGGAAGTGCTCAGGGAAACTGGTTGGATTACGTGATCTATTGATAGAGTGCTGCGATATTGCAGCGTCGGATCAAGATATTGGTCAAGGCTCTGCTTCTGACAACGATAGTCTAGATACTGGCAACATTTCTCCACATCGATGCCTGGTGTTTGCTCATTTGCAGCAATCACTAGATCTCACTGAGCAAATGCTACAAGATGCATTGCCTACAACTACATATCGACGCCTTGATGGTCAAACACCACGCACAAAGCGTGCTGAAATCATACGGCACTTCAACACTGATCCATCAATCACTATCTTGTTGCTGACAACAGCAATAGGAGGCCTAGGACTGACGCTCACCGGCGCCGACACTGTAATCTTTATCGAGCACTCTTGGAACCCCTTTGTCGATCTGCAAGCCATGGATCGTGCGCACCGCATTGGACAGAAGCAAACCGTTCGCGTGTTTCGATTGATCATGAAGGAGTCTCTCGAAGAACACATTCTCACCCTTCAGAAATTCAAAGAGCAAGTTTCGTCCACGATTGTACCAAAGAGTGATGCTCAAAGTAGCATGAACACGAACACAACGGGTGTCCTTGACTTGCTGCAGGCGTCATCTTCGGCGCTGGCTGCTAAGGAGCTTCATGTATCACTTACTGAAACAAAGCCTGGAGATGGTGATCACGCCGCAGCTGCGCTACCGCAAGGAGCCCAAGAACTTTTGAACCAGATTGGTAAATTATGGGATGAGTCGCAGTACGAATCTTTAGCTTTTCCCGAAGAAGAAGATAAGTAACGTCTTAACGCGTTCAAAGATATTGGTAGTCTGTGTTCTAAATTGGTCATGTCATTATTGCCATAAACACCCAATACAAGCATCCTACTTAGCGTCGATGAGGCTCTCAACGTCGAGCTGGATAATGTCAGCATCACAGCCCTGCAGGGATCAATTCCACAAAACGATAGGGAGTCAGCAAAATATACACCTTGGCCCAACTACAGCTTCAAAACTTGCCAAAATCGATGTAACATTGGGATTAGTACGACCACGATCACCATGTATAAACTCCTTCACGTACGTTCCTGCAGACGTTGTGAGACGTAACAGCATATAGTGCTTGTTCAGCACTTCACACTTGGCAGCATGTATAACCTTTGGCCGGGTCATCTGCGTTCTGCGGTGCAGCACGCGGATTGGAGTCTGCTGCTGAATGGCGAGGTCGTGAATTCCATCAATATTCGCAATAACCTCAGGTGTTAAGACTCCTTCCGACCACACGACACAGCTGAATTCCACAAAAATGTTATTCACCAGCTACTAGCAGCAATTTCATCACGATGAAAACATACCAAAAACGTACCAGTAGGTTTTCTTCTTGGAGTCTGCACCGGCTTGCAAACCCGCAAAATAATCCCTTGTTGAGCTCTTAACTTGTACAATTCTAACAGCGCCACTGTTTGCATCGTTCACTGCCTTTTGAACCTGATCATACTCATACTGATTCAGGAAAGCCTTCTTGGCGTCTGCAACATCACAAGTATGGCCAGTTCGCAACTTTATCCCAAAGGGTACAATGCATAAACATTGCGTTGTAACTCACCAAAAATCTCCAAAATGAATGGTCTTCCATTGCCTAACATTCGCACATCAACGTCTTCACGCCCTGCCGTGTGGAACTTGTAGCCCGATCCTCGAAAAAATGGCAACGCAATATCACCAATGCACTCTTCCACCGAGGATTCGCCCATCCGTTCGTCATCTAAAATCCACGGCGTCTGGCTAAGTCCACGCTGAAATTTGAGGTATCGCCCCTGCATGTACACAGAGTCGCGCTCGAATGTGGCCACAGCACGGGGTGCCGTTGCAAGTCGACTGGGTGGACTCTTAATCGTCTCAGGCATAGTCGGAAGTGTTGCAAGGGCACGGAAAACTGCGCCAAAACCATCGACTACAGGGGGTGGACCACGACCACGCTTTCGTGTCCCTTCTAGCTGTTGCTGCAAAAGAACGAGAGGTACGACTGTAAGGATAAAACAAGATCAGAAGGAATTGAACTCTGACAAATCACACCTTGATGGACGGAATCTGGCGCACTTCGTCGGCAGATTCATCGTGCTTGATGTCAATTAGTACCGCAAACTCACTCTTGGTAGCATACTCACCATTTTGGAATATCTGCGATATGTGTGGCGTCAATAAAGCCTGTCGAATTCAATGCAAAGATGGTGAGTCCGAGCACCAATTAAAAACCTTCCATCAAGATCTTTCAACGTCGTAACCTTAAGCACGTCCTTTACATCAAAAGACGTTTTGTGGAAAAAGTTGCCAAGTTCCAAGTGCAGAAAGTGTAGCAGTGAGTACTCGCGCAGTAGTACCACACTGGGCAGCTTAATGTTGAGCGAAAACACCTTCATGTCATAGTCTCCCTTCTCCGCCAGCCGCTGCACGTCAGCCAGTATCTTTTGGTAAAAGTCTCCACTCAAAACTCCTAAACAACACGTACAGACTAATGCAAATAAAATAATGGCAGCATGTGAGTAAAAAATGACAGCACTCCACCTCGTTGTAACATTGTTCCACTGACCCGACACTTCGTGTGATTCAGACACCACCACACCATTATCATTCGCAAATTTATTCATAGCATCCAATAACTTGGTCTCCGAGAACCTGAAAGATACAAAATAATTAGCAACAGATAGACGGACATAAGTTAATGTTGGCAGCAGTATGTATCAATTTTGGTCGCTCGGTATTTAATCCCAACTAGCTCACGCATATATATCCATCTCATCGATACAAGAAAAGCGTAAACAGCAACGCACGCAGACGCCCAGCTCACGGGTGCGAAGCAGCGCCGTTGCAGATAACGCGCCAGCTCGCAGCGGCGTCAAGAGCTTCTCCATGATAATGTTGTACCAGTCAATAGGTTGACGTTTCATTCTGCTTCAATGATTCATCAAAAATCGAAACATTGTTTTGACCAATAGATTAGATGATATAGTGGGCTCTTTTTTATGAATTTGGTCAAGATGACTTGCTCATTTCGCAACGTTTATACGCACGTACTCTAAATCTTGGGTTAAATACATACAACACGGCTCTTTTAGTCAGTTAATTGCAGTCGACGATCAACGTGGTACAACGACAACGTACGCACAACGTTGTGACGCTGGAAACACACTCAGACAGTATCAGGAAGTTCATTTTAGTACACACAAGAGGCAAAGAGAGAAGAGAGAAACAATAACATATTCAGATCATATGCCAAGCTTCTGTCCCAAGTGCGTTGTCTTTCTCTTAGCAGTCTCGTGACGGGAATGAATTTCTATTTACACGCTTTTTGTGTGTGTTTGTTTGTTACTGTGATAGATGCGGGGACTTTGTGGAAGAGAAAGCGTGCAATAAGTGTGGCGAAGCAGCGGTGCGTGGTAGTAATTTATAGGAGGAACGAAGTGATGAATAGTAAATTTTAGACTTTTGAACTGATACATTAATGACAGGTGACAGCTAAGGAGAATCCCTGGAAAACGGCGTCCATGGTGCCCGGAGGCGACCAGATGAGCGTCCCAGCGTTGCCTACAGCTTTTACGGCAGCTGCACGTATCAAGATGATGGGGTGCGACGTTCAGAGAAAGAGAGAGCGGGGCTACAAACTAAAGATTGACGTGACGAGTTGTACTTTTGGTGTGTTTATCGTATAGGGTTCAGCCTGTTTTGAAGCCTGCGCCCAAAGAGAAAGCAGAGGCGCGTTTCAACTTTGTACCGCAGGATCCGAGTACACAGTTGGCTTTGTCGAAGGGTGACGCAGTAGACGTCGTGCGCAAAGACAGCGACGGCTGGTGGTTTGTCATCAAGGATGGCGAAAGAGGGCTTGTGCCAGGCTCATACTTGTATATTGAAAACCCCATTATACCCGTGACCGATGCCACGATCCTGGCGGCGCGCGAAGCGTCTAACCAGAGATTTATGGAAATGCAGCGCAACTCTGGAAGCAGTGCGCAGGGAGTCGAGCCGGGCGTGGAGTACCAGTCACCGCTTGGACTGGAAGCGCTTGCGATTGCAGACTCATGTGCACCGAAGCCGCAAAATGGGCCTGTGCGCGTAGACGCCAAGTCGGGTGGCACCGAGTTTAAGCCTGGCGAGGTGCGCAAGTTGAGGAAGTGCTACGCTTGCAAGGAGACTATTTTGGGCCGAACGAAAGTATGCAAGGACCAGATTTTCCATGAGATATGTCTTTTGTGCAAAGGTTGTCGCGAGTCGATTGAAGAAAATGAAGACTTTACACTGATTAAGAAGAAGGCGTACCATGCCGATTGTGCTAAAGACGTAAATTACTGCTTTGTGTGCGACAAGGAGATTTTGGGCCGAGTATACAGAGCTGGCGACGGCGCGTTTCACAAGCTCTGCATGATATGTTCTGTGTGCAATAAACAATCGAAAGAAACTGGAGCAACATTGGTAAATGACCTTCTCGTTTGCGGCGATTGCGCTGCGGAGAAAGAGAGAAAAGAGAGGGAAGAGAGAGAAGCTGCGCTCGAACGTGAGCAGGCTGCTGCTCAAGCGAAAGCAGAAAAGGAGGCAGCTCTTGTTGCGGCAAAGGCATTGGAGAAAGAGAAGGAACGAAAAGCTCAGGAAGCTCAGAAGATTGCCGAGGAGGCTGCTTGTGCACAGGCAGAAAGAGAGGCAGCAGAGGCCGAGACGCTGCAAAGAGATGCTGTTGTTGTGAATGGCAATGGTCGATTTGGATATGATAGCTTTCGATCAAGTACGTCGAATCTCGACCAGTTTGATTTGGAGGCAACACCTCTCGACATTTCGGGACATAACGGTCGGATATCTGAAGCATCAGATTTGGACTCGATTCTTAGCGATGGTGATTATGCTGGATACATGGGAAGCGGTCAAAGGGAATCGCTGCGTTTGTCGGAAGTGCTTGATCTTGAGTCTTACAGCGATGACCGTTTGTCCGACCTAAGCGGTATCTCAGAAGGAGCTGCCGAACGAATGAGGCCGCGGCATTCAACAATTGAAGGAATACTGAAAGAAGGCGAACAAGCTTTTTCGGAAGATGAGGATGATCGAGAGCTTTGTGGTGGCTGCGAGCTTGTACTAGAAGGAGAAGCTGTTGGTGCTCTAAACCAATACTTCCACATTGAGGTGCGTATGCGGGATTGCGGACTTGCGATATGTCACATCTACTAACTTATTTGTGGCTTTCAGTGTTTCAAATGCAGTCATTGCAGCCGCGTTATTGCTGAAGATGATGGTTACGCCGAGAAGGACAACCAGGTATTGTTTGCTTCTTTGCGTTGTGTATATATACAATCGTAGCTCACAAGTCACAATAATCTAGGCGTTTCATCAAGCGTGTTACCAGACTCGGTTTGGCAAAATGTGTCATCGATGCGACAAGGTTCTTAAAGGTAAAGTGGTGAAGGCTCTCGACCGTCTTTACCACCCAGACTGCTTTGTATGCTTCCAGTGCAGCGCTTCTCTCTCAGGTACGCAAAGCCAACCGCTAGTGGGTAGATATGGGTTGATACTAATGTAAAATTTGCTGCTGATGGTTTTTTGTTGTCCAGCAGAGAGTTTTTTCGAGCACGAAAGCCAAGCGGTTTGCGCCAAGTGCAAGCACAAAGCTATTGCATTGGAAGAGCCCAGCCTCCCGTACGTAGGGTGTCAACAGCTGAAAAAATATCATTATTTGACCGACCATTTTGTGGTGCTGCTATTTATTTAATACTTCCCAGAGAGAAATTGATCCCGGTATCTCAAGGCATTGCTGGCTACCGATTTGACGCCCAGGATGAGACACAATTGACTATTTATCCGGGCGACGAAGTCACTATTCTTCAGAAGGTTTGTTTACTACTGCACGCTTGTACTAAGTTGGGTGTTTTAACGATTACTTTGAATGCACAACAGGACGATGATGGCTGGTGGCTTGTGGAATTGAGAAACAATCGTGGTTACGTGCCAGGTTCATATTTGATTGAGCGCCCTGTTGAAGAGCCAAAACTCAATTCAAAAAAGAGAAATAATGCCTTCAAAAGTACGCCTAAGCGCAAGCCGGGTCTTTGCAGCTCGTGCTCGACTCAGAATCCAGCGGAGGCACGCTTTTGCCGAAGCTGTGGCAACAATCTGATCGCCTGATTGGCGTATGCGTAAATGAAATCAACAAGCAAGAGTTTGTGTAGAGAGAAAAGGTACGGGACACTGATTGCTGTTAGCCTTATGAGCCGTGCGATGGGTTCCTTTCCCGCGCGGTGGCTGCTGTAGATATATCTTGTCTTGCGCTTTGGCAATGCCCCGTCCCGTTTTCATTGTAGGTGCTAAGGAACTTCAACTGCCATTTCAGAGTCCCACATTTTTGATCCTACATATTTTCTGCTAAGCTGTCTTACTCACTTGTGTATTTTTCTCGGACATCTCAGCGACGGCCATGTGGATCAAAAGTCTCACGCATAAAGCTCCAGGGCTGCAGTTTGCTGCTCCAGCGTTGCTTGGCCGTAAGCATCTGCGTGGAATGCATTCTCGTCGAGTCATCGGCATGTGGGATCGAGTGCTGCCGTCACTCTGGCATCCATTGGCATCGCTGGAGCAGTCGCTTATGGACGTCGAGGTAATGGCTCGCCGAGTGTTTTCACCACGCTTTCCACCGTTTGCTCCGTTTCAGCGTAACACGTTGCCGAAGTTGCATCATGGCGACGAGGAGTTTTTCAAGGATTTGCCAATCAAAAGACCAGAAGAAGTGACAAAAGCTACGTTGAAGGCTGCTGCACCAGCGTACAGTGCGACAAAGAAGGAAGGAAGCAACGCATCTCTTGACTCAAATGAGCCGTCAACTGGTGCCGAAGGCACTATACCTCACCCGTCATTCACTTCGTACTCATACACGTGCTCAACCGTATTAGACCATAGTGGTCGTCGTATCGGTACAACTCGTCGACGTTACGAGGATTCAACAGGCCGTCTGAAGGCGTCACATGAGCGCGAGATTGACGGCAAAAATATAAAGACGGTGTGGCAGCGCTCCAACACGCAAGATGAGGGCGAGCATAAAACGGTCTGCTCAATTGACAGTCCAGACGAGTTTGAGAAAGAGTGGCTTGAGACGCCGTTTGGTCGAGCTGAGGACGAGGAGCTGGTCAAGTGGGTAGAAGACCGAGAGCGTAGTGTGTACGAAGCGTTTGGTATGGAATACAACTCAGACAAACCGAAGCAGAATGAAATGACAAATGAAGAGCGAAAAGTTGTGGAGGAAGGAGGGACGGAACGGAAGGAGAAGATTCAGGAAATGTCGAAGCGGCAGGAAGAGGAGACAACATCTCCAGAGTTTACGTCGTAAATGGCAAAATGGTAAAGCTGCTTACTGAAGTGGTAGTGAAGTACCTTTATTTTTTGAAATTAATTTCTCGGCAGCATATTGGTAATTTTAAAACGATAATTGTTTTTTGTCAAACGTTTTGAAAAGTGGTTTTCCTCGTTATTTTCCTCAATGTTGCTCAACACCGGTGCACTACCGGTAGACCGACTTGAGCATCTGACATGACATCCCATCCAACAAGACTCCAGTCATTGTTTCCCTGAGCTTAAACATGGATAACCGGCACGACGAGCTGCAGCTCAAGCCGTGTCACTATTCGTCAGCTGCCACGTCCTTACAGATCAGCGGGTTTGGTGTGGAATCGTCCACGGATGAGTCCAAGCGTTGGCAGCAGAGTCTAGAGAAGTGCATTCGCGCCATTGTGAGTATTCGGCTGCTAAGTGTACGCGCATTTGACGGCAACGGTGCGAGTTTTAGCGTAGCAACAGGATTCGTGGTAGACATGCAGCGGGGTTTGATTCTTACAAATCGCCACGTGGTTACGCCCGGTCCCGTAGTAGCTGATGCGATATTTCTTAACAAGGAGGAGGTGGATCTTGTGCCTGTGTATCGAGATCCCGTGCATGACTTTGGATTCTTTCGCTTTGATCCAAGCAAAGTAAAATTTCTTACTTTGCACGAAATTCCGCTACGGCCTAAAGCTGCCAAGATTGGTGCTGAGATCCGCGTAGTGGGTAATGATGCGGGTGAAAAACTATCCATTTTGCCGGGCATCTTAGCCAAACTGGACCGAGATGCGCCATCCTATGGCTCTAGTACGTATAATGACTTTAACACGTTTTACTTTGCAGCGGCTAGTAGCACAAGTGGAGGCTCTAGTGGCTCTCCCGTGCTGAATATCGACGGTTGCGCGATCGCACTAAATGCTGGAGGAGCCAAGAAGGCAGCGTCGTCATTTTACCTGCCACTGGATCGCGTTGTACGAGTACTTGGTCTGATCCAACAGGGCAAACCAGTGGCGCGTGGTACCATTCAGACAATATTTCGTCACACGGCGTTTGATGAGGTGCGGCGACTTGGACTGCCAGGAGAAACAGAGGCTTTGGTGCGCCAACAATTCCCGCAGGAGACAGGCATGATGGTAGTAGACCAGGTCATTCAAGGAGGGCCAGCGCATGATCAGCTGCGAACAGGAGACGTGCTTATCAAGTTTGGTGACAAGTACGGCGCGACGTTTTTGACCATCGAAGAGCTGTTGGATTCACATGTTGCTGAGACAGCAACAGTGCAGTTTCAGCGCGGAGACGAGCAGTACACATCAACGCTCATGATCCAGGACTTACATGCTATCACGCCAGACAGGTACTTGGAAATTGGAGGTGGTATTGTACACGCTCTATCCTACCAACAAGCTCGTAACGCCTCACTGCCGGTGGGTGGCGTGTATCTAGCCCAAGCAGGCCACATGTTTATGAAGGCGCATTTGTCCCAGCCCTGTATCATAACGTCCGTGGCAGGACAGCCTACCCCAAAACTAGATGACTTTGCGAGCGTGATGGCCTCGCTTCCTAACGGATTTCGCACGGTATTGCGATACTTTATGATCCGCGATCGCCATCGTGTCCGTACAGCTTTCATCATGATGGATCGCTGTTGGTTCCCGATGCAGATGTGCACACGCAACGATGAAGATGGGTTATGGTATTCAAAGGCATACATTCAGGATGTACTAAATGAAGATCAAGCACTAGGAAATATTGCAAAATTCGGACACCCTACGTTTGCTCCAGCGCCGTTAAGTTTTCCTGGAGGAAACGCACTGGGCAAGAAGACGCTGCTATCACTTGTAATGGTGTCTTTTGACATTCCATACATGATTGATGGTATTTCGAGCTCAAGCTACCATGGGATGGGAGTCGTAGTAGATGCCCAGCAAGGTTTTGTGCTTGTGGATCAGAACACGGTTCCCATTGCACTGGGTGACGTGCTGATTACAATTGCAGCTACCGTTGAGATTCCCGCCAAGGTAGTGTTTGTACACCCAGTTCATAACTTCTCCATTGTACAATACGACCCTAAGACATTAGGATCTGTAGCCAGCCATATCGAGAGTGTTGTGTTGGCTACAAAACCTCTTGAAGTTGGTGAAACCGCCGACTACGTCGGATTGAGCAGTAATTGGACTGTTGTTACCATGAAGTCTGTCGTCACCAAGCTCGACCGTCTTGTGTTGCGCGATTTCCAGCCGCCACGATACAAGGCATGCAATATTGAGGTGCTGCACTTTGATCGTATCACGAAGTCCGTAGGCGGTGTATTTATTAACGACGAAGGCGCTGTAAATGCACTGTGGCTGTCTTTTAGCTACCAAGACAATGCTGGTCGCAAGGAGGTTTTTCGTGGGCTACCAGTCAGCAGTGCTCGACACATTATCGATGAGCTTCGGGCGTCTCGCATCCCAGCGTCGTTAAATATTCTACCGGCGCAATTGCTGACTTACTCTCTGTCTAAAGCACGTTCTGGTCTTGGGCTCTCAGATGCATGGATACAGAAGCTTGAATCACGCTACGAAGACAAGCGTCAAGTACTTGGCATCAAGCGGTGTGCTGCCGGCACGGACTGTGCCGACAAATTTGAGAGTGGCGACTTGCTTTTAGCCATCAACGGACAAATTGTGGTGCGGGATGCAGATGTAGAAGATGCAGTAGAAGGTAGAACGCAAGTGCTTGCTGTGATTGTGCGCGATCAGAAGGAAATGGAGGTGACAGTAAGCACGTCCCAGCTATCAGCTATGGGTACTGATCGTGTAATCGTCTGGTGCGGTCTCGTCATTCAAAGCCCTCACTATGCAGTAGCGAGCTTGGGCTATATTCCGAAAGAAGGCGGTGGCGTATATTGCTCCCGGTGGTGTTATGGATCCCCGGGGCATAAATATGGCTTGCGAGCAACTATTTGGCTTGTGGAAGTCAACGGAAAGCCAACACGCACGTTAGATGACTTCTTGGGGGTAGTGGGACGTCTTGGTAATCGCGAGTCTGTGCGCTTAAAAACCATTTCCATTAATACGAAGCCAAAGGTGTTTACCTTGAAGACAGACTACCACTACTGGCCAACAATCGAACTTCACCGAGAAGGATGGGATTGGAAATATGTAAAGCACCCTGTATCCACGTAGCGTGTCCAAATTATGCAGTATCTTTTAGTAAGACCAAATCCAGTCAATACATCACATAATGAGAAAAAATACAAAGTATGTGCAGAACAATGACAGATGTACATCTTGACCCAAAGTGCACGAAAAGAAACTATCGTCACTACGCCAACGATAGCAACTATTAATGGGTTGGGGTCAACCATACAAGGTTCTCGTTCCAGCACAAGCACGGTTCCATCTCATTGCTACAGCGGACGTTATTTTGTTCGAGAGCAATAGTCGTAAATAGTATCGATGTACTACTGGCTAACTCGACTGCACTATGTACCGCTCTGTAATTCACGTGCGCCAGTGAGCGCTCTAGCACTCGAAGGTACCATTATCAACCGTTTGTCGTCATCATCATCCAAATAACGGATAACCAATGCAATATGCAGCTGTACAGAATAAGAAAGCAAGTAGAGTGAGTCGAGAGATCCGCCGCACACATGGAATGTGCTTTACGTCGCAACAGTTGTAAAGTTGGTAAACGAGACAAGCTGAATGGCACAAGAGCTGTTAGTCGGAAGAGCAGAGTCCAATCAACAAGCGTTTACGCGAGCATAAAAGTTCTAGCTGCCAGTATCCGAGCGAGGTGAGGTAGAATTCATGTTGCAGAAGTCGCTACTGAAGCAGTAACATTAATTAACTTGCTCGCGTTTAAAATCATCGTTATGAAAACTCTTGTAAAACGACATGTGTATATTGGTCTGCGAGCACCGGCGTTAATCGCTCCAATAAATACATGTACTAAACACGTAGTGAGGAGCTAGTTATCGTAGCGGCATGATGGATTTTGCACTGTCAAATTGACAGCAATTTTGTGCATTCTGTGGGCTACAACGTCTTCGGTCTAGATTTCGCGAGTGTTGAGGTGTGGGTGCCTTGTCGAGTGACTCGTGATGGGAACTGGGTTTAGGGTCTAGCACCGTTTTCCGGCGGACAGACGGTACCTCGCACCCAGAGATGCACTCTAGATCGAATGATTTGCCATTATCTAATGTCATCTGACTTCACTTTGACGCTATTAAGAGCTTAACCACGAAATCTATTCCCAGCTTTGTCGAGTCTGATCCAACTATTGTAGTGAATAATGGATGCTGTTCAGTTTCGGTACTTGTGCGACACTTCTACGGCATCAAGCATCGGTCTTTGTTGTGCTCTCCTGCTGCATAGTCGGGTGTCATGATTGATGATGCGGTTGCAGATTTTTATATTCACATAGGTAACAGTTGAATCAAGTCATTGTTATACCAACTAACCGCACCGAATTATCTCAACAGCATTAAATGTACAATGTTTTTTGTCAAGGAAAAATCTAAGTAAAAAGTCCCCGGCCTCGGCTTATTTGAAACGTCGTGTCATCTGCAAGGACTTGATGCATCTGACAATGATTGCCCTTACGAACCGAGCGGCTGCATCCATCAGCTTCGCACCGCCGACCTCCTCCATGCGAAATACAGTAGCCGTTGCCACGGTCTTTCTTCTTGCAACCTTCTGCGACACAACGACGAATCCCACCGTGCAGGTAGCATAAGCCTAGACGTTGAGTGCCCTTTGAGCAGCCAGGCACTCGGCACTTTTTACCACCTCCGTGAGCACGGCAAAGTCCTCCACCCTGTGAACTCTTGTCGCAACCGTCCACTTGGCATCGCGCACCGCCACCGTGAGTCTTGCATCTATTGTTAGACTGAGCACGCCGCGTACACCCTTCAGCAACACACTGCTTCGCTCGCCGAGTCCTTTTTGATCTAGTAGATGAAGCAGACGAGACCGTTGGCGAGGTTAGAATGTTGGATGTCATGCGCAGAGATGCTGGTGCTAGTGGCAATGATGGCGAAAGAAACGGAATGCTCTTCATCAAGCGCTGTCCCCCTAGTGGCGACGGATTGGGGAGAAGCAAACTGGCTGGCAGTGAATTCACTCGACCAGGAGGGTTAGTCGAAATTACAATCGAATGCGCAGCTCTTGAGCCTGGATCAACGATGTCATCCCAAGATTCACGCAGGAAAGAGTCCATAACTGACGACAAGCCGAACATGTTGCTCTCCTGCTTTATATTGACGTCGCTATCAACAAGAGTGTGACCACTACTTTGGAGCTTTTGATCAGGTGAAAAGCAAGAGCTAGCGCCAATAGGAAACCCCAACCCGTTAGAACAAGTCGAGTGCTGCACAATGGCACCGAAAGGAGATTCCGTTTCCTGCGGGTTGAACGCATCACAAAGTCCTGTCAAGTTTAACCCCAAGCTGTCAGAGTCTTCTCTACAAAGTGCTGACGTCGGCGAGGACGAAGTTGTGTTTTCTAACATCGTCATCGTGCTTCCAAAATCTTCATCGTCCAAAAATTCCATTGCCGCTGGCAGATTAAGAATATCGCCAATGCTGTATAATAATGACGCGTTACTGAAAGTAAGAGGATCCATAGTTGTGGTTAAGCTTACGTTGACGTTAGATGTTCCAGCTTAAGCTCACTTTTCTTCACGGTTATAACTGAGAAGCGCTTGCAGTACAGAGAAAAATCTAATATGAAGAAGGGGATTAGAAGCAGCGGATCAATCCATGCTGTCTACTTTACACAACAGCTTCGCAATGCTTATTTTCTTCTGTCTATCTTCAAGTCTTATACTTCAAGCCTCGACATTTAACCCTAAGTTAAACGAAGCCACGAGTCAAGTGGTTGCTTGATGCGTTAGCTATTTTTGCTAGCAAGCTGAACGCGTTGAACACGTTTTACAGATGCTAAACTTATCGGAAACGAGTAAACGCAACCCTGAATAGTGACAAGAACTGCCCATAATTTTACTATTTTAAGGACTACATGGCTAAGGCAAACCCGCACGAAACATAGCTCATCTGTCCATACAAGCTGATCAAATGAGCTGTCGTTAGACACGCTATGAAAAATCTCTTTTTGAAGCTGCCAAGATAAACCAAACCTTAGCGATGTTTATTCGCGAAATAGCTTTTGTTAGTCTTGCGGCTAAGCTACGGTTGACGGCATTAGGCAGTGCTGAGGTCGTCTTTCAAAAATACAGATGCAATTTGGTTGGTTGAGCAGGAGAGACATTGTTAAACAGTTGCGCAGTGTTACAAGTAACGGTTATCTGGAAAATGACTAATGACGGCAAGTTCTGTTATCTAAAACCAGCTCCTTCGTCGGCGTACAGTGTTTAAGATACTTATAGTTGCTGAGCTTTCATGTAAGGGCACAGTGGTCAGTAAGGTAGAGGTAAAGAGAGACACGGATTTGTACCTTGTAATAGCAACAGATAGTGCCGACAACGAAGAGTTTAATCTTACTTGGCGTGTCCAGAATGGCTTCAAGCTAACAGTTGTTTTCGCAGTGAGTTCTTGGTAGATAGAAACTAAAATCATGACGGTGATGAAACAGGTTCTAGTTTCTAGATGCGTGCAGTACCAAGGAGGAAGGCAACTACTTTGAGCGCATGTGAATATGAATCTCCGACACGAATACATTAAACGTCGCTTGGCAACACTTCCACGCAACGAATATGTAAATTTGACAAACCACAGACTAAGCCAAAGCCATAAAGGTACGTCAAAAGGTTAGAACAGCGCTTCATCGACACTCTTAAGCTTCGCATAAGAGTGTCGATGAAGCGCTGTACGCAAATGCTCTGCTTGCCAGGTTTGCTCTAGGGGCTTCTTGCGGCGCAATGGATAGCGCATCTGACTTCTAATCAGGGGGTTGTGCGTATTCAACGATTCTTAGTAGCGACGGCTATCACAAGACTTGCCACCGTAAGCTCGCACAGAAATCTTTTATGAAACGATGTTTGGGCCAAGAAACGTGCAGTTACAGCGTAGTGGATACGTTACCCATTCAAGTATTTCACCAGTCAACAATTGTCACAACCTTTGAAGGGTAGTAAATCAGTTTGTACATGACGGCAGCCATAGATGTCTGCGCACAGTAATTTTTTCAGTATATTCTGGTGCAATCTCCTATGCGTCAGCTTTGGTAGCTAGTACCGTGTACTTCTTGCCTCTCAAAGAAACACCGGATGTGTACTTCTAACACACAATTAATATATTTACTTAGCAATGCTGTTTTCGCTAAGACAACTTGCTTTGTCTGCTGCTAATTCCAGACTGAGTACCTGCGTTTCGAGCTGCCGTTCTACGCCACTGTTCTTCAATGTCTTGTCCTTCGTTCGTTATTCCAACTGCCACACCAACTGCCACACCAACTGCCACACCAACTGCCACACCAACTGCCACACCAACTGCCACACCAACTGCCACACCAACTGCCACACCAACTGCCACACCAACTGCCACACCAACTGCCACACCAACTGCCAACTGCCACACCAACTGCCAACTGCCAACTGCCAACTGCCAACTGCCACAACTTGGTGGCGCGTAATTACATCCGATTAGCGGTCGACACAGCGTTAAAATTGTCTTTGACAAAGCTTTGGTAAACATGTCAGCTGGGTCCTTCGTGCCGTAGACTTTAACAATGGTTTCGCAGTCCTTTCTTGATCTGGTCCCGCACGTAGTGGCAGCGTAGTTCGATATGGCGCGTCTTGCTGCTGTACATCGGCGTGCAAGCCAATGTAATAGCTGCAAAATTGTCAACGCCCAGTTGTAGCATCACTTGTGCGTTAATAAACGGTAGAATCTCGTCCAGAATATTTGCTATACCTCCCTTCATTGCGGCTTCGCACGCCGCGACATATCCGGCCTCTGCTGTTGATTGTGCAATAATGGTCTGCCGTCGCGCGGCTTATGCCACTGCACCGACAGCCATCATTAAAACGAATCCTGTAACGCTCTTCCACGAATCAGGATCATTGCCCGAATCCGCATCACAATGTCCATTTATGAGAAGCTCTCAAGTGTGGTCTGTGCCTGGTGACTGAGTTTGTCAAATACTTTCCGTAGCTAGATGTAATCCCCATATTGCGAGTACCAGCCAAACATCGAAAAACCCTTTTGACGGCACCACAAAGCTTTCCGAGTGGGATTGCATACAAATCTGCCGCCGATACAAAAAGAGAGATCGTGTAACAGGGATACACGAATATGAGTGTTTTACCACACCAATGTGGTGTGGCTGTACCTTGGGTACAAAAGTAGGTGATGTGACCGTACCTGAAGTACGAAGGGCCGCATCGCGGCAGAGAGCCAACAGACCGCTACTTATTTAAAGTATAGTGACTATGCATGTTTGCATAATAATAACAGGCTTTAGAGCCAGTAAATAGTGACTAGCACTAAGTATAGAGTAGGTGCTTCTATATTTAGTGTTAGAAGATAAACATAAATATAAATCAGATTCAAACCTGCTCTGTAAGTAAGCCTTACAGCTTTAGCGTTCGATTCCTCATGAGGAATCAGTATCTTTGATACTAGTCTTCTTAAGACGCGGTTGTAGCAATCGATTGGCACAAGCTTACGAGCTAGCCTAGGAGGGTTAAGCACCCTAAGACGTAAAAGCTCTCTGAGCTTGTCTTCCTCTGCACATAGTGCATCAGTAGCTTTGCTACAGTAGTTTGACTACTTCTTCTGCACATAGTGCATCTGCACATAGTGCATAAGTAGCGTATCTACAGTAGCTCGGCTACACATCCGGTGTTTTCTTGGAGAGGCAAGAAGAACACGGTACTAGCTACACAAAGCTGACGCATAGAGGATTGCAACAGGGTTATGAGCCCAAGCCTGAACGAAACGTAAGCGTAACGAAGTATCTTGTGCAATATTACGCAAAGAGCGACTCCGTTTGGAAGAAAATTCAAACGTTAAACATTCGGTCGAGACTTGAGCGAGCAAGAGTTCAAGTGGCGAAAATCTACCTGAGTGGTGTACAAAATGTCCAACAAGGTGGAGCTGAATAATATGGACGCCCTGTAGGATGGCAAGGCCAGTCCTGGGCGTACTATAAAAGAATGATGCAATCAACTTTCGAGGAGAAAGACGTGTTGGATTGTGCTACGGGAGACAGAGTTCACGCAGCTAACGCGAGTACAAACGAAGTGAATGCGTTTTGAGAAGCTCAAGTAACGATTAAGCAGCACCTTCTTGCGTCCTTATCGATGGAGTTGGGTCAACGAGTGATGACGAAAGCAACTGGCTTCAAGCAAGACGTGGAAGTATCTGGAGGACTTTTACGAGGGAAAGACGAATGCTGCAACGAGAACAAACCAGGAGATCATCTTGTATAACAAGTTTAACGCGATGAAATGCAAACTAAACTGAGACGTGGTGCAGCATATTGAAAAGATGTTCATGATAAAGGAACAACTAGTTGCTTTAAACACAGAAGTTCGCGACCCCATTTTTACGCAACTACTGACCAGTCATTACCATTAAATGCGCGTTTCGAGCGTCTACGGGGTATGGTGAAAAGCCGGGATGACAAAGTAGATACATCAGAGAAACTGAAAGATCAAATTTTCCGGATGGACAGCTACAGTAATTGTGCTCGAGAGACGAGTAGGTACGAGCAAGGACTTCATTTTGGTTGTTGCCATATGTAGGCCTCTCAACGTCTCTATCTTTGAGAAGTTAAGAGGCCTACATATGGCAACAACCAAAATGCAAGAAAGCCTGTTAAGGAACCATCTTTGCAAGAAATGCTCAATGGACTACACCCAGTTCAGTGACAGACACGAAACAAGGAACCTGCTTTAACTGTCATCAGTCGGGACATAGAATGGCAAACTGTCCTGTTATGCACAATACCAGCAGGAAAGATGAAAGACATGCCACATTTACGAAGAAATCGCAGTCAGAACGTAGTCTGAAGACGACTCATATGGAGCGCAGACAGTCAAGCAAACCGAAGGTTGGTAGGAAATTAAGTAACAGAAAGGAGATGAAGCCCACTCAGAGTGTGGCACCCCCTGGTAAGCGACAACAACACAAGAGCGATCATGGGTCCAGTGACCACCCAGTCTGGCAGTGGTGCCTGGATAGTGCTGCAAATGTTCATGTTGGGTCTTCTCGGTCACCTCCATGACAAACTCAGAGTCTTTGTTGATCAATACGCTTTCTCAGCACAGACTATGCTTTTAAATGCTCATGTTTTTTTTGTATTAACCTCGCTGTGGTCATCAAAGTAATAGTTGCATACACGAGAGCAAGCGCCGCTACTAGCACATACCCAGTCAGAAAATGCCAACTATGTAAGTCGCTTCATTTCAACGCGTGAGGAATACTTTGACATTTCAACTTTGATATAGTCTCGCGTCTGGGACTTGTTGACAAATTTGGTGGATCAAGCGAGTGAGATAAACACCAAAGACACGTATAGCCCACTAGCAATTTGTAGCGGGTTTACACGAATATGTGTATTTTACATACACACCTGCCACACCAATGTGGTGTGGCTGTACCTTGGGTACAAAAGTAGGTGATGTGACCGTACCTGAAGTACGAAGGGCCGCATCGCGGCAGAGAGCCAACAGGCCGCTATACTTATTTAAAGTATAGTGACTATGCATGTTTGCATAATAATAACAGGCTATAGAGCCAGTAAATAGTGACTAGCACTAAGTATAGAGTAGGTGCTTCTATATTTAGTGTTAGAAGATAAACATAAATATAAATCAGATTCAAACCTGCTCTGTAAGTAAGCCTTACAGCTTTAGCGTTCGATTCCTCATGAGGAATCAGTATCTTTGATACTAGTCTTCTTAAGACGCGGTTGTAGCAATCGATTGGCACAAGCTTACGAGCTAGCCTAGGAGGGTTAAGCACCCTAAGACGTAAAAGCTCTCTGAGCTTGTCTTCCTCTGCACATAGTGCATCAGTAGCTTTGCTACAGTAGTTTGACTACTTCTTCTGCACATAGTGCATCTGCACATAGTGCATAAGTAGCGTATCTACAGTAGCTCGGCTACACATCCGGTGTTTTCTTGGAGAGGCAAGAAGAACACGGTACTAGCTACACAAAGCTGACGCATAGAAGATTGCAACAGGGTTATGAGCCCAAGCCTGAACGAAACGTAAGCGTAACGAAGTATCTTGTGCAATAGTACGCAAAGAGCGACTCCGTTTGGAAGAAAATTCAAACGTTAAACATTCGGTCGAGACTTGAGCGAGCAAGAGTTCAAGTGGCGAAACTCTACCTGAGTGGTGTACAAAATGTCCAACAAGGGTGGAGCTGAATAATATGGACGCCCTGTAGGATGGCAAGGCCAGTCCTGGGCGTACTATAAAAGAATGATGCAATCAACTTTCGAGGAGAAAGACGTGTTGGATTGTGCTACGGGAGACAGAGTTCACGCAGCTAACGCGAGTACAAACGAAGTGAATGCGTTTTGAGAAGCTCAAGTAACGATTAAGCAGCACCTTCTTGCGTCCTTATCGATGGAGTTGGGTCAACGAGTGATGACGAAAGCAACTGGCTTCAAGCAAGACGTGGAAGTATCTGGAGGACTTTTACGAGGGAAAGACGAATGCTGCAACGAGAACAAACCAGGAGATCATCTTGTATAACAAGTTTAACGCGATGAAATGCAAACTAAACTGAGACGTGGTGCAGCATATTGAAAAGATGTTCATGATAAAGGAACAACTAGTTGCTTTAAACACAGAAGTTCGCGACCCCATTTTTACGCAACTACTGACCAGTCATTACCATTAAATGCGCGTTTCGAGCGTCTACGGGGTATGGTGAAAAGCCGGGATGACAAAGTAGATACATCAGAGAAACTGAAAGATCAAATTTTCCGGATGGACAGCTACAGTAATTGTGCTCGAGAGACGAGTAGGTACGAGCAAGGACTTCATTTTGGTTGTTGCCATATGTAGGCCTCTCAACGTCTCTATCTTTGAGAAGTTAAGAGGCCTACATATGGCAACAACCAAAATGCAAGAGAGCCTGTTAAGGAACCATCTTTGCAAGAAATGCTCAATGGACTACACCCAGTTCAGTGACAGACACGAAACAAGGAACCTGCTTTAACTGTCATCAGTCGGGACATAGAATGGCAAACTGTCCTGTTATGCACAATACCAGCAGGAAAGATGAAAGACATGCCACATTTACGAAGAAATCGCAGTCAGAACGTAGTCTGAAGACGACTCATATGGAGCGCAGACAGTCAAGCAAACCGAAGGTTGGTAGGAAATTAAGTAACAGAAAGGAGATGAAGCCCACTCAGAGTGTGGCACCCCCTGGTAAGCGACAACAACACAAGAGCGATCATGGGTCCAGTGACCACCCAGTCTGGCAGTGGTGCCTGGATAGTGCTGCAAATGTTCATGTTGGGTCTTCTCGGTCACCTCCATGACAAACTCAGAGTCTTTGTTGATCAATACGCTTTCTCAGCACAGACTATGCTTTTAAATGCTCATGTTTTTTTGTATTAACCTCGCTGTGGTCATCAAAGCAATAGTTGCATACACGAGAGCAAGCGCCGCTACTAGCACATACCCAGTCAGAAAATGCCAACTATGTAAGTCGCTTCATTTCAACGCGTGAGGAATACTTTGACATTTCAACTTTGATATAGTCTCGCGTCTGGGACTTGTTGACAAATTTGGTGGATCAAGCGAGTGAGATAAACACCAAAGACACGCATAGCCCACTAGCAATTTGTAGCGGGTTTACACGAATATGTGTATTTTACATACACACCTGCCACACCAATGTGGTGTGGCTGTACCTTGGGTACAAAAGTAGGTGATGTGACCGTACCTGAAGTA